ATTTACTTAACTATCCACTATGATCCCTATCTATCTATTGAAATAACAATAATAATTTTTCTCTATTAAAGTATTTCTTTTAATCTATAGTTGCTATGATAAATTCTATTTTGATAATTAACAAATATATACCTTAGTAATCAATTCTACCACTACCATTCTAATCAATTTTAGCAAAAATAGTATTAACTTCCTAAACAGCTTAATCAGATGAGAACATTGTACTATAAACTTTAAGTAGTTCCTCTTTAGTTAACTATCCATCTTTATTTAAATCAAATTTTTAGAATTCATCCATTAATTTTTTCTTATCTTATTCAGACATCATATTTTCAGCAATATAGTTTAACATAGCATTTTACATTTGAGATTATTACTAATTTAAATACATATATATACTTTAAAATCTTTCATATGTTTTGACAATTATTTATTAGGTTTTGTTACTATACGAGTTCTATTTAAAAATATTGGATGATTAATCACTTCTGTAGCTGTAGGTCTCAATAAAGGATTTGAACTAAGCATTTTAGAAACTAATTGTTTCATATCAGGATTAATATTAACCCATTCTGATCCATCAAAATTAACTACACCTCTTTGTATAGCAGTTTTGATAGCCTAAGCATCACGACCTTAAAATGGCATATGAGATGTAAGAAAAAAATAAAGTAAACATCCACTTGACCAAATATCTGCCTTCTATGTTAAAGGACTGTTAATAGTTGTTTATTTAAAAACTTCTGGCGGTTTAAAAGATATTTCTTAGATACTACCACTTGGTTTCCATGACATACATAGACTTTTCATTTAATTTGATATACCAAAATCAATTAACTTTATATTTTCCATAGATTTATTAGTGAATACTATACTATCTAATTGGATATTCCTAAATTTAAGAATTCAAATAATACCCATGGACCATCCCTTAATTATGTAAATACTGTAATCCTGCCATAATCTGACAGAATACATCTATCATTGTATATTGTTACAACTAACTAAACTTATCTAATTAAGAGAGTAGATTTCCACCGTCACAAAATTCTTATACCAAATACAAACGATTATCATTAAAATAGTAAGATAAAGTACTTATCAAATTCAAATGTTTCTTTCATAAGATAATAGGTCTTACAATTTGCATTAATTAATTGATATTTCTCTCCAGTTCTTACTTCTCTGACACAGTAAGAGTTTAGCAATTAAAAACCTTTGCAATTCTAGATGCATTGTTGCTCTTAGAAACAATCTTTTTTATATAATTTCTTGATGCTAACATTGTTACTTAAAAACATTTACTAACTAAAGGATCTAATGCATGGAAAATATAATCTGTTTCTATTTTTTCAGTCTCTTAAATTGGAGGAGCAGGAACAAGATTTATACTCTAAGCAGCTTGATTTGAATTTCGATTTTGAGGTGAGTTCAATTTGCTATCAGATTTGCCTGATTTTGTGCCTGTACAACCCATAAGTGATGAAAATATTATATTATTAATTGAACAAAAAATCTTTAAGAGGCACAAACATATGCCTTTATTATCTTTTAAATTCAACCTAACAAGATTAAAATATATGCCATTTAATTAATAAAGATATTCATACCATGTAAGTAATATAATTAATAGTATTAATTTGAATAAATCCATAGATTATTTTTACATGACAGCAAAGCCAATAAACGCATAAATATAAGAAATATCGCAATGAATTTATTTAATATAAAATACTATTTTTTTTTCAATACTATAAGTAAATAATCATTTATAGAAATCAATTCAGATGCTAAATATATAAATATTACATTTGAAATTTACCCATTCTATTTATCATCGAGTTTAATAAAAATAATGTTATTTGAAATTCAATTATAATTTTTGAAGTTGCATAAGGTAATTTTGCTTTCATTTTCTAAATAGTTATTTTTCATTTTTATAGATTCAGATTAAGTAATTCAAAAGATTGAAATAATTTTACAATTTAAACATAATTGGATTAAATACAAAAAACTTAAAGTAATAAAAGTGTGTAAAAAAATAGCATTAAATAAAAGTTGAAATATTATTGTTTTTATTAATATTAAAATTAATGGATAAGTTAAATTGTTGGGAATATTGTAATCCATCAAATTTCAAGGATAAATTACCAAAACCATACAAGTATATAATTTATAAATCCTAACAGTTTCATAAACAAGATTATGAATACGATGATTTTAAATGAAGTTTATAATAAAATTTTCGAAATTGAAAAGTATAGAGATGATCCAAATTATGAAGGACATTTAAGAACTCTTCCACCTTAAGGGATATTTGAAATACCATAATTAACATATATTAGTCGAGATAGTTCAGATAATTTAATAGCCGCTGGTGATTCATAGGGAAATTTGATGATACTTGATTTAATCAAAAAGATTAGAATTGCAAAGAAAGAAACAAATGGTAAACGCATTTTAAAAGTGTGTTTAAGTGATAGGGAATAAGCTATGGATGAATATAAGAATGTTTGTGCGTAAATGTTAAATATTATAAAATAGAATTGGAGTAATACATCATAATGATCCAACTGTTTATATTTATCGATATAGAATTAATGAAAATAAAATTTAACTTCATTATACAATTACAATGTCTAAAGACAAAAATTAAATAGGTGAATATCCTGTAGACATAAATATTAGTTAATATTGCCAATATATATCAATTGCATAATATAATGGTTTTATTAAAATATTTAGGATTCCAGATATTAAAATTGATAATCAATAGAGTTTTAATCAAAATAATAATAATATTGATGCTCAAAGTCCTATATAGAATTAATAAAAGATGGCTGGCAGAGTTAGAGAATATCAATAGATTGGATCTCAATAATAATAGAATATTAATTTATAGAGTTCACCTCTTGATATATAATGCATAGAACTGACTGATCTAGTGTATTAAGTGAAATTTAGAGGAATATAAAAATAATTGAATTATAATGGAATACTTGAGAAAATGAAAACTGAAAGTGTTAAGGAGTCAACATAAGTGGAAGATAAGGTAGATCTAAAGAAGAAGTCTGGTGTTCCTAATAAAAAAACTGTAGAATCGTCATAAGTAGTAGTAGATGAGATATTATATGAAGAGAATGAAAATACAACTTAGATTAGTGATGAAGATTATCCAGAATAAAAATTTAAGGCTCTAGTGGAATTTGTTACAGAAAGATTAAATTTTTAGAATGGAAACAGAACTTTTAATGCTTATAAATAATAGGAATGTGTTACTGGAATAGTAGTTGGATGGACAAATACAACTATTTTAGAAATACATAAATTTGCAAATGCTTGTAAATCTGCATTACCTGAGTATTTGAATACTTAGTAAATTTAAACAACTATTCAATAGAAAATGAAATAATAAATAATTGAAATTTAAATATTATATCCTTTAAGTTCTTTAGCAATATCAAAAAATTCAATTAATTTAGGTGTTGGTTTAAAATAAGGGAGTGTATTTCTTTATGATCTCATAATGGAATAAGAAAAATGTTATTTGGATAAACATATATATAGTTGTACTTTTATGAAATTTTGTGAAGATAATAGATTAGTATCAGCATCATATGATGGTAGTGTGAATATTTATGATACATAAGAATGTAAATTATTATGCAAAAGAACTTAATAATTTAGAAAGGGAACAAGAATGAAAATAGAAGAATAAAAATAAGGATTATGGAGAATAATTGGAATGAGTGTTAGTAATACAGGATTGGCAGTTGCTTTGGATGCATAATAAGAAGTTAGAATTTATGATGTTTGGCATGGTGAAAAGATAGCTAAATTATAACCTTAATAAGTAATGGATGAGAAATCAAGATAATGGGTTATAGAAAAACCAATTGTAGCATGTTTTAAAAATGAAATATTAATATCTGCTTTTACTAAATTGGATTCTACAAAATAAACAACATTATAAATTTTTAAGATTTTTGATAATCTTGTTAATTTATTTCCTGGTTTGGCTAATATTTATAGGAAAGGAGTGAATAAGGAAAAAATTATGAATTTATTTTAGAGAATAAATAAATCTGAATTATAAAATACTTCATTTGAAATACCAAATTTATAGGGTCCATCATCAAATTAAGTTAGAATTACTGGATAAGAAAATAGGGCATCTTTATAAAGACCAGGGTATATAAAATTTATTTAAATTTTAGATCTATTCATAATTCAAATAGAAGCAATAAATTAAATAAATTACCATCTGCTATTAATTAAAATGGAAGATAATCAAGAGCTATTTCTTTGATTAATTCACTTTAAAAATCAAATTAATCTGAATAATAAGTTGATTTTAATTCATCTTTTTAAAGCAATATACCATCCTAATTTACTAATAGATAATAAAAATAAAATTCTAAATAAATTGTTCTTACTAAAGAAATACTTCATCCTGAACAGTTTCTTTTAGAAAAGCAAAAGATATAAATTCCATTTTTAGTAAAAGATGAATTAGAAATGGTATAACATTGTAGAAATAGAAATTTTGAGAAATTAGTAAGAATAGAAAAAGTGAGTAATATGATTCAATAAGTGGGTTAAAAATTGGCTATAGAAGAAGAAAAGAAGAAACTATAAAAAAGATACCTTTAATTATCTATTGCTAAGTGAAATAATTTATTTATATATATATAATTTAATACTATTTTTATATTTATGTATATAAAGTATTCATCCAACAAAATTAATTTGATTTTTTGGGAATGGAGTTTTGGTACTTCTATTATATTCACTTTTTGGATCACCATTTGTAATTGGATTACGATATAAGTTTTCTCTATTGGGAATATTGGAAGTTTTTAATTATTACTTATAAACTAAATCTGAGTTATTTCCTGGTTCAGTAACTTTTATACAGTGAGGTTTAAAAGCTTATTCTTTACGATTATCAGTAAACTATAAAGTATTAATAANTAGCTAAATTATAACCTTAATAAGTAATGGATGAGAAATCAAGATAATGGGTTATAGAAAAACCAATTGTAGCATGTTTTAAAAATGAAATATTAATATCTGCTTTTACTAAATTGGATTCTACAAAATAAACAACATTATAAATTTTTAAGATTTTTGATAATCTTGTTAATTTATTTCCTGGTTTGGCTAATATTTATAGGAAAGGAGTGAATAAGGAAAAAATTATGAATTTATTTTAGAGAATAAATAAATCTGAATTATAAAATACTTCATTTGAAATACCAAATTTATAGGGTCCATCATCAAATTAAGTTAGAATTACTGGATAAGAAAATAGGGCATCTTTATAAAGACCAGGGTATATAAAATTTATTTAAATTTTAGATCTATTCATAATTCAAATAGAAGCAATAAATTAAATAAATTACCATCTGCTATTAATTAAAATGGAAGATAATCAAGAGCTATTTCTTTGATTAATTCACTTTAAAAATCAAATTAATCTGAATAATAAGTTGATTTTAATTCATCTTTTTAAAGCAATATACCATCCTAATTTACTAATAGATAATAAAAATAAAATTCTAAATAAATTGTTCTTACTAAAGAAATACTTCATCCTGAACAGTTTCTTTTAGAAAAGCAAAAGATATAAATTCCATTTTTAGTAAAAGATGAATTAGAAATGGTATAACATTGTAGAAATAGAAATTTTGAGAAATTAGTAAGAATAGAAAAAGTGAGTAATATGATTCAATAAGTGGGTTAAAAATTGGCTATAGAAGAAGAAAAGAAGAAACTATAAAAAAGATACCTTTAATTATCTATTGCTAAGTGAAATAATTTATTTATATATATATAATTTAATACTATTTTTATATTTATGTATATAAAGTATTCATCCAACAAAATTAATTTGATTTTTTGGGAATGGAGTTTTGGTACTTCTATTATATTCACTTTTTGGATCACCATTTGTAATTGGATTACGATATAAGTTTTCTCTATTGGGAATATTGGAAGTTTTTAATTATTACTTATAAACTAAATCTGAGTTATTTCCTGGTTCAGTAACTTTTATACAGTGAGGTTTAAAAGCTTATTCTTTACGATTATCAGTAAACTATAAAGTATTAATAAATATAGATACATCAAAGACACTAGTTGGTTAATTACTATATTGAGTAGTCCTTACAGTAGGTTTGTGAAGAGGAGCAGCATTTGTAATTAATGTAGTGACTTAAAATAGAGGAGTAGATAATTTTTCAGTTTATTTATTAGCGCATTTCTCTCTTGCAGCTTGGTACAATGCAAGATCAGATTCCTTCATGGGTCTATCCTAAGATTTAATAGGTTTGCTTAATTAGTATTCTGAACGATTGGATTATATAGAAGTAACAGTCTTGAAGTAACTTTCGTTTTCCATTGATTTGATCGTTAATTTTTTATATATAATTAATTTTAATAAATAAATAAATATGCTCTTTCTTAGTAATATATTTTTAGGAATTGAAAGAGATGAGTGATTTCAAAATGGTCTAAAATAAATTAGCTTTTATTAACAAATATTTATTAATTATTTTTATATATGCAATAATTAGTTCGAAAGTACATATTAAAGAAACTAAAGTCATTTGTTCCTGATCTAAATGAACATCAGATATCTTTAGCATTAAGCTAAGGGTATTTGTAATTGGATAATATGGATATTGCACCATTACAGATAGAGAATTTTATAATCACAGCTACTGTTTCTTGTTTTATAATGAAGTTATAATGGAGTTCCTTGCATTTGAAGGTGGAGATATAGAATGTCAAAGTGATGATATAAAAAGCATAAGGCTTGAAGAAATAAGAGAAAAGTAGTTAAAGTAAAAAAAGCAAAATGTCCATTCCAATTAGCATAGCATTAGATATAAATGATGTAGAAATTAATTTTATGAATATGTTAATGATAAAAATAATGCATTTAAAATGTGAAATAAAGAATAGACAGAATTTAATAAGTGGAGAATTGAATGAATTGAATTTGAAATTGAATTACAATGAATAAAGTTTTGCATAGATAAGTATATAATAAGTGAGATGGGATGTAAATTTAGAATAGGAAACAGTATAAACATATTTAGAATGTATTTATCTAAAGGATATGACAAATTAGAGGATGTAAAAATTAGTTAAGTTGTTGAAGATAAGTTTGAATATATCTAAAAATGTATATAATAAACCGTTGGTAAAGATTTCAATTGAAAAAGGTGTTTGTCATTGGAATGCAAAGGTGATACATACACTAATTTATAGTGGAATTGATTTTGCATTATAATTTATAACAATGCCTCAAAAATAATAGATAAGATAGACAGATATGGATAATCCAGATTCTTTAGCAATATCAATAGAAGTTAATAGTATAAAATTACATTGTCAAAACAATTATATTCCATTGGGTCTGTTGTAGGGATCTAATGTTACAGTATTTATAAAAGTAAGTAAATATATTGGAGATGTGATAATTGAAGGTAAAGATTTGTGTTATTATGAATAATCAAATTATCCTCATTAGATGATTGTAAAGAAGGGATTTAAAATGATAAAGAGTGAATAATTGATAATTTTGATAAAGATTTATGATGATTATTGTCCATTATAAATGATTAATAATGATCTTTATAATTTTGTAGAGATCAAATTAAAGAAGGGATAGATTTATTATATGTAATAGCCATTTTTAAGATTCATGGATTGGTTAATTGAATAATTTATATCTTTGATTATCAAGGATTATGGAGTTACTTCAATTCCTATAGATGTGATTGAATAAAAACTTAGAGATCATAGATTTACATCAATAAAATTAAGTATAGAAGATATTTGTGCATTTTGTAAACCAATTATAACTAGTAATGATGGATTAAAATTAGTTTGTTCTTCTTTTGCTCTTCATACAGAAATAAGAGAATGTAATGATAGAAGTAATATAATAATATGGGAAACATTATTATGTATGGAAGTAAAAGATATTTTAATAAGTGTAATAATTAATAAAGGAGAAACTATTATATCTTAAATGATGAATTGTGAATTGATAGTTAGTAAATGTGGGTTCTCATAATTGTATATTCTTAAATAGATTCCATTAGATCGTACATTCAAGATTAACATGTATCTATCTGTTCCTAAACTTTATGTTTCCAAAAAAACATATTTACTAATAATGCGATTATTATTTAATAATATTCTTTATGATGATACTCTTGATTAGTTGTATCTATATCAAATTAACAAACCTAGTAATTAATTAAATTAATGAAAGCCCCTATTCTCCTAGAACTCAGGATAGATCAAATCAATCTAAAATGTGAAGATGACTTGTCACTCATTGGTAGTTAACTTCTTATACGTTTTCATCGCTAAGTAGATTAATCCCAAATATTCCTAAATCTATTAGATTTTGTTGCCTATCATAAATAACATTTAATTCTATCTAAATTAAATATTGATGATTAACATTTTGTAGAATACAAATAAACTAATAAATAAACTGGATAAAAAGATATTTAGATATTAATACCAGGAGTTAATGGAACTCTTAATTTAAATTGGTTATTTACTTCTATTAATTTCTTTTTAATTGATGATACTGTTCAATTAATACTCCCTTTTGATAATAATGTTCTCAAACCATTAAATCTAGAACTTATCATTCAATAAGTTGATGTTTTACTTTAACCATTACATTAAGATACTACATTCTAAGCCAAAGGTAATTTACTCTTGGTTTTCATTAAAAATTAATCATAAGATATTCATTATGCATATCATTAAGAACCACTTTTTGATGATAATACTCCTAGTAGTTGTATGAAAATTGAATCAAGTTAACTTACTCTTTATGTAAATGAAAATGGTAAAGAACCAAAAGAAGTCTTTTAACCTATTTCTGTTTAATGGAAATCATAGAATTTTTAATGTTATTGTACATAAACACATCAATTTCTTAATGAATCTAATCTCAATCTTGAAAATCTTAAATTATATTTAACTATTGAATAAGGACTTAAACTAATAGATTTAATTAAATATCTTATTTAATCAATGTGGGATGCAAATTAATTTGGAGATTAATGGAATGAAAGATATTCTCTTATATCATAAAGTCGTAAATCTTTTAATATAGATCATCTAGAACTCTGGTTAATGAGTTCCAAAAAAAACACTATTGTACCAATCCTTACTACATTTATATCATTAACTCCACTTTTTCTTCATTAATCATATTAAAAAATGTTATTATCTGGAAATATTAAAATAGAAGCTTCCTATTTTAATCCCATGATTGGTATTTTAGAACCAATTCTTGAGAAGTTTTCTTTTGACCTCATGTTCTTAAGAAATAAACTTAATACACCTAATATGCATCTTCAAATTGAAACTAATAAAAGTAGTAAGTTTTCTCAATTAAATATTGTATTCCATTAAAATCTTATCATATTATTAAATGATCTTTATAATGTCAATAAAAAAAAGAAAGATCGAAAGAAAAGTACTAGAAAATCAATTAATATTTAAGAAATTATGGAATCACCATAAAATGAAACTATTATTCTTTTTAACATTTAAAACTAAAGTGGATATGATCTAAGTATTACTATTGATGAAAAAACACTTACTATTAAAAATGGTAATAAAACAGATTTTAATGCTACATTAAGTTAAATTGATGTCTGGAGAAAATATAATAGACTCAATGTTGAATTTTACACTCTTAATAAAAAATTAATTAAACTAAATAAAGTTGAATAAAATTCATAATAACCATTTAAAATTGATAGATAATAATGTTATCTATATTTTACATCATATATTAGTAAATTAACAAGAATCATTAAAATTCAAGGATAATTAACTATTACTAATTGTACACTATTTGAATAATAAATTGATATTATTCATCATAATAATGTAATCTGGAATAAATTACTATAAGTTAATGAAAGAGTTGCACCTCCTGGAGAACTCATTTCAGATTAATATTTCATTAGATTTACTCTTTATAAAAGAATATCAGAATTTTCTGTAAGTTTAAAAGCTCTCTTACATTCAGAATTCACATATTTAGAAATCCCTTAGAGTGATCAATTTGTTATTCTAAGTTCAGAAGATGAATTTCAAAATACTAGACATTTTAAATTGAGTGCATGTCTTGTTGTACATAATTCTTTACCATGTCCTCTCAATATAACAATTAAGTAATTAAATTAATAATTCTAGTGAAGAATAATAAAGTATTGCAGTCAATGATTCATTATAATTCTATTATTACACTTCTAAAAATTAGATTGATTATTCAGTTGAAATATAAGAATTTCAATCTAAAGAAGTATTTAAATATTAACCACTTGAATCAAATCAATAAACAGAAATATAATTAGTTAATGAAGAAGGTAGTATCATTAAAATTATGTAAAAGATCACATTAATTAAAGGATCTTTATTTTTTTATTTCTATCCTAAAATATGTCTCATTAATACTACATCAACAAATTTAAATTATCATACTCTTGTTAAGAATTAAAGATTAGACATAGCTTTATTCAATAATAATTATACATTCCTATTTAATGAAGCTAACTTAATTCTATCTTATAATAATCATTATTCTAATGAATTTACTATTAAAGCTATAGGTGATACTAGTGTTGAAATTAAAGTTAGGAAATAGTAACAATTTGAATTACTTGAATTTGGAATCAATATTAGTCTATTAGAAACTGTTAAATAATTAGGTTTATATAGTACTATCATTGAAATTGCTCCTAGATATGTAATTATAAATTAAACTGAAAATGTGATGTAAGTTTAGTAATAGAATTCATATGGTAGTCCATTTAATATAGATCCTAATTCAAGATTAGCATTTAATTGGACTGATTGTACAAAAGAGTATTATTCATTTTTATTTTAGGAAGATGATAGCTATTAAATTCAAAAATACCAAATGGAGTGAGGGATTATATTTATCAGATATGAGAACCATTCATTTTAGTATGTTACCAAGGTAAGAAGATAAATCTAAAATATTTATGTAATGTGTTATTGTTAAAAAGAAAGCTACATTCTTTGTAACTTTTCTTATAGAATAAGCTCCTTATAAAATAATTAATTAATGTTCAAATTGTTCAATTAGATTTGCTTAGATTGGTTCTGAATAAGAAGAAAATATAGGATATAATTAATTCATTGAATTTTCTTGGACTTTTCCATCTTTAAAACCTATTTTGATATTTAATGTTACTAATGAATAAGATCATTGTGAATTTCAATTTGATTTATTTAAATCTGATTCTACATTTTGTTAGAAGATTAGTGTTACAAAAAGTATCTATTTTAGTATTTATTTTGAAAACAGTGTTAAAGTTATTAAAATAATGGAAAATTAGGAATAATAATTTATTAGTGATTAGATTAATAAATTAATTTATATTAATTTATAAATGATCACAATAAGTATTATAATGAATGAAATTAAACCTAAAGAATTGAATTTGATTACTTTAAGTAATTTTGAAGTTGGCATATAAGAAATTAATAGAATAATTTCATATTAATTTAAATTAAAATTTATTAATATAGATAATAATTATTCTTATGATGCTTTAAATTAAGTATTATTAACACCATAATAATTTTAAAGTTATTTAGAATAATAGAATTATGCTATTGATATTAAATGGGCAGTTAATTAATAACATGCTAATATTTTAATGATAGAATATTTCTTTGCTTATATAGCACCATTAGAACTTAAATTAGATTAAGAATATCTATATTAATTAATGGCTCTTAAAAAAGCATTGACTTTTGAAAAATAAGAAATTAATATCTAACATTTTACAACATCCAAATATTTATTTAATTAAAATAAATCATACTAAACAAATTAAAATCCTTTTTATGAATGGATGATTGTTGAAATTCCTCCACCATCTGGAAATGTTTATATTAAATAATTAATACTTCCTGTATTAAAAATTAGATTTTCTTTTTAAACATTGTATTAATAAAATCAAAATTTCATTTTAAATGTTATTGCAAATTCATTAGATTTTGCTGTAAAGAATATTGATAATGCCCCAATAACTTTAAAAGGTGTTAAAATGGAAAACATTTTTGATACCTAATAAGGTCTTTAAACAATTATTAAAGAACATTATAAATTTGCTTTATTAAAATAGTTCCTATAAATTTTAGGTTCAATAGAAATTTTAGGTAATCCAACCTCATTTTTGAATCGAATTTCAACTGGAGTAGTTGATTTAATAGAAAAACCAATAGAAGCCATGTCTTTAGGTCCATTGGAGATGGGATTAGGAGTGTTAGAAGGAGCATCTTCACTAATAAAAAATACTGTAGCAGGAGCATTTTATAGTGTAAATAAAATAACAGGAAGTATTGGGAATTAAATAAGTTTATTATCATTTGATGAAGATTATATATCATCTAGAAGGAAATTTATGTAAAGAAAACCATCATAATTATTTGAAGGAATTTATTTGGGAATTCATGCCTTAATAACTGGAATAGGAGATGGAGTAGTAGGATTCTTTTCACATCCTTATTAACATGGAAAAAGAGATGGGGCTGTTGGAATATTAAAAGGATCAACAATTGGTATTGCTGGAGTCATTATAAAACCTTTAACAAGTGTATTTGATGCAGCTTCTAAGACAGCAGAAGGATTAACTAATACAGCCACTTATTTTGATGATCATCCAAATACATTAAGGATGAGAGATATTAGAGCATTTTATGAGAATAGTAGATACATAAAGGCATATAATGAAGATGATTCCTTCTTTTTAAATTATTTGAGTAGTTACAGTATTGTTTTAATTGATGTTTTTGGGTTATATGATTTAGAAATGAAAAAAGACATGCATTTAGTAATGACACAAACTTTGTTGTTTTACATGAATAAACAGAGTGGTATTAAATGGCAATAACAAGTAAATTCTATTAGAGATTATAAACTATATTAAGATGAGAATAATCCATCAATACTTAGACTTTATCTATTTTTTGAGAAAGAATAAATACTGAAACTCAAATTTTCAAAGGTGCCATATCAAGATTAAATAAATTAGAAACTATAAAATATGATAGAATAAAGTTGAAAAATCTTATATAATTTCATATATATCATAAAGGTTCTATCATTCTCAATAGCCAATCTTTGCCTTTTTATTCTTTCATCAAAGGTAATAACGTATTTCTAATCAGATAATGATTATAATCAATATAATTTCTATCCCTAGAAATTAATAAATTTAAATTGGTTAGATTTCTGTCATATGGACAATATGTGAGTTTTCAAGTCCTAAATATTGATCATTAACTTAAATACATAAGATTAGATTCTCAATTCTTATACCAAACTTCCCTTCTTCATAATATCCAAGCTCTAAAAAATAATTAATTAATGTATTTTACCATTAGATACAATCATACCAGGTTAGAATACTTCAGATCTATATTTATTAATTCAATGAGGTCCTTTATGAAAATTTAAACAATATCCTACTCCATTACCAGTACCATGTCCATAATCTAAATTAACTTTCCATTACCATCATCTTGCTAATACATCCATAGTTCTTCCATGAATCTTAATTTTCTTAGGCCATATCAATCTTTCTATATATAAATTGCCTAGAAGTACTCTTGTATAAATATTCTTTTCTTCTATTGTTGATTTTTTGAAATGATATGTTTTTAGCCACATTATTAGTTCCATCGAAATATTAAACACCTGAATCAATCAAATAAATATGATTAGGATTTATATTAGATTTATTATTCTCAATTGGATGATAATGAACAATAGCAGCATTAGCTCCACTGCTAGAAATAGAATCAAATGATAATCCCATATTATGGCTTTATTTAAAACGATGTTAAGCCAATACTTCAGCTGCTTAGTATTCATCCAACACTTCACCATTTAATAAGTATTTCTCAAGCCATCATAAATAATGGACTAATGCTGCACCATTTCTTATTTGTGATTCCTTAAATTCTTATATTTCTCTTTCATTTTTTATAGCTTTAAGCAATTCTATTGGACCTAAATTCAAAAAAATTGGATCTTCAACCTAATTTATTAATCTATCATTGATTTCTAGAGGATTTACTACTGAATTGATGAAATTATCATTAAATACATCTAAAATAGGTTTTATTTTAATTTTATTATCAGTCAAATACTGTTTCACTTGCTCATTTACTTAAACTGGATTTATATATAATATTTCTTAATAATCATCTCTTAAATATAAATAGCTCTTAAATAAAGGATTAAATTTAATATCTTTTCATCTTAAATTTAAAACCCATGTTATTTAATTCTAATTTGAAAATTAGAATAGATTTTGCTTTTTTCTATTCACAGATTTTAAAATATTTAAGAAATCTTTTTATTTGTTGGATATTGATGATACTTCAAATCATTAATAATGACTTCTGATAGTGAATCTTAAGGTTTATTTTTTCATATTAAATCTATTAAATTTTAATTGATTGCCTTAAGATTTACATCCCACAATGAGGTTGTGCTTGATTTTCTAAACACTTAATATAATAAGAAAATAATACAATGATTAATCAATAGAGGATCATAACCTATTGTTTATCATTTTAAACATAACTATGCATATTCTACACATGTAAGTGCACCAGGTTCCAATTTTTGTAATTCCCATCCATGTTCTAATTGTTTTGCAGCTTATAAATAGTATGTTGAATCAGTCCATAAATAAGCTCTAGTTTTAGTGATTTAATCTTACTCCTGCAGATCCATCAAATCCAGAGATAAAAGTTAATCGTTCATCTGAGTCAGAAGTATACTCAGACTATTATTTAAACATTTAATTTAACATCATGAGTAACATAAAGAAGTACCATATATGCTTCAATGTACCTTTAAGCCATCAACTCTCTTAAAAGATTTAGCTTATTATTAACCTTTTACAAATAAAATGTAATAAAATAAGTTATTGCAGACCATTTAACATGTGTATAATTTGAGAAATCCTCTTTTTAGAGAGAAAATAATAATGCTTTGTTTAGTCTATATTCAAGAAAACAAATCAGAATATCCAATCAAAGTATTACTTGAGTAGTTGCCATTTTAATTTGATGAGTTACTTTTTGATTACATCAAGAACTTGAACTCAGAAGATCCTTTCATATTATCAAAAGCTTTTGATTTATTATCTCACAAAGCAATGCAAAAGATTTTGGATAGAAATACATACATCAAATATGAAATACAGTTGCTTAAATATATTGCTTAATAATATAAGGTCTAATAAAATTATAATGTGGCTGTTAAGACCATTAAATATGTGTTGGAATTAGAATAAAAAATAGAACCTAAAGATTAAATTAGTATTGTATCTAGTCGAATGAGTTTAGTGACTATCTTATCTACAGCTGGTCAACATACATAAGCTCTTAATGAATTAAATGCTATATAGCATTTCATAAATCAAATTTAAGATTAGAAACCATTTTAAAAACTGATTTGCATTATGTATTATAATTATGGAGTTGAATGGGAACATTTAGGTTAATTATTTTAATCACAAATTAATCTCTCATAAGCACTTGAAATTGCAAAAGCTAATAAATTTGATGAACTCCTTTAAATTGTAGAATAAGCCATTGCAAATATTAAGAAATCTAAATGATTTAACTTAATTTTAAATCACTATATCAATTAATATATCTTTTTATTATATACAACATATTTTAATAATCTTTATTAATCATTCTACTTTTATATGAATTTCATCCTTTGCAAGACTTTTTTTCTTTTGATCTACTTCTTCTTCATTTACAGCCCCAATAAATGGCATTGGTAATAAGGATCCTACAGTACAAATTAGAATTAGAAGCCATAAATGAGTAAAATTCTAATTTGTAATACCTAAATAGAAAGTGAGGACTATTCCTATTTATTTTGAAATTGTATTTCCTAAATTCATAGTTCCTGTTAATAAACTATATACAGTTCCTTAAAAACATAGATAATAATCTATATACCTTCCAAATTCTTAGGACACATCTTAGCTCCCAAAACAAGAACTGGTAAAGTATTTATTTCTTATAGGGTTTACATCAAAATATTATCCCACATACAAAATTAATAATCTGGGATATTGTATTCAATATTTATTCTAGTAACTAAAAGCAATGATAAAAATGATGCAAAGAAATAAAGCATATTTGATACAGATAAGAATTGCCCAAATGGATATCTTCTGAATAAATAATAAACTGTAACTGCCATTATGGTACAAAAACTATAAGTATATCTTAAAGTTATAAAAAATTCATCATTTAACTTAAGTTGATTAATGTAAAAATAGAACATTGAAGTTGCAGGTGAAGGAGTAGCCATAAAAAAGAAGATAAATAATAATGGTCTATATATAACTGGATCCAAAATGAACTTTTGTAAATTGGCTCTTAATTGCTTCATTTTTATTTCATCAACCATTTATTATTCTGGAAGAAAGATTGATAAAATTGCAATCAGTAATGGAAATAAAGATAAGACCTAAAAATCTTATAAATCTAAATATTATACTATTCCTATGAATAGGAAAATTAAATGCAATATATGTATAGAGATATCCTCCAACTGCTCTCATTCCAAAAAATAAAGCTACATTCCTGCTTGTATTAACTTCATGACTTTATTCAACTAACACTGCCTCAGCAATCACATTGCAAAATACAATGCATAATTGAATTAGAAATATTATAACGAATGCCGTTTTCCGATCAACATCACTTATTGCCATAAAAGTTTCTAGTAAAAAGCAAATCATAGCAAAAATAAACAAATAAGGTTTTCTTTTATATTTTGCAATGGGAAATATATCTGAACAAAATCCCCATATAGGTTTGATAATCCTTTGAAATAATATGGCTTCCTTACCATGGAAATGACATTATGAGTTTGAGGGTTTCAAAATCATGTAAAGTAAGCTATATCTTATTTGATTGGTAGAAAATATAGGATAAATCACTAATTTGAATGGCTCCTTAAAGTATTGCAATGAATGATAATAAATTAAAAATCATTATATTTAGTTAAAAAGAAAATATCAGATTTCAAAAAAATTAATTATATACTACAAAATGACTTTAAATAGTATTCATATAAACACTTAATTTTTATTTGATAGATTAGAAATTCAAATATGATTTAAGTTAATGAATTAGATTATAAACTTTTATGGAAGTAATAATTATAAAATTTTATCTCAATTCAAATTTAAAAGTCTTTATTATTAAAAAATATATTAATTCATCTTTTCATCAAGACTATATTACAGATTGATAATTTCATTACAATTATGATAGATTTCTAAAATAATATAGAAGTTTTACTTAAGTATCTTTGAAAATCTTCATCTTCTATCTTCTTATGATAATATACATAATCTTCCAAAAAATATTATAATATCGAATTTAAATATAATGATTCTGATTTATTATTAAATTAGGAGAATACTTTATTAAGGATTTCAGTTGGATTAGACATTAAATTAATTAGAATTTAATAAATTTCTAAAACTTAATATTGTAATAGCACTTAACTATTTTGTAAGGAGAATTTTAATTACTATAGAGCAAATCTTTAGTGACTTAAAATTTCATTTGATGCTAAAGGATCTAATAAATATTTATTAAATGATTTAATAAAATGCTTATAATCCATTTTATTTTTTAATATATAATATTTTTAACCTTTTCTAATCAAATTATCATGAAATTTGAATAAATTTTTAAGTAATTTAATATAATTTTGAGCATCAATATCTGTAAAAGTATCAAAATCTTTGTATATTAAATCTCTTCTTTCTTTTCTGTTATTTGTCACAAATTCTTCATATTTTTTTAAAACAATAACTGGAACAGCATCTATTATTTCTAAAATTTTAGAAATCTTAAGTAATTTTTCTTGATTTTATTCTTAACTTTGATTAAAATCTTTAATTTGATAACTATTTGAATAAGTATGAAAAATTTTAGAATTTTAAGTTATATTAACAGATTCTCTTTCTGTATCATTACAAGATAACATATTTTTATGAGATATATCACTTAAATTATTCAAGACTAAATCATCATTCTATTTTTCATCTATTATCATTTATTCACTTTTTTATTGGAAAAGCAATTCCTAACTATTCTCTATTTATAATTTATCATTATCTTCATAATGATCTGTTAAAATATTTTAATTGAAATCTGTGTAGATTTGATCTTATCCTCTTCCATTTATATCTCCCTTATTTTCTTATGTTGCCATCTCACAAAAGTAATCAGTACCAAAATCTGTTTAAACAAATTCTTCTTTTTTCATTAAGTTATGATCTTAATTGTTTTTATTTTAACTTATATTTGGTTATTCTAATTCTTCATTTTTTGTATTTAAGTTCTCTGATATATCCTCATCATTCTTATTTCTTGTCTTCTAAGAAAATATTGGTAACAATAAAACTCTAAATTAAATAATTCCATTACAGAAAAGGTATTAGGATTGTCCATAATCCATAATTCATTTATTTATAGTATTCCAACTCATTTTCAGCTAATTCTCTATCTCTTATTATAGTTATTCCACATCTATTTAATTCTAGATATATACATAATTAAAAAAAGTAAAGAATACTTAATAATCCCAAACATTAATAAATAAAAATTTATTTTCTTCATAAGTTTAACATATTCATATTTTATAAACTAGCTTATTATTTAAAAGGTTGTAAATTTTAATTAAGCTCCAAATATACTATTTATAAATCAGTAATTCATTAATAAACAAAAACTAACAAGAAATTTTAATCATAAAAATAATGAGGAATAATTTAAGATTATTCTAACTAATTATATGTGTTATTTATTGATTTCTTAATATTCCTTAAATATAATAAAATCTAAATTAAAATAAATTATCTTAAACAAACTAAGTGAAAGAATAAGTAAAATTTCAAATAGAAAATTTGAAAATTTGACAATAATTATTATAACTGTTATACAAAAATATTCAGAAATCAAATTTTATATAAATTGAAGGTATTTTATAAAATTATAAATTAACAAAAATAGAATAAAAGTTTTAGATCTTCGATTTATTTCAAAATATCTAACTTTTTATAAAATATAAGTTTAAAAAGAAATTGTTTATTATTTAATATAAGGTAAGCTAATTTAATTAAGTTATATGATTTTTTGTATACATTAAATGACATAAGGAAATAGAATTTTAAAGGAAATTTATTAGTTTATAAATAATTACATTTTATTCATAATTATTATACAAATAAAATACATAAATATATTTATATATATAATTTTATGAATTATAAGAAAGAAACTTTAGAACTACTTGGTTATGAAAATGTGGAATGTTTTATACCAAAAAACTTACTAAATGACTTTCCATAATACTTTACTACAGAATAATAACCTCCATTAGTAACTGAAATTTCTGAAAGTAAATTAGAGTAATATAAATAATAGTGACTGAAAATGGACTGATTTTTATGTCAGCTCTAAGTCAGAATAATACTCCTTAAGTTTCGTCATAACTTTTAAGGTCTGTATAATCAAAGAGTTCTCAAGGAAAAATAAGAATCTTTTTCCCTTAAAGTATCTACAATATTAATATCTTTTAAGAATGGCCAGTGGTGAAGACCAACATGAGTCCTTTTTCTTTTTCAAGATATTCTCATTTTCAATCTTTAATCATCAGAAATTGGTACTATTTAGACAATAGCAATAATATTTAAGGTATATATATTATAAAATACAAAAAGGACCATTTTCTTGTGTCGAAATGGATAATTGGTATCGAAAAAATTTACTGAATCCAGATTTGCTAATAAGTTATAAATCTAGAGACTTAACTTCGTTTGTAAAAGTAAAAGATCTTCTTAAAGATTCTGAAAATCCAAGATGCAATAAAATTCTAAAATAGATGTATAAGAGAGCATCAAGTGCTATTAATAATAGTAAATAGTTTATAGATAATATTAGAGTAAAGAATTTCGAATGATTCTCCAATGAGTAAAGCATCAACTGAACTATCTTTNATTTCAAATAGAAAATTTGAAAATTTGACAATAATTATTATAACTGTTATACAAAAATATTCAGAAATCAAATTTTATATAAATTGAAGGTATTTTATAAAATTATAAATTAACAAAAATAGAATAAAAGTTTTAGATCTTCGATTTATTTCAAAATATCTAACTTTTTATAAAATATAAGTTTAAAAAGAAATTGTTTATTATTTAATATAAGGTAAGCTAATTTAATTAAGTTATATGATTTTTTGTATACATTAAATGACATAAGGAAATAGAATTTTAAAGGAAATTTATTAGTTTATAAATAATTACATTTTATTCATAATTATTATACAAATAAAATACATAAATATATTTATATATATAATTTTATGAATTATAAGAAAGAAACTTTAGAACTACTTGGTTATGAAAATGTGGAATGTTTTATACCAAAAAACTTACTAAATGACTTTCCATAATACTTTACTACAGAATAATAACCTCCATTAGTAACTGAAATTTCTGAAAGTAAATTAGAGTAATATAAATAATAGTGACTGAAAATGGACTGATTTTTATGTCAGCTCTAAGTCAGAATAATACTCCTTAAGTTTCGTCATAACTTTTAAGGTCTGTATAATCAAAGAGTTCTCAAGGAAAAATAAGAATCTTTTTCCCTTAAAGTATCTACAATATTAATATCTTTTAAGAATGGCCAGTGGTGAAGACCAACATGAGTCCTTTTTCTTTTTCAAGATATTCTCATTTTCAATCTTTAATCATCAGAAATTGGTACTATTTAGACAATAGCAATAATATTTAAGGTATATATATTATAAAATACAAAAAGGACCATTTTCTTGTGTCGAAATGGATAATTGGTATCGAAAAAATTTACTGAATCCAGATTTGCTAATAAGTTATAAATCTAGAGACTTAACTTCGTTTGTAAAAGTAAAAGATCTTCTTAAAGATTCTGAAAATCCAAGATGCAATAAAATTCTAAAATAGATGTATAAGAGAGCATCAAGTGCTATTAATAATAGTAAATAGTTTATAGATAATATTAGAGTAAAGAATTTCGAATGATTCTCCAATGAGTAAAGCATCAACTGAACTATCTTTAAGCAACAATAATAGTTGTTAAAAATAGAGATAACCAATTTGGGGAGTTGATACAGATTATTTGTTAAGTTTTTGATAAAATAAATAATATATTCATCATCATAATAAATTTGTTATTAAATATAATAAAATAATTAAATAGAGTATTATGAAATATAAATCTCATAGGTTTATATCTATGGGTCAAATTAAAGATGAAGAAATATAAGTTTTGATTAAATACATTAAGATATAAAAATTAGGAATATAAAAATGTCAATTAATTATTGCATAAGATTTAAGATAAATAATTGTTAATTTTTATGATATTATAAAATTGCAACTTAAAAAGGAGTTTCATTTACTCACTATTAATTAATTTTATAATAGAAAATTTTCAAATTGTTAAATTAAAGAATGAAAAATTATTATTTAAATTCAAGTGAAAGAGGGATTAAAAAAGTTAATAATTTGTTATTATATGATCAACCAGAAACTGTGTACGGATAACTATTATTGAATTAAACTAATCCAACATCAAAAAACAAGAAATAATTTAAAGAAATTTAACCGCTCAAACTACTGGATGCCCCTAATGTTACTTAAAATTCTGAGTATTAACTATTAGATTGGTCATCATAGGAGATTATATTCTTAGGATTGAAAGAGAATTTATTCGCACGTAATTTTAAAACAGGAATCACATAATTATTAACTTAATTAGAGGATGGGATATTAACAAGTTTATGCTCTTAAGGAGAACTTATTGTATATAGTACTTCTAATGGTGATCTTATTGTTATTGATTCTGATCAGAAATAACTATTGTAATCCTATCAATTGAATGATATAACAAGAATGATTTGTTTTAATGATTGCATTTTATGTTGTGCAACAGTAAATAATGGTATTCTTTACATTGATCTCCGATAAAATAAATATATTTATAGAATAGGAACTATGGTTGATATCTATTCTGTCAGTTTAAATGATAATATACTAGCAGCAGGATCTCCAAATAAAGTATGTATATATGATATTCGTAAACCATAAATCTTAATTGCACAATATAACTAAGATGGTAGAGCTCTAACTTGGGATAAAAGGAAATAAAACTATTTATGTGCTGGTGGATTAGATTAGACAATAACTATTTGGAATACTGAAGGAGAATATAATCCTCATCGTTTGAGTGTTGATTTTGCAATTACTTAAATAGTAAGTACAAATACTTAGTTGCTTTATTGTGCTGGTAATAAGTGCTACAATAGTAATATAATTATGAATCGTCATTAAGACAAAGTTCTTAGAATAGCTACTTCAACAGATCAAACTTAACTTTGTTCATTAGGAGCTGATGAGTTACTAATCTTCTGGTCCTTAGTTAATTGATTTATTTATGAAATATGTAAGACTTAATAATTAAAATAATTTTTTTCATTAAATAAATTTATATACACTTCTTTTATTTCATATTTATTAAATCATCTTATATTTCGAAACTCATACATATGTATTTTATTTCATATATTTTTAATATCCTTTCTAACTTCTTTGACATAATTTACTTATTGCTAAAAACAATTAATTTTATTAAAAAGATTTTTATTTTTATTTAAAATGGTTATTAAGACTGATTTGTGCTCATTTAGTGAATGGCGTATTTACCCTGGACATGGAAGAAGATTTGTGGCTAAGGATGGTAGATTATTTTACTACTTAAACTAAAAGAGCAGAGCCTTCTCTGCTAGAAAAGTATAATATGCTTATATAAATTAGATAAAAAGCCAAGAAATTTAATGGACTGTAGCTTGGAGAAGATTAAATAAGAAAATCAAAACTGATGAAGGCGCCAAAAAACGAAGAATTAGAAATCTTAAAGTTTAAAGAGCTATTGTTGGTATATCCTTAGAAGAAATTCGTAGAAGAAGAAAGGAAGATGATAGTAAAATTTTATAATAAAACTTAGAAACAAGAAAAGCTTAAGCTGAATAAGCTGCAAGAGAGATTAAGGATAGAAAATAAAAATAAATCGATGCCTAAAAAACTTAAAGAAAAGGAGTAACAAGTACATAAAAAGTCGCACAAAAAGCTGAAACCAAAGCAGCTTAAAAGGCAGCTGCAAAAACTGCAGGTAAACAAAAAGGAAAAAAATGATAGATTTAATATGTACATTAATTATACAACATTAACTGGTTAATGTTAGATAAATTTAAGAAGCAATTCTATATAAAAATTTAAAAAATAATTAATATATAATTGATAAAGATTTTAAATAAATTTTATTTAATTCTTGAAACAATCATAAACAAAAGGATATTAATTTGATTACAAAAACATATATTATTTTTGAATAAAATATTGAAAAATAAATACTTTAATTAATACTATAAATTATATTATGAATTAACGATCATTATAATCAAATTACTAAAGGCTTAACATTCCTGTAAAATGTTTGCCAGAAAAAATATTATAGTCAAATAATATCTCTACAACCTCAGAAGGATATAATGGATTCTCAAATTTTAAGAAATTGATTTTTGAGTATTGCAAAAAATCAGAATTCCAAAGGTGTCAAATATTAATTTAAGATTATCTAAAATGTCACATCAATTCTAAATAAAAATGTTAGTAAAATTATGATTCATAATACAGATAAAATCAATTTGAATTATGAGGAGATGATTTTTTGGTTACGTTAGCATTTTATAATTAGCGAAGATTAAGCAATTTATTTACAGAAAATATATTAAACTTCAATCGTTGACTATTAAACATTAATAAGTGTTCTTTATATGCTGCATGAATTTTTAGATCAAGATAATTACAGAGATTAAAATGTAATACATTTACAATATTTTAGCTAAACATATTAACTGATATTAAATAAATGCTCAAATGAATTTATCTTACTAAAAAATGATTTAATTTAAATTCAAATTTATTTTAGATCTTTATTTATATAATGATTCCTTAAAAATATAATTATTGTATGAATAATTTGATTGATTTTTTTTTATGTCTTTTTGTAAATTGCAAATAGCCAGCCACCGAATTGCTATAAAAATTATGTTATATTTCATTTAATTATTAATAGATTTGTCAAGTTTAGTATTAAATTAATAATAATTATATTTATGATTTTTAATTATGAAATGTATTTTATAAAAAAATATTTGAGTAAAAAAATTTATTATTAATTTAAGAATTATTATTCAATATGAGAAGACTCCTTGAAAAAGTAACTGGAAAAGAGAATACCAATAGTACAAATAAAGATTAGTCTGAATAGGATACAAAGATATCCTTAAATGAAATAATGGAAGAAGAAGCCCATTATGAAATTGATGAAGATGATAAACTTTATTATTAAGATGTCTTAAAATTTGAAGCTTAAAAAGCCAAACTTTGGACCAAGCCTGATTTCTAATCTCATTTACTAGTATATACAAAACTAAAATATAATAAAGAATTAACTACTGAAAAATTGTCTTCCTATAGAGTTTATAAGTATTCTTAATTTTAAATAATCAAAGGAGGCTTTATAATGACAAGATAAAAAATAGTAAGGATTTAACTATTTATGAAAAAGTACTTTTCCATCCAGATTTAACATAATTAGATTATGAATATATCTAAGAAGAAAACAGAAAAGTAGTAAAAAATGTAATTTTTCTCTCCTTATAAAAGGCTGGAATAATTGAAATAACTGCAATTGGAGGTTTAGGATATTGTTATTTCAAGACAAATCTAAGAAATAAAAAAGGATTTTATGGAGTATTCATGTTAGCCCCAGCATTTGTACTTTTTGGAGGATACACATTTGAAAAATATAGATTTTTAAGAAAACTTTATAATGTAGAATTAGATAAAAAATATAACATTCCATCATGAGTAATTATTATAATTCAATTTAAATTAAAAAACATATAATTTTAATTAAAATTGTTTTTAATCAATTTTTTTTTGGAAGATGAGAAACTTTAAGAAAAAACAATTACAAAATGTTAATTTTATTAAGTTAACATCTTAAGATAATTAACAATTAAATTAAATTAATTTTTATAAGTGAAGATTATTCTTCTAATTAATTTTTCATTCTATTTGAATATCATCTTATTATAATTTCTCTATTACTTAAGCTTCTAACTACAAAATATTATTTAGTGCATTTTGATATTTATGTTTCACTTCATCTAATTCTTGTAATTTTAATACTATGTCTCTATTTTCTTGTTAAGGAGACACAAATTAAGATTGTTAGAATGGTATTCTTTACATAGGAGAACTATGTTCTTAGAATTAGGAAGGCTATTAAATATTTGAAGGTCTTAAATAATCTTTAGGGTATCTATCCCATGAAGATCTATTTTAACTCTATCTCATTTATCTATGAGGTGATTTATAGGATTCTCTTTCACGAGCTCTTTCTCGTTTCATTTCATCAATAGCTTCTAAGACTTCAGCTCTTTATCTTTTTCTATTGTCTGATTACATTTAATATCTAGATATATTATCCTTTAGTTGATCAATTTATTAATTAAGTTGCATAATATGCATTTCGAGATTGGTTCTTTCATTTTATAAGAACACAACTTAATCCTCTAAATCTAAAATAACCTTTCTTTAATATTCAATAGTATCATATAATTCTTATGGATCATCTTATTAAATTCTATTTTTTAATTCATTAATAGCATTTTCATATGCCCTTCGTTCAGCATAAAATTCTATATCTTTAGTTTAAATTTATGATCTTTATAATATTTCTAAATGTTGTCTTAACTCATAAAGCTCATTTTATCTCTATTTTTCATATCTTAAAATTAATTCTTTCCAATTTTCTCCTTCTGGATATTTCTAGACATTACTTTATAATAACTAATCAATTCTTCTCAAAAATTCTTAAATTAATTATTATTTCTCAATTTCATGTTATTCTTTGAGTTTTTAAATTAAATTAGATTCATTGTATGGTTAATTTTATTAAAGTTGTAATTCAATTTTCTATCTTTCTTGATTTCTAATTTTTGTTAGTTCTTCTTTTAATTCATCTTTAAGAATTGATTAGAAAGACTACATATGCTATTCTATTTATTCTTCTTTTTCTTAAATTACTTACATTAGTTATTATCTGCTTTATTCAGCTTGATCAAATTTTTATCTCCAATAACTTGCTGTATTTTAAGCATCACCTCTTTAACCTACTTCTTTGTTAATACTTTACTAAACTACATCATTATATTTTTATTCCCAATAGGCAGAAGTTTGAAGAGCTTTTTACAAATCTCGATCAAGTTAGCTAATTTAATACTATTATGATTAAATTGTGTCTTATTAGCTAGGATCTGGCTTCTACTATTATTATTCAAGTTCATAAACTCTCTTTTTGTAAAATGTCACTTCACCCTAAAATGTTTAATTTTCACTTCTTAATTTATCTATTATTTCTGAACTTAAATCTTATTGTTTTAATATTGGTTGCCAGTCTTTATCTGGTTATATATTTTATGCTGATTCTTCTTATTGTTAAATAATATCTTAAACTTTCTATGGATCTTTGTGTAAAGCTTATAAGGCTTCCTAGTATTTCTCTTTCCAAAATTAAATTTATTTATCATATTAATCTTAAGTTTATATATATTATCTTGATATTTATTAAGACTAATTTTCTTATTCTTAAATTCTCTTTTTCAAATTAAGATTCTCATCATTTAACATTTTATTTTCAATTTTTAGTTAGTTAATTTAATTTTCATTATCTAATTTAGTTTGATCTGTAGTTTATTGTAACATCAATAATGCTTCCTCTTACTAATGAATATATTATGCCTATTCAACCATTTTTCTCTAAACACTTGTTGGAGATAGCTATTAGCTGTAATCATTTAGAACTTATTAATATTTTTATTTCCAAAAATCTACTTGTTAACCAATCAGATCTATCTACCTTTATAAATCTGAAACTCGCAACTTTGCATTTTCTGTAACAGATGGATCAGAGAGATCTTTAACCTTTTCAATTAAAACTTAATTTTAGCCTTATTATTTTAATAGTTCTTTTTGATTTACATCAAGATCTATTATTAATTTTGAATTGTTCAGGCTCAATTAGTTATTTTTCTCTATCAACTGTGCTAATTTTTATCCTTAATCATCTCCACTCAATGCAGATTTCATTTATTCAATTAAGCTACAATAAATAAAAATTTATACTTTTAATTTCTTTGTTGTAATTCTTATATTTCTCTATTTAATTTTTAAATTTATCCTTAACTTTCTTATCCTTATTAAGGGCTATCTATATTTTCAAGATTTTATGAAACTAAGTTAAGCTTTCCTTAAACTTGAATTAATTATTGCTAAAGAGAAGTTCTCTCAATTTATAAATTATTGATTTGTTCTTATAAGTTATCATTATTCGAGGATTAGGGTTATTTAATTTCTTAAGTTAATTGGGATTCTTTTTACTTTAAGATTTACTTTTATTAATCAGCAGGAGCCTATTAAGACATCAATTCTGTGTATTATTTCTTCCAAAACTCAGACTTTAGTTATTCTTATTTATATTCATCAATAATCTATTGATTTTATATTTAAACTGTCTATGCATTATCCAACTCTTTTTACTTTTAAGCAAGCTATGCTTAAAGGATAATATTTTGATCTCTCAAAGATTGTTAAGTCTCTTCATCTTCTTAATCCTGTTTCATTTATTATTTTTAATCTCTTTAAGAAAGTTAGGTTTTCAAAAATTCAATTTATTGTTATTAAATTTCATTCAATTTATCTTACATCTCAACCTATTTTTAATAATTAAGGAGATCTTCTTAGAGCTTTTCAATTTCTTAAGAAGGTTCCTTTTCAATTAAATTTTTAATTCTTGTATTTTCATAAGCTTCTAATTAGGCTTTCAACTCGTTAATTTAATTAATTGCTTACAAAAGTTTTGCTTAAGCAGAAGATGGAGATAATTATGAATATTATTCTTAAAATAAGTTATTATATTTTTCTTTTTCCCTTTGAGCTTCATTCTATGCTTCTGTTAATTTCTCCTCTAAATCCTTAATTTATTAAGGTGATGCTTATTAATGATCTCCTAAAAGTTAATGATACTTATCATTCCATAATTATGCATCTGTAATTGAATCTTTCAATCTTTATTTAGTTTCTGTAAGTTCTCCTACTAATTAAGGAATTTCAGTTTCAATTTAATGTTATTAAATATGATTTTATTCTTCTAAATCATGAATTTATTTTGTTTATTATAATAATTTCTCTTATAATCCATTTGGTGTTAAATTTTAAGATTATAATTCTAAAAGTTCTTAATATTAACTTTTAATCTTTTCTAATTATTTCTTTAATAGTTCATTTTCATTTGATAATTATTATTATTATTATATTTATTCTTCTTATTTAATATCATCATGAATATCAATTAATTACTTTGTTTTTTATGTTAATTAACTTTATAAAGCTAATTATTCTTATTAAACTTAATCTAATTTACTTTATAACATTCTTAGATCAGATTATAATTATTATTTTTCAGACATTAAACTAACAATTTATTATTCATTTACTCCATTTCCAATCATATCTTAAAATTTCTATAAATCATCTTTTCTTTATTATTATAATTCTTCAATTTATTAATTTAATGTTTAATTAGTTTATTATAATTAACTTATTTATAATGCTTTTTAAGGATCAGTTTAAAATTGAATTGAACTTGATGATGCAATTTATTTTGGAATCTATTCAGATAATGCTTCTTACAATTATTTTTACACTTATAATAATTAATCTTAAAGTTATAATTTAATAGCCTTTAATTCATCATTTTCTTTTTATAGTTCATTTTAATCTTCTAATTATGTTTATAATAATTCATTTTATTTTTTCAAATCTTAAATAACTTCTGTTTAATTTCCTTCATCTTTTTATTAACTCTAAGGACCTACTTATTTCTAACTTGGGAATTATATAGGAATATCTTCTCCATGTTTATTTGCTAACTTTTGATATTCTGTTTTCCAAAATTCAGCATTTTCTTATTCCAATTAATTTCTCAATTCTAATATTTATTATCTATTTTCCAAGTTTTAATTTTTTAATTCTTCAATCTATTATTTTTATTAATCATTTTGTTATTGAACTATCTGATTTTATTCTAATAATAAATTTTTTTCTCTTTAAAGATTATCTTTCTCATCCTATAATTGCTATAATTAAGTTTCTTGTTCAATTATTTTTTTCTATGAACCTTATTACTGTTGTTCATTCTATTCTTATTTAATTAATAAGTCTTGTACAGCTTGTTGAGCTTATTCTAAATTGAGTTCTTTAATAGATTATTTATCTATAATTGCTTATTAGATATTTGGTCTATTATCTAGTAGCATTTAATGTTTATTTTTCCATAAATTAGCTTCCTCTTCTGCTTACTTTAATTTTAATTAAGCTTCTTCAAGTTTACCAATCATTTAAGGTAAATTTTATTCTATTTGATGTTATAATGTTTAGATTTCTTCTTCTTGCTAATGAATTAATTGTGTTTTTTATAAAATTTCTTCTTTTTATCCATTAGGAGTTACTGCTTATGATTATATTTCTAGTAATTCTTAATATTACTACTTTGATTTTTCTAGTTGTTTCTATAACAAATCAATTTATGCTTAAAGTTGTTATAGTTTTATACTAGCATTTTGTTAATTTTGTTCATCATATAAATCCATAAGTTATTAATTTTTTTCAAGCAGTTGACTCTATAAAATGATTTACGATTATTGTAATTAATCTATTTGATTTTCTAAATTTCTTAACTTTTACTATAATGATTGTTTTTCGGATATTAATGATACGATTTATTTTCCATCTGGTCCAGTACCCACTATATTTTCAAAATTTTTCAAATCTTCTTTTCTTTCTGCTTCTATATCAATAATCTATTTCTTTAATTGTTAATTTTCTTATTATAATTAGCTAATTTAAAGAGCTTTAGTTGGATCTAATTATAAATTATTATCTGCTTTTTGTGGTAATTAACCTGAAAACAATTAATTCAATGTATTTTATGCATTTAATAGTTCATTTTATAATTAAAGTTTACTTTATTTTAGTTTTTCATTTTCTTATTAAATCTACTAGTAATCATTACCTTATTATTATAAAATTGTTAATTAAGATTATAAAGTATTTATTACTTCATTAGCATTCTTTTCATCATCCTATGAAATTTTGCCTTATTAGGGAACCTAATTTGAAGGAGGCTGTCCCTCTTACTAATTTTATAATTTTTGATACTCTTATTTCCAAAAATCTCCATTTGTTTCTATTAGCTCATTTTTTAATTTCAAAATTTCTTCATCTTTTTACTGAATTAATAATCTTTGCTCATTCAAATCATGCTAAATTTAATTTAATTACTATTCTGTTAATTATAATTGCTATTATAGCAAGTTATTCTATCTACCTAGATCAGATATTTCTTCTGACATTGATGTTTGATTAGTTTAAGATTACTTTTAATCTAAAATCAATTATNAATCTTTATTTAGTTTCTGTAAGTTCTCCTACTAATTAAGGAATTTCAGTTTCAATTTAATGTTATTAAATATGATTTTATTCTTCTAAATCATGAATTTATTTTGTTTATTATAATAATTTCTCTTATAATCCATTTGGTGTTAAATTTTAAGATTATAATTCTAAAAGTTCTTAATATTAACTTTTAATCTTTTCTAATTATTTCTTTAATAGTTCATTTTCATTTGATAATTATTATTATTATTATATTTATTCTTCTTATTTAATATCATCATGAATATCAATTAATTACTTTGTTTTTTATGTTAATTAACTTTATAAAGCTAATTATTCTTATTAAACTTAATCTAATTTACTTTATAACATTCTTAGATCTGATTATAATTATTATTTTTCAGACATTAAACTAACAATTTATTATTCATTTACTCCATTTCCAATCATATCTTAAAATTTCTATAAATCATCTTTTCTTTATTATTATAATTCTTCAATTTATTAATTTAATGTTTAATTAGTTTATTATAATTAACTTATTTATAATGCTTTTTAAGGATCAGTTTAAAATTGAATTGAACTTGATGATGCAATTTATTTTGGAATCTATTCAGATAATGCTTCTTACAATTATTTTTACACTTATAATAATTAATCTTAAAGTTATAATTTAATAGCCTTTAATTCATCATTTTCTTTTTATAGTTCATTTTAATCTTCTAATTATGTTTATAATAATTCATTTTATTTTTTCAAATCTTAAATAACTTCTGTTTAATTTCCTTCATCTTTTTATTAACTCTAAGGACCTACTTATTTCTAACTTGGGAATTATATAGGAATATCTTCTCCATGTTTATTTGCTAACTTTTGATATTCTGTTTTCCAAAATTCAGCATTTTCTTATTCCAATTAATTTCTCAATTCTAATATTTATTATCTATTTTCCAAGTTTTAATTTTTTAATTCTTCAATCTATTATTTTTATTAATCATTTTGTTATTGAACTATCTGATTTTATTCTAATAATAAATTTTTTTCTCTTTAAAGATTATCTTTCTCATCCTATAATTGCTATAATTAAGTTTCTTGTTCAATTATTTTTTTCTATGAACCTTATTACTGTTGTTCATTCTATTCTTATTTAATTAATAAGTCTTGTACAGCTTGTTGAGCTTATTCTAAATTGAGTTCTTTAATAGATTATTTATCTATAATTGCTTATTAGATATTTGGTCTATTATCTAGTAGCATTTAATGTTTATTTTTCCATAAATTAGCTTCCTCTTCTGCTTACTTTAATTTTAATTAAGCTTCTTCAAGTTTACCAATCATTTAAGGTAAATTTTATTCTATTTGATGTTATAATGTTTAGATTTCTTCTTCTTGCTAATGAATTAATTGTGTTTTTTATAAAATTTCTTCTTTTTATCCATTAGGAGTTACTGCTTATGATTATATTTCTAGTAATTCTTAATATTACTACTTTGATTTTTCTAGTTGTTTCTATAACAAATCAATTTATGCTTAAAGTTGTTATAGTTTTATACTAGCATTTTGTTAATTTTGTTCATCATATAAATCCATAAGTTATTAATTTTTTTCAAGCAGTTGACTCTATAAAATGATTTACGATTATTGTAATTAATCTATTTGATTTTCTAAATTTCTTAACTTTTACTATAATGATTGTTTTTCGGATATTAATGATACGATTTATTTTCCATCTGGTCCAGTACCCACTATATTTTCAAAATTTTTCAAATCTTCTTTTCTTTCTGCTTCTATATCAATAATCTATTTCTTTAATTGTTAATTTTCTTATTATAATTAGCTAATTTAAAGAGCTTTAGTTGGATCTAATTATAAATTATTATCTGCTTTTTGTGGTAATTAACCTGAAAACAATTAATTCAATGTATTTTATGCATTTAATAGTTCATTTTATAATTAAAGTTTACTTTATTTTAGTTTTTCATTTTCTTATTAAATCTACTAGTAATCATTACCTTATTATTATAAAATTGTTAATTAAGATTATAAAGTATTTATTACTTCATTAGCATTCTTTTCATCATCCTATGAAATTTTGCCTTATTAGGGAACCTAATTTGAAGGAGGCTGTCCCTCTTACTAATTTTATAATTTTTGATACTCTTATTTCCAAAAATCTCCATTTGTTTCTATTAGCTCATTTTTTAATTTCAAAATTTCTTCATCTTTTTACTGAATTAATAATCTTTGCTCATTCAAATCATGCTAAATTTAATTTAATTACTATTCTGTTAATTATAATTGCTATTATAGCAAGTTATTCTATCTACCTAGATCAGATATTTCTTCTGACATTGATGTTTGATTAGTTTAAGATTACTTTTAATCTAAAATCAATTATTTAATCTATTCCTCTTAACTTTTATTTTTTTCTTTTAATTCAGCCAAAACTTAATTTTCTTCTCTTTAATCAGGTACATCTAATGGTTTTTGACTTAGCAAATTTTAGTATCTATCATTCAAAAGTTAAGCTTCATTTTAAGAATCAGCATACTTTTGTTAAAATTCTTTTAGTTGTCCTTATAATTATGGAATTTAAGTTTCTATTTCTTATTACTTTTCTAAAAGAAGTTGTTCTAATTCATGGATTTATTTTGCATTTTAAAGAAGCTTTTCTTTTTGGCCATTTGGAGTTAAATTTTAAGATTGAATTTCTAAGAGTTCTTAATATTGTTGTTTTGTTTTATTCAGTTAAGTTTTTAGTTATTCTATTTCCTTCTAATTTTCTATTATAATAAGTTTTTATTCATCCTGAGGCAATGTCTAATGTAATTCAATTATTTATTTATTTTTTTCAGCCAATTATTCTTATAAATATATGGATTCTTGCTATACTTTATCAAGCTAGTTTTATAATTATCTAATTTCTGATTAAAGATCTTATTTTTAGCGATATAAATCTACAATCTATTTTTCATTAACTCCATTACCAATCATATTCTAAAATTATTTCAAATCTTCTTTCTTTTGATCTTCTATTTGAGTGATTNAACTCTAAGGACCTACTTATTTCTAACTTGGGAATTATATAGGAATATCTTCTCCATGTTTATTTGCTAACTTTTGATATTCTGTTTTCCAAAATTCAGCATTTTCTTATTCCAATTAATTTCTCAATTCTAATATTTATTATCTATTTTCCAAGTTTTAATTTTTTAATTCTTCAATCTATTATTTTTATTAATCATTTTGTTATTGAACTATCTGATTTTATTCTAATAATAAATTTTTTTCTCTTTAAAGATTATCTTTCTCATCCTATAATTGCTATAATTAAGTTTCTTGTTCAATTATTTTTTTCTATGAACCTTATTACTGTTGTTCATTCTATTCTTATTTAATTAATAAGTCTTGTACAGCTTGTTGAGCTTATTCTAAATTGAGTTCTTTAATAGATTATTTATCTATAATTGCTTATTAGATATTTGGTCTATTATCTAGTAGCATTTAATGTTTATTTTTCCATAAATTAGCTTCCTCTTCTGCTTACTTTAATTTTAATTAAGCTTCTTCAAGTTTACCAATCATTTAAGGTAAATTTTATTCTATTTGATGTTATAATGTTTAGATTTCTTCTTCTTGCTAATGAATTAATTGTGTTTTTTATAAAATTTCTTCTTTTTATCCATTAGGAGTTACTGCTTATGATTATATTTCTAGTAATTCTTAATATTACTACTTTGATTTTTCTAGTTGTTTCTATAACAAATCAATTTATGCTTAAAGTTGTTATAGTTTTATACTAGCATTTTGTTAATTTTGTTCATCATATAAATCCATAAGTTATTAATTTTTTTCAAGCAGTTGACTCTATAAAATGATTTACGATTATTGTAATTAATCTATTTGATTTTCTAAATTTCTTAACTTTTACTATAATGATTGTTTTTCGGATATTAATGATACGATTTATTTTCCATCTGGTCCAGTACCCACTATATTTTCAAAATTTTTCAAATCTTCTTTTCTTTCTGCTTCTATATCAATAATCTATTTCTTTAATTGTTAATTTTCTTATTATAATTAGCTAATTTAAAGAGCTTTAGTTGGATCTAATTATAAATTATTATCTGCTTTTTGTGGTAATTAACCTGAAAACAATTAATTCAATGTATTTTATGCATTTAATAGTTCATTTTATAATTAAAGTTTACTTTATTTTAGTTTTTCATTTTCTTATTAAATCTACTAGTAATCATTACCTTATTATTATAAAATTGTTAATTAAGATTATAAAGTATTTATTACTTCATTAGCATTCTTTTCATCATCCTATGAAATTTTGCCTTATTAGGGAACCTAATTTGAAGGAGGCTGTCCCTCTTACTAATTTTATAATTTTTGATACTCTTATTTCCAAAAATCTCCATTTGTTTCTATTAGCTCATTTTTTAATTTCAAAATTTCTTCATCTTTTTACTGAATTAATAATCTTTGCTCATTCAAATCATGCTAAATTTAATTTAATTACTATTCTGTTAATTATAATTGCTATTATAGCAAGTTATTCTATCTACCTAGATCAGATATTTCTTCTGACATTGATGTTTGATTAGTTTAAGATTACTTTTAATCTAAAATCAATTATTTAATCTATTCCTCTTAACTTTTATTTTTTTCTTTTAATTCAGCCAAAACTTAATTTTCTTCTCTTTAATCAGGTACATCTAATGGTTTTTGACTTAGCAAATTTTAGTATCTATCATTCAAAAGTTAAGCTTCATTTTAAGAATCAGCATACTTTTGTTAAAATTCTTTTAGTTGTCCTTATAATTATGGAATTTAAGTTTCTATTTCTTATTACTTTTCTAAAAGAAGTTGTTCTAATTCATGGATTTATTTTGCATTTTAAAGAAGCTTTTCTTTTTGGCCATTTGGAGTTAAATTTTAAGATTGAATTTCTAAGAGTTCTTAATATTGTTGTTTTGTTTTATTCAGTTAAGTTTTTAGTTATTCTATTTCCTTCTAATTTTCTATTATAATAAGTTTTTATTCATCCTGAGGCAATGTCTAATGTAATTCAATTATTTATTTATTTTTTTCAGCCAATTATTCTTATAAATATATGGATTCTTGCTATACTTTATCAAGCTAGTTTTATAATTATCTAATTTCTGATTAAAGATCTTATTTTTAGCGATATAAATCTACAATCTATTTTTCATTAACTCCATTACCAATCATATTCTAAAATTATTTCAAATCTTCTTTCTTTTGATCTTCTATTTGAGTGATTTAATTTTTCAACTATTAATTTTCTTAAGTAAGTTAACTTATTTTTAAATTTTTTTCAGGATCTGTCTAAAATTTTAAATTTTAATTTTCAACATTTTCTGTCTATATTTTATTATCTTATAATTTATTGATTTAGCTTTATTTTTCAAGTACTTAATTCTAAAGCTCAAGCTTTTGTTTTCTTAAGTCTTCATTTTCTTATTTGTAATTCGATATAGAATCAAGTTCTCTTTAGTTTTACTCCTTCTCAAAATTTAACTTTTAAATTAAATCCTTTAAAGCTTCTACATTTTCTGTTTGACTTTATGCTTAATCTTGCTTTTCTTATCCTTACTATTGTTCTTAGAGTTAATCCTTAACCTTTTGAGCATCTACTTATTAATTATTACCTATTAATTCACTTTAATTATCTTTGTAATTTTTTATTTCTAATTTTAGATTTTCTTCTTTTTTTTTGAAATCTGTTATCTAATTTTACAAGTCTTTCACTTATTCTTATAAAATATTTTATAATTATTCAGCTAAATTTTTTTCTCTTTACAAACTATCTATTTCATCCTTTGCCTATTATAACTTTTGTAATTCTTAAGCAGATTATTTCTTTTCTGATTCTAAATTTTACAAAGCATTTTGAAGTTCTTAATTTTATTATTTTAATTATTATGCTTCAACTTAGGAAATTTCTAATTTATCATCATTTTGTTAATTTTCTGGTTGTTTCTTAGCCAGTAAATCTTAATATCTTTTTGCTTATAATTAAGCATCATTTTAAGCAGCTAATAATTCTTATTGAACTTAAGTTAATTATCCTTGTAATTTAGGAAGTTCTTTTTCTAATTCTGATTGAAGATTTACTATCTAATCCTATTAATCATGGATAGTAGTTTGCTATTATAAGACTTTTTCTTTCAAACCATTTGGAGTTATATTTTATTAAGCAGTTTCTAACAATTCTTAATATTGTTATTTAGCTTGTTATAATTATTTTTATAATTAATTAATTAGATCAGTCTATTACTCATCTTATGAAATATTTGCCTATTATTAATTCTATGCATCATATGATTATAATTCTTTTGTTTTACTTAATAAATCTGCTTATAACAAAATTTATTTTTATTAAAGTTGATCAATTTGATTTTATAAATCTCTAATTTATTTTTGTAAATCCTGCTTATCTTTCATTAAAGCTACAACTTTTTATTCTTATACACCATTACCAATCATATCTTAGAATTCTTTTAAGTCAGTTTATCTTTATAATTCAACATCTTTAATTTAAGTTTTTAATTTTTAATTTTCTTACTCTAACTAACTTATTTTTAATATTTTTTCAGAATCTGTTTACATTCCCTATTAATTAATTGGGTTTTAAATTTAAACTCTTTATTAAGAATTCATATTATTTAATTCATCTTAAATCTTTATAATTTTTTCTTATAATTCAATATTTTTATTTTTCAAAATGTCAATTTCATTTTATTGTTAATCCTATTATTTATTTTTTTCAATAAGAATAGGTTCACATAATTAAATTTTTAAGTTTTCAATTGGTTATTAAGGTAAACTTTCATCTTATTTTTATAACTAATTTTTCAATTTTATCTTTTCTTCATCATTAACTTATAACTATTTTATTAAATCTTATATTTATTTTTCTTATTCTTTATTTTATTAATCTAACTACTATTGCATTATTTCTAAGTTTTAGCATTTTTTTTCTTATTGGGATTGCTATTCTATTGATTTTATTGCTTAATCATGCAACTTTTCTTATTCAAAATCAACTTATTTTTATAGTTTTTAAATTTCTTGTTTAAGTAAAAGAATTTCAGAAAACAATTCTTAATTCTTTTTAATTTCTTTCAATAATTTTTATTCAATGCTTTCTGGTGATAAATTTTAATTGTTTTTTTCAATTTCCTCTTCAAATTTTTATTTCCAATATTAAATTTACTCTTAAAAACTTAATTTTTCTTATTCTAATTAATATAATCTGTCTTAATTATCTCTAAACTAGCTTAAAGCATTTTAAAATTCGTCTTTTGATTATTATGGGAATGAATCTGCTATTCCTGGTCTTTATTAAGTTTAAATTGAATCAGATATATTAGGATGAATTATAGAAACCCTTTGGGGAACACTTATATTTGTATTATAAGTGTGATGTCTAGTTGGAGATACTCTAATTGGACTTATGTATTTTATTGGTGTCAATACTCTAATACTTCCATTAGACCTTTCAACTGAATATCGAACAGGTGATCCTCTTAATTTATTATTATTTCCAATCAATTTCAAATCTTCATTCTTTAATCTAACTAATGAATTTAATAAAGAAATTTATTTAATAATTGTTGGTACATTATGAGGATCAAGTTAGAGATGTTCAATATGTGTCATAATTTTTGAAAATACCTCTTCAGATGATAATGATGGAGACTATGATCTTGCCTATAAAGGACTTTAATTGTTTAAGATTCTTCTTACTGCTTTTGGTGTTTCATATCTTTTCAAAGCTTCAATATCTTGATTTAATGAAGTCAAATATATTTATATTTACTAGATTTCAACTTCATAATCATCTTAATCTTTATCCAATTTTTATAAAAGATTATTATGAGAATTTATCAATTCTGCTAACATTGTTAAAGCATTAGCATATTTGTTTTAAATTAAATTACCATTTCTATATTATGAAATTCCATTTTAAAGATTGCTTAAGGCATTTTATAAATGTTCAGGTAATTGTTCATTCTTTGAAAAAGATGGTTATTCAACCTTTTTTATTGAAGTACCTTCTTATTTGTTTTCTAATTGATTTAGACTAAGTAAATATGATAATTTTGATTCTAATAATTTATTTTCTTCTTATAATTTTCTTATCTCTTCTAATTTATTTGATTGATCCTAAGATAACATATTTTTATACTTTATTTTAGTTTTCCTATTGGCTTGCTTATCTTAAAAAAGAATTTAATTTCTCCCTTGCTAATTTTTCTTTCTATTGTAATTCATTTATTTCTTATTTCTAACTTTATACTTCAAGAAGCAAAACTTATTCCCTCTCCTAATGTTATTATCTTTATTTAATCAAATTTTTACATTGTATTTTTCATAGCATTTCTTTTTCTATCCAACTCAAGTAATACACAATTTAATCTTTAAATTTCAAATCCCATTAAGACTTTTTCCATTTTCATACTAATTAAACTGTCAGAAAGAGCTTGCTACTAAGGTGCTTAAGGAACAACTTAAATAATTGGTGAAACTGCTCTTTAAGGAGAGCGCATTTAAAATGGCTACGGATTTTAGATTGATCTTCCTCTCATTTCAAAATTCAAATTTATTTTATATTAATATCTGATCGTTATTATTGCAACAAAACCAAAAACTAGGAATAACACTAATACATTGTAGAATTAACCACTGCATTCTTTGACCTTCTAGCTATTTGATTTATGTAAGATTTATGCTTTAAACATATAATAATTTAACACTTAAACTCATATTAATTCAACTTGCTAGTAATGGGAATTTCGAATCCAATCTCACTTAAACTTCTCCATTAAAAATAAATAATGTTCGGTAAAATTTTCATGTCAAATTGTTAAATGCTTCTCTCCACATCTAACACCATTTCGATAAAATGATAAAGTTCCTATACCATTTCTAAATTCAAATAGATCACGTATTGTATCATTATATTAAGCTTAGAATCCATAATATGTTATCTACCCAAAAGCTCCAAATTTTCTTACGCATAAACAAATATAATCATAAAAATGTCCAGTCGTATTTGGTTAAATATATAAGTCAATCACTTTTCTAATTTATTAATGCTCAAACTTTTACCTTGCTATTCCTATAAAGACTTCTTCCTCCTCTACATACTTTTCAATCTTAATTCCCCAATAATGCCTTCAAGATTTTAATGCTAGTGTTCCAAGAACAGTAAAATAATCCTATTTTATTTGTAGTCAAATTATTATTTGATAAAATAATAATACTTTACCCTTTCTTAATTGGATTCCATGTGATAGTCATTTTGGCTTAAAACAAGAGTTAGGAAAAGTATTTTAGACCTAGTTCTGATATCTTAATTTAAGTATCTTTTAATTCTTTGAGTTCAATCATAGAATGAATAAGTTTAATATTATAAAATATTTTTAATTTTAACCAATTCCATCAATTATAAATGACTTTACTTGTTCCACTGAATAAGTAATTGGAACAATTGCTAAATAGTAATCTCTTTAATCAAAAAAATTCTTAATTAATAGAAATATCACATTATTGATATTTATACCATTTTTTTTTAATCTTGACATTTTTTAAATCAAACATTATTCATTTCTCTTCATTAGAATAAGGATATTAATATTTTTTCTCTAATTTCTTTGCTAAAACTAAGATTCTTTTAAATCACAAGTTAATCTTTTAATGGTAAAAGATTCTTTGTCATAGAAATTTATTTTTCAAATGAGGGCTATTGAGAAGATTAACTACTGGCGATTTAAGGAGGTGGAAAATTTGGTTATAAATAAAGCACCTCTTATTAGAGAGCATTAAACTTAGATGGTTAAATATAAGGTTGGTTTTGCTTTTCCTATTAATTATCTTGTTATTACTCTAATTAATTTTCATTTTTTTTTTTAAATATATATAGGTCCTTCAGGAAGTTTAAGTACTTATCTTAATCCTGCGATAGTGTTCACTATAATTTTTTCTGTAATTTAGAATGAAATTTATGATAAATAATATGAAAGTTAAATAGACAATTTTGAAAGTAATTTTTCTAAAATTTTCTTTCTAATCTATTTTTATATCTCTTAACCCCAATATTCCATATTTCAACAGTATAAAATAGTGTACTGCCAAAGATCAATTAATTTAAAAAGAATTATTAATTTATAGAAATTTTCAGAATAACAAAAAGAAATTTAAAGTTTGTATGCCAATAACTCAAATAAAAACATTTTTAACTTAAATTTGAATTTGAAAATAACAATTAAATTTGAGTTAAATAATTAGATGTAATATAGGTATAAAATAAAATAATGCTTGGTATAAGATTTCATTAATTCTAACAACTATTACATAATTCTAAAATTCTCTCATCATCTTAAATACAATAATCATGTCCAATTAGATTTCTACATAATAAACAAAAGATCATTTAATCATCATTTTCATTACACAGACAAACTTAACAAACTTCAGAAAATGTGGCACTTACTATACTTTATGAAGGTGTGTTTAAAAAGCTTTCCTAAAATATGCTTTCATCTTGCTAAGAACTGCTTTCTTATGTATTTTTTTCTAAGAAATTTTCAGATCTTTTTATCCACACCAAAACTCCATCTTAATTAATATAAATATCATACTAAAGATTATAAAAATAATACATATTAAAATGGTTATCTACATAAGGGGCACTATAATTTCTTGGTCACCTTCATAAATTAATCAAAACATATTTAACAAAAAAGATGGTTACATTAAAGTTAGGATAAAGGGGAAGTTAATTATTCTAAGCAAATTGGACATAATTGCTTATTAGGAGAGGATTTTTTTTATGATGAGGAGTTCTAATTTCCTAAAAGTTAGAAATTAGAAAATTAATCCTCTAATTCTTCATCTTCTATAATTTTCCTATTCCTTCTTTAATTATGCATATAAAATTATGATTATAAATATTAAGTTCTTCAATTTTAAATATCTTCACAATACATATTGTCTATTAAAAAGAATTTTACAGACTTTTTATATTATTAAAAATGATCAAAAATTTTATAGTTTTTTGCATTAAGGAAAATTAATCATTATTTTTATCAAAATGTGAGATGTATCATAGCTCTGTGGAGAATTAGCCTTCAAAATAATTTTTAAGGCCTCTTATCCATTTTTACTAGATTTTTTGATTAAATATTTAAATCACAACACCCAATAAAAAAAAAGTTGATTATATATTTACTCTGAGAAAAATGATTGCTTTATTAAATGTGTAATTAATTAAATTTAAATATGTTTGGGTGTTGCCAGGTTAAACATATTTTTATAATAAAATTTATTAGTTTCATCAAAATTTAGTAGAATTTCCATAGTTATTTAATTTGTGATTTATTCCATATATTTGAAATATTTATGTTTAATCTTCTTTCCTGTAAATTTGATAATAAAAATCTTTTATTGTCAGTTTTGCTTAAGCAGGTGTACAATTAGTCATTATTAATAAAAACTTTTGGTCTGAGTTCCAAGGATAAGGAAGGTACAATCCCTTTCTTGGTGGAGAGAGGAAAGATGGGTTTTTTTCTTTGACTGTTCCTTTATGATCCGTTTTCAATTTTTTGATTAAAGAATTACTTTTAGTCAAAAAAATTCTAAGATTAAGAACTTCAAACGATAATATATTTTATATGCTTATAAAATCAAAATTTATTTAAATTTAGACTCACGAAAATCTATCCATCGTAAGACGAAATTTTATAAATTTTTTTTTATAGGAAATTAATGATATTTCTTTAGTTTTAGTAAAAATTAGACTATTATCAGATTTTTATTGTTAATAGCATTATATTGAGCTAAAAACTTATTTTTCAACTACTAGTCCGAAAATGGTTATTAAATAGTGTCACGAAATAAACCACTCTTGATTTTGGAATAAAAATGCTAAAATAATCTTTCAGGTTAAATAAAAAGAAATTTGCTATCATAATTATTTTTATTCTAAAAATAAGAAAAGTAATTTAACTTAACAATAATTAACCATCTTAGATAAATAGAAATGAAATTTAAATCTCAATTTGAAAGTAGTTATTTAGTTTCAATGATTTTACTTTTCACTAAATTGAATTAAGTATATATAAAGATTGAAAATGCATCTTTAAATGTTAGAAAATTTATACTCAAAATAATCCAAATATTACTACTTTAAGGATCATAAATGAATAATAAAAAATAAATTGAATGAGAATAAATAATGCTGATTTTAAAATAGTGAAATATTTATGATGTGATAAAATTAAATCTCTAAAAATTTATCAATCATAAAATAATTGTTTATTTAATTGTCTTTTGATTTATTAAAGAAAGTATCATCAAGCTTGTTATCTAATAAATTGAATTAAATATTTTAGGAAAGTTTCTAAGATAAGTGATTATCTTTCGAAATATAAAACTATATAAAATCAATTAAATTAAATTATCTCTTCTAAGTACTTAATCATAAACTAAGGGAATTTTTCTTCTAATACCAAATCTGGGATAAGTCTAAAAATTTTTTAAGCTTTTACTTTTTTTTTCCATCACAATCTTCAACTAAATAAACAAATGATTTATTTTTTTCAAAACAATCAATAATCTTTTTAGGACCTCTTATTCTACCAAATTTGCTGTTTGCTGAATTTTCTAATTACTGCCAATATGATTTATCATCTTTTTTATCAATTTTCTTCGATTTTCTGCATAAACTCTAAGTATCAAATGAGCGCTAATTCATAAATTATTAATATTAGAATAAATTTAATTTGCGCTTTATTAAATTATTATATATTAAAGTAAATACTTATATATTACAATATATTTCAATAATTAAAAAGTTTATGGATTGAAGTTCAGCTATTATTTTAGAAAAACTAATGTGAATATGCAGACTATTAAATCAATCTAACAGCAGCATTTGGTCTGCTTAATATTAATAAATTTTTGATATAGCCATTAACATTTCCGGTATAGTCTAGTGGTTAGGATATCAGGTTTTCACCCTGGGGACCCGGGTTCAATCCCCGGTATCGGAAAATTTTTTTATACTTATTCATTAAAAAATAATTTAAAAATCATCATTTAATATTCTTTGCACCTATGTTTCAAGCTCAGGGAATTGGATTAATGACTCAAGTTTCGTTTTTACAGTGTTGGGGCAATTGTAATTTAATAAAGTTGGGTCTTGTAAAATCAGATTTAAATAGAATTTGTATTCTTCTATTAAATGGCTATTGACCTTATTTCATATAAAAGTATTACAAAATATTAATTAAGTATTCCCATGAAATGATGATTGGAATGGATAGAAGAATTCTCTTTTACAATTGTACATAATAAATAAAATGCTTCTTTTGATTCCTTATTTTATTTTGTTTGTAATGTTATAAATATTTCATCTAATAGCTATTAATTTTATAAAACCCCTGTTAATATAATTTTATATGTTGAAATGATATTAGCTAAAAATTAATAAAATTGAGCCCTATCAAAGCATCTCCATTTTTAATATAATAAACTTGCGTATTAAAAAGTCAGTAACTCATTAGTAATTTATCTTTAGTGGTTTGATATGTTTTTAAAATATTCAATAATTTAATTTGGATACTCATCAGATAATTGAACTAACTTTTCAGTAATATTTAATTTTTTAATTGAACCTATAAATAATTCTAAGGCTTTTTTATTTTCTCTAATAGATTATTAAAAAATTCTTATAATTAATTTTACAACAATTGAAATTAGTTCTTTAATATTATTATTATGTAAAATATAAGAGCATATTACTAATGAATTTGTTATATCAAAACTTAAATTCAGTCTAGAATATAAGGCAAGCAAACATTCTTTAGCTTATAAACTAAACGATTAAAATTTATTTAAAAGAATAATTTGTTCAATGCATTCAACTATTTATTTTTTATCTTATGGTTATAATTCAATTTTTGAAAGAATTAAATTGTAAAATATACAATCTAAATAATCTATTATATAAAATATATCTGAATTTTCTGTAATAATTTAACAAAAATTGGCATATAAAGATACCAAATATGATAAAAAGTTTAGTTGGATTGATTATTTTATTTATCCTTCATTTGCATTTGCTGTAAACGTATTAAAGAAATAAAGTGATTCTATCAAAAGTAACCTATTATGTTCTGATTAATTTTAAGAAATTTTTACTCAATAAATCTTAGATATAGTTTTAATTGACATCTGAAATGAATAATGAAGTAATAATCTTTTGAGGAATATTTTATTAAAGTGCTGCATTAGCTGATTCCTCATTTTCTATATTAGTTTATTACAATATTTATAGAAGAGAATTAGATGCTACATTAGTTGTAACCATCCTTTTCCTTTAAAACTATTACTCATTTCTTTGATTTCTTATCTCATTCCTAAACTCTTCTCTCTTCTACTATATTATTTATTACTCTTATTTCATAAAATAATTTAATTTATGGCACAAGAAACAGTTGATTTATGTTGCAACATAAACTTTGAAATTGATATACATCCACTTGTTATCATCTAAATATTAGACTTACATTACAGAAAATTTGGTGCCTCAAGATAAGAGGAAACCATAGTAGGTGGTGCTTTATTAGGAACAGTATATACAAATAAGGTTCATATAACAGAATGTTATGCCTTATTAGTTGATCAAGGTGATGAAAATAATGTATTATTGTTCAAAAATCTTTTAGGAGTATACATTTGATTTTAGTGATTCTAAAGATTTATACTTAAGCCATTTATAAGCTAATCCATAAGAAGTCCTTTTAGGAGGATTTGTTACAACCAAAAACTTATCATTAGATATAGGTGTTGCTTATCTATCAACTGAATTTAGTAAAAAAGAGAACGGATTCAATGCTACTGCAGTATTAGGTTAACCTATAATTCTTAAAATTAATCCAACATTAAATACAAATAAGATAGAAATGAGAGTATTTTTATTAAAATAGATAGGCATTTAAACTTAATCAATCATTAAAGCACTATGCAGCAGTGGCATCTTTTAATACTATGCCAATAAGAATATCATTTTCAGATGAAAATTTATAATAAGCCTGGCCATTCTTAGCTCCAAATCTATAATAAAAAGATTTTAAAATTGTTAATACAACTAATCCAGGATAATTAGTCTAAGAGAATATTAAAAATATAGAAAAAATACTTTAGTATTTGGAGAAAGTTATTGTAAGAAATTCTATTATATTATAATAGGCTGGGAATGAAACAGGAGATTAAGAATTTGGAAGAAAACTCTTATCTACTTTGAATCAAATAGATTTGATAAGAAATGAATCTGAAATTGTATTAAGTCAAGTTGAAGAAGCTTAATTATTTTAATATATTGGAAATTTTGCTTAAGGTTAAGCATTTATTAATGAAAAATTGTAAAAGATATGAAATTTTTTATAAAAATATACCAATAAAAAAATCACCAAAAGTAATTGAAGTATTAATTCATAAATTAATCTTCTTAAAATAATATATTTAAAAATATGTTCATTTTAATTTCATATTATTGGAATATGAATAACAATATCATTATAGATGTCAATCCTTATCAATAATAATCCTCTTATCTACTTTAAAATTATTCATCATCACTATTTGACCATTCTTCTCTTTCTTTTCCATATCCTGATATATTCCCACGACCTCTTCCTCTTCCTCTTCCTCTTTAATTATACATAGTTTTTGAGTTATTATCATATTTTTTAATTTATTACGGTTAATTTTATTACCAATTCTCAATCTTATTTGTATCTTCATCCAAATAATTAGAATTATTATAATCAAGAGTTTAATTTTCTTAATAATTTCTATCCTATCTTTATTATTAGTTTTATCCTCTTGTTTTTATTTAAGTTCCTTTTTAAGGATTATAATTTCTTTATTTTTAATCCTATTTAACATATTTTTTTTAGAATTGTGCATCTCTTACACCTGCTTAGGTTGGTTAAGGATTTTAAGCACGTACATCATCATGAAATTATTATATTTTCTTAACATATTTCTCAACAAGGTTTTAAGTGGATTATGCAACTTTATATTATTTGATAGAAATTTCAGCTTCATAAAATGGTTTATAATAATTCTCTAAATTCAAACATATATATACTGTGTTATTATAATAATTCCATAGCATTATCTAAATTCTTTTTAAAAGTATTATTCTTATTTGTGATCTCTTTTGCAATCTCTATCAAAAATGCCTATTTACTTTTTTCAATTTATTAAACTTAAAAAACAAAACTTTCACAATAATCATCAAATTAATAAATCATTGTTTATTTATATCTTATACAAGAGATTTATAATGTATTTTCTCTTAAATATTCTCTAATTTTCTCTAAACAAATTTCTGTTTAATTATAGTCTATAATATCATATTATGATAATGTAATTCTATATTATCTTTTCTAATCTAATATATCTAAATGTTTTGATTTTAGTTCTTTTTTTCTCTCATAACCTAAATATTTAAAAAAAATATACAAAAGATTTTTCCTTTTTCGTCATATCCCATTCTAAATGAATAATTGGTAGTATAACTCAATGCAAAAATAATATCAATAGTGAATTCCCATCTCTTTTCACTTTTAAGCATTTAGCATGCCTTTTCATAGTCTAATTTTGAAATTGCAGATTCAAATCGATAATTTTTTTTTTCTATTTTACTTTCCACATTTATGAATTAATCTTAAAAGTGTTGTAAATCTATTAGTGCCTCATCAGTTTTAGCTATGATTGTACCAACTTTGGCCTCTATTCTTAAATTGTCATTCAATTTTTGTTATTTGACAAACTCTTCTAATTCATCAAATACTTAATTATTGTTCATTTAATTAATTTTTAATAAAAATTAATATTTTCATTATTTAATCATTGTTTTAAGGAAATAAGGATTACTAAAATTTATATTTGCATGGGATCTTTGATTTTAATAGGGAGATGATTATTAAATATTAAAATGTCTAAAAAAATCTTTCTTTAATAACTTTTAAAACTTGACTAGGGATTTTTCTATAAACTTAGTATATGTAACATTATTAAATATTATTAAGCATTTCTAGATATTTAGTGTAATTGACTTTCTAGTAGGTGATTATTATAATTTATTATTATTCCTTATTTAGATAAGGAAATTATTTTTAATAACGAGGTCTACAAATGATAATCTTTATGAATAAGATTTTCTAATTATGGTTTAAAATCCTTCATACTCAATCATAACGAGTTAATATAGATTCATCTTAAATTTGATTAAATAGGATAAAGATTTAATTCAAACTAACATAAATACAGAAAATTTATATAAAAATTTTTTTTGGATTAAATAATAAATCAAACAAATTATACTATTTCAAAAAAAGAATTTTAACCAAAAAGGAACTATTCATTTTATTTGTATTAAGATATAGTATTTAATTTTTATCATATTTATGAATTAATAACTTATTTTTTTAAGTTTATATTTAATGAAAATGAGTTTTAATTTGATATGCAATTATAATTTTTAGATAAAGACTATTTATATTCTCAAAATACAAAAGATTAATTAAGTCATAGTCTAATTAAATTAAAATTAAATATTAATGTTTGTCTTTAACCTAGTTAGATGAATAATTTTGATAAGTATTCTTTGAGACATCAACATAGATAAATTTATACAATAAAAATGTATGTTGAAAATTATATATGTCATTAAATGGAAATTTTATACTAAATTAATAATCTATAAGTAAATTTAGATATAGTTTGATAAATTTTAATGAAAAAAATCTTAGAAATACATTTCAAAATTACATAATATCCTTATTTAATCACTTAATTTCAAGTAAATAAATTTTTATATAATTCTTTTGATTTGTTTAATCAATTTTATATATATTATATAAGCTTAAGAAAATATAATATTATGCAGTAACTTAAATACTGTATGAAATTTTTAATAAAATAAATCAGGTTTATTTATACATTGAATTTCTTAATGGCTAATAATATGGTAATAGATAGAATTAAGTGTAGGAAAAATAGATATTTTGAAAATTGAATGGTTAATTATTAATATAAGGGTAGGCCATTTAGATAGGAACATTTTTAACACTCATTTCAGAAGTCTAAGAATTATCAGAACTTGATTCAGTTTTGACACAAAGTTTCTTTCTTTTTGTTTCTTCTATAATAGATGATATGAGTATTGGATCAAAATTATTATATTGGATAATTAGATTAAGAATTTCTTATTCGTCTACCTTATTATCAGAATTCTTCTTATTATATTAAATACTTACAAATCCTATTTCATTTTAAATTTTTCTCACAATAGAGTTGTAGATATTTTTAATCTAATTATCTGTTCGACCAGGTAATATTTTAGAAATTCCAGCCCAATTTTTATTGTTTTTCTGAGCTTCTCTAATTATGATAAGTATTTCATCTTAGTTGAATTCGTTTCTATATTGATATAATGGTTACTTATTTATGCTTGGATTGATAACATTATTAAATCGCTCTCGGATTTATTTTGGATACCTTACTGTTTAACTTCTTATTATAAATTCCACTGCAATTTTTATCCAGTCCTTTGGTCCTGAGTATTATCTACTCAAATAAAAATTAATACTATCTAAGGTTAATTAGTAAATCATCTTCTTCTTATTTCCAAGGCTGTTCTTTAAGTTTATAATTCAGAAGGCTCAACCATTTAATTAGTAAGAATTCTTCTGAGATACCTAAAATACTAGAGAGTATCTTAAAGACTTTCCTTTAATACTATACAATGTTTATAAGTAAAAAAGACTTACAAGTTCATGAAATTTGATTTGAAGCTTTTCCATCAATTTTGAGATACACCATATCAAGAAATACTTTTCTTTGTTTCCCCATTTATGTTTTCTCTTAGCTTTTGCTCTAAATTGCTAAAATAGTTTTATACTTTTGAAAATCTGAGCTGAAATATTATATAATTTAAAAAGATGTCATGCTTTAATCTGGTATCTTTAAAAATTAGCTAATTAGAGGTTTGTCAAGTTCATTATGTAAACCATCACTAATAAAATCAAGAAATTCATTCCAAGTTTGAGGAATCATTTTAATTCAAAAATAAATTATCTTTTTTATTATTCCTCTATCCAAATATAAACAAAACTACAGAAATATCTTAAGTTAAATAAATATTAAGAGATACATTAAAATATATAAATATAATATAGTGAATCGTAAAATGATGAAGTTTAAATTTTAATGTCATAAATTATTTTTTGAGAGGATATAATATTTTTGATAATTAAATTATCACAATTAATAATATAATATTGATAGCCTTGTTCTCAAGATTAAGAGACATAAATTAAACTTAAATTAAAAATTCATTTCGAATCACTTCATATCAATCATTCTAATTTTACTATGATGTTAATAAGTCAAAATATAAATTATTTTAAAACTTAAATTTATTCTTAAGAATAATTAACAACATAAAATTATAAACCCATTCTTAATAAATAGTAGGTAAAATCAAATTATATTAAAATTTTTGAAGATGCAATTGTATTTTACTATATTAATATTCTTAAATCAAAAAAGCTATATATATATATTAATATGAAAGAATCTAAATTAAATATGGAATCATTTTAATACAATTTTATTATATAAGGATTTCTATTAATAATTTTAATAATTATATAATTATTTTGGATATATGTAGAAATTATGAATTAAGTTTAATTATAATTATCTCTCAATATTAATTATGACTGTCTCTTGTCATTTGTCTAAGAGTTTTATTAACAACTTAGGAAATTATTTTTAATACTCTAAAAGGATCAATAGAAATACCTAATTAGATGTTCTAATTTATATTATAATGAATGTCTTCAAATAAAAATTATGAATTTTATATTATTATTATATATATATCTGAAACCCTAAAATTTGTAAGTTAATTAGTTATTATTATTATTTAATATTTTTTTAATTACTTTAATTAATATTTCTTCTATTAAAATAATTAAATTAAAATATCAAAAATAGAAAATAATAGACAAAGCATAAACGTTCATTGATGAATTTCAGTCAGATTTAAAAAGAAAAATTTATAACAAATTATAAACAAAATTATTTATTTAATGATTATCTTTGCCAATTTTTGTATTAATTAAAGATAATTAATTAGATAAATACAATTAGAAGAAATTAATATATGAATTTTTGTTAACTACTTATTCTATTTTCCCAATATTCAGGATTATAATGAGCTTTATTGCTAACACTTAATACTATGACGATATATAATTAATCTAAAATATTTTAAAAATCATATCGAATTTTGATTCTAATCTTAAGGAGATTCTTCGAAATAATTAAAATCTATGAATAAAGCAGCTGCCAATAGAAGAGCCTTTTGTCTACTAGTAGATTACTAAGGAAACATTAATCTAAAGTTGGTTGCATCCACATTACATAATGCATTGCAAAACCCAGCAGATTCTTTCCACAATTCCGAAACTTTCTTAAGTATATTGATTAATCTATACCTATCCTTGTGAATCAACTATATCAAATCTTGCTCTCTAGCATGCTTCACAAGGTAATTATACTAAAAATGGCCATTGACAACAACTTCCTTTAACAGAATATATTAATGAATTATTCTCATCTCTTATTTCAACTCCCTTATCACAACACATAAATGGGTAGAATATATAACCTATTTTACCTCCATTTTCTAATTAAACTTCCATCATAGGTCTGAAATTAAATATTTTTAATACCTTGCTAGGCAAAGAAATGTACATTTGAATTCTCTGCTTAATCTAAATACTGTGTTCGTGTCTTATTTTTAATCATATTATTTGACTTTCAAATCAAAGGCTCGACAAGCCCCTGGAAGACAATTTCTTTACCAGCAGCTACTTTCTTCTTTACATTTAAAAATCGGAGCTTAATGCTTAAAATCTGGTTTATTTCCCATTGTATCAGATTAATAAACATAATAAACATTTTTTTTCTCACAGAATCCTAAAGATTCTAAATAGTCAGGACGTTATTTAATGTAAACACTTTGACATCTAGACATTGCATCTAATCCTGAGTTAAACGAAGTCTAGATTTCTAAAAATAATTACATCGATCTATCCAGGGTTAACATATTGTGGCTAAGGTGATTAGTTTGCTGGTTAATATTACATTTTGCAAATTTATTTTATTTATTATTAATTGAGATTATTAAGTTAAGAAATAACAACAATTTTATTTATAGAGAAAATTGTGATATTTAAGTTGGATCAAAACATAAAAAGAATTTTAATAAAGTTTACAAAATACAAATACTTTAATTTCTAAATGATTAATTAAGATATACTAATATTAAATTGATAATTCTATTCTTTAGTGATTAAACAGCGTTTAGATTTACTTAATTTGATTTTATAAAGTTATATTTAGAAACCTATTATTTTTATTAATTAAAATAATCAAATTATGAAAATTTATTATGTTAGACATGGACAATCTATGAATAATGTTATTAATGATCTTACAGATTAAGAATATGAAAATCTTCGTTAATTAGATCCATAAATCTCTGAATAAGGTATAAAATAGGTTAAATTATTGACTGATTATCTTAAATCAAGAAAAATTGAGTTTGAAGAAATTAGATGTTCACCTTAATAAAGAGCAATTTAAACAGCATAATTAATTAATGAAGTATATAAGGTTCCTGTTAAAATATAATAAAATTTACATGAAAAAGGTGGTAATTAACTTTAAAATAAAGGTATTCCTGGATTAACAAGAAAGTAAATATTTAGAATATTAATAGAGAGTTTTAAAATAAATATCCAGAGTTTGAAATAGATGAAATAATTCAAGATGCAGGATGGTATTTTTAAGATAAAAGAGAAACTGATGAAGAATGCAGATAAAGGGCAGAAAAAGTAATTCAAGATTTGCATAATGAAAAAAAAAAGTCTATATTAATAATTGGACATGGAAATTTTATGGATATGGTAATGGGCACTGTTTGTGGAAGAGCATAAAACTCAAAATATTTTTATTATCATTAAAATTGTGGAATTACATTACTTAAAAATGATGGTTATGGATTTGAAATTGATTTTTATAATGATTATTCCTTTCTCGAGATGCATTACCTTAAAACAGGGGAAGACTTAATTTTAAAAAGACTTGCAAATTATAAAGGAAAAATTTGAAAAATCTAAGGAAATGACATAATATTAAAAATTATTATCATTTAATATTTTAATCCTTAATTGTTAAAGTCAATAATATCCTTTATTAAACATATTTTTGAATTAAGTAATCAGAAATGAATGTGACAATATTTATTTATTAAATTATATAAAATACAGTTTCATTTTTTTCTACTACTTATTAACATACAAATCTAAATTTCACATAAGAAAACTTTATAGATTATTTAAAACTGAGTTTAAAATTAATAGCATCTTAACATAGTATAATTATGAATCAAAATATAAAGAATTTACAGCTTATTTTAAGATTAATGATAATTTGATAGAAGAGAAAATGGAACAATTTATCAAAGTAAAGTTATTTATATCTCAAATTAATGCATGAGTATTTTTATTAACTCATAAATTGAATAGAATATGTTGCATAAGTAATTGTCAATGTTTTTATTTATATAGATATTTTACAAAAATGGGTGATATGGTATCCATAAACTTCCCTTCGGCTAAACTTAACAAAAATGTTTATATTTGATGTTTTACATGTCCTGCTGTTGCATCCTTATTTCCCAATTATAATCTTATATTACTAAAATATATACAAAGCTGCTTTAACACATTGTTATGTTGAAACTGTAAGAGGATCAGTTTAATTTTTTACCATAGCTGTTTAAACAAACCCAGGTCTAAATGATAAAATATCAACATTTTCAACTTCAATTTGTAAGGATCTTGTAAAATAATCATTAAATGCCTTTATTTTAAGATAATTCTTACTTTTGTTGCACTATATACTTGATAATAAGGATAGGCAAATCTTCCTGTTAATGAAGAAAGATTGATAACACCAGACCTTTGCCTTTTCTTCATCATAGGTAGTAGATATTTTGTCATAAATACTACAGGTATACAATTTATAATAATCTAATTTTATTGATCAATATCAGATGTTTTATGGAATTCCCCAACTGTTAATACTCCAACATTATTTATAAGAAGACCAATATCCAAATCTTTTATTTCTGAATATATATTTTGAAAGAAATTTTCTTAAAGACATTTTTGAAAATCAGCAACCACAATTTTATATTATGGTTTATCATTAATTTTTTTTAACTCTTTTACTAAATTTTCTGCTTTTTATTTATTTCTTGCAACAATACAAACATTAACACCTTATTTAGCGAATTCCTTGAAGTTTATAAGATTGATTACCTAACAAAACCCTTTTCCTATTCCATCTGTACCACCAGTAACCAAAGCCCAGCATCCCTTTCCATAGATTTATTAGACATTAGAAATCCCAGAAACAATTACTTTACATTCCATAACTAATAAATATCCAAAGTATATCACAACTATCATTCCAATCCACTCTATGATTTCCATATTATTAAAATTAAATTATTAATATTAAATGAAATGGTTATTCTTTTGATTCATAATTAAACTATAAATATTTATTATATTTAATCTTTCTTAATAAATAACTCTTCAAAGCTGTAATAATTACAATAAATAAACGATTGATTAGTTGAATATCTAAATTATTATAGATACTTAAAGTTTTCAATTATTATTTTATAAAATTTAAGAATTATGGATTTAAAATGAAGATAGTGTAGATTTCAAAATTCTATGAAAAATTATTATATTTTTGTTAATATTAATTATGTTATAATCATTTTTACTTAGTTTAGCATCTGGCATTGTGCTATTTGTTGTTTACATGTATCATAGGGCAAATTTATCAGAAGGATCAGCTAATTATAGGTATTATAATGAAGCAGTGAAAGGAATGTCAAGATGGTTGGAATAGACGGTTGATTTAACCTAATCCCATTTTTAACCATGCAAGTATAGGAGTTTAACATACATAGAAATTGCGGATATGAGATTGCATTAGTGCATGATAATTATTATTGTCAAAGAAGTGATCTTTTTAAATTGTTGCATCCTGAAGTAGTAGTATAAGATCAAATGGTATTAAGAGATTATGGAGGTTAAGATTTGGCAAGAAAAATCATCTAACAAAACATGTATGATGCTTTGCCAAACTTTTTATAGTCAAGACCTATTGAAATTGGATATCATTAAACCCCTCTTGAAACATCAATAATATATCCCTATGCTAAAAATTATTTTCGAACACATACTTTTGGAAAATAAGCAGGTTGTATTTTCTAAAAATATTTCCATGTTCCAGGTTAAGAAGAAATTGCATTAAAATCTAATCAATCAACACATTTTCATAATTATATTGATAANTACAAACATTAACACCTTATTTAGCGAATTCCTTGAAGTTTATAAGATTGATTACCTAACAAAACCCTTTTCCTATTCCATCTGTACCACCAGTAACCAAAGCCCAGCATCCCTTTCCATAGATTTATTAGACATTAGAAATCCCAGAAACAATTACTTTACATTCCATAACTAATAAATATCCAAAGTATATCACAACTATCATTCCAATCCACTCTATGATTTCCATATTATTAAAATTAAATTATTAATATTAAATGAAATGGTTATTCTTTTGATTCATAATTAAACTATAAATATTTATTATATTTAATCTTTCTTAATAAATAACTCTTCAAAGCTGTAATAATTACAATAAATAAACGATTGATTAGTTGAATATCTAAATTATTATAGATACTTAAAGTTTTCAATTATTATTTTATAAAATTTAAGAATTATGGATTTAAAATGAAGATAGTGTAGATTTCAAAATTCTATGAAAAATTATTATATTTTTGTTAATATTAATTATGTTATAATCATTTTTACTTAGTTTAGCATCTGGCATTGTGCTATTTGTTGTTTACATGTATCATAGGGCAAATTTATCAGAAGGATCAGCTAATTATAGGTATTATAATGAAGCAGTGAAAGGAATGTCAAGATGGTTGGAATAGACGGTTGATTTAACCTAATCCCATTTTTAACCATGCAAGTATAGGAGTTTAACATACATAGAAATTGCGGATATGAGATTGCATTAGTGCATGATAATTATTATTGTCAAAGAAGTGATCTTTTTAAATTGTTGCATCCTGAAGTAGTAGTATAAGATCAAATGGTATTAAGAGATTATGGAGGTTAAGATTTGGCAAGAAAAATCATCTAACAAAACATGTATGATGCTTTGCCAAACTTTTTATAGTCAAGACCTATTGAAATTGGATATCATTAAACCCCTCTTGAAACATCAATAATATATCCCTATGCTAAAAATTATTTTCGAACACATACTTTTGGAAAATAAGCAGGTTGTATTTTCTAAAAATATTTCCATGTTCCAGGTTAAGAAGAAATTGCATTAAAATCTAATCAATCAACACATTTTCATAATTATATTGATAATTTAAAATAAGAAAATAAAAGCACAGAATGTATCAAAGATGCTAGTTATGAGAAACCAACATTTAGAATGTGGTTGAAAGAAGAGTGTGAGAATTTCTTTGAAATTATTAATACAAAATAATACAAAGATAAATTAGAAAATGAAGGGATCTAATATATTTATAAAACAAATAGACATTTAGGCAATGGAATATTACTTTTAGATTATTAGAATGAAAAGATAATTAGATCATGGTATAAAGATAGTTTAGGTTGTGGAAGAAATATTACTTAAGTTATAATTTAAGAGTATCTTAAGAATCCTTATTTATTTAAAGGACATAAGATGGAATTTAGATCATATTTTTAGATTGCATCCACTAATCCACCTATCTTATATGGATATAAAAAAGCATTGATTAAATAATGTGCTTTAAAGTTTGATTTATTAGATTTTACTAAAGAGGCACATGTTTGTAATACAGCTGTAACAAAAACACATAAATAAACAACAGGATAAGAATAGGATGATGATCTATATATTGATTGGAATTTAGAAGAGTTGCAAGATATTTTGTTAGAGTAAGGTAAAATAAAGTCTCGTAATTGGTTGAATGAATCCCTTTATCCATAAATAATGAGAAAAATAACTCATCTATTTTTTTCAGTAGATAAATATCTATTGAAAGATAGCAGAGTGGGAGAGTTTTTTGGAGTGGATTTTATACTTGATGATGATTTGAATCTATGGATATTTGAATGCAATAGAAATCCTAATTTTTTAGCAGTAACAGAAGGAAGAAAAGAGAAATTTGGAAAACTCATTCCTGATATGTTGGAAATTTAAATGTTATTAGTTAGAAGCAGATTTAAAAGAATTAGAGATTTTATGTATAATAAATTAATACCAGCTATAAAGGCTAGATAGTTTTAATAATAGTAAGAAAAGTTCAAGGAAGAATTTTTATAATTAATGAAGGATAGATTTGAACCAGAATATTAAATATCAAAAAGTAACTTAGCTGAATTGGCATATATTGGAGATGGGTAATTTAATGGATATATTAAAAAAGAATGTTTAGAATCTAGTAGAGTATTAAAAAAATGAATATATTTAATCAAAATAAATTAAATTATTAAATGTTTGCTTAAAAATAGATTACTAACAAATTATTATTGGCCAAGCTTAGAGAAGTTGAAGAAAGAAATGATACTCAATCAGCTCCATCATTTATGAATTAAACTGTTACTATTAATAATCAGCATATAAGTGATTAAATTAGAAAGGCCAAACAAGAGGCATTAAGTTTACATACAAGTTGTAAATCTACCTAACATTCTCCAAAAACTTCATTAGATCTTTCGGAATTTATTAAGCAAACTAAAATGTAATAAATGACCCAATAAAAATTGTTGATGGATAAAAAGTTCTAAAGACTTACAATTTCAAAAGTACGTGATGATGTAAGCCATTTTTATGATTAAATACGATAACCTGCTACAACAAGTATGTCAATTTTCATAAATAGGGGAGTAACGCAGTTTTTAGCCCAGACGTTAAGGGACTACTTTTCATAAGAAATCAAGAAGTGGTTAACAAATTCATTTGATAGATATGAAAGAATATTAAAAATTAGAAGTTGGTTTGAATAAGGAAATATCCTCCTTACATACAGAAGATCCAGGAGGGAGAGTTTAGAGTATACAATTAAAAGATTGGTTTTAAAAATAATAATCTGGAGATTTGATACCATTATTAACAGTTACAATGAATGAATTAATTAAGTCGTTAAAAAGAGAATGTCTAGAAAGAGGAGAATTAGTTGAATAAATTTGGGATAAAGTAATTCAAATGGTAAATAAGATTAAATTTGATGCTGAAATATTACTTAAAAAAAATGATGTTTTAGTAATGGATGAATAGGCTAGAGTGTATTTTATATTTTAAGAAAAAATGTCAGATTTATAAACTCAAATTTAAGATGTCTAACTTAAATATTCTCAAGAAGTTATTCAACATAATGTTTGCAAATAAGAATATAAAGAATTAGAAACAAATTTCAAAAAAAATAGAGCATAATTAAATGACCTAAGGAAGATTGCATCTTTTTTATAAAAGAAATTAAAATAATCTCATTAAGAAATAGAAATACTAAATAGAAAATTATAAACAATTACTTAAAAACAATTAGAATCATAATAATAATTATAAAGAGATATTAACAGTAGTCATTAATAAGGTAATAGCTAAAAGATTTTAATAAAATAAGAGAGTATGTTTTCATAAAGACAATCATAAATTTTGTAACCTCCTCTATTAAATCAGGCACAATAATCTTAACCATAGAAAATCTTATAACATATAACTAATTCTAATTAAATTTAATCAGGAAGAAGAATGTCTTATTTAGGGAATTCTTAAGTTCAATAAACCTAATAAGAGAAATCAAGTTCATCTGAAGAAGACGATTTAATGGATGGATTATTGGATGATAAAAATATTATAGAAATGGACAACATGGTTATGAACATGGATAAAATAATTAAGGTAGCATGTGTAGAGACATAAGTTGAACCAGATATACTTAATTTATATTAAAAGACTTAAGAAATCTAAACAAATATTGCAATGATGGCTAAAGATTTTAATTTAATAACAGATACTTAGACTAAAATTTAAAGTGTTTTAGAATAATATAAGTAAAGAAGTTAAGTTGAAGAGGCTCTTAAATTATGTGAAGATAAACCAAATAAAGCTTTTTCTGGTCGATAATTGAATTAAATAATAGAATCAAAATTTCTTAATAAAGATATACCATCTCCAGGAATGACTAAATTAAGTTAATTAAGATAAGATTCATTTAGATCTAAGAAAGCTGTAAATTAATCGAATGAATAAGTAACAAGTAATGATTAGAGTATGGATATCAATTCTGATCGATATTTAGACTTAGATAAAGTGAAAACTCTAGTGATTATGATGCAAAGTTTAGAAAATAAAAATAAGGAATTACAATATATAATTGAATAGATGAATGAAAGATGTAATTAACATATGCTAGAATTAGAAGATACAAGAAGTAGAGCAGTGTCTATTGGCACATTTAAAATAATAAAAGAACAATAATAATAATAATAATTATAATAAATGACATAAAAATAATTGGAAGGAGAATCATCTCCTGAATAATTTGCTAAATTTAATTCATCGTAAAAAATGATCAGAAGATAGAAAGATAATAAGAAATTAAATTAAGCAAAATTGATTTTCAAAGGTCCTTAATTAGGTCAAAAAGTTAATATAGTTTATGAATTCTAAAAAGTAAATGCAGGTCCATAATTAGTTGAAAAAATAAAATTAAAATAATTACCAAAAATTAAACATTTTATGCCTTTGAAATTATTATTAAAATAAATAACAGTAATATATTAGGATAGAATATAACAATAAAAAGATAATTAAGCATTTAAAGATTAAGATATGGCTTCATTTGTTTATAGTTATTTTTTATAATAATTTGGTATAAAAAAGATAGCAGAGTAGAAATTCTTAATACTTATAGTTTCAGTTAAACATTATAAATAATTGGTAAGAATAAACAACTTTGCAAAGTTTTTAGGATTATTTGATGATTGTGTTAATTATACAATAGATGAAATGAAAAAATACTTAGAGGCTTTTGATTATGTTACTAATATTTCTACTCTTGGTGTATCAATAGGGGATTAAGAATCGGAAGTCAGATATTTTGTACCTTATGTCAGAGCATAATAATATATAGGTATGTTTGCAGATTCAAGAATGACTATTGAAGAGAAAGAAGAATTAAAAAAGGAGTTAGATTTATTAAAAGAAGTAGATACAAAAACATCAAATAGATAACCAGTAATAGATTTTGATTAATTTATGATTCAAATGTTTGTGAAGTATAAAATATTAGTAAGCAGAGCCAAAGAGTATGTTATTAATGCATTTGCTGCATGCGATTTAGGTAACCAAAATAGCATATATTAACTTAGATGGCAATGGAATGTGTAATTTTGAAGAATGGTATTTATTGCTTAGACATATAGAACCTGATAGATTGACTAATGATGAGATTTCTGAAATATTCTTTACAAATGCTGATTTATTAATTAAAGGAGAATAGAATTTTTCATTTGAAAAGTTTGCTGTTGTATGTGTTGAATATGGATTATTTTCAGAAGAAGCTTAAAATTAATTCTTATAAATTAAGGGTACTAAAACTGAGATTATGATTTAAGTACAAATATTTATTAAATATGGATAGTTTTAAAAATTAATTGATGGATGGATAGGATAAAGAAAGGTAATAGAATAAAGATTTGAATAATTAACATTATTGGAAACAGAGAAAATAGATTCTTGGAGAGAAATTATCGAAACTTTAGAAAGAAAGATCCTAGATCTTAAAGAACATTTAACATAGGCTGGAGTTGAAAAGAAAGTAAAGCCTCTTTTGATTGCTAATTTATTGTTGAATAAAGAATCTGAGATGTTATTAGAATTATAAGAAGATATGGAAGATGATGGATCACCCAAAGCAAAAGGTTTTCAATAAAATTTTGGTTCGAATGAATCTATTCGTATACAAATGGATATTATTAAGGAATGATGAATTAAAATTAATAAATATATGTTTTCATCACTATCTGCTGGTTACGATGATTTATGGAAGGCCATTATTAGACCTCCAAGAGATAACGAATATACTGAGTAGGATTTAGGTAAGATAAGTATGTATATTTAGGTCCAAGTCAATTTAAAATTTAAGGTGTATTGATTAAGAGAACAGATTTTTAAATCAAAAATAAGAGAGGACTTAAATTAGAATGCTCATTTTTTGAGCCAATTAAAAAACCTTGTGAGTAATTACCATGTGTAATATACTTGCATGGTAATAGTAGTAGTAGATTAGAATGCTTACCTTCTTTAGATGGACTTCTTCAGGTATTATTCATAATATAAAAATAAAAAGCAATATATCTAAGTGTTTTGCTTTGATTTTGCTGGTTGTGGTAAATCGGAAGGGGAATATTTATCTTTAGGATGGTATGAGAGAGATGATGTTGAAGTAGTAGTTGACTGGTTACGTTAAAGCAACAAAGTTTCTACAATAGGATTATGGGGAAGATCTATGGGTGCAGTTACAGCATTAATGCATGCAGATAGAGATCCTAGTATAGCTGGTTTAGTTTTGGATAGTGCATTTTCAAATTTAAAGACTTTAGCAGAAGAATTAGCAAAATAATATGCTCAAAAAGTACCATCATTTGCCATTTCTGCAGGATTGTCAATGATAAGAAAAACTATATAATCAAAAGCCAATTTTGATATAGAAAACATTAATCCACTTAAGAATCATGTTTCTAAAGCTTTCATTCCTGCATTTTTCATAGCTGCTGATGAAGATACTTTTGTATTGCCTCATCATACTAAAAAATTACATGAAGCATATGCTGGAGATAAAAATATTGTATTTGATATTTTATATATTTAAATAGTCTATAGTTCCTGGTGATCATAATTCTAAGAGACCATCCTTTGCAATGAATTCAATAGCAATATTCTTTTATAATACTCTATAAGTGAAGCATTTAGTTCCTGAATACAAGGTATTTTATAATTATATTTTAAACAGCAAGATTTGGAGAAGCCTGATAATAATCAGTAATTTGATGAAGCCAATTTTTTATATAGTTATAACAATCATGTTGGAAATGCATTTTAAGTTTAGGGAGCTATGAATGATTTTGATGATGATGAAGAGTTAAGAAGAGCAATTGAGGAAAGTCTAAAAATAACTAATTCTGAACCTAGTCAATAAAATTAATAAAACTCATAAAATAGACCACAAGTTTAACCATATAAACAACCTGAAGACCTTTTAAAATTCTCAGATGATGAGAGTTTGCTATGAAAACATGATTAAGATCATTCGTTTAATTTATCAACTATTTCACATAAAACTTATGAGGTTTATCTGTATTGTTTTGGTATTTATGATAATTATCCTAATCTTTATTCTATATTATCCAATTCTAAATGAGGTTTAAATCTTTGCATAGCCAAAGTAGAGACTGATAATTTTTGATCTTCTTCTCTCATACCCAATTATTCTCTTAATTTAGATATTTCATATTCTTCAATTAAAATCTAAGATTTATTAATAATAATACATTATCACTCATTCTTTTTATTGCATTTAATTTATTTTATAATAATAAATTTTCTATTGCCTCACTCATATATGTTAAATCATCCATTAAAGACAAATCAAATTTATCTATCATTCTTTATTCTCCATTTACATATTATATTTCACGAATACAACACATTTTGGCTATATCTTAAAAATCAATTAATTCATCAGCTGATTATTTTAATAAGATCTTTTTTAAATTCTTTTTCATACCAATTAAATTTTTTACTACTTAAAACATCTTTCTTGAATTATTTAAATATTCCTAAAATATAATTTTAATCTCTATACTTTTAATTAATGTAAATTATGTATTAAATTAAATATTTATTTGCTAAAATTAATATACTGCTAAGCATAAGGATTCTTTATGGTTTACAATAGTGAATATTTTTTTTTTTATTCTTGCTATTCTTTAACTTTTTTAAATCTTTAGATTAAAGTTTGACTTTCAAGTTTCATAATTTCAGTTTCAGTTCTAATTTTTTTCATTACAGCTTATTTGGTTGGTTGTTTTTATTTTCTGATTGAATTAAGATGATCTAAGTAATCATGTAAGTTTTATTCATCACTTCTTTATATTCGAGGAGTTAGGATTGGTAAATGCTTTTATCTTGGTGTTATTGTACTATCCCCATTAATAGTAGTTTCATTTCCAGGCAGAGCAGTAATATTGAGAGGTCGAATCTTACTTGAAAGTCCTTACCTTATTGGTGTAACTGATTAAAATCTTTTTATTGGTCTCAATGAAGAAGATTTATGAGTAGTAATAGTTTCTTAATGTTTGAATGTTGGAAACACTAGATGATTTTTATATATGAGACTCATTAAAATTTATATAATTTTTATCTTCTCTTTTATAATTACTATATTAATATACTCTATTATCAATTTTATTACAATATATTTATTCTGTTGTTAATCTTACAATCTAATTTCCATTTCATATTCAATCTTTCTAACTATTTATTTAATACTAAATTTATAAAGATTTATTATGCAAACTATAATTTATGTTCATAGTTGTTAAAGAGCACTTTAACAAAATTTTCATATTTTATTTTTGATTATTATATTTACCTTTAAACCTAATTTAAAATGAAAAAAAATTGAATTATTATGAAATTAAACCCATAAAGGAATATTAAAATTTAATTCTGAAATTTATATTCCAATATTCAAAGAATAAATTGAAATACCAATTTCCATAAAACTTAACATAATAGTTGACTGGAAAGTAATATTTCATATAAAAAATAAGAATATTTGACAATAGTATTATTAATATAATTAATAATTATTAATAAATATTCTAAATATATTTATTATCATCTTTTTTTTTAACCAACTTATTGCTATTATTATAATTCTTATTCTTATTGCTATTTTAATTTTTCCTATTATTAAATAAATTTAATATCTTAAGTGTAAAAATTATCTTATTTGAAATAATCAAATTAAGATGTAGAATAAATGAAATCTAAATTACCATTTAAATCTATTTAATTTTAAAACTATTTAGATAATTCTTCAACTATTCCAGCTGCTTAAAATACTTTTAAATCAGTAACATTATTATCGTCTTTTACAATAGTTCCTACTTCTTCTTATATAAATGTCTCCAATATTTATGGTATTGTGTGTTTGTAAGGAGAATCAAATTTCTCCCATAACTAATATAATTTAAGATTTTGTTCAAGTAAACCTTTAGTAATAACTCTTAATTCATCTATATTGAATAATTGAAATTCAATAACTTATTCAATATATTTAATATATAGATATTTTAACCATCTCTTTTATTGACCCATCAAATAATAAAGTACTCCTTTTGTAGGATGTGAATTGTTTGAATAAAAATCTCTTAAAGAATCATTAACAAAACTTATTTAATTAATCAATTTAATTAATTATTCTCCCTCTTAATACATCTTTATTTATAATAATTAGAATTTAGGCACAAAATAATGTACTTTAATCATATATTGATCTTAAAAATATTCGCATAATTCAATAGCTCTGTCTATTGATTAATGAATCCAAGATAACATTATTACTTTATTAATACCATATTCAACACTATTTAAAATAATTTATTCAAATGAAAGTAATTACTTTCTTAATTCTGCATCTTGAAATTCTTCTTAAGTTAATTCCTTCTACTAAATTTTTTAGCTTACAATAAGTTTAATGGATGATATCTAACTTGCAATCTCTTTTAATCTTTATTTACAATTCTTTTTGAGATTCATTTCTACCATTTGAATTCCTTCAGGAGTTAAATGATACAATAAATATTATGTAATAATATAAAATACTTTTAATTATTATGATCTAAATGGTAATGTCTATAACAAATATAATAGATCTGTTAATTGAATATCAATTTCAAAAATTTATTATTATTCATTCTATTTAGTTTATTAATATTATGATTATTATCTACCTCTATTTGTTTAATAAGATTATTAATAAATGAATTAATATTATAAATTAATAGCTGATTCTACATGAATCAATATTTATTCATGAATAAATGTTTCATCAATTACATTATTATAATATTAATCTGATTCTTCATAAATACAATCAAATAATTATAAATTAAATAATTTCATAAATTCTTCATTTTAAATATTATTTTAAAAATGAAAGATATTTTTTTCAATTTTTATAATTACTGCTTATTCAAATTAAGAAGATTTAATATAATTAAGTGCATGTTTAGAACAATTAAAAGCTAATTAGTAATCATATCTACAAACATAATATCTACTCAATTAATGGCAGATTATAGCATGAAATAATGTTTTCTCTGTTAATTGATATCTAGCAACTTTACTATGCAATTAATCTACTTCTTCACCAATTTACATATTAAAATATAAAAGTAATGATTCATATAATTAAATCATCTTTGTATATCTAGCATCTAAAAGTAATTATCGAAGTTAAGTTCTAATTTAAATTTATTGTTCTTCTATATTTTCATGATAAAGTGAAAAATAAAATAAACATTATGAATCTAATAGAAGATCCTTATATTATTATATAGTAGGATATCTAATGTATAATTAATCATATGGTTTAATAATCTTCATATCTTATGATTTTGTATAAAAGGTGAAGATTTTCAGATCCATATCAAATCCTTCATGAGCTTCTTCTAATAGAATTGATTTATTTTGTTACATTTTTTAAATTAAACGAATAAAAATATCCACCTAATCTATCAATTAAAAACTAATAAACTATTAAATCAATAATAAAATAAAAATTGATGGATTAATATTATAATTAATAATTCTTTTTATAGCTTCAAATGTGAATTACAAACCCACACCTTATTATAAACTTAAAGTAATAAAAGTATAAATTTGTTAATATTTTACAAAACCTATTGCTTCATCATCAAGTAAGTTACAATAATCATGCAATTAAACTATTTATGCAGCCTTTAACATTAAATGATAAGATTCTTATGATTTATTTTCCTCTATTTAATTTAAAGCACTTTATAATTGAGTTATTTCAAATGAACTTTAATTATGAAAATTTTCAATATGTTTTGGTGAAAATGCATAACATATTGCTAATAGATATGTTAATCTAAGCTAACTTAAACTAAAATGTTAAAACCATGATTCTTCTAAATAATAATATTAATATTTATATTATTTTATTAAACTCTTCAATTACAATATCTTAGACTTATCTTCATATTTTTTATTTAGTTTCTAATAATTATGTATATTTTAATTTATAATTATATTTGTTGATTAAAAATCATCCATATGTAATAATTACATTAATAATCTAATTTTAAGCAATATGAATCGTAAATCATCTCTATCCTATTCCAAAAACTCAATTAAAATTTACCTATTTACCAAAGTTTTATTAATTAGACTTTGAGTCATTAATTATACCCACATGTATTAAAAATCACTACTATCCATAATATCATAAATCTCATTGAAATTAGATTCATTCCATTTTCTAATTTTTAATATCAAGTATTTTCCTAATTCACAATCTTCATAACATTTTATTTAATCCTAAGGAACTTCGAATTTCATTAACTGCAATATTTAATACTTTAGATTATCATAAACAGGAATATTTTATATTTAAAGTTTAACAAATTATTAACAATGCTAATCGAACATTACATTTTATTCATCAAACCATACAATCAATTATAAAAATTAAAAGTACAGATATTACATACAATAGTTAACATTATTATGAATTTCATCTAATATGTTAAAGTCACTATTAGGTTTATTAAACAAATCTATAACATCATCATCATCCATTTAAGGTGAAAATTAATCTAAATTAAACATTTCTAAACTTATTTGTCTTGCTTATTCTAAAATTATAGGTAATTATATAGGTTTAATAATTTTTTATGTATTTTTTATACTATCATCTATTAAAAAACTAGCAAAACCATAATTTTTATTAAAATATTATTTTATACTTTAAACTACATTTAATTAATTATTATATCTTTACAATTGAGACTTGTATTAAATTATTACATTTAAATATTCTTAATTATATCTTAAAGTTTCTAATAAAAACATTCTTTATTCTGAAAATAACTTTACATTCTATTTATTCTTTTTTCTCTTTCTCAAAAGTGTGTGTTATTCAGTTGGATTTAAATTTTAAAATTCAATATTAAGACACAATTATCTAATAATCAAATTAATTTCATTAGAACAACTTTAGATTCCAATAAGTAAATTATTTAAATCTTCATCAAATTCTAGTTTTAATGCACATAATGTTGCCATTTTTAAATAATATATTAAGATAATGTCTAAGTTTCTTTACATATAATTTGGCTATAGTATAATTTTAGATATATCATCTTTTAAAGATTTAGAAAAAATAGATATAGCATCTTTATTTTAAGGTGGATATTCTCTTTTTAAAATATTATCAAATTATTGAATTAAATTTAATGTTTAATCATAAAATTTCATTCTGAATGAACAATTAATCTTATGTAAATATAATTAAATTTAAGTATTAAATGATTAATCTTGTGATTTAAAAATTTCAGATGCATATTAAATCTCTTTAAATTTATGTTGTTTTCTAATTTCATAAACAATTTAATCTATAGTTATATTGTTATCTAACATAGCTCTTAAAACATCTGTTAATTTGTGATCCATTTATTCTAACTATTAATATGGATCATCTATTTGTTTTAAACAAATCATTTATATTATAACTTTTGCTAAATTGTATAATGGTTATTCATTTTTTAATGTATTTAATAAAGCATATTATCTGCCATCAAGAAAATAATTATATATACTTATATAAGGATGAGGTTTGGATTTCATTAATACTAGATTTGCATATAAAAATTCATGTATTTCTTCTATTTTATAATCTATTCCATAAGTTTTTCTAAATTTTATGACTTGCCATAAACTTAAAGGTTTTTCAAGTTCATATACACAAATACAATATCCTTTAATTACAAAATCATCAATTTAATCTATAATATTAGATAATCTTAAATAGTTTTTACTTTCTGCATAGTAAACACCATGTTTACTGTCTAATTTTTATTAAAATTACAATTTTTAACTATAAGTAACTTGTAAAAATTAGACTAAATATTCTTAATCATTTTTTTTACCTAACCAAATATTATCATGAAAATGCTTAATTAATTCAATATTTTCAATCTAAAATTATTCTTCAATAAAGAATTACATTGCAATTTCTTATAATTTAGTAGTCTAAGTATCAAAAATAAAAGTATCTCTAAGCTAATCAATTACAGTTTTAAAAATATATGATTTTTTTGGATATAATATATACTATTGTATATTTAATGATTATGATGTTAAAGGATAAACAATCTAATCCATTTATTCAAATGTCAATTAACTTACCATGTTAATAAATTCTTTCATATTGTAACCATCCATTTTTTAATTTGTTTCCAACAATTTATTATACTATTTATGAATATTACTTTTTAGAGAAAAAGTTCCATTTTGAACAGATGTTTTTGTAATTAAACGTATATTCTATATAGCAGACCTTCTTAATACAGTCTTTCTAAATCCTCTAATCCAAATAGCCTTAATCTTTAGTACTACTACTTTTCTACAATTTAACCACAGATTTTTTTCAATATAATTTTATTATTTCTAAACCATATTTTCATATTCTTTAATATCATCAGGTTTATTACTGTTTTTAGTTACTTACTAAAACTTTTTTCTAAATTTTAATTATGCATTATCAAAATAAACTTAATGAGTAAGTTTGTAATTCTATTTTAAAATATATAATTTTCTTTAATCTAAATTTTTGATTGCCAATTTTTTTCTCTTCATAAAAAAGTGTCTTTAAGTCAAACGATCTTCAGTCCACAATTTCTTATAAGTTGTTAAGACAGACAATTTATACAAATATTTCCAATATTTGATTAATTTCTTTTTCCTTTGAAAAGGGTTTAAATTGTTATACTAGATTTCAAATGCCCAATTTGATACTCTTTATGAAAACTAGTTATGCAACAATTCATAAGGTGGATCATCTAAATCAATCTTTTTAGGTTGTATTTTAATTTCTCTTTTTTAATTCATTTCATTTCTCATTTATCCTTTTCTAATATGTTCTTCAAGATCTGATTGTGAGCTTATAGTTTAAAAACTCCCAAATTCCATATTATTAGTGGAATTAAATACTTTGAATAAGGGGAATCTTTTATAGATATCTTCTTCTTCTTTTTTTATTTTTGAACTGTGTTTAGTCTTACTAAAAATTTCGAGAGTTGATTTAAGAAGATATTTATGCCTTATTGTTAATTAAGTTAGTCTGAAAGGAGTATCACCAAAAACTGAGGCTATTACAAATTTAAATAGACTATTTGAAATTAATAGACTTAAGAATACTAAGACTAATTATTCTCCATATTTTTTATTATAAAGTACTGTAATTATGCCTGTATTAGTGAGAATACCAATTTAATTAACAAGATCTAAAATGTTATTCCAAATTCCTAAAGAACTTTCATTCTAAGGCCAGGGTCTTTAGAGACAATACATAAAGGAATACTTTTTGACTTATAATTGTAAAATATTGAAAGACCATAAAAGAAAATAACTAAGAGGAAATGAATATCCGAAAATAATTAGTAAGGAATAAAGAATTAAGATTTCCATATAATCCTCTAAAGTGCCATATCTTTCAGGACTTATTGCATATGATTGCCTTCTAGAAGTTTCATCAATAAATTATAAAATATCATTGTCATTGATTTCATATTTAATCTTTGGATATTTAGCTAAATCTGATATAAACTTAAATAACTGCAAAATTTTAAATAGAAATTACCAAATAATGATAGTAGAAAAATAATATTGTACATGTCTAGAACAATTGCTTTTAGAACAATATAAATTTAAAGGTCCATTTAGATAACCTATGAATAATAATGGAACCACATATGAACAAAAATAAAGTATAAATTTTTTAACAACAAAACTGGTTTCGTATTTTTACATAGTTTTATGATTTTCAAAATCAGTTACTGATGTTGAAATATAATCATAAAATTTATCAACAAATAATTAAACAAATACATTAATAGTAGCTGATAGTGTAACCTCTAATGACATCACTGAAACATTAGAGAATTCACTTCCAAATGAGTTTCTTAAGGCTGTTGTAAGTGTAAATAATCCTACAACTAATCCACTATAGGCTGCTATTAATAAAACAAGTAAAATAGAGGCTAAAAACAACCTTAATACTAAATCACTGTCATCTTGGGCAGCTGAATTCAATTGATCATTTTCCAAGGATCTAATAAAAGTTCCTTTAAATGATGATCTTTCAGTTGATTTCTCCTTTTCATTTAATTAACCATATTTTAAATTAAATCTTACTTATTATTATTTCCAATAATCAGTTACTACGCTATTCCATTAAATTAATACAAATGTGAATATCATAGTAATTATAATACTAGCTTCACCATCCTAATTGTTTAGTATCCATTCAGCTAGACTGCATCCAAAACCACAAACAGAAATAAATGTTAACATTTTTGTATAATAACTCAAGAAATAAAAGTACAATCCTATTTTCTCACCATAATATGAACATATAATATCTATAGGTACATACCAAGGTTCAAATATTTTGAATTTCCATTCATCTGCAAAAAAGAATAACTTTCTATGATAAAATTAAGTTTCACTTGTTAAGGCCTTCTCAAAATTCTAACAATACCCTAATAATTCATATTAATCATTTAAACAAAAAAATTGACTAATAAATCCTTTCATAGTAAAGGAATTTATATCAAAACAATCATCTACAGCTAAATATACTAATTTTAATCTATCAATTGATGAAAACACAGAAATATTTCCATCTTCATCTTTTTAATATTTACACCAAATCATTTATTATTATGCTTAGAGTGTAGGAGCCATCTTTTTTGTAGGCCTCCTAAAATTTATATAAGGCTCTTATGGTGTTAAATCAACTTGGTCCCAAAGATTTCTTATATATTATTTAGAATCATTAGCCACTTCTAATGATTCAATAAAGGCTTACATATAATTATATGCCAATCTCTCCTTCTATAAGATTTTAATATACTTTGTCAATGGAATGTTTTATTCTATCATATATTATTTATATTCATTCATTAAAGATTCAGCATTTTAATCATAAACTTCTACTTTTTCTAAATGTTATTTATTTTCAGGATTCAATATATTTTATTTATTAAGAAATATTTCTTATTTATTTCCTAAACCTTATTATATTAATTCCTTTTTCTATCTTTTAATATATAACTAAAAGGAATCCATTTATTTATTTAAAATAGCTGATAAATCACTATTAATAATATTTTATTCTCTATGTTCACTCACACACTTTTTTAAATGAACCAAATATTTATAATATGCAAACCATTCATCATCAGATGGACCATGATCTTCTTCATCATTTAAATCCTATTTTCCATATTAAAATAATTCTTAATTTATGTGACTTTGATTTACTTCTCTACTTAATCTTTTGAAATTGATTTATTCAATTAATTCTATGATTTGAGGTCTCAAGTACTCAAAAAATGTTGTGCATTTATATTCAAAAGGCTTCCATAATCGATTATTTAATCTTAATGGTCTTAATCTTTTATCAACAGGTTCAAGAGAAAAAAGGTCACTGAACCAAAAATTTAATCGTTTTGAAAGCTTTTTTTATTCTGCCACAACTTTTAAATTTTCCTCATCCATCTTAATCAATAAAAATATCCATCTACCATCATTTGAAATCATTTATCTTGTTTAAAATCCCTTTCTTGATAATTTAATCAAAATTGCATTCCTTAACATTGTTGATGTATCCAATGCTTCTTTTGGAGTCTTAAACCATTATTCTTATATCTAATTTATATATTCTCCTTTTATGTCACATCTAATTTAAGTCTCTTCTAAACTTTTATAATCCAAATTTATAAAATCTATCAAATTGACTTTCATATTTTAACTTAAAGCTGATTCAAACTTTTCTCTTAAAGATTTCATTGCAAGATTTAATTTTTCTGATGCACTTAAAATTGGTCTAATAGATTTAGAAAATCTTTTCCCTGATTAAGTTTATTAGGTAAAAAATTATTTATATCTTACATCACTTTATTAAGATTATAATTGAAAAGGGTCTGAAGAGACTGAGTTTTGTAGTTCAGATTAAGATATTGATAAAAATTAATAACTAGTCTCTATTGCTTTAAATAGTAATTGGTCATTTAAGGATTTAGAATTTATCTTTAAAGCTTATTGGACAAAGTCAAAAAACTCTAAGGGTCTCATTTACTAAGGACGAGCAACCTCTTCATAATCTGGGTTAGGAAAGCTCATAATTTCTCAATATATATAATTACGAAATCACTCCATCTGGATAAAATGCTGTATGATAATCATATGAACACTTTCCTATTAATCTTTCATACTCCTATTAATCATCATCTGTAAATTCAGTTCCCTATAATGCTTTTAAATATAATTCATATAATTTTAAAGGATCTTAAAGTTTGTTTTCAATCTTCTTCCTCTTTTTGGTTTTAGGCTAGTCTTTAACTATTTTAGATTCGCTTTTAAATTACTGGAATGGAAGATATTTCTTTCGGAAGCCATCTTAACATTCTGTATTTGGTCTTGCTTACTGTAATTTATACATATATTATTAAGCACTAAATACAAAATATATAATTTATAAATAAATATTGATTTAAATTGTTTTCATAAAAGTTAATCAGCATCAGATACTTCCTCTTTATTTATTGATATTTACTAAAATAAATTAATTAAATTTTTACTAATATTCCAACACTATTAAATAACTTATCCTCCATTTGTTCTGCCACTGGGTCATCAGGTACTTTTTCATCTTCCTCAACTTATATTTACTAAATCTAATTTTAAACTAAGGCTGGATTAGTAAATTTATCATTATCAGTACCATCCTCAAATTTCTCATTACCATATCCATCATCATCATTAACTTAATTAACAATTTAAGCTTAATCTTCATTTTTTTAATTATCTCTCTAAATTTCTTAGGTAACTTTCTATTATTATTCTAAAATATTATTTTTTTATTAACCCTCTAATTCCTTTTATTTTCTTTTTTCCTCTAAAATTTTCTTTCCTTCTTCTTTCTATTATTTCTTTTTGTAAGCTTTTTGAATTTTAACAGCTACATCATCTAACTCTTGTTATTCTTTTTATTTTTACTCTTCCTCTTTCTTTTTCAATTCTTCAATCCTTCTTTCTTCTTTAAGTTCTTCTAATAATTTCTTTCCTTCTGATTTATTTTTTTTGTGTCTATATGCTCCTTAAATTCTTGATGCTGCCATATTAATTTCCTCTTCTTTAGCCTTAATTTCTTTCTTTACTTCTAATTAATCATCAAGCTCTTATTCAAATTCAAAATCATAATCATCTTCATTATTTTTTTTTTCTTTTTTATCCTTATTACCTTTCTTTTGATTTTTACATACTGAATCTCTTTCATTTCGTTTACTCTCCAACATTTATTTTGCTTCATCAATTTACTATTTGTTTTTAAAAGCCTTTTATATTTTCAAAGCACTTTCCTCTTATTCTTTCTTTAATTTTTCTTCCCTCTCCTTCTATCTTCTTATCCTATCTTCTTCTTTTTATTTTTAGTCATTGACAAATTTTTCTCTCTTTTTTTATTCTAATAAAGCTTTAGCTTCTGCAATTTATTTCTTTTTTTAATATGCTAATTATATTTTCATAGCAGCATCCTCTTCTTCTTTTAAAAGTTTTTCTTTCTCCTCTTATTCTTTTAATATTCTCTATCTTTCTTATTCTTATTCTTCCTCTTACTTTTTTGCTTGTAATTCAGCTAAATATTATTCTTTTTCCTTTTTTTTCTATTCTAATATTTTCTTACCCTCCTCTTTCTACTTTTTTTATTTATAAGCATTTTATATTAACAATGCTTTTTCCTCTTCCTCTTTCCTTTATTATTCTTCATATTTTCTTTATTCTTCTTCTTTTTATTTTTATTCCTCTTCTTCTTTTCTCTTTCTTTCTTCTTCCTATCGTTTTAATTCCTCTTCTTTTCTTTTTCTTTCTTCTTCCTTTCTTTTTAAGTCTTCTTATTTTCTTTTTTAATCTTCTAAAATTTTCCTTTACTCTTCCTCTTATTTTCTTTTTTAATCTTCCAAAATTTTCCTTTACTCGTCCTCTTATCTTTTTTTCTCTTCTTGCTATTTCTTTAATTATAATTCCTACATCTTCTTTTTTTCTTCAAGATATTATCTCTTCTTTTCTTTCTAATCCTATAGAATCTTTTTACCTTCTTCCTTTTACTTTTTCTTTTTATAAGCAAGCTAAATCTTCATTGCTGCATCCTCTTAATCTTCTTAAGGTTTTTATTAATAATCATCAAACTATTCATAATATTCTTCTTCTACATTCTCCTTTTAATCCTATTCTTTTGGTTTAGCTGAGTTTTTAGAATCCTTATCCTCATCTCTCTCGAAATAATCATCATAATTCTCCTCTTCTTCATTATTCTTTTTACTTTCTTTTGCAGATTGATAGTTTGGATCATTATCAATAATTTAAGATGAATTTCTAGCATGACTTCTTATTTTAGCTTATTTTGAAGTATCTGAATTTTATGTTTATATCTTTATATAATCATTAGGGCTGTCTTATTTTTATGTATTTGGAGGAGAATTTAATTTTTACTAATTAATTTATTTATTTTATGAATCTACCTTAAAATCATCTCTAAAGAATTGTTCCCATTATAATTAAATCAAATCCCTATATACTTAATAAATGTGAATAAATAATTAATCCTTTTACAAATCAGTAATTGATATTTAAGACTCTAATATTAATTATTCAAATTATCTTATATTTATGTATTCTTAATTGTAAAATTTCAACTTGAATTTTCTTGTAAGTTCTTCTTTATGTTTTAGTAAAGTCTATAAATGGGATAAATACTCTATTTACTTTTCTAACTTCTTAATATATTGATTATCCATCATAAGTTATGTATTCTTGAATAAGAGACAATATCATATTTTTAAATCTATTGGCACTTATCATTTTTTGAATAGGTTAATCATATCCATCACTTTTGAGTAAGGCTTTAGCAAATTTTTATGCTTTGATTGCATCCATATCTAATTTGGTCTTTAGAAACTCAACAACTCCATTTTCATTTAATCTTCCTTTATTGAGTGTGGATAATTTCTATAATGATATAAATTTAATACTTCCTTAAATTTAGCAAAGGGAATATTATCTAAATGCAATTAACAACGTATTTCATCAGCATAACATTATGCTAATTCTTAATCAAGTAAAATAGAATCTGTACTATTATTTTATCTTAATTATTCTTATTATTAAAACTATGCTATTTATTATTATTATTAAGAATTATTATTATTTTAATTCTTTGGACTTAATGATTGTTATTATTATAAATTTCTTCCTTATTTCTATTCCAATTATTTTCTATTATCTGATTAAAATTTCTTTAATTGTTATTCTAATTTTTTAATTTTCTCTTTTTATTCTTCTACTAAATAATTCAATTTAGTTCTTTCTTCTATATCCTTATCAATCTCTTCCTAACTAATTAAATATTAGCCATTAGCTCCTCTTTTCTTGAATACTTATAATTTTTGATTTAATAACTAAAGATCTCTGGCTTATTTATTTATTGTTTTCTATTATTGTTAAACCTAATGTTCTAATTGATTATTCCTCTCTTCATAAAGTCTATAATTAATAATTATTTTTACTTGACAATTTGAACTAATTCTTAATTATCTTTAAGATAGCTTTCATTCTATTATTGCAACTCCTTAACAATTTCATTATTTGAAGAATGCTCCTGAACATGACTATGATATATTTAACATTACTTTTATTATTATTATAATATTTCATCTCGTTCTTTTAGTAGTTCTCTTAATCTTTATAGTTCTTCATAAACTTCTCTGATTTCAGCCTTGATTATTAAATATTTCTTACATCAAGTTCTTAGAATTTGCTTACTTTAGCATTTTTCTTAAAATTTTATATTGTTATTTCCTTTTCTCTCAATTCATTTTATTACTCTTTTATTTGTCTTTTCATTTAAAGAAATAGTGATGTCTAATGATATCAATATAGAATTATAACCTCAACTCCCAATTTCATTTATACATTTTTCAAATTACCATTATTTTGAAAATCCTCTATGATTCTCTCATATTTTTGTATTGTTTTCTATCAATATATTATTAGCAATACTTCTTATTATAAAATTGTAGTCCTTTATTAATAATTATCTGTCTTCAAGAGGTTGATTTGTGTTTTAGCTTAGGATAAATGCTCAAAAAGTCTTTCTTTATCATACACTTCCATATTATTTCTAAAAAAATCAGTTTCTTGTTAAATCTATCTAGCTTTTATATCGTTCTAACCACTTTATGGTCTCTCCTCTACCAAGTTATTCACTTTAACCTTTTTCGCACTTAGTAAATAAATTAAGTTACATTTTAAATCCTTTAACAGAATATCCATAAGGTTGGCTAGAAGGTATTTTTTAATTAGGATTTTTAGCTGATTAAGCTCGTATAGCTTTCTACTAATTTGAATAAAATATATACTTATCTTTCTGACATGTAAATTAATAATTAATTATATTTATAAAGCAATTATATTTAAATAGAAATTGCATCAATTCTAAACCTAGTTTCAAACAATATTATTGATCATTTATTCAATTAAAAATGTACTCTCTTTTAAGAATGAATATCATTATTACTAAACTAACCCTTTTTATATTGACTGTACTTCATTTCCTATTTTAAAATACTTTTCACTGATCTATTATCAGCACTTTAACTTCTTTAACTTTCTAATTCTTCTTTATTAATTATTTCCTTGTTCTACTTGTGTTCACTAATAGATTTTAATTTATTCAGTCTTTTTGAATCAAATGATTTTAAAGAATTTTTTGGTTAAAATTCACACAAAGGAGAATCATTTTTTCTTTTCTTTTTTAATGAAGTCTAAGAAATAAATATATCTTCATTTCCTTAATCAATTTTTTAATGAATATCATCTAATTACATAACAATCTCAGCTACTAATTGAATGTCCTTATTAGATTATTATTCTGATTCTTATTTACTGTGTATAGATTTATTATCAGCAAATGCAGGAGTTTATGGATCATCAATACGAAATTGACCATGTGTAACCTTTTGTTTTTCCATAGGAGATCTTTTCATTATTCAATGAGAATAAATTACAAAGGTTAGTTTTTATTTTTGTTTTTCTTCCCATCACTTGAACGATTAGGACCTTTCGATGATTGAGACGTTTCTTTCATACCTATAGCTAATTCTGAAGCCTACTCATTTGTATTAACAGTACAACATTACGAACTTCCCATTAATTAATCAATTAATACTCAAAAGGAACAAGATAAATATTTATTTTATAAATTGGTTATAACATTTATAATAAAATATTTCACTTTAGTCTTTAATAATTATTAATTATAATAAAATATTTGAATAAAACTATTAACTTTACTTAAATAGATTAAATTATTTTGTTAATATGATTTATCAAATAATGAATTATCTAATCTATTCTATGATTTAAGTATTTGCACAATCAGCAGCCATAACTCCATTGCTTCTCATACCAATATTCTAGAAACCATGAGGAAGACTTTCAAATATTTTTAATTTAATATTTTCTAATCCATTATTTTTACAGTAATGAACAAATTCTACACAATCATCCAATAATACATCATCTTAACCTACAAAAATAACAAAATCTTTGGGAAATTGTTGAATAATATTTTAAGGAGTTTTAATAGGAGATACATAATAATCATTTGGTAGATCTGATTGATTTTTTAGATAACTTAATCTACATAACATTAATAGTCCCATAGGTATCATTTAATCATTAATACTTTTGAGATTAGAAGGTGCTATATCACAAATATTTAAATTAACAGCAGGGTATTACAAAATAATTTTATCTGGAATTCTTTAATAGGTTTCTATTGCTCTAATAGTTATTCCTAAAGCCAAATTACCACCAGCTGAATCTCCTATCAAAATTATATTTTTTGGAGAAATTTTGAAATAAGCAGCACCAAAATGAACTATCCACATGTAATATTGCCAACAGTCATCAAGTGCAATAGGGAAAGGAAATTCAGGAGCTAAACGATAATCTATTGAAAAGATAATTGTATTATCTAATTGATTAACCCATTTTCTTGTGTATGATTAATGAGAAAAAGAAGACATTGCAATGAACCCTCCTCCATGTATATGAATGATTATATTGGTAATATCATTTAATCCGATCTCATTTCTTGATGAGACACAACATTGACCAAAAAATGTCATTGGATATTATACTTATTAAATATGTTAAGTCTTTTACATTTAGAATTCATTTTTTGTCAAATTTCTCACTATTTATGTAATATCTTAATTATATATTCTTTGTTTAAAGATTTATCTATTACACATAACTCTAACTCTAATATCATGTTCATTTTATTTCTTTCTAATGCTTCTAAATGCTATCTAATAGAGTATGTTTTTATGAATATCAGTTGAATTTGTATTAAAATTATGTAAAGAATCTTAGGTTATTTGATTAAATAATCTTGGAATATAGATTATTTTTTTGAATTTAATTTATTCTAATTGCATTTTAAAACCTGCTTTTACTATCTTGGATTCATCTATAACTCTCCATAATTTTAATACATGTTCAAGTGTTGGATTAGTGAGTATTTATGTTGCTATAAGATTGGTTGCCTCTTAATTTGATATATAATAAAGTGCTTTCAAATTTTTAACTAAATATGACATAACTTGAGATTAATATTGTTTCCCAGAATTTGCATATGCATGTCCTAAATATATTTTTTTATAAAAGTTTCTTAATTGTTATTTAATTTTGTCTGGTTGATCCAATATTATTACTTCAATATTTGGAATATTCATATATTCATCATCATTAAAAATAGTATTTTTTGGCTTTTTATAGATATAAGGTAATATATCAGTAATCTATTTTATTTTTTAAAGTTCAAATGCTAATTTAATTTATATACCTCTACTCTATTCGATATTAGACAATTCTTAAATTTTAGGTAGTACATCATTATAAATAATATTTAAACATTTCTTAACAAATATTTTATTCACATCTTAAGTATTCATAATTTCTATTTTATTTTTAAATTCATTTAGAGTTTAAATGATTTTTTAATTATTTGTTTTATCAATAATAGTTTTTATATTGTTTAATTCTTCTTCATTCATTTTATATTATATTATAATTTTATTTGATTAAAATAAGATAAGTTTAATACAAATATGAACAATTTCTAAATTATTTTTCTTTTTATATTGATATCCTATTTTGAAGAAGCGATCATTATCTATAATTTAGAATAATATATTTATTTAATATTATGAAATTTAATCAATCTCCAAAATCAACTTATACAGAAAATTTCAATCCACCTCCTGGTTATTATATTGGTAATGATTTAAATGATATGCTCAATACAATTAAGACTAAACCACCTCAATAATAATTTTCAAGATCAGATAGATTTGGAGATATTTAGACAAATATTCATCCTTAAAGTAAAACTGTTGAAGGATTTGATAAAATTGCTTATTAATCTTCTTTAAAACATTCCTTTTAAAATAAAAAATTACAAGATCGTAATTACGTTTATTAAGCATAAGTATGTAAGTTTTATTAATTATTATAGTCATAGCAATAATTGAAGAAGACTTAAGAAGTTGATAAGAAAATGAAGAATTTGCTAATCAAACAAATGGAAAATTGTTTGAATTAATAACTAGAAATAACACCATCAGGATAATATGTTTTAGATAAATCTAAACTGTTGCAAAAATTATAAACTATAGCCCCATTACAAGTAATTATATTCATATAAATCATTAGCCTCCTGGTCCTGGACATTACAATTCAAATGAAACCATAGTAAAACCTAGAGTCAGAGGAGCTATTATTAAAGAGGATAGCAAAAGAACCACATTCTAAGAACCATTCTTGACAGCTGATGTCATATATGGTAAACAATTAACTAACAATGTATAAAATGAATCAGAATCTAATCTATCTCAAAAGTAAAAGTAGAAGAAAATCAAATTCATATAAGGAGATGAATATAATTTAGAAAAATTATTTGAAAAAGAAAAGAAAAAGAAAGAAAAATAAGCTGCTCCACCACCTGGACATTATGAAATTGAATCCCAATTTGGAAAAATTACAGAATTAAATTATCAAAATTAATGTTTTGATAGTAGAGAACAAAGATTTAAATATATTGTAGATGATAATCCAGGACCTGGTTAATATAAAGCTGATAATTAATTCAATGAATCTGGAGGATATATGTCTAAATTACCTAGATAACCTCCAAAAGATAATATGATTGTTCCTGTTGGTAATTACATTGTATAAGATTTATCAAAACCCTAAAGAAGAGATGGAATCTTTCCATCAAGCTTTGGTTCTGGATCTAAAAGAATGAAAGAAGTCATAATAAATAATGATGTTCCTGGACCTGGTAGTTATGATAATTTGATGTTAAAGAAGAAACAATCTAAATATGTTTTTAGAAAGAAAGAAAAAAGACCTACATTTGAAAAATATCCAGAATCTTTTGGATTATCAGTTGCTAAAGAATTAGTATCTGTTAATACCACTAAAGAACGTAGCAAATCTGTACAAAAACCAGTATAAATAATAATATAAATCTTTAGTAAAAATCTTCTATGTTTTGCTCTACTGTTCAAAGATTCAAGGATAAACAGATAACTGAAGAATTAGGTCCAGGAAGTTATACTGTCCATGGTTAATTTACTAAAACTACTTTTAATAAAGGAAATGATATCTTTGGAAAAGGATAAAGAATCTAATAATAACAAATATAAGAAATTGGTCCTGGAGCTTATGATGGGGATTACAAAATACTTAAGAAAAATTTTGTTAGAGATGTTCATTTTTGACTTTTTAATAGGTTAACACATGATTATTATTTTATATAAACAATTCTAATTTCTCTTTAAACATGTGTCAATTTAAATAAGGTCTGTCTTTAATTTCTACCTATAATAGATATTAGTACATTTTCTTATTTAGATTCTAATATTTTTGGTTTAATTAATTTCTTCCACAAAATAATTAATATTAGTTTATTTTCCATCTTACCAATTAAGAAAGATAATAAAAAGGTTAGTCCACTTATTTTCTAAAAGGTTATATCATTATTATAATGATAAATATTAGCAATTGTTGAAACAAAAATATTTAAACAGTTGATCTGTATTATCACTATTAGCTAAAATTGTTAAATTGAATTTCAATGTTTAAAACTTATAGTAAATTTATTAAAAGGTTTGTGTATAATTAAATTAGATCGAATTCCATTTTGGCATAAAGTAAATTTAATAATCTTGTTTTTTATAATCAATCTTGAATGTATTATATATTTTAACAATAGACCCAACTATTATTATTAAGATTATTGGTGTTTTAACTTTATATTAATAAGTATAAAATAAAAATAAACATACGTATATTCTGATTTTAAATATTATTTCTATTATATTTTGAAATTAAATTAAATAATCAATTAAAAAGTAATCCATTGTATTTTTAGAATATTTCTTAGACATAGTTGTACATTAGCATTTTATATATTGAACATTATCAATATTTTTGAATATAAATTCATTTTTTATTTTATCAGTATAGAAAAATAACTGTTTATTAAATTCAAAAATTAATAGAATTAAAACAATAACAGTTCTAAATTATTAATATTGTAATATTAGCCTCATCTCAATTATATTCATTCATATACGTATTATTAATCAAATTCTTGATCTACTTGCATACATGCTAACAACTCAATGACACAATCTTCATATTCTTTTTTAGTTTCTGGTAGATTATAAAATTTTTGATAATAATTTTCTATTGATTATTAAAAATTTCTTTTTTCATCGAAATCTATAAGTTCTTTGAGTTCAATCATATATTTTGTAAATAAACATTATAATAAGGTTTCAGCATCTTTCAAATTAAAATTTTCAGGTTTAGAATACAATTCAGATAGATTTCTTCCATTTAGCTGAAAATCTAAATATAATGAATATTCATCTAAAAATTTCTAAGTTAACATTGGTGCTATTTTTTATAAAGGAGGATAATTCATATATTTATCAAATTTATTTAAAAGTACAGGCTCACCATTAATAATTTAGAATTCAGGATAAGTAAATCCAAAAAAGAAAACAACACAATTTTTCTTTGATTTTTCAATAATTTCACAATATAAACCTATTTGTTTTGCTAATTATATTTAATGATTGTTAAGAAATATTCCAGGAATATCTTAATTGTTTTATTTTTATTTGTAGTGATTTTAAACATTCTATTCTTATTTAGGTTTTTTTGTGCCTGTTTGTTAAAAACAAATAAATCTTCCAAAACGAGAAAGAGTTTGAATAACTTGTGTACTTTATTAATCTGAACTCCAAGCATGAGTTTTATCTAAAGGCTTTGAAGAATTCATTCCTTTTGGCTTACCACTTTTGTTGATTCTTTTTTCTATAGATGGATTTTAGGATCCTTAATTCTTTTTTTACATATTTTATTTTAATAAATATCATTAATTATTATCTTCATTATACATTTATAACTTTTATTACACGACTATTAATCTCTCAGCAAGTGTTTATTTCTAGTTTTTTAAAATAATAATATACTTATTATAATTCTAAGATGTTTTTCTCATTTAACACAATTTTTTCATATTCTTCAAAAAAAGCAATTTTTTATAGAATTTTTTCCATTTAAACATTAATAATAGCATTGATACATTAATTTAATTTATTTTCTTCTTTAACAATTTCATTTTCAGCTTTTTTAATTGAATCTTCTTTGAAATGAACAATTAAATTGTGATCAAGATCATTCTTTAATAGATATATAATATTTACTAAACTATTTTATAGGTTGGTTTATTATTAAATTAAATCTTAGTGAAGAGTTCCATTACACAATTTATCACCATTTTATTATTTTGATTCTTCATTTTAATTTAATCGTTTTTAAAAAATAGATATATGATAAGCATATAGATTGGAAGAATCAGAGAAAATTTAAGGCTAATTTTTTAATATTATAAATAATACTTCTTCACTAGCTATTCTACTTGCTAAATCATAAATAGTCCATTTTTACAATTGTTCTTTTCCATCTAAAGAACGAATAATGGAAGATTGCTTTTTAAGTGGATACATTAAAAAATTAATTAAAATCTAAACAACATCTAATTTGACTTTTCTATTTTCATTTACATATTCTGTAATTTTATCCCAACCAATTTCTGGATTTTCTTATATGTAATTTAACATATCTGATAATTCTTTATCATTTAATTAAGAGTCTGATTGTTCTGTCTAATCAATTTAAATATTAATATTTTTCAATTTTTCTTCAATATCAGTTTTAAAAAAGTCTTCTGCACAAAGTATGTTTGGAAAATGATTATTTCCATAACATTTTATACATAGAATAATTTCTTTAATATCTTTAATAGGTTTTTGTTGGTACCAAACTAAATTGCATTTCATTTAACATGAGTCACAAATAGGCCTAATATTATTTTATCTTGTAACCTTAATTTAAGCGATAATGCACTTATAGAATCAATAATTTATTATTCACTTAATTAATATTGTTCTGAACTATTTTTAGATAAAAATAATTCATTAAATAAATTATCAGGAATAGCAGGTTATGGTATAATTTTGCCTTAGTATTAATCTGAATCCACTTAAGAATTTATAATTCCCCAATGATTTAAAAATCCATGAATTCTAACAATTGTACATGCATCAGCAGCTAATTGTCTTCTACATGCAGTAGTTGTCAAATAAATATTTGGTGTATTATAATATAAATTGATAATAAAGTTTCTATGTTTCTTATAAAGTTAAGGTGTTTTGTATTTATTCTCTTCATTAAAATATTCTTTAAAATTCTCCTTTTCAATTGAATGAATTTTATCAATTCTAAACCAAGAAGTACATGAAGGTACAGTAATATCATAAGATCTTTTTTTAGTAACAAAAGGATCAGGAGGATAAATTTCATAATTCTAAGGTATGATTGGTTAATTAATTAAATTTTATTGTATAATGGGCTTGTAAGGAGGTTGAGGAGATGCATAAATAATTGGTTGTTTAGATTATTAAACTTGAATACTTTATTGCATTCCTGGATTTAATTATGGATATAAAAATGATTATTATGGAGAAAGTATTGCTGGACTTATTTGTAATTATTATTAGGGTATTTATGGTTAGGAAGGTAATGATGTTGTTTGAGACTTATTTTTAATCTATATTGTTTATTAAGGAGGAGTTTATTGAACAATACTTTTAGGTATTCGAACAGTAGTATCAGCATCATGAACAATAAATCCATTTGCAACTTTCTTGAGAGTGACTTTAACTTATGGCATTTTCTTTTAATTCATATTAATATATTTTATATATAATTTATATATATGAAAATTTCTATTTTAATTAATTTTTGTATAAAATGAATACAAAGTCATTTGAAGTTTTGATACATTCATAATATGCTTTCCATAGATGCAGAAATGAAGTGCATAAGTATGAAGATTGTAGATAAACAACATCCCCAATTCCAAAAGATCCACGTCTATGTAGAAATACAGCTAGAGAATTGATAGGATGTTATAAAGAGGCGTATTTAATATGATGTTTTATGATCATTAGTGAACGTATGCATCCATTATGTTTGGCTCCTTTCAATGATGTAAGAGAATGTGTTTTCAAAGCTGATGGAAATATCTTTAATTGCAAGAAAGAATCATAATAATTCGTTGATTGTCAGATGGATTAAGAAAAATATCAAGATTTCTTAGCTGTAATATATTATAATACAAATAGCTTTCAACAGATAAATAAAAAGAAGCTTTATAATTTGATTTCTTCAACTACAGAGGCCATTTTGACAAGTATAGTTGAGGTAGTAGTGATTTATAAATATAAAAGACATAATAATATTAATAATATCAATATTTTATTAAAAGACTGATTACCTTATCCAAAATAAAATAAACTAAACAAAAGAATAGAATAGAATAGAAACTCAATATCAAAAAAATAATAATCCTCGTTATTTAGATAATATTAATAATTATACCTATAATAAATAAGTTCAAAATTTTAGAAACTAATATAAGTACAATCAATTTATAATTTGTTTATAGTAAAAATCAGAATCATTTTCATCAAAGTAATGTCAATTAATTTTATTATAATAATAATAATAGATAAAATAATTACAGATACACTCTTAAATAAAAAGACTAACATTATTACTCCTAATCTGATTCCATTATTTATGATAAAAAACACTCTATAAAATCTGAAAATTAATAATAAACAGTTATTTAATAGATTAATTAAGATGTACAATCACAGAATCAAATAAAAATTAGTGATTAATACATAAAAAATCAAAAATTGCAGGAAATTTAACAATCAAATATAGCTCATATTTCTAATGATATACAAGTGTAATAAATAAAAATACATATTAATCACATATTTAAATTAGTGGTAATATATCCTTGGAATATAAAAATATATAAAATAATGACAGTGTATAAATAATTAATAATGTTGAATAAAATGAAACAATCTAAAACAATAAATAAATTATTAGTATTTAATAATCATAATTAATTTAATAAAAATAAATAACATTATTAGTATAGTTTTGATTCTACCTAATGAAAAAACTTCAAAACCTTAACTGATGACATTAACATTTGTAATTATTAAATTAATTATCTATAGTAAATTAAAAATAAATATATGAGTAATTAAAGCTAAAGCAATTAATTTAAAATGATTAATAACAATAAAGTTGAGATTAAATATTATGTGTGCATATAAATATTATTAATATATTAAATTAATAAATAAATATATATATTCTGGTTTTACATAAAATAATTCACAAATCAGATTTGCTTTTGTTTTATTCTGTATGTGTTTGTGTAAGTTATACATTTTGTTTTATAAAGGCATACAGATTTTCTTTGCTGAATTCTTATTCAAAATTAATTGGATTAGATGTCACTTTTGGAATATATAATTTAAATCCTGGATAGTTTTCAATATTCACACTATCTAAATCATTATATGATAAATCTATTTAAGCCAATACTAAATTATCATTCTTTTTTAATTCCTCTGCCAAATCTTCAAATTCTGGTTCATAACTATATTTATAATTTGATAAATTTACCATTTACTATTAGATGTTTAACAAAACTAAACTAACGTATTTTTCTTTGAATTCAAAACCAATTAATCAAATGTATCACCTACAACTTTTAAAACGTTTGAAGTTTGATTTGGTATAGGTTGAGATTTTTGTTTTCTTTTAATTCTTCCATTATTGGCTTCATGAACAAATCTCATAACATTTTCAATAGTTATTTAACCTTCAAATTTATAAACTTCATTTGTTGTCTTATAATAATATAATGAAGGGAATGTAGGAGTATTAATAAATAAATGACTTGTAACTTAATTTACCATATAATTATCAGAATAAACAGAAACAACTGTAATTCTTTTTTTAATATTTGGAGCAATCAATTTTAAAACATCTTTTGTTTCTTAACTTTATTGACTCCAAAAGAGAATCAATGCTGGAGTATTTTTATTAAAAATAGAAGCATAACTTTTATTGTCTAATTCTTCAAATGATGGAGTTGAATTTTCATATAAGAAATTTGTTAATTTTTCTAAAGTTAATTGATCAGTGAATTCCTTTCTTCTTTCTTCAAATGTTCTAAATAGAACTATTTATCCTTCATCAACATCATACAATTTCTATAATAATATTTAATTATCTTACTCTGGCATAAGCTGAAGTAGTATAACCAAATTTCAAATGAGGAAATATTTTGGCAGCCATTGAATATATCTGTAATTCTGGTTATTGAGAGTCTTTAACAAAATATAATAGACTCAAGTTATTATCACTTAAAAACTATAAAAAAGTAAGAATTCATTAATACCTTATAAACATCATCAATTTCATCAACTCTTACTAATTTATCCTCAAGAGCTTAAGTTACAAAATTCATTAATCCACTAGCACTTCTATCTCCATTATAAGGTACTGCATGTCCTTTAATGAGTAATATTATGGTTGGGAAACTTGATACTTTGTATCTATTTTTCAAATTAAATTATTAAACCTGTTCATAGCTTATTTTTCTTGATCTCCACCATTTAATTTGGCAACAATAAAAGATTGACCAGCTTCTTTCACTTGTGTAGCAAATTAAGAGTACTCTGGGGCAAATTGTTTACAATGACCACACCTATAATGAAAGGTAAAATATCAATTTAAACCATGAAGCGTAAAACTCAACCAATAAGTAATCAAACTACTTGATAGCAGCATTTATAGTATTATCATTAAGTACTAACACATCTCCATCATATGGGAATGTGTATCCGAATGCTGATAATCCAAGCAAACAAAGTATTAAAAACTTTAGCATAATTAAATATATCAATTTTTTCAGATCCTAATTAAAATTAATACATTTTCTTTACATAATGTTTAAAATGGAATCAAAGTACTAAATGATGAGATAGTATTTCTTTTGATAAAAGAAATTTAGACTTTTTAAAAAGAAATGAACAAATGTCAGAATTATATGTTTTAATTCAATACATAGATTTCATTTACAATTAAAAAAAACTAATTATTAATATTCTTATGGATTTAAATCAAAAAAAGACTATTTAAGGTATAATAAATACTAAAATATTTAAGAATTAAATGATTATATAAGATAAATAGAAAAGGAGTTATATTTAATAATATAGATTAATTATAATATAATAAGAAATTTTCAACTTAACTTTAGTTTCACTATTATATATGTTTTTAACTAGAGAAATAATATTTAAGATATAAGATTATTATATCAATAGAAATCATTTCAAGATTATAATTACTAATAAACATTCTTTATAATCAAATCATGATTTTTATTCAAAAATATTAAAGAGTTTGATTTATTATTTAATGAATCTAATTTAGACTAAAATATTGATCAAAATAAACCAGTTGAATGATAATAATATTTATATTTAATGGATTTACTATTTATGGGGAAGGGTAGTAAAAGATATCAATAATAATTTATACAGGCAAAGTTATTTAAAATAATATTAAGGGAATATAAAATTTATATATATAATTACTGTTATGAAAAGTTTAAATTATCGATTTCCTCATTCAAGATAAGATTCTGGTTAAATGAACTTAACAAGATCTTAATTGGGATAAGCCTAGTAAGTGACGAATGTATTAAATAAGTAAGAAAGTGATGTGAATGTTAAGCCGACAGAATGAATAAAATATTGATAGATCACCAGCTCCAATGGTTCATGGTTTGCATAAGTTGGCAGTACCTTCAAGTTAACAATCATCAGCCAATCATTCAAAAAAATCATCGATCTCTAAGTAGCAATAGCCTAAATAGATATCATTTCTTAACTACTTGATCTTGAAAGATAAATCTCAAATAGTTTAAGATGAGGAGAAAGAAAGTTGAATATAAAATATGAAATTAGATATAACTGAACCAATAGTTTAAAAGAATATGTTCAATTTTCAATTTGTAATTGGAATAGGAGGATTTGGAAAGGTATGGAAAGTGGAATACAAAAAAAATGGATAAATTTATGCAATGAAAGAGATGTCAAAAGCACTGTATTGATTATATCATAATGATTAAGTATAATAGCCAAAAAAAGTGTAAATTCTGTTATGAATGAGAGAAATATCTTGAGCAATCTTAAACATCCGTAAATAGTGCATTAAATATAGATTTTTAGTTAATATTTACTATGCATTTTAAGACAGAGAGAATTTATTCCTTGTTTTAGATTACATGTAAGGAGGAGATTTGAGATATCATGTAGGAAAAATGAGAAGATTCACTGAAGATCAGACAAGTATTTAATTATTATATGTAGGATTCTTCATGGCTTGTATCTTCTTAGGATTGGAATATATGCATTCCAAAAACAGTTTACATAGAGATATTAAACCAGAGAATTTAGTACTTGATAAATATGGTAGAATTCATAAAATATAATTTTAGGTTACGTCAGAATAACAGATTTAGGAATTGCTCGAAATCTTAGACCTGATAATTCATAAGATACTTCAGGCACTCCTGGTTATATGGGTATATATATAATCTTAAATTTTTAGCTCCAGAAGTTATGTGTAGATAAAATCACTCTTTTGCAGTAGATTATTTTGCTTTAGGAGTTATTGGATATGAATTTATGTTGGGGAAGGTAATCATTAATTGAAATTTAATTAGCGACCATATACAGGTAGATCAAGAAAAGAAATAAGAGATTAAATTCTGGCTAAACAAGTTCAAATCAAAAGATCAGAGATTCCAGATAATTGGTCTTTAGAATCAGCAGATTTTATTAATAGAGTATTATTTATTATAATTAAAATAGTTGATATAAAGAAAACCAGCAAATAGATTAGGTTTTAATGGACCTCATGAATTAAGATAACATTCATGGTTTAAGAATTTTCCATGGTCAAAATTAATGAATAAAGAATTAAAATCACCTTACATTCCTAATGTAATTATATATAAATATTAATTTAATATTAGTAAAATGAAGATAATTTTGATGCTCGTTAGATATCTATGGAAGATGATGAAAATAATGAATTAATATAATAGCATTCAATCATGTTAAGAAGAAATTCGATTTAATGTAAGTTATATATTATTAATATATATTAGCCTAATTTTCTGGATATGAGATGGATAATTTTAGTGAGAAACAAAATACATAGTTCAACAATTTTTGATAGTTATTAAAATCATTAATTTTAAGATTGTATATTGTATTTCATTCATTATTCTTACGTGTCATTCTTTAAATTAAATAATCTTGATCAAGTATAATTAATATATAGAATTGAATAATTTAAAAATAATTTATATTTACATATGTCATTAAGTTTGAGTGAATTGATCAATCAATCATTGGATAAAATCAAAAAGGCAATTACTAAAAAATAATTCGAATTGAAATAAAGCATTGATGAAGCCTAATGTAACATATTATTCCCTATTTAAAAGAACTCAAAAATTATTTTGATGCTAATCATTTAATAACAGTGTATTAATAATGCATATAATCAAAACAAATCAAATTGATAGAGTTAGCTTTGTTTGATATTAAAGTAATAATTGGCCTAAGAATAGAATTTAGTTGAGTTAGGATTTTTCGCAGGGGAGTAATTATTTGGAGAAAAAAGAGTCATTGAAGTGATCTTGGACATTGTAATTTCATGTCAATAAGAAAAAGAGGAAACAGTTTAAATTCATATGATTAAAGCTATATAGGCTATTATGACTAATAGAAAACATCATATATATGGAGAACCTATCACTAAAGTATTTTCAATGCTTATCAATTTACATGCAGGTAAAATGAGATGTTCAAATTAATAGTCTCTAAAATAGTTGTGATTGTGAATGCAAGCAAAGAGGCATGTTAGAAAATAGTTAGCACTTATTTTTAAAGATTAGAAGATTATGGTATTTTAATTGAAGAAGAATTCCAACAAGCTATATAAAAACAAGGGAATCAAGGATAATTGATTTTTGGTAAATGTAGAGCTATGGTTAATGCTGAATAATATATGAGATCATTAATGACCTCTCTAATTGATGAAGTGTAGATCTATACTGAAAGAAGATAAATATATGATAGACAAATAGAAGATCTAAACTAAATAAAAGTTATTAATATAGATCTTCATGAACCTAATTTAAGAAATGTAACAGTTGAAAAAAACTAGATCTAAGTTTATGTGACCAATGAATAAAATATTAAAAATGGAAAATTTGGATGGTGTGTAGTATGTAGAAATTAAGCATCATAATATTGTAAAGATACTAAAGTACCTATTTGTAGTAAAGAATGTAAATTTATACATCTAAATTAAATGAATAATTTCTCATAATGTTATCAACATTCAAATAATAGTGAATAATATTGTAAAGATGCTTTAGAAATATTGGAAATGTTATGTTAACTTAGTTAAAGAGATAATACAAATCCTTAATTAAATTAAATGGTAATCAAATGTAAAATACTTTCTCTTGAATTGATTTATGAAGCCTTAGCTTAAAGTGATACAATTTTATAAAATAAACCCAAATTAATATCTATATTAAAAGAATAATTATTGGAATCTCTATTAAAGAATTCTCTTTCTACAGAAAAATAATTACTTATATTAACACTTAATATCTTTATTTAATTGATATGGAAAGTAAGAAGTCATCTCAAAAAAGAATTAGAAGCTTTAATTGAAAATGTTTATTTTAAGTTTTTAGATAGTAGCAACAGTTCCTTTGATCATAAACAATATACTCTTAAAGTATTTAATAAAATTATGACTAAATCAAGAGTAGTCATTGAAATCTTTGTTAATTATGATTGTTCTTTAGGATAAAATAACCTTTTAAAAAAGATTTTAGATATGTAATGTAGAATCATTTAAGGCAGATTTAGTAAATAAGAATTCTAAGCATCAATCACTTAAAATTAAGAAACTTATTTAAAATCTTTATGTCTAGATAATTATTATGGATATATTAAATGTCTTAAAGAATTTTGTGAATAGAATGAAGATCAATAAAATGTCATATAGGTTTAATAACTTGAAGATTAAGAAGAAACTTCAATTCAATAATAATAATTATCATAAGATCCTATTGAGAAATAAAAATAGATGAAATTAGAAATGAATAAAGCAGTTTAAAAATTCAATTTTAAACCTGAACATTGTATAAAACATTTAATTGCTTGTTAATTTATGGAAACAAGAGATCCTAAATTATTTGCATAATTTCTATGGGAAAATAGAGATTTAAATAAAGATAAATTAGGAGAATTATTTGGATGTTCAAGTGAATTCAATTAATAAGTATTCTAATAATATATAGATTTTATGAATTTTAAGGATTTATAAGTAGATGAAGGTTTAAGATATATGCTTGAATTCTTTACATTACCAGGAGAATCTTAATAAATAGATAGAATTATGGAAAAATTTGCATCTAAATATTGTATTGATAATCCTGGAATCTATTAATCAGCTTAAGCTGCATATACACTTTCTTATCTATTAATGATGTTATAAACAGATTTACATAATGAAAAAAATTTAGATAAAATGACAATACCTTAATTTGTTAATTTAGCAAAAGGAATTAATGATGGTGAAAATCTTCCATAAGATTTATTACTTGGATTTTATTAAAGAATTTAGAAAACACCTTTAGCATTACATGCTAAAGAATAAGCTAAAAGAGCATTAGAATAAGCTAATTAAGTTGATTAAAGAAAAAGACATGCTATGTTGGCAAAAGAGGCTGAAGAATCTTTAAAAAAGTGGTTTAAAGAACATCCTAATTAAGATGCTTATTTTTATGCAAATTCAATTGATCATGTGAAATCTTTATTGTAATAAACATGGAGTGCTATTTTTGCATCAATTAGTGTATTTTTAGAATAAACTGAAGATTCATATTAAATTTAATTATGTTTTGAGACAATTCAATCATTTATATAATTAATGGGTAGATTCGATTTAGATGAAGAAAAAGATACATTTATAAGTTTTTTATAGAGATATTGTACAGGTATTCCAAATACTTATCGATAAATATTGGGTGTTTAAACATTAATAAAAGCAGCAATATAATCTGGATAATATTTACGTAAAAGTTGGAGAGTTGCCTTGTAATTGGTTTCTAGATTAGAGACTTTGCATTAAGTTGTGAAGAAAATTAAGGTAGATTCTCCATAAAAGGAAAGTTATAATTAAGAAGATATTCAAAATATTGAAAGATTATTTTAATCTATATCATATGATTAGATAGATAAGATATTTAATATGTCTATAAATTTAGATTCTAATTCAATATTGGAATTTATTAGAGCATTATGTGAATTATCAAAAGAAGAAATTAAACAAAATAGAACATTTTTATTAAGTAGAATGATAGAAGTAGCTGATTTTAATATGGATAGAATTAAAATTATATGGTCAAGAATGTGGGAAATAATGAGAGAACATTTTCTTGAAGTTGGATGTCATAAAAATGTTGATTTAGCAATTTATGCTATAGATTAATTAAAATAATTAAGTTGCAAATTTTTATAATAACCTGAATTAGCAAATTATCATTTTTAGAAAGAGTTTTTAATGCCTTTTGAATAGATTTTTAGTCATAGTCAAGCTTAATAATAATATAAAATTTAATTAAGGGAATATTTATTATCTTGTATGTGTATGATTACTAATGTTTGTTTTAATTCACTTAAAAGTGGTTGGAAAATTATAATGAGTATTGTTAATTAAGCACTTCAAGAAGATTAATAATAGTTAATAAGATTATGTGTATAAATTACAGATAAAATAATGGAAGATGTAAATAATCAATAGGTAAATTAAGAAATATATATGGAATTAATATAAGCATTAATAAAATTGACTAAAAATAAAGATATTAATATTGTTGAAAATGCTATTAAATAATTAAAGACATTAGTTGATCATATAGCATTGATCAAAAAAAATGATAATAAATTTTTAGATTCATTATGGATTCCTGTATTATCATCATTATCTATATTATATAGTGATGAGAGAGTAGCTGTTTAATAATTAAGTGTTTAGACATTATTTGATTTGCTTTAAAAACATGGAATATATTAATCTAATGAATTTTGGAAGATGATATTAAGAGGAGTAATAAGACCATTATTTGATGAAATTTAATTTTCTAAATTATAATATACGAAATAATAATAATCAAAGAAATCTATAACTTCAACATGCAAAATGACATTTTTATTATTTACAGATTTAGTAATTTCACAAATTTAATAAATGTAACCTTGTTTAAATGATCTAATAGATATTTATATTCAATTAGTTCTATAAACTCAAGATGTAATAAATATATATATTATTAATATAGCATATATCCATTTTATGTCTTTAATCACTTAAGAAAATAATCTAAAATGTAGGTTAATAATTAACTGAAGATAATTGGAATCTTTTGATAGAATAGATACAACATTTATTGTAGTAATGTTCACCAACAGAATTATTTGAGGCATTTAATTTAGATGAAGATTTTTAAAAACCTTTAGATGAATTATTAAAAGAGGAAATTAGACCAAAAAAGTTTAGTTTTAAAATAAATGCTTAAGAATGTTCATAAAAATAATAAATTTAAGAAAAATGTTTGGAGATTTTAGAAGTTTAAGTTACATAATTTAAAAATGAAATTACTTAATAAAATAAATAATTGATTTTATAATTATTTTAAGAATAATATTAAAAATGCAGAAGATTTAATACTAATACATATATGAGATACTTTTTAGAATAATGGGCAGTTTAATGGAATTTTGTTAAGAGAAGTTCATAAGAATTTGATGATTTAGATAATAATAATAATACAACTCAAAGTAAACAATTAAGTTTTATTAATGTTGAATTTTTGTCAGCTAAAGTTATTGTTTAACTTAGTAATGACTCTTTAAATTTTATTGAATAGTTAATATAAAGATTTCTAGATGCATATTATGGGTTTTCTTAACCATTACATAAATAAGATAGTTTAAATGGTAATTTAGAATAATTAAGACATCTTGAATCTTAAATTGTAATTAGTAGATTACAATTATTATTTATGGAAACTGTATTCCCTTAATTAAAATAAAATTTGAGATCTAAAATAGTAAGTAAATGGTTGATTTAATTATTAAAAGCAGGATTAAATGTTTCAGGAGTTGAAAATAAAGAATATAATAAAGTTTTAGTGAATTTATTGGAGGAAATTATAAATTGTGAGAATAATGTATTTTGAATCTATTATATCTAATTTAATATTATTATTAAAATGTCATTTTTTCATAAAAAATGAACTCAAACTTTTGATTAAACCACTTTATTATTCTTATTATACTGGTTAGGTTTCTTATTTCTTAGTTTATTATTATTAAGAATGAAGATATCTATGATAATTATCCATAATCATATTACTTAATTGCTCTTAATATTTATCTATATTCTGAAGATTAATAAACTTCTGTTATCTTTTAATTTTATTATTTGTATGTTAACTAAAAATGATCCTCCTTAGTTCTATCAGGTACTAAATCTGTGATATCTTAAACATTAATGCAAACTTTATCTTTTGTATTTTCTATTTCAATCACGAATTATTCGAATATATTTTTTCGAATAATAATCTATGTATAAGCATATAATTCAATACTAAACAAGGAAGATTCATTAGACCAACCTTTTAGACTCGATATTATTATATTTAATCACCAATTGGTTTTGTTTGAACAGGTGTTGGTGCTGCTGGCTAAGGAGCTGGTTTATTTTATTCTTATATAAGTGTCTATTGCAATTCTTTGTAGTCATTCTATAATTGTCTATACATTTTTTCTTTTTAGCTCAATTCCATTTCTTTTTATTGAATTTTTTAATCATAAGCATCAGTTTAATGTTTCAAGGTTTTCCTTAATTGTTCTTTCTCTCTTTGGAAATAAATTGAAATTGTACTCATTAAGTCTCTTCACTTAAGCAGTCAAATCCTATAGATCTCTTTTGCTTTGGTCTCTACTAATATTACCTCTTGGTGTTGATTATTTGAATGTGCTGAAAAAGCTGCTTTAATCATTTATTCTAGAACATTCATTTTTTAAAGTTTCTCTGTTATGCAATTAAGCCTATAACACCTTAATCTATTCTACGAGTAGTTGATTTTCTTTTTGCAGATCATTTTCCATTTTATAAAATTTTATATCAAAAATGAATAATTATGTATTCAAAATCAATACTCTTAGAACTGTAATCCAAATTAAAATACTCTAACAAATTATAATCATATACCTAGAAAAGTATTGAAAATAAGTCATGTATCGAATATTTGATATATTTATTCCTTATTTTATATATAAAACACTTATCTTAATATTTTAAGACACTTAATTTTGATTAAAAAATAAATGGAAATCAATTTGATGGTCTGTTAGAAATTAAATTATATAACGTTAGATTATAATATTTTCCTTGTTACTTTTGTTCAAAGATTATAGGTTGTTTTTATTAATCATAATTCTATTATTAAAATAATAATTGCTTAAAAATCACGATCATGCTATTTTGTTACTTTTATATATGCATTCTAATACAGATTTAATAATTTCTGCATGTTCTATATTTATATTAATAAGTCTATGTATTGTAATTTAACTTAAACAGTAACAATATTATTTTCATATTCTCTAGGTTTAGAATAAGAAATTAAAATCTATAGGATAAAGAAATTAGATATCATAATTGATATTTATTTATTTTCAATAATTCATATATTTTAAGAATTCTAAGAATTAATATAATAATCAAAAAAACTTAAATTTGAATCACAAAATACTTAATTTTATTAAGATTCACAATATATTTAATTCATTTTAGAATGTGTATAATTTCATCATTAGTTGAATATTATTTTAATAAATTATATATATGTATTTAATTCATTATTAAGAATTGTTACCGGAAAAGCCAGGAAATTTGTTGTCTGAGTTAGATCCATCACTTGGAGAGCCAAATTATTCTTATTAAGTAAATTCCTAAATGTTATGATAAAATCATTTACAGGATCAAAATTGCTTACATCTTCAGGTCCATGAATTACAGGTAAGAATGGAGGTATTATTTTATAGGATAAATATGACTGCCAATCTTCAACATTTTTAAAGAATGGAAATTCTTTAACTTCTATTAAGGATGGTCTTTATTTTGGGTCTTTTTGCAATAAACATATAATTAGATCTTTAAGTTCATTAGATATGGGGAAATTAAATTCAGGTTGTTTAATTTTAATCAACTTTATCAATTGATCTCTCTATTCTGATATGAAAGGAGGTTATTCAGCTATCATTTCATATAGTAAACATCCTAAGGACCAACAATCTACTTTATAATCATATCCATCTCCATTTTTATTAAGAATTTCAGGAGCTAAATATTCAGGAGTTCCAACTATTGAGTCTGCCTTTTCTTAAAGTAATATTTTAGAAAGTCCAAAATCAGTTAATTTTATATAACCTTTTTCGTCTATGAGTACATTCTCAGGTTTTAAACTATACATAAAATTCCATATTTACTCTCTATAAATAATTTTTTAAGTATGTAGAAATTACAAGGCATGAATAATTAAAATTGCATAGAATTATATTTATTCTTCTTTTAACTTTCTTTTTACTCTCAATAAACTGAATAAATCTCCACCAGCACAATATTCTAAAACAAAATAGAAATGCTTGTCAGATTAAAACGTATATGAGAGGGAAACAATAAATTAATGTTTGGCTTAATTTAAAATAGTTTTTTCCATCATTACATGTTACTAATTCTAAAAAATGATTAAATACAGCTTATTTCTTTTTATCAATTTCTTTTTTTTTCAATGTTTTTATAGCATATACTTTATTAGTATCCTTCTTTTTAGCCAAAAACACTTGTCCATATGCTCCTTTACCAATTAATCGAAGCATAGAGAATTACTTTATATCCATTTTTATCATTTTCAGGAATTATTTAATAATAATTCGTTTAAAAAGTTATCCTACATTATAAATGATAGAAAATAATAACATTATTTAAATTTAAGATGTATAGATATATTGATTTTTGTTTAATAAAATATTAGATTTGAATAAATTTAACATAAACATTTTAATTTGTACTTATTTACATAGCTATTGTTGATTTAAATTATTATGATTGATTTTTTATAGAGAATTCTAAAATCTAAACATAAGACAAAAATCAAGTATTAAATTAAAAAAAAATAAATTGTTATTTCAGTTTTTTTTAGTTTTGAAGTTCTTAAAAAAGAAAGAGCTATTTTTATATAAATATTGTTATAAAATAGTTTAGAAACCTAATTAAATATGGAGAATTAGATAGTAAATTTTTATGTGTAATTAAATAGATTGATGATGCAGAGAGAGATTAAATTATTAAATAATTGAAACTTGTTTAAGGAAACGATGTAAACATTTCATTTTCAACAATTTTTAGAAATGCATTGATTGTGGAAAAAAAAATACCAAATGGGCATCTGTTACTTTAGGTTTATTTTTGTGTATTGATTGTTCTGGTAAACATAGAGAGTATGGAGTTCGTTATACATTTGCAAGGTTAAAAATACATTTAAGTTTAGATCTCTTACTTTAGATTCTTGGTCTAGAAAATAAATTACATTCCTTTAAGTAGGAGGTAATGAAAAAGCCTTGGAATATTTTTAAAGTGTTGGCTTAATTGGTCCTGGATGTAGTCAAATTGATTATAAGAGTCCTTTAGTTGAAAAATACAAATAGGAACTTCTTAAATAAGTACTCTCATTAAGTGTATTAGCCTTGTGTGAAGAAAAATTGAACATAATTCGTCCATCACTTATTCCAAGTCCTGTAAAAATTGCTCAAACTTAAGAAAAGTAAACTTCTAACAAAGAAGAAGAATCCCCAGTCAAAGAATAACCTAAATAAGTGTTTTAAAACAATTTGTTATAAGAAGAAGCAACTGTAACTAAGAAAAGCAATAAAATTGTATTTGCTGATAATGCTAAACCATAAGCTGCATCTGGAAAAGCAGTTTAAGGTAAGAAATTAGCAGATGTCGACTTTGATTCATTATAATTTGATGATCCATTTTCAAATCCATTCAATAATGACCCATTCAAATCTGACTAAAATAAATCAGAATTAGTTTAATAAGAAGAGCCAAAAGTAATTATTAAACAAACTCAATAACCAACTTAAACAATACCATAAACAAATGAAACTTTGGAAAAATTGAAAGATAAGAATGTAAAATCAATTTCATCTGACACATTATTCTAATCATAAGATAAGTATTTAATAATATATATTATCATTAGTGAATAAAATAAACAGAATATTTATAAATTTAATGGATAAACTGCAATTTCTAGTAAGTAATTTTTTGGAGATAAAGAAGAGGATTCTGAAGATTCATCATAAAGTAGATTTAAATTATATTTTAGAAATGGATTAATTGAAGAATATGTTTAATTTTGCAACTGAAAAAACTATGGAGACATTTGGAAATGTTAAAGAAAAAGCTGGAGGTATTTGGGAGAATTTAAAAACAAGATTCAATAAATAATGATATAATATCAATCAATATTCATATCTTAATATATTCAATTAAATGAGTATAAATTATCATTCCTAAATGAATTAGTTATAGTAACTTTTTTATTTCCTTATACTCAATTTTTGAACCCTCCTTATTTAAATCCTTTATTTTTTGACTAAATACTTATATTAAGTATAATATAATAATTAAAAACATATTATTAATTTTATAATTATTTTTATGTCTTCTTGGATTTCTATATCTCATTAAGTATTAATGAAAAAAATAATTGGCATCTTCAAGCTAAAAAAAGGAATAAATTTTAATTTTTTTAATGAAATTTCAATATAATTTACTTTTAATGGATATTTAAATATAATATTATCAATTGTTCTATAATTAATATCAATTTAAGCAGATCCAAATTGATTTTTCATCACTTTTATTATTAATTGGAAAAATTTTATCTATAGTCAATTTAAAAGCTCCATCTAATTCAACAAAAGTATAAATTGGATTTGCATTTATTCCTATTAAATGAATTTTTTTAGTTTCATCAAGTAAATAATCAAAACCAAAGATTTACATACAATATTTTCTTTATCTTCTATTTAATTTACAAGGAATCAAAGATATTGAAGTCTTAATTTAATTCAAAAGATCTTTTAAGGATATTCCTTAAGAACTCAAAAAATCAACTAAATTTTAATGAGATATAGCTTATTTAGGTTTTGTATGAATAAAAGGATCTAACTAAAAATTTTAATTAAATATAATACTGAATTAAGATCATAATTAACTTAACAACATCTTCCTGTTGGTTCTGTTGAAATATAAATTTAATTATCTTAATTAACCAATACATTAATTTAAATATCAAATTTCTTACCATTATATAATAAAGGATTTGTAATATATTTTTAAATCACAAATTCTTTTTAATCTTTGTATTATTGAATCAGAAATGTTTATAATTAATCAATGTTATTAATTAGCATAGCACCAGAACCTGTAGCTGATTTACATATCCATAATTTAGGAATATCTTAAATTAATCTAGATATTTGTTTATTATATGTTTAACCTCCTTTATTAGGAACATAAACAGAAAATGGAAATTTTTATTATTTATCTTTTTATGGATGGTTGACAATTAAATATTCTTATATAAAATCTAGATCTTCAACCCATTAAGATATTTTAAAATTTAACACAAATCCTAGTGGTAATACTTTTAATGCTAATTCTGGTGAGATAGAACAAAGATTATTATATAATTAAGATTTAGTTGACCATTCATGCTGAAATTCCATTAAATTAACCATTTATCTTTTAGAAACAGCATCCTATTTTGTAAGATTACTAAAATCTAAGAGTTAAGTAAGCCATTATAAATGACTAAATGAATTATTAGGTACTTCAAACCATTATTAACGAGTACTAAGAACTTATCTAAGAAGTGGATCATTTACTTGCATTGTATAATTATACTATCTTAATATGAGTATAATTTACTCTAAATTGAATAGGTTTGAGTTCTTTTTGAGGTGAAACATTAATAGGTTAAAGAGAAGGAATATCAAATTTTTCATTTCTTTTCAAAGGTGTATAATTTTTATCAAAATATTTAGAAGGTGTTCTATTGCGTTATTACTCAGGTGAGGGTTGTTATGATAATTTTTTTTGCGATTGTTGCAAATAAAATTATTTAGCTTTAACTCTATTGTATTACATAATAAGTGCCTCATCATAAGCTTAGATTGGTCTAGAATCATAGTATGGTTCTTCCCTTTTTTTTAAGTATGCTATCCTCTTTCTTTGATCTTTCAAATATTCTTCTATATTTTAAGCATAGATGTCTAAACTCTTTACTACATTTGGTTTATGTTTTAATAATTTTTCTAAAGATTACTTCTGCTTTTCATCCTTTTTACATAGTGCTGAAAGATTAGGAAATGAACTTAATGAATTTGTTGATTCTTAAAGCATAATGCAGTTTATTTTATATAGTATTTAATTGTATAATAATAAAAATATTCAAGGAGATTTGGTTCATTTTGAAATATCTAAATTATGTACAATATTAATCTTTTTAGATGAATTTACTCTTAATTTTCATAATTATCTCAGTAGGTTTAGATAATACTGATATTATAATTCCAAATCCTTTATTTGAATACAAGTTTTCTTAAGATTGTGTTTTATATACTATATAAATATTATTATTTTCATCCAATTACATATTTTACTTAAAAAAAATGAATATCTCAATATCCAAGGAATGACTACTTAATATTAAAATTGATTTCAAATAATATACTTATCCAAAGGATGTATCTATTTTCTTTAAGATAAATAATCTTCTCTCAATATATGGTTATGTAATTATCGTAAATATCTCTTCTAAATGGAAAAGAAATGCAAAATTAGAATATTAAATTTATCTCTTAATTTTCTTGTATTCTGTATTTTTAAAAGGTACAAATCCATAAATGTTTGCAAAATGTTTAAGTAATTTGAAATTCTATATAAATAACAATGGAGTATATTTATTGAATATATATATTCGATGGCTTCAATATTTAAAAATAATAATATTTGTGCATCTTATTCTGGCAGCTAATTATTTTTAAGAGAATTTTGAGTTCTCCTTCGCCTATATAGTTCATAATCAGATACATTCTGGATTCTGATAACATTATCTCATATATTTAGACTATTTTTGGATGACGTAATTTGAGAAGTAAATAAATCTCATTTTATATGAGTGTAAAATAATAAGTATTTTGAGTATCACTACTATTAAGTTGGTTGATGAATACCAAGTCAATTGGTCTATTTACTTATTTTCAATCCATATAACCTTAAATAGGCACTTATGATATAATTGTAAAAAGTATGTTTTTTAATAATAAATGTAAATGGTTCATATTCTTTAAATTATGAATAAGAAATCACACATTTAGATTAGTATTATTTGTTATCTATACTTAATTCTTATTTAAGTTCATTTGGATGGTAGAAAATAGATGAAATACATCAATATATATGTTCATTAATGAATTAACAAATCAATTTTTTTGTTAATGTTATTGAATACGTCTTTAAAGTTTGGTTGTAGCTAACACCATCAATTATGCACGCTAATAATTATAAATAGTATTATTTACTCTTAATTTTCTACGAGCATTCAATTCTCTTAGTTTTTCAGTGACATCAGACAAATCTTTAGTCAATGCTTTCTCTCCAGTAATCCATGGATGCTTGCAAATCTAATCTGCTTTATATCTTTATTTTGGATCAACCTTTAGAAGTTTCTCAATTAGATCTTTAGCCTCCTTAGATATTTTCTCCCATTATTCCCCTGAGAAGTCTATCTTACCTGATTTGATCTACTCAAATAACTTTTCATTAGACTCTTCATAAAATGGAGGATAACCACATAATCTAGGTTAGATCCAATAAATTCAGATATATACAGCACATAAAGTATTACTCCAATACTCCAATAGTCAACTGCCATATCATATCCAACTCCTGTAAGGATTTCTGGAGCAACATAACCAGGAGTTCCACAAGCAGTGAGCATCAATTCATCAGAAATAACTTTTGCTACTCCAAAATCTGATATCTTAACAGTAGCATCTGGATCTGGAGTTGTATAAAGAATATTCTCTGGTTTAAGATCTCTATGTACAACACCCATAGAGTGACAATCTATAAAAATAATTTAGATATAAATTACATCTGATAGCATCAACTACTGGTCTAATGACATCGGCTGCTTCTTTTTCATTATATAATTCTTTCTCAACTATACGATCAAAAAGTTCACCACCTGTCATTAATTCAAGCACTATGTAAAGTTTTTATTTATCATCAAAGACTTCCAATACTTTAACAATATTTGGATGATCAATCTAACTCATTATTTCCACTTCACTCTAAATAGCCAAATGATCATCACTTTCTAATGATACTCTAATAAAAATAATCTCATATTAATATACTTGTCAATTATTTTTACTGCAACTTCAATATTGTCACTTTTTCTAATAGCCTTCCTCACTATTGCATAACTACCTTCTCCTAATATTTTATCTAATTTATAGAAATCTTTAATATTAGCAGTTTTGTAAATACTATCCATTTTAATTTAAATAATGTTTTTTAAAGAGTAGATTGTCTTGATTCTAAATCTTGAAGCAAAAAACAAAAAGATTAAACTCTCTATTCATATTAATACTATTTTAAAAGAAAATTACTAATCTTATAGTAGAACAGTTATGTATTCATTCTTTTTAACAATATAATTGGATCAAAATGAATTATTAAGAAACTATTAATTTAGATAAAGCAAAGATATTAAATAAGTGAACATTAAATCTGATAATCAATCATTATTTTCAAATATAAAGACAATAAATATACTACTTTAAAGTTGAAATCTTAACTTTTAGAAGTAAAATATAAATATAAATAGGATATTTTTGTTAATTTTAATATAGAAATAATATACTCAAGAGTTCTTAGAACTTTCTAATTTCAATCTATTGAGAGAGATTTTCTAATAGGTATGTATATAGACCAAATAGTAATCTCAAAATTAAAAGTGGAATAATATTTGAGAAGATTAGTTAAAGTTAAAATAGTGGATTGTTTTTTATTTCCATAATTAATTGAACCATATGGTTTGCATTCTTCTATTTTGAATTTATTATATAATTATATTAATGATAATCATGTACTATAAAAAATAGTAATGTTGTACAACTATGTCTTAATTATTAATTTTATATATATATATAAATAATAACAGGGTTATTTCTTAATTAAAATAGGAAATTGATAATTTATAAATAAATAATAATTAATGGAAGTGTTCACTTTACCAATTTTTTAGAAATTAAACAAAATATAATCTTGTTAAGAAGAGGATATCTATGAGCCATTGGATGAACCATAATAATAGCCTAGTTGTGAAGAATGCAAAAAGGTTTTTACCAACAATTCTAAACTATAAAGACATATACGAGAGACACATTAAAACTTGAAGCAATTTCGATGTGAGTAGTGTGGGAAGGAGTTTAAGCGTTCTTAGCATCTTAAAAGACATTAATTAACTCATAGTGGAAGTCGACCATTTAAATGTGAAAGTATATAATAGATTTGAGATTGAGGTTGTCCATAGAAATTTACATGTAAACATCATTTGAAAAGACATATGTAATTAATTCATGAAATGAAATCATATGAATGCAATGAATGTGATTAAAAGTTTACAAAGAAGAGATAATTAAAGAAACATTAGTAAGATCATCATAAGAAATAATAAAATGAATTATTTTAATGTTTAAAATGTAATAGAGTATTTTAGAGATTGAGATCTTTGAAGAAACATAATTTGGTTAGACATAAAAATATAAGAGCATTTGGTTGTGAAAAGTGTAATAAACATTTTGCTCATAAATAAACATTAAATAAGCATATATAAAGGTGTCACAGTGAAATTTGAAATTTATTTATATTAATTTATTAATGAAAAATATGATGTTACTTCTCTTGAATTTACTTTTAGTAAGTTATTCAGAGCTCCTACCAAAAGTAGATTAATGCACATGCAAGCAAATTCTTAGTTCTAAAGATTGTACCTAATTAACTAAGTGTTAATGGAACACAGCATCAGGTTCTTGTGAAGATCGTAAATCTACAGATTTAGAATCATATTGTTCATTAAATAGTTCTAATTGTCCAATAAATGGTTGTGCTTTATAATAAGGAATTTGTAAACCATTTAGTGGATGTTCTGTATATTAAGGAAAAACGCATGAAGAATGTTAAAAGATTTCTCGTTTATGTACAACAAATGGAGAACATTGTATTAATATTGATTTGTTATGTGATAATTTTAATNTACTATAAAAAATAGTAATGTTGTACAACTATGTCTTAATTATTAATTTTATATATATATATAAATAATAACAGGGTTATTTCTTAATTAAAATAGGAAATTGATAATTTATAAATAAATAATAATTAATGGAAGTGTTCACTTTACCAATTTTTTAGAAATTAAACAAAATATAATCTTGTTAAGAAGAGGATATCTATGAGCCATTGGATGAACCATAATAATAGCCTAGTTGTGAAGAATGCAAAAAGGTTTTTACCAACAATTCTAAACTATAAAGACATATACGAGAGACACATTAAAACTTGAAGCAATTTCGATGTGAGTAGTGTGGGAAGGAGTTTAAGCGTTCTTAGCATCTTAAAAGACATTAATTAACTCATAGTGGAAGTCGACCATTTAAATGTGAAAGTATATAATAGATTTGAGATTGAGGTTGTCCATAGAAATTTACATGTAAACATCATTTGAAAAGACATATGTAATTAATTCATGAAATGAAATCATATGAATGCAATGAATGTGATTAAAAGTTTACAAAGAAGAGATAATTAAAGAAACATTAGTAAGATCATCATAAGAAATAATAAAATGAATTATTTTAATGTTTAAAATGTAATAGAGTATTTTAGAGATTGAGATCTTTGAAGAAACATAATTTGGTTAGACATAAAAATATAAGAGCATTTGGTTGTGAAAAGTGTAATAAACATTTTGCTCATAAATAAACATTAAATAAGCATATATAAAGGTGTCACAGTGAAATTTGAAATTTATTTATATTAATTTATTAATGAAAAATATGATGTTACTTCTCTTGAATTTACTTTTAGTAAGTTATTCAGAGCTCCTACCAAAAGTAGATTAATGCACATGCAAGCAAATTCTTAGTTCTAAAGATTGTACCTAATTAACTAAGTGTTAATGGAACACAGCATCAGGTTCTTGTGAAGATCGTAAATCTACAGATTTAGAATCATATTGTTCATTAAATAGTTCTAATTGTCCAATAAATGGTTGTGCTTTATAATAAGGAATTTGTAAACCATTTAGTGGATGTTCTGTATATTAAGGAAAAACGCATGAAGAATGTTAAAAGATTTCTCGTTTATGTACAACAAATGGAGAACATTGTATTAATATTGATTTGTTATGTGATAATTTTAATGATAATTAATTGGGTTGTGTAGTAGATTTGGATGGATATCCATGTTATTGGAATAATGATAACAAGAAATGTTATTAAGTTTAAAATTGTAATGAATTACCATCATCTTATACAACTCATTAAACTTGTTATGAAGCTGGATAGATTAAGATGTTAAAATGTACAGCTAAAGAAGGAGGAGGTTGTATGGATATAACAAGTGATTGTGCCAGTTTATAAAAATTAGGATGTGTATAAAATTAATTAGGTAAAGATTGTTTTTGGGATGGATCTTCATGTAAAGATAAAACTTGTACAAATGCTCCTAATTCTTATACAACACATGAATAATGTTAAAAGTATTTAAATACTTGTTCTCTTAATAATGATCAAAAAGGATGTATGGATATGCCAAATTCATGTGATAGTTATATAAATGAATCATAATGTATTTAAGTTTAAGGAACTTAATGTTTTTGGTTCTCAATTACTTGTAAGGATGGTGATACTAATTGTTAACCTAAAGCTGAATGCAAATCTTGGACTTGTGAAAATGCTTATTCTACTTATAATAATGATATTTAATGTAGATAATTTAAAAGTGAATGTACAGTTAATAATACAAATAATGGTTGTATTAAGAGATTGGAATCATGTTATGAATATACAACTCAAAATTAATGTGTAAGTGTATTAAATGATTAATAAAATTGTTATTGGAATGGTAGTAAATGTGTTGATAAAACTTGTATCAATGCTGTATTAAATAAATATGATTAAGTATCATGTAGTAGATATATGTCATAATGTACAGTATTTAATAATAAATGTACTTAAAAAACTTGTAGTACATATTTAAGTGAAAAATAATGTAGTAATGATTATTAAAATAATAAATGTGCTTGGAGTGGAACTTGTACATTAAAAACATGTGAAAATGCAAGTGATGAATTAACATCACATAAAGATTGTTAATAATGGTTAAATAGTTGTACAGTTTAATCTGATCTTAAAGGATGTCAAAATTTAGAATAAGTTTGTAGTGCTTACAAAATCTAAGATTAATGTTATTTAGCAGGTAATACTAAATATACATGTTTATGGATCAATGGACAATGTGTTTAAAAAAGTTGTTCTACTGCTAGTCTTTATATTTATACAGATGAAGAATGTAATAGTTATTTAAGTGGATGTATGATAAGTGATTAAAAAAGTGGTTGTGTATCTCGTAAAGCTACTTGTATAGAATTATAAGAACATTAATGTTCAATAACTAATTCAGGATCATATTGTTTTTGGAATGGATTATAATGTGTAGCAAGACAATGTACATAAGTTGTTTATAATACATTTAAAGCATGTAATACATTTTTATCAACTTGTACTGCTAATTATGATGGTACTCAATATAATGGATGTGTAAATAAATAAAATAAATGTAATTAATATAATAATGAATTCATGTGTATTGAAAGTTTATCTGAAGGCAAATGTATATGGAATAAAAAAGCTACACCTAATGCTTGTGAAGTTAGATCCTGTTAAAATTCTGATCAAACTACAAGTGATGAAGCATGCAATAACTTTTTGAATACTTGTACTGTTAATTCTGCAAGAACTGGATGTATTGAACGATATTCAAAATGTAGTGAATATGCAAATGAAATTAATTGTAAATATACTAAATCAGGTGGTGAATGCATCTGGTATAATAATGTCTGTACAGATAGAACTTGTGATAAAGCTGATAAAACTTATACTTCTCATAATGAATGTTAATCTTATAGTAAGAATTGTACTACTAATGGAAAGGGATGCATTAAAATTGATTAATGTTCTTAATATACTACTAAATCAGGATGTATTATTGATAATAATAATTAATTATGTACATTCTAACCTAGTTGCAATCTACAATAATGTAGTGATGCTCCCTAATCCTATTCAACAGATGAATAATGTAAAAAATATAAAAAAGAGTGTACAACTAATGGAAATGGTTGTGTTTTGAGAACTGAATGTTCAGATACTTATATTGAATAGGCATGTGTTACTGATTCTAATGGTAATAAATGTACATGGATTAATAATAAATGTGTTGCTTATAGTTGTTCAAGTGCTCCCAGTAAGTATGTTACTGAAATAGAGTGTTAATTACATAAACCAGGATGTACAGTAAATTAATCTGGAGGTTGTACAAATAAAGGTCTATGCAAAGATGCTAAAATTTAATAAGCTTGTACAACAGATAAATATGGTAATTAATGTAGATTCTCAAAGGATGGATGTAGAGATATTATTTGTTCAGATGTTGCATATACAAATCACTATGATTGTGCTAAATTCAATTCTTAATGCACATCTAATGGATTAACTTGCATTACTCAAGCAAAGTGTGATACCAAAATATAAAGTGGATGCTTTTTAGGTTCAGATGGACCATGTTTATGGGTGAAAAATGGATGTTATCAATATTCATCTTGTACATCACTTTAATTCTAGACTCATGAATAATGTTATGAATTCAGTAATGAATGCACAACTGATGGATTTACTTGTATACCAATTGATAAATGTGAAAAATTACCTGCTTAAGGGTGTATTTAAGGAACAGATGGTAAATGTGTCTATTTATCTGATAAGAATAAATGTGTAGTATTTAAAACTTGTAATTCAATAGAATATACTACTCATTAAGATTGTTAAAATGTAAATAAGACATGCACAACAGATGAAACTAAATGTATTGAATTATAAGATTGTTCATCATATACTAAATAGTCTAATTGTTAATTAAATAGTGATTAATAAAAATGTTATTATGATGAAAAAGAAAAGAAATGCTTAGATTTATAATGTTCCCATATATAATTTACAACTCATGAAGAATGTAATACTGCTTTAAAAACTTGTACTACAAATACCACAAAATGCATTTCAATTGATAAATGTGAAAATTATAGTAAAGAATATTGTAATATTGCTCTTGGTTCTGATGGTAAATGCAAATATGATCCAACAGATAATAAATGTCGTTTAATTAAATGTACTGAATTAGTAGATAATTGTACTTAGATTAGTAAATGTGTAGATAGTGGAATTGGATGTGTTGAATAATTCACATGTGATAAATATGAAACTGAAAAAGGATGTAAATAAGGTGGTAGTGATGGATATTGTGTATGGTATTTAGATAATGGAGAAGGAAAATGTAAAATCATGAGTGCTTGTTCAGATGCTTCAACAAATAAAGAGGCATGTTAATCAAAATCATGGACTTGTTAATGGACTGAAACTGCTACCAAAACCACATGTGCCTAACATACATGTTCATCAAAATCAAAAGAAACTGGATTATGTTTACCTATCTTAGATTTCTTTTAAAAGAATTATGAATTGTGTGCATTATCTAGTGAATAGTGTATTTCAGCATAGAAATCTTCTTTAGGGGCATAAACTTGCTTTTAATCTACTGCTTATACATACACATGGGATTCTGCCAATTCTTTCTGTTTGTAATGTGGAACAATATATACAAATACAAACAATCAGACAAACAATTCCAACAATTCAAATACAAATGATACAGATACTGACAACTAAGTTCAAATCTTATTCCCTATGTTAAGTCTGATTATTAGTATATATATATGATTTTTCATAAATCTTCCAAATTTAGTATATCAAAGTTTTCTTTTTAATTATCTTAACTGTTATCAAACCATTTTATTAATTATCCTTCATGCCATTCTCCAAACCTACTCTAACCATTACTCAAGATAACCTTACCCTTCCCATTTGCCTTTGATTATTTAAAACCACCTTCATAAGTCTTACCATCTAACAATAATTAATATAGAATACTTGACCATTTTAAAATACCATAACCATTAGGAACATCTTTATTAAATAATCCTACATAACAATAACCATTAGGCCATTTAATTTAACCTTAACCACACATAAAATCTTCAAACCACTCTCCATTATATTCTTTACCATTCTTCCATACTTAAGATCCTTATCCATGTCTCTTATTATTAATCCAAAATCCTGTATATGTTGAACCATCATTCCAAATGTAAGTTCCCTATCCTTATTTTATTCCTTCATAAAAGTATCCCTCATATTTACTCCCATCTTCCCAAATTTCTGTCCCATATCCTTATTATAAATCATCCTTCCACTGTCCTTCAAATTTACATCCACTTATTGATTGAAATATTCCTCTACCATTTTATTTATCATTTTCCCACTATCCTTCATAATAGTCTCCATCAGGATAAATAAACTTACCTTACCCATGAGCTCTATTATTCTTCCATTCTCCTTCATATTCTGAACCATCTGGCCATTTTAAAATCCCATATCCTTCTCTTTTATTTCCAACCCAATCTCCTAAATATTCTGCTCCACTTTTTAAAGTTACTGTTAATTGTTTGGTTCTTTCTTAGGTTTTTGTAGTTTAACTTGAATTCATCTCTTTCTATTTTTTTTTATAGTTATATTTAATATTGATTTAGCGAGCATCCAAACGATTCAATTCTGTATCATCACAAGGTTCTACATCCTCTTAATATTATTAATTGTTGCAACATTGTGCTCCCATAACAAATTAAATTTAATCAAAAAAACAATACAAAAACTATTATAAAAATTTATAATTTAATTTTTACAATCATTTGAAAAGTATAGTATATCTATAAATTAAGTCTAATAAAACATTTATTATTTTTAGTTTCATTAAAATTAATTAAAGTAGATTTCATAAATTCATTAGAATATATAAAATTTTAATTTCTATTTCTCATAAGGGTTAAAAACCTTGAAGAAATTAATTAAGAACTAATTAATTCTCATCTTAATTTTAATATCTATAATTAAAGTAGAACTTTTGGATAACCTTATCAGAAATATTATCATAAAATTATAAACTTTAAATTTGATAATAATAATTTAAATATTAATCATAAGTACAATTTTGATAAAAAAGGATTCACATTTATGAATAAGCTTATTAAACCTGAATCAAGAGTTCAACGCAACATTCGTATAGTAATGACGAATATTAAGGAGGAACAAAAATAAAAAGGTATCCTAGTATTTTAAATTTTAATAAGTTGTAAAATATTTTAGTCATCTTAAGGAAGAAGGTGAATTAGCTAAACCTAGATATGCTCATTCATAATTTCCTTAATAGAAATTTAATTAAAGTGTTGCAGAACCTAGTCTCATTGATTTTTAACTTGACAATTAAAATTTGAAAGTAAGTAAAGTGGGAACTCTAGTGGAACCCATGATTCCAATATTAGAAGTTTCTAATAAACCTATAATTAAGAAATTCAAAGTTCTAAAACATCCAGTATTCTTAACAGAAAATATAATAAACACAATAAAGCCAGTCGAAAGAAGTTGTGAATTACCTATATCAATAAAAAGAAGCACTAAATAATAAATGATGAATAAAGAAATTCTACATCGTTTAGGATTATTGAGTGTTCAAGCAAAGAGGGAACTTCAAATTGAAAAACTAAGCAACAGAGTTCTCAAGGTTTAAAGAAACAAAGAGACATCTTCATTAAATCATAAATAACTAGAAGCAATTACACTTTAATTGAAAGAAAATGATAAATAAGAATAAATTTAATCTGCTCAAAGATGTACTACTTCAGCATCTGGTGCATCTAGAAAAGCCTATGATTTATAGGATGAGTATTTGGTTGATTGTCTAACTGAAAGACTTAATTTGGTATACAGTGTTTAAACCTTTAAAAATAGGCCTTAGACAAGAATTACTAAAAGAAAAATTCACAATTTTTTTAAAACAGTAACCATGGCGCATTTAGATAATTTAGATGAAATTAAGAAAGATGATCAAAGCATTTAGATATAAATTAAATCTATTAAAGAAAGTTTATAATTATGTAAGAGACGACTTTTAGATTATAATGATGAAATAGAAATAGCTCTTACAGAAGATATTAAAGGATAAGTCATTGAATATAAAAACATTATTAAAAATAAAAAAAAATGACAGATATCAAAAAACTCTATTGCAGATTCGTAACTGGAATGACAGTTGAATTAGATATTAGACCGGAAACTAAAACTGTATTATTGCTAAAACAATAACTTTCTGAAGTTATAAATCTTACTCCAGATAGATTATATATTGGATTCGAAACAACTTTATTAGATGATCAAGATTATTTGGGTGTAAAAGGAATATCTGATTGTGATACTGTTCATGTAATAACATCCCAATTAACAGAAAAAATAGCATTTAAAAAATGAGATTTCATACAATTTTATTAATAATCAATATACATAATTATACCTTTATTTTTCTAAGAGATTTCTTGATTTTTTTTGAATAGAATTACTAATATGAGAGATAATTAAAAACAATAGAATTTATATAAAGGATTGTTGATTTGTATAATTTTATTATCTATAGAAATATTAATATATAAATAATATATAATATAAATGGATCTGAAGAATGAAAAATATAATGAATCATTAACCTAAATTGAGTTGACTGTTGAGACAATTACAAACATTCTTTATAATTACGAATTTTTTAAGAGAATATCAGGATTTTTAAGTTTAAAGGATGTTTTAACTCTTGGATAAAGCTGTCGTATTTTAAATGAAATCGTTGAGGTTATATGTGAATAATTAACATATAGAAACATAAAGAATTCTTTGGAGAGATCTATTATAAATTATTTCTTCATGAATAACTTGAAATGACTCTTGAGTTAAGCTACCCAGACATACAAAAAAGAAGGTAGATTAGATTATAGAATTTTGACAATTCTTGTTTTGATTGGAAGAATTAACTTAAAAGAATGATACTAACTAAGTAAATTAGAGTTTAAATAATTAATAGATAGACTTTAAAATTTCCATTTATCCTTTGTGATGCTGTGTTTCCCAAACCTATCTTAAAGAGAGAAACTATAGGGATACATTGTGAATCTGAGTTTCAAATTATGTTAGCTTAACGTTTAGAACTAGAACAAAAAGGATTTGATAAGTTGTTTGACTTTTAATTTATTTAGAATGAAGTAATTATGTAATATAATCTAATCCTGTAGTTGATGAATGAGTTAAAACAAAATAAATTATAAATATTGGCTGAAATTTAATATAAGTTATAACATAATGAAAAACTTAAAAAATAGTTTTTATAGTATAGATGGTGTTTGTAAGAGGAATCATATGAATTTTAGGAATTATATGTATAAAAAATGGATGTAGTAAATGATGAATTTGAATAATAATTGGAACCATAAAATGAAGAATAAATTTGCATTTTTAATTTAATGGAGGAATTTTATTCTTCTTTGGAATGTTATTTGGAAGGATTATAATAGTATTTTAGTGTATTTATAAATGCTAATACCATAAACAGTATTGATTTGCTTAGTGAATATGTAATGTATTGGTAAGCTTATAGTAATGCCATTATGGATTTATCAACAATAATCTTTCCATTTGAGAATATTATAAATGAGTTACATCAAAATCTATTCTCAAAATATCCCTAATATCCAAAGTTTTCAATTTGGAGGGTGATGACTAAAATGTGGATAAAATATGTAAACTTCAAATTAATCAAAAGATAATTAGAAATGAATAACTCTAAGCTATTTTAATACAATGTTTTTTACGTCTACTCTCAGCTCAAAGACAATAAATGTTCAAAAAGGAATTTGATTAAGGAGTCAATGATGATCTAGAAAGTACTTAATCATTTTAAATAACTTATGAAATCTATGATAATTTCTTATTGAAATAAAGAAATAGTTGTAGAGATTAATATTAAATTGATACTTCACATCAAGTTTATACTGAAATAGTAGATCTATTAAGAAATTTTATTAGATGCATTTAAGATATATCAATTAGTGAGGTTAATCAGTCTAATTAATAATTTAGGTTTCTGTTCATTGGGTAGGTCATAAAGATTGTTGTTATGAAGAATTTTATGAATAGTTGAGTGAGAAAATATAATATGAAACCAGTTTTTATTATGATGAGAGTAGATAAGTATTTGGATCAAATATTATATCTTTTATCGAGTTTATTAAGTTTGATAAGGAGTAAATTAATAATTAATTAAACCATTTATTAGATTTTTATAGTAAATTGTACCTGAACCTCTTATGTTCAAAATTGAAAATCTTTAGAGAGAACACATTTATACATCTTTATATTATTTTTTAGAAGTTTCCTATTTATAAAAATTTGTATAAACCAATAAAGAACAAATCATACAAGTTTACAAAACTTCTAAACCTAAATCTCCAAAATAAGAGCGTATTTCAATAACATCATCTTAAAATAATGAACATCTTGAAACATAAGGAGATTCTAATTTAAATGATGCTTAAAAATTCTTTAATTTATGTTTAGAAAATAGCAATTTAGATTTGGAGGATCTATTAATCAAAGAGAAAAATAAACATTCATAAGATCCTTTATTAGAAATCATCAAAGTTGCACTTTCTCAAATGAATCTTGAATAATTGGCAGTCTTTGATGATACATATTAATTTGGGAATTCATAAGAATATCTTGATTTTAATAGGCCTCCAAGAATACATAGAGCATTTTCAAATACAAAATGTAATTAATTTAATATATAAAAAAAATAAGTGAATGCAGAACAAACTGAAGTTCCAGAAGAAATTATTAAAGCTGCAAAATAATATTTATTATCCGAACTTTAATTTTCTAAACTATATCAAGTATTCACTGAATATTCCAATTATTATGATAAAATGCTAATATAAGTTGTAACTAGAGATAGAGATGTTGAATTAATAAATAATGACAGAGAAGTTCCTAGAGTAAGTTTTATTAATTTAATTATAGATCTTACCTGAATATCTTTAAAGTTTTTATTATGTTTCTAAATTCTTGACTAATTCTTTACTTGAGGAAAATATTGTTGAGGATTAAGAAGACGAATTTGAAGATCTAGATTTACCTCCAAGTCTCTCAAAAAATTCATCAAAAAAATTGAAAAGTATTTTAATAATTTTTAAATAGAAAATTCCAATTAAATTGAATATTATTACTCAGAAGAAGAAGATGAAATTAGCTACAATGATGGTGCTTGATTAGCATTTAGCATAAATTAATAGGAATGATAATATAAATATTAATTCTAGATTATTACATTTTTTTTCTTTTTATAATATTTTAAATGCATTTATTATGCTAAATATTAATCAAATAAATATATCTGATTTAATTTTACCTTCTTCAACCATTTCTAACATATCTCCTTCAATATCTTCTACATATTATTTTGATGTATTTATAATCTTTCCACTCATTACAGCAATTAAAATCTATTTAAATAATAGCTACTTAATTATTACTTCACCATTAATATAATTTGGATTTGTAGGAAAAACTAAGAAATTATTTTGATTAAGATAATATTTAACAAATGACCATCTCCATTTTTTTGACATTTCTTTTTTCATAGGCCATTATTCTGGAAATAGATTTCCTTTCAAAGGTCTTTTATCATCTCCAATCAAAGTCTTTAAATTTGTAACATAAAATATTTGGGTAACATTTTATTCTTTTACTTTTCTCTATTTTATATTGAGATTTTTATATATTACCCAAAATTTCTTTTCAAATACTACTTCAACTGTTTAACCATCTTTATGTAAATAGACTTCAGAAACAACATATCTCAAATATTTGAATTTCTTAAACCATCTCAAAAATACTATTATAGTTTATTTTATTCAACTTACACCAAAATTCTACAGTAAACATCATTGGTAATGCTGCAGGAAATGTTGAATAAACTAACATCTATAAATTAAATCTTACAAGGATTATGTTTGATTACATTTCCAATTAATACCATGGGGAATAAATACATCCAATATTATAACTGATAAGTCCATAGCTGAATTATATATTGAAATTATATATACCAAAGGTTTGTAATAGTAAAGTAATGATTTGTTTGATGAATCAAATTTGATTTTCTATTATGGATTATAAGTTAATGTTCTAACTAAATATAATCTTTTATAAAAACTTGTAATCTATCACAGTATTCTATGGTTTTATTGTGTAAGATTCAACTTTGCAAAATGCATAGATACTTTTATACTATTGTGTGAATCTCCTCAGAACCATTAATAAATTTTTAAAAAAATGTGAATATTTTTATTCTCAATTACTAGAGAAAATAATTAGTTAATCAATCAATTTTTTTATTTTTTACTTATATCTCCAATATTACTTTTGACTATTTAAAGTAGAGACTTTGTAGAATCAGCAATAGTTGCAAAAGCTGACTCTGCTTCTTTTAAGGTTCTATCACATTTCTCATATTTTTATCTCTTGATTGCAATTGATTTATTTAATTATTGTAATCTCTAATTCAAGATTTGTACATCTTCTAAAATCTAAGATTTCTCTTCTTCTTTTTCATTGAGTGTATTATCCAATATCAAATATCTAAAAAACTAAAATTTCAAATATTTACTATTGTTTCAAAGCTTTGAGAATATTATTTATTTATGATTCATCTTCAGATATTGTTTCCTCTTATTCTGGATGATGATATTTTGTTTTATAAGGAGTACTTTATGCAGAAGACTTTGCACCTGATGGTTAAGTGAACATATTAAAAAAATAAATTAATTGTTAATTTGAAAATAAAACTAATAAGAGCATTATTAATTATATATAACAATAAAAATGAATACTAGATAAATTTAGAATGTAAATCAAAAGGTTATATTAAAAAGAATTGAAAATTTCACAATCTTAGAATTTACAATAAATTGGATAATATTCATTATCTAAGAATATTTGAAGCATTCATGGTTCTTCTTTATAATTGTATAGTAATATATTAAATATCATAGAATTTTATATATCTAATATTAAATATTGTCGAAATTCACATCATAGGCTATTCAAAATAAATAATTCCCCATCATTTCCTATTAATGTAATTATTCTTTCTAAACTAATAGATCTAAGGCCTTTTTATTAATTTTACTGTTAATCAATATTATAGTTTATGGAATTCAATTTAAATTAATTCTGCTTTTCCTATAAATCCCCATCTTATTATTAAAAATAAAACTTAGATCTTTAGCAATAATAGGTCACTAGGATCGTCATTAACACATTTAACTTGAAACATAACATAACTAATGATTGTATTTTGTTTTTTTATCATTCCTATCATTCAAATTTAGCCCTCTCTTTATTAGAGTATAATTTATGAAAAGATTATTCCAAGTTTGGATTAATTTGATTTTTTGTTAAATAATTAATAGATAAATAAATACCTAAACCAATATATAGAGTATGTAGATACTTATTTAATTAAATTACTAATTTTATATGAGATATATTATATATATGATATATCCATAATATATAAATGAACTGAATTAATAAAATGATTTGATTTATTTAATATTTCTCATACTCAAATTCATGCTGGACAACCACTGCTACTAGTTGTCATAGCACATAATAACCATGCTGACTTATCATAAACACCAGCAAACACTAAAGAAAAAATTGCACTTAATTTAATGAGAATATTCAAAGATGGACCAGAAGTATCTTTTAAAGGATCTCCAACTGTATCACCTATAACTGCTGCTTTGTGTTCATCAGTACCTTTACCTCTAATAATATCATCTAAAAATATAAACTAAAATTACCAATTTCACATAAATCAGCTTCAATATACTTTTTTGCATTATCCCAAGCTCCTCCAGAATTGGCTGATGATGTAGCCATACATACTCCAGAAACTAATATACCTGGCAATAATCCAGCGACAGCAGTAGGACCAAGGAATAATCCCAAAATCAATGGTACTAAAATGACAAGTAATCCTGGAGCAAACATTTCTTAAAGAGAAGATTTAGTTGATATAGCTATGCATCTATCATAATCTGGTTTCTCTGTTCCATCTCTTATTCCTGGTTTTTCAGCTAGTTATTTTCTAACTTCTTCAACCATTTCAAATGCTGCTCTTCCAACAGATTTTAATGTGAAAGCAGAAAACCAATAAGGAATCATAGCTCCAATTAAGAGTCCTAAAAATATTAAAGGAGAATTGACTCCTAAATCTGTTAATGGATGTTTATTGAGAGAGTTAGAAGCTCTTGTGATAAATGCACCATACAAGGAGAAAGCAACTAATGCTGCTGATCCAATAGCAAATCCCTTACCAATAGCTGCAGTACAATTACCAGCAGCATCAAGTTAATCTGTTCTATGTCTAACATCTTATGGATATCCAACCATTTCTGCAATACCTCCAGCATTATCAGAAACAGGACCATATGCATCAATTGCCAAACCAATAGTTAAAGTTGATAACATTCCTAAAGCACTTAATGCAACTCCAAACATAGATAATAAAGAATATGAAATAAATGCAGTAAATGCTAATAAGAATACTGGAATAATAGTTGAAAGATTTCCTAAAGCAATTCCATAAATAATATTAGTAGCTGCTCCAGTTCCACATGCTTAAGCAATTTCTTATACTGGTCTATAAGAATGTGAGGTATAATATTCTGTTACAAATCCGATGATGCAACCACTTATGAGTCCTACAACAGTACAAAGCCATGCATGAATGGGTTGTCTATCTACTGGTGACAATCCAAAGATTCTTTCTGGTAAAGTTAGATATGCAACATAATAAAGAGCAGGTAACATTAAAAGAGTAGATAGAATCAACTAAACTTTCAATGCATTTGAAACTTAATCAAAATCTTCTTTTTGACCTACAAATGCAAAAATAGAGACAATAAAACAGCTATAAATTTAGATAAATTAATTACACAAGAATTCCTGATGCTGAAACTAATAATGGATAATAAAATGTTGTTGGATGATAATAAAATGATGGAGATACACTACATACTACTAATGCAGCACAAGTAGCTTCTGCAAATGATCCAAATAAATCTGCACCCATTCCAGCAATATCTCCAACATTATCTCCTACATTATCTGCAATAGTTGCTGGATTATTTGGACTATCTTCTTTAAAATTATTTTCAACTTTTCCAACAAGATCTGCTCCTACATCAGCTGCTTTTGTATAAATTCCTCCACCAACTCTACCAAATAAAGCTATTACTGATCCTCCTAATCCATATCCTGCTATTGCTTCAAATAATTATTAAAAGTCTCTATAATCTTTTATGAACCAATTTATATAGATTCCCATAAGAATTGTTAAACTTAGTAACGCAAAACTAACCAATGCAAAACCCATAACACATCCAGCTCTATATGCTACTGCAAATGCATCTGTCATTTTTGTCTATGCACAGTAGGCACAACGATAGTTGGAGAATGTGGCTACTCTCATACCAATAAATCCTATTTTTAATGATTATATCTGAACCTGATATGATTGATGTTAGGGCTCCAACTAAAAATGCTACAGTAGTCCAAGCTTATCCTAAGACTGGCTCAACGATAAAGAAGATTAGTAATGCTAATAATATAATTACAACTCCAATGTATCTATATTCTGCAGCCAAAAATGCAGCTGCTCCACTTTCTATATGAGAAGCTATTTCTAACAGAAGTTAAGAATGATGATCTTAATAATCATCCTGGAAATTGTTATATTAATTTGGAGTGCCTATCTTTATTTGGTTAAGTTTGTATGCGTTATATAATGCCCAAAGTAATCCAATACCTGTTGATACTAGAATTAATATGTTTGATAATTCAAACGATATCATTTTATTTAAATAAATTTAATTATTTTTATTGATTTCTTATATGCAATAATCAAAAGAATATGAACATCAAACACAAAATTATCGAAGATGTGGACTTCATGCAGTTAATAATTTACTTTAATAAAATAAATATTCCAGAGAAGACTTTGAAAATATTGCAGAAGAAATTAAAAAAGAAACAAACTTATCTCATTATACTTATTTCTTTGGAAACTATGATTTAAATGTTATTGAAAGAATTTTATTAAAAGAATCATATGAAATAGTATGGATTAGATAGAACCAAGAAATTAATGAAGAACTTATTGCTGATCCTTAAGTATATGGATTATTGATTAGCCTCATTAAGGAAATATCTTTTATTGAGAAATTATGTAGATGGGATCCTAGACATTGGGTTTCTATAAGAAAAGTTATTAAGCCTGATAATGAATTAGAGTTTTATTATCATGATTCATCATTGAAAGCTCCTTAAATAAAATAGACTCCTGATATGATTTAAGAATTAAAAAATCTACAAATGGATAAAGCTAAAGAGAATTATATATTATTAGTGAAAAAAAGATGAATCATTCACTTAATTAATTTTATAATATTTTATGAAGCCAACTTTAGATATTTTAGAATAATAATATAAAAATATTCATTGGAATTGTTAAAATTCATATAAATTTTCTACTTTTTTTTGTATATCCTTTTAGTTCTATGTTATAAGTTCAAATTAATTTAATAATTTCTTATTCATTCTTTCTAATAAAGATCCAAAACATTCTTAATATTATGAATAATGTTTTTTTTTATGTTCATTAGATTATTTTTGATAATTGGCTACAAACTTAGTCAATTATTTTTAATAGTATTGCATTATATGTTAAATAGTAAGATCTTCATCCTTTACTTCATAAATTGATTCCTAAATTTCTTAATATTTGTGTTATTCTTTATATTCTCTTAATTTTTCATTGATCTAATGAAGACTTTCTTAATAGATATTTGATTTTTCTGTACTCTATTTTAAATGGATATTAAATACAATTTATCTTTTAAGAATGTAATTGGAAGCATCAATATTTGCATTTTAAACTTCTAATACAAGTTCTATATTTTTGGTTTGACATAGATTTACTTAACAATTAATAATATAATACCAGCACCTTATAATGAATCATCATCTACAATTATGACAGGATTACTATCATCATCATCATCCTTATAGATTATTTAATACATTGATTGAAGTTCATATGCAAATCTTGTTTCAATAATCTCAATCAAACTATTGAAATCAATATTGCCAACTTTTATTTCTTATCCCTTATAAATGATTAACATAATTTAATTAAAAAATGGATGAGGACAGACCAAAAACATCTTCATTTTCATTCTCCAGATTTGGTCGGAGATTAGATTAAAGAAAAACAACTGGAACTAGATTCTATCCATAAAATGTTGTTGCAGTTCCACCAATTAAATTGGAAAAAAAAATAACTTAAAAAGGGGATTGGTTATTCAGAAGAATAGATAGATCATAAGGATCCATCTATTCTTAATAATAATAAGTAACTTAAGCAGAAAGAGATTACAAGCCTCATTTTGATATTATAGAAAAACATATTCCAACAATAAGTTTTGAAAAGCAAACAAAAAGAAGATCTATGAGTTTGTCAAATAATTAATAGGATATTTCAAATGTTAAGATACCTCCTCCAAAAGTGAAGATGATGATTCCATTTGAAAAATAAGAAGGAAGAAAGGATATGTAAAGAAATACAGTTGATAAATTTTATTAACCAATGGATCAATAGAAAAATAACAATGCTCATTCTTTTGAATCATATTCAGCAAGAAAACCATTAGTAGAAAAGGATGCAATGCCAGATTATGAGATTTAAAAGAGTTTTAACTACGTAAAATCAAGAAGATAAACAGCAGTTGATTTTGGTAAGTCATCTTAATAAAAGGAACATTTACCTATAACATGTTTATTAGATTATGATGTTAAATTAAGCCAAAAAATAAGAACAATCTTATTTAATAAGTAGATTCCCAGAGAGAAAAAAGCTTAGAATGAAATGTTCATTAAATTATTTCAACGGTTACAAGCCAAAGTTAATTGATTCAATCAAATTTTTACTATCCTTCATATCATATGTAACAATATAAAGAGTCTAGAACTAGTAACTTATGTAATTAATTTATTTTCTTTAAATAATTGGTTGTTTTATATATTTATTATTCTAATGAATAAGAGATATATTTTGATTATATTATAAATTTATTTAGTATTTATAGTTACGCACTAACTCAAAAAATGACTCATTAATATAAATGAGTGAAAAGAAAGCAGCGGGAGGACTACAAGGTATAGTTGCTGGATAATCTGCTATTTCCACAGTTGGAGTAGGTGGCATAGGGTTAAATTACAGAGGTTATGATATTAATGTAAGATATAAGTTTAGAAAATTTTAGGATCTTGCATATAAATGTAGTTTTGAAGAAGTGACTTATTTGTTATTAAAAGGTCATTTACCTAATTAGTAATAACTTAATGAATTGAAAACTCTTATATAGTAGAAGAGATAAATTCCATGCAAATTAAAATAGATTTTGGAGACTTTACCTAAAGAATCCCATCCTATGGATATTATGAGAACAGTAGCATCTATTGTAGGTATTTTGGAACCAGAAACAAAATCTGGTTAAGAATACGAAATAAGTATAAGGCTAATTTCATTATTTGGTCCAGCTTTGTTGTATTGGTATCATTATAGCAATACAGGAATCAAAATAAATGAGAATACAGGAAAAGATTCAATTGCAGAAAACTTTCTTAAATTATATCATTTAAAGAGTGAAATTGATCCTTTGGTTATTAAAACATTTGATGTTTCATTAATATTATATGCAGAACATGATTTTGCTGCATCTACTTTTGCTGCACGTGTTACTGTAAGTACACTATCAGATTTTTATTCTGGAATTACTACTGCTATAGGAACTTTAAGAGGACCTCTTCATGGAGGAGCTAATGAAGCAGCTATGCAATATTTGGAACCTCTAAGAAGTATACCATAAGCAGATCAATTCTTAAATAGTAGATACTAAAGTAAATAATTGATTATGGGTTTTGGACATCGAGTCTATAAAATGGAAGATCCTCGATCTCCAATTATTAAAGATTTTTCATTATAATTAAGTAAGACTGCAAATGGAGATCCTACTCTATTGGCTGTTTCATAACATATAGAAAAACGAATGATTGAGGAGAAAAAGATTTATCCGAATCTTGACTTTTATAGTGCTAGTGCATATAAACAATGTGGGTATAATATAAATATAACATATTTAGAGTGCCTACTCCTATGTTCACTGCAATCTTTGTGATCTCTAGAATGACAGGATGGGGTGGACATATTATTGAATAAAGAAGTAATAACAAATTGATGAGACCTGTTTCAGAATACACTGGACCTGCTAAAAAATAATTTGTACCTATAGAAATGAGAAATAAAGCTAATTTATGATAATTTATTATTAAAATAAATATTTTGATGTAATTATAACAGGTAAATTTTTATTTTTTTTTTTGATTCTTAAAATTCAAATATATTTTTGATCAATTAAATAGATGATCCATTAAATTAGATGATCCATTAAATTAAGATAATCATTTACATATATGTTATAATAAGTTGAAAATCATTGTTTTTTTTTAACTATCATTTAATGTAATCTACTTAAATTCTATATTTATTTTACTTTAGTAATTTATCTTATTATATGGCTTTTTAAATTTTTACTTGATCTTTATTAAGAATATAATCTCTATTGTTTAATAATATCAATATCTCTAAGTCGGATGATTAATGTGTTAATCTATCATAATTTTTGGTTTTTGATTTTTTAATTTTCTTCAAACAAAAAGTGGATTGATTTAAGAATTTATGAATTAGGAAATATAAATTAAATGATTCTTTATAGATTAATTTCCTATTTTTAATGAATGTAAAAAAGTATAATTGATCTTACTTAGAATTTTATTTAACTGTAGCTGTTGTTTTTCTAATTTATAAGGATTTTTAATAGAAGAAATGAGTTTACTATTTGATCAGAAATATTATGAATAATCTTAATGTATTGAGTTAATAATTCATGTTTGTATTGATTTTATAAATATATGATAAAAATTGATTTAATTGTTATTGGTAATCTAGGTAATTGATATATACAAGATTATTAGGGTCTGGCAAAACAAGTCTTATATAGAGATTCATTGACTGTAAGATTTATCCTATAATTCAGAGGATGCTCCATTTTAACATAATTATCTTCCAACACTTGGATTAAATTTAGTAAAGAAAGAATTCGTCCATTAAGGATAGTAAATCAAATTATGCATTTGGGATACAGCTGGATAGGATAAATATTTTAGTCTCACAAAAAGTAGGTCTATTTTATAAATATGAAGGTTATTTTTAAAGAGCAGATGGAGTCATTATGGTATTTGACATTGCAGATAAAGACAGTTTCAATCGTATAAGCGATTATTGGATTAAACAAGTCTAAGAATGTTCAAAAGCAAATGCTTAATCCATTCTGGTTGGCAATAAAATAGATTTGTGCGAAGTACAAAATGCCACATAATTAGAAACGATAAGTCAAATTCCTTGAAGCTTAGGAATTCTCATAGAAATACAAACTACCTTATTTCGAAGTCAGGTTTCTTTTCATAATTAAGGAAGTGCAAAGACTGGAGATGGAGTGCAAGAGGCATTTAACTTTCTATCACGAAAATGTACAGAATGCATAGAAACAGAAGTGAACGAAGTGCAACATTTATAAATAGATTCTGAAAATAAATCAAAAGGATTTTAAGGATGTGTTAATACAATTATGGTATTTATGCTATTTATAATAGAGCATTTGGAAGAAATGATTAATGATTAATTATTTTAAATATTATTATTATATTACAGTTTTACATTAAAAAAATGTCAATGAAAAAAACACCTAATCAATCATCAGGTATTTCTTTTTAATAATTCTATTTTAAAAGGTCCTAAATTTATAAAAGATGTTACAAATAAATCTAGATCTGAACATAATCAATCTTTTGATGCATCCTATAGCAAGAATTATGCTCCTACTTTCAGTAATTAAAGCAGACTTAAAAGCTATAGTCAATAAGCAAATTTTTTGGATGATTTAGAAGAAGAATAATATCCAAATTAAATTAATGTTGCAATTCAAAAAAGACCATTTGAATTAGCATTATAGAATGAACTTCAAAAAATGTTATCTAAAATCATTGCAGGATAACATCTATCAATTGATGATTGTTAATCTATTATTAGAGTAATTGATGAATGTATTTAAGAGAGTTTACAAACTTTGAGATTAAAAGATGCAGAAGTATAACTATATTATAATTATTATAGGTTTAAAATATCAAATAAACATATGAATTAAAAATACATTAATAAGAAAATACTATTTTGGCTTTGGAAAATGAAGTTTAAGAACTTAAACATATGATTACATTAAATCCAAACGATTCAATTAATTTCAAATTGTAATAATTAGAACAGGAAAATGAAATGCTTAAATTATAGAATTAACAAGCCATTAAATTAGCTGTCTAAGGAAGAAATAAGAAATAAGAAAAAGAACTTTATGATGCCATGAATAGTAGTAAATCAAAATAAAAAGCTTAAGTTAATAATTATTCAATTTTGCTAAACTAGCAATATAATAAAATTTATTAACAAGATAAGAAGATTAAATCATAGTTATTTTGATTCTTATTATTTTTCATATATTCAATTAATTTTAGTACGAGTCAATTAATTTGAGTAAAAATTCTTAGATTTTTATGATCTTGAATTTTGATTCAATCTTTAACTCTAATATTCAACCATTTAAGCAGGTTATTCATAAGATTAGTTTTCATCAGAATCAATATCTAATGGAGTCGTTTTTTATAATTACCTAAATTAGTGCTAATTTCATGACTATCAAGCATATCGTTCATTTCTCTTATAAATAGATTTACAGAATCTTCTGTTCCCATAATACGGTCTTACATCTCCTAATTCTCATTTTCTATATTTCTTAACTTTAATATTAAGTAGATTTACTTTTGAATCCAATGTTTTATTAACTGAATTTCTCCTTAATTCATTTTCTAATTATGATAATATTTAATCCTTTTGTTTTATTTTCTATTGAAGATCCTATTCTTTTAATTTTTAATTTGTTATATTCTCCATTATTTCTTATTCTTTTATTTACAAATTTTTTATTTCTGTTTCTTTAGAAGCTATTACCTATAAAAAGGATTTTCTAATTTTTTCATTTTTGTTTTTAGAAAATTAAAGTCTAACTTTAAGGAATGCAAAATGAATATTCCTTTTTTATTTTTTTTGAATTATTGCTCCTATTTACTTATATTTTAATGCAATCTATGTAAAAAGTACTTTAAAATGATTAGCACTATATTTATTAGATTGCTTTAGTTTTCTAAATGCATAAAACTTCTATTAGTTTCCTCTACAATAATCAGTTAGAATTACTTTAATTTTATTATCAATGCTAACTTTCTCATTGATATTTCCATCTTTAAGAATACTAATTAATATTTTGCCATCATATTAAGAGTTTCAGTATGAATAACTTGTTCTCTTAATTTATTTTTTTACTAATCTAATTCATCAGATGACATTTTATATTTTTAATAATATCAATATAGTTTTTTGTCAAAATATAGTGGCATTTCTTATTCTAATCGAACTTTTTAAGGAATGATTTCACTTGATTTTAATATTTTATTAACAAAACCAATCCATAACTAATAAAAATATTATTAATAGTTTTACTTATGTATTTTATTCTAATTCATCAAATCTCTGAATTACATCTGAAAGATCTTTTATTTTGTTTTAATTCATCTAAAGAATTGAATCAGGAACTAGAATACTAGGTTAAGTAACAATAGTTTTTTATTGTAAATTTTGTTTCTTACTCAATTCCTCTAATTCATCTATTATACTCTTCATATTTTCTCTAAGTTATTAAGTAATGATTGCTTAAATAAATTAACTATAAATTAATTATTTTATTATTCATTACCTAGATTTTATAGTTTCAAATATAAATTATGTTAATTATTTTCCTTCTTATAATTTATTTTTTTGAATCAATAATTCACATAAGAAACATCCTTATAATAATATTGCTTAAAAAAGAATAGTCAAATATTCAAAAGCAGAATTATCTAAGTTTTTCAATTATAAACAATATTTTTGAAATTGAGTGATAACTTATTGAAAATTAATTGATGTTATTAATGTAGGAACTTAAAAATTAGAAATTATATTATTTATGAATAGGTATTTTGAATAATCTTATGAGAACATCTAATCAAAATTTTATGGAAATATTCCTGAATTAGAAATAAAGTATTTTTTATATTCATTGATTTGTTAAGGATATTTTAAAGTTGGATTTAATAATTTTAATTCTTCCTATAAATAATTTATAAATTAAATACATCTAAAATAGTATATCTAATAAAATAATGTCTATTTGGATTTCCTTATAGAAATTCTTCAAAATATTAATATTTAATTAAAGCTTTGCTTATTTAACTTTTTGGATAAATTATTTTATGTTCTGCAGCTCTTTATAATATTCGAGATTTTATCTATAATATTTTTTATTTATCAATAAGCATTAAAATTTCTTAATTTTTCTGTTCAATAAATTTCTCTAATTCATTACCTAATGGAATCAATTTATTTTAATTTATTTATTCACAATGTTCATAGATTAAACCAGATACATTAGTGTTTTTATTAGTTTTTCCTTAAGCTTCAGCAAATACTACTGGAAATTCTACTTATGTAACAACTCTATCATTAAACTTCCACCAATATTTTCCATCAAAAATAAAACAATAATAATGACCACTTACAGCAGTACCAGAATGAATTAATAGAGCTGTTAATTAATAGATAGTTTTCTTTGCTTCTATTACTCGTTTTTTTTATTCTTCTATTTTTATAAATTCCATTTATAATTATTATTTTTTATCTTTAAAAGCTTCTTAATATAAAGACAATTATTTAGCCATTTCAATATGACTTTAAAGATTTGGTTATGGATCAATGATAAATTATTCATTTGGCTATTTTGTAAATAGTTTGATTAAATTTTCAAATTATATCTCTGATTAATGATCTCCACATTATTCCAATTTTTATAAGATTTCTTATTCTTTTTTTAGTAACTCTTACATTTCTTTAGATTAATTAATTGAATCATCTTATATGAATTAACTAACATCAATAGTCTAAATAATATAGATATATAATTACTGAGGGAAATGTAAAAACTTTATTATTTTTAATAAGTTGATTTTAATTAGAATCATAAAGTACTCTATTTATATAAAACTATAAAATCTTTGGTACTGTTTTAATGTTCTAATGAATTAAAGCTTTGGTAAAAACCTTTTCTGAAATTTCATAGTCATCTATAAATAGAATTCTAGATGATGTAAATGCTTTTAATAGATTTTCTTCATTTGCTTCTATAGTAATAGAGCTATATTAAGTTGGAGTAGTTTTGATAACTTTATTATTAACAATTATGTTTTCTTCTGATTAACCATAAAATATAGATTTAAATTCTTAAATTACTTGATCATTGTTTAGATCCAATAAAGAATTTTCTATTACATCTAAAAACATCAGTTATAATTCATTATAATCATTTTATTCACCTTTAATAGTCAAAATATCTAGAAGAATAATAAGTTACAGAATTACTTGGTTTATATTCTTAAAGAGATGTAATTAATTCACAAGGATTAATATAATTTCTATTGCCTGATTGCATTAAAGCAAATAGCTCTTTTAATTTTTATATAACCTTTTATCCATTAGTCTTATCTGTTGGCAATTATATATTAAAAATGAGTTGTCTAAATGAAGTAATATTGAACATATATTGAAGCATTATATTAATATAACAAGCTTATAATATGAATGATATTTTACTATTGCCTAAATTAATCAATCCTGTAGGCTTCCAATTTGGTGAATTGATTACATAAGTTCTATATTACTCTTACAATGTTATTAGATCACATTTCCTATATAATATTAGAAAATAGAATACTATAGATCGTCTACTGTTTGAATAAATATGGAGTTCCGTATTTATTTTTGATCAGTTTAAGTTTTGAGATTAAGTTGTGATTATAATAGATCTTTGCTCACAGTACCTTTGGCATTTCTAAATTAGATAGTTTGTACACTTATTAGATTAGTACATCATGAAATAGATACTAATCTTAATTGCATTTTTGCCAAGCTTATAATATCTATGATTATGTAAATCCATAGGTCTAATATTATTTTAATATCTGATTGAGTTAATGTTAAGTGAACCTAAAACTTTTTAATTGATTTGCTTAAGTATAATTCTACATTGTTTAATTGAATTTATTAAATAAGATTATATTAAAATTAAAATAGAATAATTATTGAAAAATAGATGATTTATAACAATAATGCTTTATAACATTCATAATTTTTCACATTTTTATTTTATTAGCTATGCTTTGATTTCATCATAATTAATTAATTGAAAAAAGTCTTCTAGACTAGATTATTTTAGATATATTATATTGTTATAACTAACTTCAAATATAATTATTAGATTTTCTTTAGATTAGAATTTTTCAAGTAAATTTTCATAAAATTATTTGAATTATTCATCTTTACAATAATTATCAATCTTTTAAAGACTTATAATTTTAAATGTTTTATCATCTGATAAATGTTTATCAAAAAATTAATTAATATTTTGCATCAATTCTTAAATTGTTTAATGTTGATCTTCATTGGAAAATGTTATAAGATCCAAATTTTTATTTGTAGAATATTTCTATTATTAAAAATATGATTTACTTCAAAGTATTTTTTTAATATCTATTTTAAAAGACTAAAATTATCTTGAGAGCAATCCTAACTATGAATAATGATGATTTATTTATTAATTTATAAGTAATTATTTTTTTATTCAAAACTTAATAATTCTCTCATATCTAATTAATTTTATCCTTCAGCTAATCGTATTATAAACTTTTGTGAGAGATGATGTTATTTTATATGATATTTATTTTAACTGATTTGTTAACTATCATTAAGTTTATTTTGAAATACATGATATTCAAAACAACAACATATATTTTTTTCTTTTTCTTTATTTAATATTTATAAACCAATTGGTATATTTATACTTAAAATTTCACTACTCAAAGTTTGATTATTTTTAAGATTAAGACTAATTGAAATTTCATCAAATCTAGAATCATAATTATTACAATTATGTTCAATAATTTAACATTATTCATCTTCATTATCATGATAAATTTATCCTAAACAACCTTTATCACATTATTCTACACTTTTATATTATTTCCCACAAAAATGATTAAATCTTTATCTTGAACATTTTAAATGTGATGAATGAGATCTTGTATATCCAATCTTAATAGGATCTTTCAAACATTCTTAATCATGTTCATGAAAGCAACAACATATTTTAACACTTGTTGGATTTTCTTTTAAACAATTTTTAAATAATTCATCTACATTTTTCTTTGCATTTTCATATGAATCTTTAAAATTTTTATTTTGAATCAATTATTTATAAAAATATTTCCAAAATTAGTTTCCTAAATTATCATCACTATTAAATAGTTTTACTTATCCTACAAATGTTACAGATGCAAAGTTTTATATATTTTCAATTAAATATGGATTATTATCATTTGCTTATGGAACCTATATAATATCTTTTGCTATCATTGAACTTATACAAATCAATCTTAAACGTTTTAGTTTTCTTTAATGATATGACATTATTTAAATAAGACCATCCAAAGATAATTTTTCTACTAAACTACCCTCTTATATTTCAAAATAATAACCAGAATTCAAATCATAATCTCCATTAATTATTAAATGTAATATTTATGGATTCCAATTCATTGCTTCATCTAAATTATCTCTTGTAGCTAATAAAATCTCATAATCTATTTCTTTGCCTGAACTTTTAATTTCTACTTCTATATTCTTTATTTCACTCTCATAATCTATAAATTATGCTTCTTATATAGTATTATCCAATTAAATTAAGGGACTGCTATAAAGTACAACAATATCAACTTCTTTCTTTTTTTTAATTTTTATTTGCTCTTTAGCTAAATCATATATATCATTTAAATCTTCCTTCATTTCTTGAAATAACTACTTTTATTTTTCTAATTCGTTCATTAATTTCTATTACTCCTAATTCAATTTTTCATTTTTCTCTTCACATTCTAATAAATCAATATCCAATCCTCTTATGTTCCAATAATTTATTTCAAAAATTAACTTTATCTCCAAAGTCTCAGGCTTTCCAAAAAATTCTTGGTGAAAACTGAAAAAATTATTATTAGCATCAAATACTTATTTTTCTTATTTATATTTACATTAAGATCTGTCGAAAAATTCTATCATAATTATTTTTGAAAATACCAAAATTTATTTATTTAGAATCTAATGACTATATTTAACACTTTTTCTATAAAAATCTAATAAATCGCTCTTTTGTGATTGTATACATCTAATTAATTTTTTTTAATGGTAATTTCATTTCCTCCTCCTAATATTCAATAGCGAGATTGTTCAAGACCACTAATCTTACTAGAAAAGGTTCTTTCATACAAGAAGAAAATTATCTTTTAATAAAAATAAATAAAATCACTTGTTATACAAACTATGTTATCCAATTTAAAATTAAATTTACTACATGATTCATAACTATTACAAAGTTTCATTAAATAAGAACATATATTAAATAGAATGATTGCAAAATAAATAATATTTATATATATTTTAATATGTTAATACCTCCAAAGACAAAAAGACATTAAACTATTGATTAAGAAGAGTACTTTTTTTAATAAAGAAAAAACTTTGATCCTTATATTGAGATGATGAAGAAGTAGTAATAATAGGAAATTAATATATTTCGAAAAGCATTTGCAAATATTGCTTCATCTAGAATTCATGCTTAACATTTGAATGAAAAAAGAGAATAAATTGTAATAATTCTTAAAATTTAGTTATAAGGTATTGACTGTACATAAAAAAAAAAGAATCTAAGCAAAATCAGAATTCAAGTTACCAACCTTAGGTTAAGGAGAAAGAACAGAAAGAGTAAAAATTAAATTTCCTCCTTAGAGAATAAAGAAAATCTTTGTTTGATATATATAAATTCTTAAATAATAATTTTCCTTTTTGTAAATGACGCAAAACCATGTGATTCACATTTTAATATCAAATAATACAAAACTAATAGCGGATGATTTAAGTTTATCTATAATAATAAATATTGTTAAATGAGTGCTCAAGTATTATTTCGGGTGAAATGTTCAACAGAATTTAGTTAAATGGTGAGAATTGTTGGAAACACTCCACAATTAGGGAATTGGAATCCATAATAAGGATTTAAATTAATAACCAATAATGAAATGTATCCCATATGGTATAGTGATTATGCTTTAGAAGTTGAACTAAGTATATATTATTTTATATTTCTAGATTAATTAGTTGAATTCAAAATAATAATCACAGATGGTTGTAATTCTTTGTGGGAATTTGGTGAAAATAGATTTCTTTAGATATAAGGATAGAAATTAGTGGTTGTATTAACTTATAATATTCCATCCATCTTTATTTATAACATAAAAAGAATATTTTCAGACACTGATCTTACTACAATCGTTTAAGGTAATTTAAATTAAATAAAATTTTAGGAAGAACAAGAAAAGTCTCTATTTAACTAAAAGATAAGTTATATGATTCAGATGATGACTCAGTAATATATGTTTTTTATTCTTTTCTAGGATTCCGAATAAGAAAGTGATATTAATTCTTTATTTGAAGATGAAATCATTTCAAGTAATTCAAATGAAACCATTTCAAATTTTTCAAATTTTTCTCATTTCGAACCAATCTATTAGCTCTCCTCCGAATTGGGAACTGGTGAAAATTGATTTTGCTACTCTCCATATTAACTTAAAATAATATATTAGATATCTTATATATCAATTTATATCTAATTTGATTTGATTTATTTCAGAATTACATTCTTCTCCAAACATAAACAAAATATTTAACTTATTCATAGCGATTAATCTAAAATTATCAGTACAATTTGTTTAAACCTAAAACATTTTAATTAAAGCAATAGTAATATTCTAAAACTAAATATTCAAATATATGCAATTAAATGATTTATGATTAATTTTATTTATTTAATATAATAATATTTATACATTAATTTTAAAGATAATTATTCTCAAAATAAAGTCATAAATTTCTTTATTTTAATTCATAATTTTATATCAAATTTATGAGATTATTAGAAAATGTCATAAATATACATATCAAAATAAAACTTAAAATGTAAAATACCAAAATTATTAATCATTCTATCTGAAGATTATTACATATTAAATTAGTCTAATTTTAAAATTATTATACTAGATTTTATAGATGACAGTTTAAATGTTATTCAATCATCAAAATTATATAATATAATACATTTATAATTAGATTAAAATTTGCTAAATATTATTATTTAAATCCATTTACAATATAGAGTTTTAAATTATTTCAATAGATAATGATTCATCAAATATCACCAAATAAAATTTAATATGTTTAAATATCCTTAATTAACATATTATGTTTTTGATAAATTTGTTTAATATAATTCCAAAGAAAAAATTAATGATTTTTTGAGTTTGAATTATTAATAAATGCTTTAATATAGTAATTCAAATTTTTTAAAAGATTGTTTCTTGATTTTATTATAAATTAGAAAGTTGATTCTCATTTAAATAACATATATTTTAAGTTTGACTTCTAAGTCATTTCATATAAATCAAAATTATAGTTCAGCAAATATCACAATAGATTTAATTAATATAAATAATAAAATATAAAATATGTCAAGTTCTTTAGAAAGTTAAGTATTATTTTCAATATGGAGATTGTATTAATAAAATTAAATCTCAATGGAATAAAAAGGATGTATCAAAGGTTAATATTTAATTTATGCAAGATTTATTAATAAAAAAAGATCGCAATTTCTACTTTATTATTAGCAATCACTAAAATTTAGATGAATTATAAGAAAAGCTACTTGAGATTTTGAATTGTATTGATTTATAATTTTGTTCTGATTAGGGTTCCCCAAGAGATCTAGATGGTGAAGAAACTATTTGTCCAATTATACGATTAAGTAATCCATCAAACACTCCAACAACTATTAAATCATATTAAAATAAACCATAAAAGAGATTTAGATTTTTGAGTTCAAGCAATGAAAGTGAAATTGCCTAAAACAATTAAAGGCTTAGATCAAACTCATTCCATTATTAATGATATTAGATATTTTAGTTTTAATTAATCTCAAACTTTACAAGAATCTTAATCATATAAATTTAATTAAATTATCATTTTTAAAACCAATTATCTTTCCTACAATTTAAACAAATATTAGTTAATGCACAACTCATTATATACTATTTCAGTTTTAATTTTATTTACATTCTTTAAATTTGAAGGATTGTCTTAGTATTATCAAATTTACTATATATATTATTAATGAAACAAAAATATCAATAATTTATTTATTTTAATAAAATCTTAAACATAATAAATTGAAAAATGAATAAACAACAATAACTAATCATCAATTCAATTTAATTAAAAAATTAAGATTTTTCAATCATTAAATTATTATCTTAATCTTATTACAATAATATTAAGAAATATTTTATTAAAAGATTTAAACTAAATCAACCTTTAATTATTTAATCCTACTTCTAGTTTTGACTTAATTTTTTTAATAAAGTTAAGCAAAAATCTAATTTATATTAATTTGAAGCATTTCATATTCTCATTTATAAAGGACATTACCAATTTTGACTATTTATTCAGTTTAAAAGAACTTTTGATTTAAATAATAATTTAGATCTAGTATTCTTTAAGTATATTATATTTAATATCCTTATAAAAATATAATGAGAAAAATTGAAAATTTGAGTTAACTTCATTATCCTTAGATTTGAATTCTAAAAAATTGAATGGCTTAATAAATATTATAATATTATGATTAAATTTAATCTCATTATAAATCAGTAACTTTACTGAAGATTATCTTAAATTAATTCTGTTGTATCATTATAATAAAATACAAACAATTCAATTTATTTGAAAGATATTTAATTAAATCCTAATTAAATTTTTGTATATTAAGAAATGATTAATATTAATTGATGAAATAATATTGATTAATAAAAAGAAACTTAAGATCTAAGAAAGAAATTAAGATTATATAAATAATAAATGAGTTATCTATCTATCTATCTATCTATTTATTTTATATACAATATTGTAATCAATTCATCCAAATTAATTAAGATAAATATTCTGCTATTAATTCTCTGTATTTATGTAAAGCTTATTAATTACATTTAGTTTTCTTTAAAGTTTAATATATTTAACAGCAATAATTAAGTTTAATCATTATTAATAGTTATTCTCTTATATAAATTTATGAGAATGATTTGTCAAAACTCCAAGGATCTATAATTTAGATGTAATATTGTTATTGATTAATTATTAAATTTAATAGAATGCAAGGGATTTTCATTTATGGAAATATTATTCGTTTTATTAATGTTTATTATTATTATTATTATTATTTTCTTGTGTTATTTAATTTAGATTGTTCATCTGAATCAAAATCTTCATTAAGAATTTGTTATTATTAAATTGATAATAACTATTGTTATTGATTAATGCTGCTTTGTAGAGATTGTTTCTTTTATTACATTTGCAATAGTCTATTTTGCAATATTTACTCATAGTGAAGAATTACCATTTTGGTAATTTCTTATACTAATTCAAATAGCATCATCATAGTTCTTATGACTCTTATAGTATAAACTAGACAATATCTTTGATAAGATTCTGTTGTATTGATGTAGTCAACGAGTGATAAAACATCAATTAACGCAAGCAATAGTTCATAAAAACTTAATGGTGATTTGATATTAATTATTTTCTTGCAGATAGTTGGTAGTAAAAATGGAATCAAACAAAGTCTTATATCCTAATGATTAGTGATTACCTACTTTAGTATTTGGTCCAAATTCATAGTTGTAGAGTAGATTTTTTTCAACTCTATAAGCAAACTTTAGAACTCTGCCACTCATTTTGGTTTCTTCTCTTCCAATCTTCATGAATGTGCATAATGAGACTGAAAACAAAAATTCAAGAAATTATGCCAATAAAATCAATATTTTGATCATTTTAATAATAGTTTTATTAATTGATTCTAATCATTCAAGGCTTTTCAATTCTAATTCATATTATATTAAATATAATCAAAAATTCAATATTAAGATAGATCTATATATGTTTTTGAGTAATAAAATGGAAAGCATATTAAAATATTACTTTAAAATTTCTTAATTAATTTGTTATAATCAAATTGTATTATTTTATAGAAGCATCATTTATGCAATATATTTTATCTTTTCAAAATGATTAGTAATATATTTAATTAAATTTACATAGATAAATATATATATATATAAATTATATAGTCTGAACTTTTTTAAATCAATTAAGAACATCTTTCATATTTAAATGTTGATATAGTGATTATGATCGCCTTATTGATAGTTTTAATTAATAATAGTATTTGATCATTTAAATAAGGATTTAATAAGTATATAAACTTTTTAGTTTAGTGTTTTTACTAAAGTCAGAGATATAGATTTAGGAAGGTATACTAAAAAATAAACTACTTGCATAATTATATAAAAGATTTAAATATATATATATATATAATTAATTTAATAGAATGGCAACAAATAAATTTTGGAAAAAGAAAGAAGTAATAATCTGTTAAAAATATTGAGTTATCAAGTTTAGAATAATAAGTTGGTTTAGCATTAACATAAATTGAAGGAACAATAACTGAAGTTAAAAATTTGAGATTATCATCAGTTGTTGATTTCACAACAAAGATAAATGCTAAGAAATAAGTTTATTTAGTTTTTATCCCATATCCATGTTTAACAATATACAATAAGATTAGGTATATTTTAGTGCGAATTAATTTTAGCTAAAAACTATTGCCAGAATTAGAGAAAAGAGTTAAAGCAACCATCTTAGTAGTTGCTAAAAGAACAATAGAAAGTAAATGGGTGAAGAAACACAGATCTTAAACAAGACCAAATTCAAGAACTCTTACAACAGTTTATGATGGATTACTTGAAGATTTAATTTCTCCATCTATTATTTTGGGGAGAAGAACAAGAGTTAGAGTTGATGGCACTAAATTTTATAGAATGTAAAATGAAATCATAGATGTATTAGATTCCTTGATGAAAGTGATTAGAAAGATTTAGAATCAAGACTTGAATCTATTAAAGATGTTTACAAAATTTTAACAACTAGAGATTTAGAATTTGAATTTAGAAGAGATGATACTTTCTATTAAAAAAAGGGAGCTAAGAAAGTAGCTTAAAAATGATGAATATTAAGTATAGTATAATAAACATAAAAATAAATAAATATATATATTTAATTATTTATTAGAGATGTAAAGAGCAATAAGGTTTGGTTGCAGTACCATTAATAAATTAGAAACTGAATTGAACAAAATTGAAAAAGTCTCTTTCAAAGAAAGATATCTATCATTTTAAAGAGAATGGAATGAATTCAAAAATAGAGCAAAAGAGATGTATTAATTTGCATTTATCAATTTTGTCTTTAGGCCTCCAAGAGTTTTCAATGATAAATTAGATGCCAATCAATAGAAAAAGATCAATTTATTAGCAAAACATATAGATTACTTAAGTGAGAATGAATTTCAATATCTGAATTACATTTTATAGAAATAAGTTCTCAATAAGCCTGATTATGCAGAGTTTTCATTAGGTATTTCTAAAGAAGATACTCAAGTTGGTAATTTAATAAATTGAATTACAGGTCCTGGAGTCTGGCCAACAGCTCATCCTCAATGGTTATAATAATAAGAAATCATAGCCAAATTATGGCCTTTAGGATAATAAGGAATAGCAACCTTATTCTCTGAAATTGTTGGATTTGGAGGTGGAGTAGGAACAGGAGGAGCTTAAGCTGCAGCTGCTAATACTGCTGCTACTGCAAAAGAGGAAAAAAAGGAAGAAGCTCCTAAAGAAGCACCAAAAGAGGCTACTGTAATATCTAATAAAAATAATCTAGAAATCTAATTATGATGTTGTTCTTGATTCAATAGATGCTGCTTAAAAGATCAAAATTATTAAAGATGTTAGAGCAATTTTCAATTTGGGTTTAAAGGAAGCTAAAGATATGGTTGAAAAGTTACCTGCCACTTTAAGTAAATAAATGAAGAAAGCTGATGCAGAAGAATTGAAGAAAAAATTGGAAGCTATTGGTTGCACAATTAAGTTAGTATGAGAGTATATTATTAATCATTATTACAATGTTATTAATATTGGTGTAAACCTTACAATTTTAAATGGAAGTTCATTAAATAACCCTATCATTTTAGATAATTTAGTGAATATGGATTATTAAAATTATTTAATATTATTTATGCTCATTGTTACTTAATATCAAATTTCTCTAATTCACCAATGAATTGATTATAAAAGTTTATTTGTTAAGGCACTGCTCTTGCACTTACTATTGGCAATTCATAGGTTATCAATAAATAAACCTTCTTTCCATTAAGCTTATTACAAATTCCCTAATTATTAATATTTTAAGTCTTTTACTCTTGCTAATGAGATTCCTTCTCCTACATCTGCATCTCCTCTTCTTCCATAAATCAGAGGAGGATGCCATCTATGAACTTCATATTGTTCTCCTAATAATACAAAGCCTGCACCAATTGTATTATCTCTCACATCATATGCTTTCAAGTATAGTGTCAATTCCTCCTTTGTAGCTGCACAGTTTTTATGAGTTATCACATTCAAATCCTCATCAAATATAATTGCTTTAGCCCACTAAATTATATGTCAAGTTTTATACTTCATCTTGTTTCTTTAATTCTGCCAATAACATTGCTGGGTCTAAACCTTAATCCATTAATATTTAAAAAATAAAAATATATTTAAAAATTAAAATATCTTTCCAGTCCTTAAATTACATTATGTATATCATATTGTAAATAATATTATTAAAATATATATATTCTTATACTTATTATTTTATACATTAGTATTAATTTATTTAAATATTTTAACAATTAAATGGATGAATTCAATTCTCAAGTTGAGGTACTTAGTAAAGTTGGATTTCACTCTTAAAAACTTAAAGAACTTTATTAAACTTATCAGATTTATAATTTATTAGAACTTCTAAATTACACACAATAAAATTAAGATTTAATTAAATAAGACCATTATTTATATTGATACTCTCTTTTAAGATTCTGATATCTATAAAGAACTTTTATTTAGAGAATACTCATTAAATTCAATTTGTTCAAAATTTCTTTACTCATTAAAACATAAAAGGAATATCATTACTTTCAGAATTTATAGAAAATAAAGACTTTGACTTTGAACAATGAATATCTAAATTATTTTAAGAAAAGTCAGCCTGTTTCAAATTATCTTTTTTTATATTTTCTGATCCAGAATCCGAAGTTAGTTTAAAGGCTTTGAGAGTAATTAAAAAAAGTTTAAAAGAATCTTATATGAATATTAAAAACTTTATTAAGTAGTGATCTTTGTTGCATACATCACCTATGGATTGAGTAATATAAATCATTTTTTTTAATTTATATTATATTTAATTCAATTTATATCATAATCAAATATTTTAATTCAAAAAAAAAGAAGCCATAAGACTAAATCAATTATTATGTTTATTTCTCTGTTGTGGATTTAATAATATACCTATATATTCAATTTGGAAATTTGAAAATTTAGTTTTTGTCAATTGATTAAGTTAGTGAAGCAACAGTATGCCGAATTAAATGATTAAACACTATTTTCTGGGAAATAGAAAAAATATATGGAATTATCATTTAGTAAAATTTAATTTAATTTTTTAAGATTTTTTGGAATAGGCTGAAATCTTACTAATATTAATGAAAATTAATATTATTAGTAATTTTTCAAAATTTATCAAAACAAATTAATTTGATTATGAGAATATAAATAATTATTTTAAAATTTAGATCTCTAAGTATCTAATGTTTAATGATATAAAAATAAATTTAAATACCTAATTTTTAAATCCTTTTTTATAAATATAAAGATATATAATTTATAATCTTAATATCTTAAAATATAGATTATATTTTTAAATACTAAACACAAAAATCATTTTTCAGGATGATCATGCTGACAATTTTTTAATAAATTACTTACTGTTTAATCTAAGGAAGCTAGTAATTTCTAATTCATTTCATTATTTTAGTCTCCAATTATTTAAAGAATTGCATCTTAGGCAGAAAGCTTATGTTATTAATCAAATCTATCATGTTTATCTTCAATTTACTGATATTAAATGCTAGGAAAATTATCAAACAATAATCTTTGGTTTTCATTAAATATGATATATTTTAATTTTTCAACATCCCTAAGTTTCCTTAAAATTTCTACTATATTTAATTAACTCATAATTTATTTTTATGCTATTTGAAACTATTTAATTCTCTCATTATCCTATTATTGTAATAATAAGATATACTTATGTTATGATGCATTTAAGTTTCTAAAAGGCTTCAAAATATCCAAATTCTAGTTTCTTTTTTTTTCTGATAATGACTCTCTGTAAATATTCAGCATATGTTGTAAGAATAGTTTTTTAAGGCTTCACTGAAGATTCTTTTCTTTTCTTAGGTTCTTCCTATTTTAGTTTATTTTTTAATCCATCTTTTTGTTAAGTTTTTGTTTCAATTTATGGAATTTAAATTGACATTGGAGATATATCTTATGCTTATCTAAGTAAAGAATATTGTTAATAACATATATTTTCATCTTGATCTTCAGAATCATTCAATTCAAATAATGAATTAATTAATTATAGATATCTACTAATTCTATTTATAGGTTTTGAAATGATATAAAAAAAACTGAATAAGACTTACCATAATCCTCCTAATTCAGCTAAGATCTCTTAAATTTTAGAATAGGTTCTATAATCAACATACTCAGTTGTATCTAATCTAACGACTACATTCATAATTAAATCATTTGAACTAATGTCCAGCATTTCTGTATGTCTACCATATCTCAAAGTCTTATAATATTCTAATTCAGTTTCAATGAGACCAACATCAGTTAAAGTGGTCAATGGTTCTAGATATATTGATATTTCTTTATAAATATTGCTAGATATAGTTGTAAATAAATCTTGACCTTTTGGATTATAAGGAGAGTTTGGATTCATTAAATTTGTAGTATATGAAGATATTTAGAATGAGAAATAATTTTATTCTAATGCTTTTTTAATTTCTTATTATTCTTTACACTATTTACTTTTTTTAGTTTCTTCTGTACAAATAAAAAATTATATTAAAATATATTAATAAGCAGGTGCATCGAATGTTCCTTCAAGATTTATTTTATCAATTTTATTCCAATCAATACAATAATTTGTTGGTAAATCAAAATGTGAAAAATATTCACTTAAATCTTTTTATTTAATTATATCAGAACTGCATTCTATTAAGGGTAATTCTTATTTATTCCAAACTTCATTTTTATTACCATCAACAACTTTTTCATATTTATGTACTAATTATGCTTTAACTACATAAATTGAATCATCTATATATGTATGATAAGTTGAATTTTAAAATGCAAAAGTCATCGTAAAATTCTATGGTAACAATTAATAAATCTCTGGTTAAGAGTGATAGATTTCAGAACTTAAGGAAGTTGGATTATTGCGATCGAATAAAGAAATTAATTTGGAGTATAATAAATTTGAGAACAGTAACAACAATCCAAGTGTAAGTATTGATCCAAAAATTGTTTGATGATATTCTTTTTCATTTACTAATAGTTAGATAGGTTAAGCAAATAAATCAAATTTTTTTACACCTTTAATAAACAATCTCCTTCTTTGCATATTTTTATTATTTTTGTGTGTATATATAATAAGTTAATTTAATTGAAATAAAATATAGGTTAATTAATTAGCAAATAATTCAATTCAAAAAATTGTTCTTCCCACTTAATAAATAAATAATTAATCAAATTAATATATTATTAATTATGAATTTCAATCAAGTATTTTTAATCAACAAAAGATGTTTTTATTAAAGAAGGTCGCAAAAAATAAAATTATTATCATCATCCTCTTTGAAAAATCTAATATTTTAATAAATGTAATAAATTATATCATTAATATTATAATAAGTATTATTTTTATTTATTTAATGATAACTTTCATTAAAATTATGTATTTTTCTATTATTATTTCTATTTATAAATAATTACTAAATACATTTATATTGTATAGATTATTAATAATACAATTTAAATTATAGATAATTTAATTTATAATATTTGATATAATTAAATATAATAATAATATGAACATATACAAACTCCGATCTTTAATTTACGTATTTGATTAAGAGTAATGGTTTAAATCAATTTAATAATTGTTAATAACAAAAAATACAAATTAACAATATTTGGATGTTATTCAACAAGCATATTTCTAAAATATTAATAAAATTGAAGAATAATGCATTACAGAATTATTAAGACTTTTATTAAAAGAAAATGAAAAATTTTTAAGTCTTAGATTCTCAAGAATAATACATCATTATATATTAAAAAATGCAAATAAATTGGAAGGTTTAGAGGAAATAATAGTAAACTCTTAGTAATTAGCTATAAAGAAGGTTATGTAATAAGATAATTTAATGGAAATCTTGGAATCTCTTTAATTTAGAATTGCTCATATGAAAAGTATTCCTAAACAAATAAGCAGAGTATATTTTGAAGAGAATATAAAAATTTATAATGAAAATAATTGAGTTTCAATTTATTATAGTTATTTATTATAATCTAAGTGATATCTAAGAATACAGTATTAAAAATAATCAATTATATTTGATATGAAATATAATTTTGAACATCAAATTGAAGATGAAAACATAATTGATTGAGATAATCATTTTATATTGTAATACAAATAATTGATTTTATATAAATATCTGTATTAAATGAAGCATTTTATGAGGTTCTCTAAAATAAGTAAAGCCTTCAAAGAAGTGCCATCCCAATATGTTTATCAAATCAATCCAATCTAAAACTTTGAGTAAATAAAATAGTTTAGAGTTATTGATTTGGAAGGTAATCTAATTGCTAAGGAATATAATAATATTCCAAAAGAAACACTCAATCAAATATTTGATTTGATGTTAACTGTAAACATGTTTATTTTGAAGTTTTTTAGATTGAAGAGATGGACAACATCCTTTACATGTCTTAAAGATAAGGAAAAATTTCATTTTACATGACTTCATTTGGTGAGACAGCTACAACTGTTGGCACTACAGCTGCACTCTAACCATAAGATTTCATATTTCCATAATATAGAGAACAAGGTAGTTTTATGTGGAGAGGATTCACAATTGAATAAATAGTAAATCAATGTATAGGAAACCATTTAGATGGTGGAAAAGGTAGATAAATGCCTGTACATTATGGAAGTAAAGATTTGAACATAGTCACTGTGTCATCACCTCTAAGTAAAATATAATTAATTGACGTATTATAGCTACTTAAGTACCATAAGCAAGTGGAGCAGGATATGGATTTAGAGTTAATGGTGAAAATAAGATTGCAGCTACTTGGTTTGGAGAAGGGGCTGCTTCTGAAGGAGATTTTCATTCTGCAATGAATTTTGCATAGACCTTAAAATGCTAAACATTATTTTTATGCAGAAATAATCATTATGCCATCAGCACACCTACAGATGATCAATTCAAAGGTGATACAATAGCTGGCAAAGCTCCAGCATATGGAATGAGAACATTGAAAATTGATGGTAATGATTTATTGGCTGTTTATAATGGAGTTAAATATGCAAGAGAAGAAATTATAAAAAATAAAGAACCATTCTTTATTGAATTTATTACTTATAGAGTAATTATTATATAATATATATATATAGATTGGAGATCATTCAACATCAGATCATTCTGTATTGTATAGATCATAAGAGGAAATTGATTCATGGAAATCAGGAAACAATCCAATTAATAGATTAGGATTATTTTTGAAAAAGTAAGGACTTAGATAATTTAATGATGAACATGATAATTAAATTAGAAAAGATGTTAAAAATAGAGTGATTGCTGCTTTGAAACATGGATCTGAATGTATTTTATTTAATTATTATATAAAATAGAATAATCACCATCAATTCATGATTTGTTCACTGATGTTTATGATGAAGTCTTACCTCATCTATAAGATTAATATACTTAATTAAGAGAACATTTAACTAAATATAAAGATCAATACCCAATCAATAAATTTAAAGGTGGATTATGATTATTTAAATATATAAAACACAATAAATATTGTATAATTAATTGAATAACCATTTAAATTGTTTAAATGTTAAACTATCTTTATTTCCTTTTAAATATATATGTCATAATTATCATAAATTCTATAAATTTCTATTTCAAATTTTTGGTTTAAATGAAAATTCTGATAAAAATATCACTTTGAGATTATAAAAAATCTAAAAGAATTATATAATAAATATATAAATATATAATAAGTTCAATCAAAGTAATAATGAATTCTCTCTTTATTTTTATCAATCACAAAATTTATTAATATAATAAAGACTTTTATCAAGTATACTATAAGGAATACTTAATAAAAGAATAATATGATAACTGGTTTATATTTTGCAAGTATATATTAATGAAATTCCATGAATTAAAATTAGAATTTGTATTTCTTAAAATTAAGTACCATAAATATAGGTAAAAAGATGAATGATAGTATTATCATTGTTATAACATAAAAGTATCTTTAACAATTGGTTGCAATCTTCTATGTACATCTTTCTGGAAACTATTAAAAGATTTCTAAGTTTGAATCACAATTTTTGCATAATTCAGAATAACAAATTTGGCAAAATATACTTTATTTCTCATTTAATAAACCAATAATTTAATTAGAATCACATTTGAAGCATTTTTTGAAACATTCTCCGTTTTTGAATTATTAACATTATTAGCATTAATCTTAGCTATAGTCTTTTTAATTTTTTAGTTTCTTTTGGTAAAATATCTAGATTGATAGATTATTATGGCTTTATAAAACAAATAGAAGTTCACAAATTGAACATTTCAAGTATATTTTATCATCTGAAATAAATTTAAGCTTAAAATTCATTTCATCAAGTAAGATCCCAAGAATATCTTAATTATGTGAAACTTAAGCTAAGAAAGCATAATCTTTGTTATTTTTATAGATTATATCTGAATCTAACAAAGGATTTTCCATTAAATTTAAATATTTAATTAATGATTTGTATAATAATATTATATATTCTTTAAATAATATTATCAATATTTGGTACAATAATTATTATAATATTACATTATGAATAATATGCATTATTGTTTATGAAAATAATATTGAATTCCACTTAAAAATTAATAGAATATTGTATAATATGTTTTTGATTTAAAGTACAAACAATTTGAATTTAATTTTTGATTTAATTGATTCACCATAGGTATTATTTAAATAAAAACTAAGAAGATTAATAAGTGATATATGGTGGAATTAAAAATTAGTCAATTTAAATAAAATTAATTGGATGTAATAATAATAGGTGGTGTTAAATTTTGATTACCTAAGACCAGCTTAGAATTTGATTGATGCTATTGTTCATGATGGTATTTGGAATGTATGACTATAAAGCATAATATATAAAAAGAAAAGAGAGATCCAAAAGTTAAAGAAGAATCTGGGAGAATGTGCCATATGATGCATATGAAAAAGAAAAGATGGGTGATTTTATGAAAATTGTGACTAAAAATAAGGTTGTCTTACCTTAGAAGTAAATATTCTATTATTAATCTATTAGTTGGACTGATAGTGATACTTTGAAAATGGTGTATTGTGGTAAATTTAAGGATAAGAATTACTTAAAAGTATTACAATCCCATTTGGCTTGGAGAGCTATCCCTAATAATTTTCAACCTACTGATATCAACATAGCATTTCTATAGAAAGGAATAGTTTATACTCACGGTAGAGACAAACAATAAAGACCTATTATAATTATGAATCTTGAATTGGTGAATCTCAAACAAGTATAAAATTGAATTAATCTATAAGTTTAGTGAAGAAGTCTATATAAATGCTTTGAGCTATTACTTTGGTATAATCAAGAAGTATTGTTTTGTTCCTGGTAAAATTGAGAATTGGGTATTCATAATGGATACTAAAAAGCTTGGACTTTCTAAATTCCCTTTCAAAGTAGAAAATTAGAATATACTATTTAGGCTATTCAAATAGCAACCAAAACTATGCAAGTTAATTTCTGTGGTTGTTTAGATAAACTTTATTTATTAAATCCATCTAGTTCATTAAGTTTTTCATGGAAAATGGTTTCAGGTATGATATTTCAAGTTATAATATAGCTGTGGCTGATGCTGATACTATGGAAAAGGTTTAAATGCTTAAACCAAATGAATATAATAAGATTTAAGACAGAATTGCATCTAATCAATTAGAAGAATAATTTGGAGGTACATCTCCAAACTTAACAAAATTCTGGTTAGATTTCTAATGCTTATAAATAGGCCACCTATTAATATTGCAATACCAGGAGGATATACAGAAGAAATTTTGAAGGCTGTCGAATCAATGTAAACTGCTGAGATTGTAATACAAAAAGAAGTACCTGCATCAGAGGAGGATGAAATGAAGTTGTAGGAATAAATTTCAAAGATGCAAATTAAAAAAGATGACGACGATGATGATTGATAGAGTGTATTAATGAATTATACATTCCATAAATTTAATATTAATATGAGTTTCTTTAGGTCTAAATAGATGAAATTTTATAGTTTAGTCATCCCAAGAGAAAGTGCTTGGGTGGTCATGGATCAATTGGGAAGACTAGGATAGTTACATATAATAGATTATGATCCTTTATTACCTATGATGAATAGACCATTTGCTAATTATGTAAAAAGGTACTTAAAACCTAGATAATTATAGATGTGATGAAGCATTGTTCAAATTGAGTGGACTTGACTCACTCCTTAAGTAATTCAAGAAAAATATAATTTATTGTGAAGATACTCAAAAGTTACTTGATCATTTCAGAGACATATAGAATTCAAGGTAAAAACCTGGACATACATATTTTGATGAATTAGAATAGGAAATTGAGAGAAAAAAAAATAATATTTAAGAAATGTCAAATAATTTGTAGAATTTATTAGATAGAGTAGATTAAATTACAGAATAAAAATTAGTATTAGAAAAAGCAAAAGAAATTTTGGGAAAATCAATGTTTTCATAGTAAATTGAGATATATAACTTAGATCAACTCCTCATAACCTGAATGATTATTAATAATTAAAATTTGGATAATTAATTGGTGTTATTGATAAAGAAGATGAAACTAGATTTAAAAGAATAATGTTTAGAATTACAAAAGGTAATGCATGGGTTAATATTGTGGATCTTTTACCTGAAAAATAACATCATTAAATAAAAACATAAATAGATTTGAATAGAGTAAATGTTCTTCTTTAAACAAGGCATCATAACCTAGATGTTTATATGTTGTTGTTTATCCTGGAATGAATGATTAGAGTACATTGAAATAGAAATTACTAAAAGTTTGTGATTCATTTTCTAAAAACAGAATTGAATATCCAAATTCATAAGAAACTATGGATAATAAATTAAGAGAATTATCTATTCAAATAAATGAAACATAAAGTTTAATTCAAATGACTAAAAAATAATTAGATGTTACTTTAGATGAATTTGTAAAAGTAAAGAATGGATGTAATTGCTCTTATTTTGAATAATTAAGATTATATGTTTTAAAAGAGAAATATCTCTATGTTAATTTAAATTACTTAATTATGTAAGGTTCAATATTTACTGGAAACTTTTGGTTACCTGAAGGACTTGAAACTTTAGTTGAAGATAAATTAAGAAATGCTATGTAAAATAGTATTGAAAGATTTCCAACTGGATAAATTTAAGAAATGTAACCAAAATAAGGAGATTTAGCTCCTACTTATTTTAATCTAAATGAAGTCACTATACCTTTTTAGGAAATTGTAAATACATATGGAATACCAAGATATTAAGAAGTTAATCCTGGTTTATTTACAGTAATTACATTTCCATTTCTATTTGGTGTAATGTTTGCAGATATTGCTCATGGTTTTTTATTATTCTTATGTGGATTGTATGTGATATTCTGGAAAAAACAATTAAAGAGATAAACAGATTCAATGTTTAATGCAATGATTCCATTTAGATATATATTAACTCTTATGGGATTATTTGCATTTTATAATGGATTAATTTATAATGATTATCTATCAATATCTCTTAATCTTTTTGGTAGTTGTTATTATCCAAAAAATGAAGAATGGGAAAGAGAATAAAATTGTGTATATCCATTTGGTATTGATCCAGTTTGGTTAGCATCTGGATCAAGTCTAAATTTTATGAATTCCTATAAAATGAAATTATCTGTAATATTAGGAGTTACTCATATGTTATTTGGAATATTAATGAAAGGAGTTAATACATTATATTTCAGAAACTATTTAGATTTCTTTTGTGAATTCATTCCTTAATTATTATTTATGGCATGTACATTTGGTTGGATGGATTTTCTTATCATAATGAAATGGTTGAATGTATATCCAAATGGAAAAGATCCTAGTATTATAGAAACTATGATTAATTAAGTTTTAAAACCTATGGATGAATCTGAAACACCAATTTTTCCTAACAATGCTACTTTATAATTATCTATAACATAATTGTTAACAATGATTGCTATAGTTAGTATTCCTTGGATGCTTTTACCTAAACCATTAATTTTAGGTTCAAGTCATAAGAAACATAGAGTTAGTGATCCTTAATATTAAAAATTGATTCCTGAAAGATAAGGATCTGAAATGGATATTGATTCTTAATAATTTAGAAAAGATTTATAGTTTGTTGTATCTGGTAAGAGTATGGAAATTCCTGAATAAGAACATGAATCAGGAGAAATATGGGTGCATTAAATGATAGAAACAATTGAATTTGTTTTAGGAGGTATCAGTAATACTGCATCATATCTTCGTTTATGGGCATTATCTCTAGCTCATGGATAATTAGCAGAAGTGTTTTATGACATGTGTATAGCAGGAAAATTAGATATGGGTGGTATTGTAGGTGGATTAATGAGTGGATACTTTTATATTGTATTTGCCTTGTTGACATTTGGAGTGTTAATGATGATGGATGTAATGGAATGTTTTTTGCATGCTTTAAGATTACATTGGTATAAATTTGTATCATTTTTAAAGGGTTGAATTTTAGAGTAAATTCTATAAAGCTGATGGGTATCTTTTCGTTGGATATTCTTATAACAAAATGTTATTAGAGCATCTTAAATGACATTATTGGTCTGGTCAAAGGATATGTAATAATATTATATATTTCATATACGTTTTATTAATAAAATTATGAATAGTTATCAATATGATAATGCTCACTTTACAGTTTAGGTAACAAGAAAACATTTCTTCTCTGATAAGGTTTATTAACTTTACTTATTCCAAGATGAAATCGTTATGACAGATGTATGCTCCATTTTGATAAATCTAGAACACATTACGTTAACCTAAATACATAATTAAATTAAATTTGACTACTACAATCAATTGGATTGTTTAGGACTTAAAAATATTAGCTTTTTCTATTGCTTATCAAAATACTATTAAAGCTTTTTATGCTCCTAAATTACAACTTTTAAAAGAAATGATTGCAGGCAGAGTTTTTTATACTTCAATTACTGAATTTTATTAAATTTAAATGCTTGTAGGAAATGGAATGTCAGGAGAAGTATATAAAATAGTATATTCATATAGGTTTATAGATGTGTCTCTAATACTGGAGAATATTTTGCAGTTAAGAAATGTGAAAAAATGAAATTAGCATCTCATGAAGGAGGAATTGTAATTATATTTCCATTATCTTAGCCTCAATTAATACATGAACTCTCATTATTATAATCTCTTTAACATCCAAATATCTTAAAATTAAAGGAAGTCTATACTGATTAATCATATTATTACATTGTTACAGAATTTATTGATGGAAGAGCATTAAGTACGGAATTATAATCTAGACCATATGGATTGAGTGTAGCTGAAACTATTAAGATAATGCTTTAAATTCTTGATGCTTTAATCTATATATCAAATAGAGGGATTATGCATAGAGATATAAATCCTCATAACATTATGAAATCAGATTCTATTAAATTAATTGATTTTGGTTTAGCTAGAAAAATCAAAAATTAGTTAATATTTCCAACTTCTGGTACTCCTGGCTATATAGCACCAGAGATTATTAATTTTAATAAAGACAAATTATATGATGATAGAGCTGATGTCTATAGTTTGGGATGTGTTCTTTATAAATTGTAATTTCACTCTTTCTAACATATAGGTTAACTGGAGAGAATCTTTTTCATAAACAAAAAAATATCTTCTAAGAAAATAAAGAAGGTATTTATGAATTAAGAAAAAATTATTAACATCCTGAAGTGAATTCTATAAAAATGGAATAATTATTTATTTTATTACCTTATATGTTAGAGAATGATCCCAATAATAGAATGAATGCTAAAGTATGTAAAATTGTAATTTAAGAGATTGATAATAATAATTAATAAATTGAAAAATTAATTAAGAAACTTGTGATTTTCAAATAATTTTAATTTAGTACTGAAGAAACACATAATGAAAATAAAACTCCACATAGTTTGTCAACTAATAGTCAAAAGTATAAAAAGTAATCTATGGATATTCTTAAGAAATCTGATGATACTTCAATTAAAGGACATAAAAAATAATAATAAACTATGGGTAATCTAAATTCAAGTTTTTATACTAAAAAATGAAATTATATTTTTATTCATAATTTTAAAGGTATATCTATTTTATCAATCTTAATACAAATTTTCTAGAATTCAAGTATTTAATAAATGATTAAAATATATAATGCTTTCTATTTATATTTTAATCAAAAACAAGTATTTCTCTGTTAGTATTAACTAATAAATTATAATTATTAAATATATACTTAATATCTAAAATTCTGCAATCATAGACTTAAAATTATTCAAAATATCTGTTATTTAAAAAAAGATTCAATACTATCAATAACTGTGTACATATAAAAATGAATGGATAATAAGATAGATAAAGATTAATAGGAAAAATAAAAAAGAATTCATAATTGCAAATCATTTTATATCAAAATTATATAAAAATAAATTTTAATATAAATTTTCATATAATATTATAGATGATAGAAATGAATAAATTAAAAGGCATATGCAGAATAATTTTTATCTTGAAAGACTATCAACTATTGAAATATATTCTATATTAATGAGGCTAAAAGAAATATAAAATTGTATTTATATATATGTTAATAGAATTAAGAAATTGGAATCTTAAGGATGATAATATTCATTATTTTGATAGAATTCAATAATGGAGATGTAAAATTACAGTTAGAAATTAAATCTACATATTTGAAAAGTATGTATCCTAATTATAATTTAAATAATATTAATTAACATTATTTAAGATTAATGTATAAATTTTTTTGATTATACTTATAATATAAAAAGTAATAGATTTATAAAGTGATATTCTGTAATTTAATTAAAGAAAGAGATTTAATAAATATCCCTTTTTAAATTTGATAATTCAAATTATTAAGTAATAACTTTAAATATTGATTTCAAAATGCTAATTTTTCAAGCAGATGCTCTACTTTATCACCTAATGATTCATTTACATCTGATTTACTAAATTCATGTTATTCTAAAAATTGAAAATATTGAGTGTCATTCATTATTGAATTATCTAATTCATATATTAATGTGCTTTATTCAGAGGATTATTTTTCTTAGATATTTTTTTATATTTGATTTATCTTAGGTAATTTTGATTAATTTATCATTTTTGATTTGATTTATCTCAAAGCCTCTTAATAAACAAGTTATTCTGTTTATCTCTTATTTATTCCTGTTTTAGAAATATTAATAAGAGAATCCAATTCTAATTATACTTTATATACATTAATTTAATTGTCATCTTTTTTCCATTCTACAGATACTTTTGGAATCAAATTTGTATAGTTGTTAATGAATTCAAGGAATGATGATTTTGCATTTTATTTTAATTCTGCTATGGGAATATTTTAACCTCTAATTTGTCATTTAAATGAATACTTGTCTAAAAGTTCTTTAATTATAGATTATGAAATTTCTCTAATATGTTCTAAATCGAATCCAGAATCAAAATATTATGCTGCTACAATAGATTTAAGTGTTTCAGCTAAAATTTTAGGGTTGTTTCTAAAGAAAATATAAATGAAAATACTTTAAAGCTGTTTAATTACCTATTTAAACAAAGTTGTGTATATTGTATTATATTGCAATTTCTGCTAAATTTTTATCATTTAGTAGTCTTTGTCTCAATAAAACAAGATCACTTGGCTTTTTAATTTATGAATCTTTATTTGGATATCTATATATGTCTTTTGTTAATACCCTCTCTAAATTAAATAATCAGAGAAATAAAATTCAAAGATCATTTAACCAATTACAATAAATTCTTCATTGTTTCCATAAGGATATTTAATTCCTTTTTTAGATTAATATTCTAATTCATGAATCTTATTAGTTAATGCTTATGCTAAAATATTAGTATTTTAAAATCTAAAGATTCTATTATTCATTATGAAGTTTAAATAATATTGTTTGTTAGTTGACTATTAACTTTATATTGACTCAAAATTTAGATAATAACAATATTTTCTTAATATCAAATCATAGATGATTGTTTAATAAGTTATTTAAGATAAGTCTTAGTATCAATAATAATACATATTAATGGTGCTAAAATAAATAGTGAAGTTAAAGTATTAATTATTCATAAGAGTTTGTTTCAATTAAGAAGAAGTTATCATAGTGTTGATTATATTTAGTAAGTGATTTATTAAGAGGAATTGTCTATTAGTTGAAGTGATATTTCAATATGATTAAAATGCTTAAATTTTTCAATATAGTTTTAAAAGATTATATATCAAAATGGTACAATAATGCTATAATGACAAAAATTATATTAATAAAAGATGTATTATGATCAAGCTTCATCTAAAATTAAGGAGATCAATTCTTCAAGTTACTCATATTAGCTACCCCTCCATTATTTTAATTTCTTTCTTTTTTCATTTGTCATTTCTAATCCATAATGTTCTTTTATATCCATCAGAACTTCCAATGCTAAATGACAATTCTAATAATCAAAATAATTGTATCTTTCTTCACTTATTTCAAAAATTATTTCATTTAATACATTAATTTCTGTTTTAAGAATTTAACCTTAAATTAATTCTGATATTATTTTCAAACAAATATCTATGGATCGTTTAGAATGTGTTGTTCTAAGTAATTTAATAATATCATCATATAATAAAAATGTAAATGATTATGTAGTTTCATTGTTTTTAAGTGCCAAATGATAAATAAAGTCTAATGCAGCTTAACAAGAATAACTATCTTCTTAAGTAATAGCAGATTTGATTACTTCATCTATATTTAAATTATCTAAACAAGAAATGATAAGTTTAACATCAGATCTCATAAATAATTCATCTATTAATCTTATTATTTAACAAGTTTATTTATCATCTTATTATTCAGTCTATTTTAATAAATACTTTAGTTTATCATCATCAAATAATTCTAATAAACCATCACAAATTTCACTTGCTTTTCTTAAAACTAATGCTGCTAAACTTAATCTAGCATCCATTAATTCAATTACTTTTATACAAATATCTACTATTTGTGATTACTTAATTATTTAATGAAATTCACAATCATTTAATTTATCTAATAATCCAAATAGTAATCTAAATACAGCATTAATATGTTCAAGTTAATCTTATTATAAATTAGATAATGATTTTTAAGTTTCATTAAGAATATTAGATTAAAATAATTATTTTTTAATAGATCTGGCTATTTTTGAATCAGAATATAATACATTAGCCAAACCTAAATAACATCTATATCTTATATCTTCATCTTCATTTGATTATAGTTTTTACATAAAATACATATGTATTTGATAATCATTAATTAAAGCATAAATTGTTTAATCTGACTCAGAAGCACAAGAATTGGCTAATATTACTAGAGCCATTTTATCATTTGACTCAAATAATTCATTCATTAATTTTTTATCTTATAAAAGTTTATTTGATTATCTTTCAATATTATGTATTAATTCTTAATGAATAGCCCAATATTTAGTAGATTATTCTTTATTATCAATTACTCTTTTTGATTTAAATATACTTTCCAACTAGTCTCTTCTTATTTATACTCTTAATTAATCTCTCTTTGCTCTCAATAAAGCATTAGAATCCAGCATTTATATATTATAAATTATTAATATAAATAACTAAATTATTAGTTAACATTATGTTAATTTTTATTATTCATTAATAAAATCATTAGTGTTCTTCTTAATCAATTTCTAATCTACTCATACATCTTTGTTTAAAATAAATAGAAAATCTAATCATTCTAATATTTTATTTTGGATCATCAAATTTATTAAGGTAATTATTATTAATCAATCATTATGTTTTTACTTCACTTTATTAAATAATAATTTATAATAATAATGTCAGAGAATAACAAAAAATCTGTTATTATTGTTAAATAGAACTAAAAAGAAGAAGAGGAAGAGGAATCTGAATCAGAATCTGAGTCATCTCATTGTTTCGTGAATTTTGTGAATTCTTATTCAAGGTTCATTAATGAATAAAGTGACACTTGCTTGGAGATGGGCTCAGTCCTTAATGAATTAAATGAATCAATTACAAACTCCAAGCCTCCTTAAGGAACAGTAGAAGAGTTATAATAAATCTTAGAAATAACTCCGTAATAGATCAATGAACTTGCTCAACAACTCAAACAACTTCCTGATTCTAAAATATATTAGTGTATCTAAAATATTGAGAAGTATGTATAATTTTATAATAAAATAGATTAAATTTGAAATTACAATTAGATTTGAATGTTGAAATGGAGAAAGCCAAAGCAAATGGATTGATCTGATCAATTTTGGTTATTTTTATTTATGCATTATAAAAAAACATCTAATGAAGATTAATTTACATTTCTCAATAACTGATTGAATCAATTAATGACCTAAGTGGAAAATCTGAACTAGATCATGTAACAGCCATTTAAATATATAGCTCCATTAAATAATTAAAATAATAATCTTAAGAAGAAACGCTTAGAAAAAGAAATAATAATCTGGAGAGATAATAATCTAAATATAATATTGTGAAGAGGAACAATCATTATAATTATAAATAACATGATTAGAATTAAGCATTAGAATATAATGATTACTTGTTAGAATAAATTTATTAAACAAAAACTATTAGAATTTTAAAAACTAAACAAAGAACATAATCAAATATAATAAACTTTTTGAAACTTTGAATAAGGATGTCCATCACCTTAAATAATAATAAGAAATATAAAAATAGAAAATTATTGCAATTATTATACTAATATATATGAATAAATACTTTATTTATTTATGAATAAGAATAATTAAATCTATATTTGAGCCATTAAGGAAATCAATTGAGTTAATTGTATATTTAATTTATATTAAAAAAACATAGATCCAAAAATATAATGATTATAAAATTTAAATCATTCAATAGTTAACAAATAACTTTTAGAATTAAATTGAAATTTAATTGATATGAAGTAGATATAATAATGATTGTAATTATTTATATATTGTTTTAAAATACTTAAGATCTCATTATCGTTAATATATAAAATTAGAAATATAATACATTCGTTTTTTTACAAATAATTTTAATGAGTCCAAAAACTAATATTCCTTTGATCAATTTGACTTAGATAATAGTAGGAATTGTTGCATTTTCATAAGGAGTATAACATTTAGCAGATTTGTCTATTTAATATTTATACAAGGATGATTTTCATGTATCACCTAGTAAAATGGGAGTATTTGTTGGACTAACATAATTACCATGGTATATTTATTCATTTATTATCTTTAGGATAATTAAGCCTATTTGGGGAATTATTTGTGATTCTTTTCCAATTTTAGGTTCGAAAAGAAAAGCATATATTGTATTTTGTGGTTTTTTAAGTTTCATTGGATGGCAATTAATGGCATATGTTGGAGTTGATAATGTTTATGTGGCTGTTTCTTTACTTATTATGATATCATCATCTGTTTGTATCTGCAATGTAGTTGGAGGTAACAATATATTGAACTGTAGAGGCTTTAATGGTTGAATAATGTGCAAATGATCATGCAGCTAATAATGTATCAGTGTTCTTTGGGTTCAAAGCTGCAGGTGGATTAATTAGTGCATATTTTTCAGGGATGTTACTTATGTATTTAACTAAAAAATAAAGTATTTTTTTAAATCACAACTAGTATTCATGATTAATAGTTTATTCCCATTAACAATGGCATTACTTTCATTGAAATTAAAAGAGACTTAATAAACTCAATAATCATAAAATATAAAGGAAGTTTTGAGTATTTTTTGGACATTCTTTTCTAATCCTAAAATTTATTAGTAATTGTTTAAACTAATTTAAGAGACCTGTATTGTTAATTTTAGCATTCATGATGGTACCTTCAAGTAGTTCAATAATGTTTTATTTTTATACTGAAGTTTTGCATTTCACTCCAAAATTCATGGGATATCTAAAATTTATTAGTTGTTTAGGAACACTTCTTGCAATTTTATTATATAGAAATTATTTAAAGGATGTAGAATTTAAAAAGATATTTCTTACAACTACAATTATATTCTTCTTTTGTTATCTATCAACAATACCATTGGTTACTAGAATGAATGTGTAATGGGGAATAGATGATAGATTTTTCTGTTTAGGTGATTCTGTTATTTTATAATTTATTGGAGAATTGAATTTGTTACCTATATTAGTATATGCATGCAAAATATGTCCTAAAAATATAGAAGCTACAATGTATGCAATGCTTATGGCTACAATGAACTTAGGAACTTTTGCAGGAGGATAATTAGGTAATTTAATCTTATATGAAATGGGAATCAATTAATAAGATTATTCTAAGTTATATATTTTTATTGCTCTATCAAGTCTCTTTATCATTTTACCTTTACCATGGATTCATTTAATTAATGAAAAGAAAATACCACTTGAATAAGATATATAATATCCATAGATTTAAGACATTGAAGAGAAAGAAAAACTGATTGCTGATGCAGAATGAATAGCTGATGCAGAATGAATAGCAATATTAAAAATAATAAATATTAAGAAAATTATATATATTTAAATAATAAAAATAATAATATTATACTAAATGATATTTTTCATTATATATTATATAGATTATAAGATTATAATTAAATAATAAAATCAAAATGAAGGAGGGTATTCAAAATCACCAAACTCTGATGGAAGTTAATAAGTACCAGGACCAGGAACTAAATATAAATAATTTAATTACATTATTTATTTTTAATCTCTTAAGTTTATCTTTCTTAATAACCAAATCGAAATCCACTTCTAGTAGAATATTATGAAGGTAAATAATTTCTTGGGTCTCCTATATCTCCAGGAGGATCATATGTTCCAGGACCAGGTACTCTTTTTACTCTTTGAGATTAAGCAGTTGATGGAGAAATAACAGGGGCTCCACTACTTTTGTACTTCCCAATAAAGCAATTCCCTTTTGAACTGAAACCACCAATATTATATCTATCTGGTGCAGGAGTTGTAGATTCAAGATAAATGTCTTATAAATGAAAGGAATTTAAGTACGTTTTGCAGATGTTCTTATTCCCATAGAATATTTAAATGTAGTGATGATATCTTTCACTTAATATAAATTGGGAGCAGGATTAGTATTTGGTCTACCATGAAGGCCTTTAGAAAGCATTTCATCTCTTCCATATGCAAATTTAACTCCTGGCTTTGGTTATAATTTGATATTATAATCTGTAGGTCCTGGAATATATTTATCTCTTCTTGTGAAATCAGATTTACTTCCATAACCTAGAGCTGCTGCTCTTTTATTTAATTATGTTTAAATTCTAAGATTAATAATACTATTTACTATGAATCATAAAACTAAATAGAGCAATAACTTTGTTTAGGCTTGGAAAATCTTTAAGCTTTAGGAAAAGTATATTATTGTTTTGCATGAGATTTATTTAATTAATCATGCACTATTTTTGTATCAAATTATTGAGCTGTTCTAAGATGAAGAAATGAATAGGTATTTCCTTTATTATAAATCTATTCAAGTGTTTTAAATGTTTTTTCTGTAGTTGTTTTAATTCTTTATTACTTTTCAGTTTCTAATTGTCTATTTTAATCTTTTCTTTGTGTAGTAGTTTCTATCTCTCCTTATGTTTTTATTCTTTTAGTTTCAACATTTTCATCTTATTTCTAACTATTTTATTAACTCTCTTCTTGAATTTATTATAGATCTTAATCATTGTGAACTTAATCTAAACCTTCATTTTCATCTTATTATTAATTTTGATTAATTGATTATATTTAATCTTCGTCTTCATTTTATTATTGTAACTAATCTAGATCTTGATTATTATTAATCTAATTCTCCTAGATATCATCATTTTGTTAAAGTAATTAGTTCATGTTAATTAATTATACTCTTTTATATGTAATAAAAAAATAATTCAGAATATATTTATATAATGTTTATTCTCTTAATAACAAATAAATTAAAACATAAACATATATAAATATAATATTTTATTCAATTTTTCAATCTCTTTTGAAATACTAATCTAATTTTTAACTTTATCTTCCATATAATACTTATGCTTCATCTAAATTACTATTATATTTATTAAACTTTCTATTCTACTTTAAATACAGTTTTAATCTATTGCATTAATTAACTTATCCTAGTTTAAGTATTATATAAATATCTAAACTTATTCAAGAATTTTGTTAATTTTTAAAGTATCATTAGATATATTATTTTAATTTATTATTTAACATCAATTTTGGATAAAACATAAATCTTTAATATATAATAGAGTATTTCTCTAATTATAATACAGTAATCTCAATAATGTCTTAATAACTATTTGGCAATTACAATATTTTATTGATTGTAATTTCAAATTAATAAACAAAAATAGATTAAAACTGTATTATTTAAGCTAACACAATTTACTAGATTGAATTATAATAGATAGTATCCTCTCATAAGATACATCACAACTTTATGAACCACATATTAAGATGTATTCTATGATTTTTGTATTAATTTATGTATGTTGCAACTGAACATATTAAATTTTGCTTTTCTTAATTATTAATATTAATTATCAAAATTTATAATTATTGTCTCTTTTTCTGATAAGTATTTAGAATTCATTAACAAATTGTAAATATATGTTTAATATATATAGCAAAATAGTATTTAAATAGAAATCAAAAAGAGAGTAGAATTATCATAAAAAAATAACTGTCATTGAATTTTGTTGTTCTTCTCCACTAATGCAATTATGTTTAAAAAACGTAATAACAAATATATAGAATATATGAATATTAGAGAGATTAATAGAGAAAAATATAAAATTATTTTTGAAAACTACGTTTTTCAAACATCAACAATGTTTATTAAATGAAAATTCTAGAATTAGATATAAATTATACATTCCTACTTATTTTTAGGTATGTATAAAGATAATCATCTAATAAAGGTTGAATATTATTCATTAATGTCGATTGTTAACTCTCTATAATATGCTATATAATCTATTTATTATTTTAATCATCATTTTGATTATGCAAAAAAAAACGCCATTAAACAGGTCTGTTGTTCTAGAATGGTTTGAATAACCACAATAAGAATTTGCAGATACACTTCTCAGAAATTATTAATTCACATTCTCCAAAATACCAACGCAAGAAGAAATTTTATCAATTTTATGCTCAGTTGAAAAAGCATACAATAGTAAAAGAGGTGCTTGGACTCCATGTTAAGATAAGTTTCTAAATCTTGCTGTTTTAGGCATATGTTTAAAGTACTTAATGAAGCCTATAGAGTTAGTAATAAATATTAGTTTATTTTTTAATAGTCTTCATAATAGTGGGAATAGATTTCTAGATTGTTTAGATTTCATAATTGGAAAGCTTGTAGAAATCGATGGTTAGAAGAATGTCATAAAAAAGCAAATTGGACTCCTTAAGAAGACAAAGTTTTAACTTAATTATAGTAATTTAAACCAAATAAATGGTGTGAGATTGCTATAGATTTGATGAGAATTTGTAAAACTCCTTATATTAGATAAGGAAAGTAATGTCGAGATAGATGGGTAAATAAACTTGATCCAAATATTGTTAAGTAAACTTATATATATAATATATATAGTCATCCATGGACAAAAGAAGAAGAGCTTTAGTTGTTTAGAGAAATAGAATAAAGAGGAAAGAAATGGGCAGAAATTTCTTTGTAAGTATTTTAATTGAGGAGAACTGAGAATACTATTAAAAATAGATATTATAATTTATTAAAACAAGCTGAAACAAAGATGAAATTCGGAAGGATAACAAAAGAGTAAAAAAATAAAGCATTAGTTGATTCAGTAATTAAATAATTAGAAACATCTGTAAATTATCAACCAAAATAAGAAGAAACAGAGGAATAAGAAAATAAAAATTATAAATTAGATTAATTTGATTTTAGTAATTTAGAAGATTATGAAGAAGTTGTTATCTTGGTCTAAAAGAAGCTTGTTAAATTAAATGATCAAGTTTGATATTGTTTATTTATGCTACCATATTTATTTAATGATATTAAGATTTAATATTTAATTATATAAAAACTTAAATTATTAGGAGTTTTTTGTAAAAGTTTAATAACATCATTTTTAATATTATAGCATTAATTTTATATTAATTTTTATTAATCAATGAACAAAAAAAAAAATTAATTAATTACTTATTCACACTTTTTGAGAATTTAGATCATATTTATAGATAAACTAAATTCAAAGATGTATTATTTATTAAGTTATAACAATTAATAATTATAATACAAAAATTGTTATAAAATATAATAGATTAAGAAGAAGTAAAACTAATATAATTATTCTTTATTGTAATATATAAAATTTAAGATTATATAAATTATGCTACTTTGAAGAATTTGCTATAAATAAAATTAATTAAAATTCTTTAGAATTCAAATTAATTGTCTTTAAAATGGATTTAATTCTTTAAAACTACTGCAAATTGTTCAAATATATTAAAAGAATTATTGAGATATGTTTTACATATTGCCATGTCAATATTGTACTAATTTTAATATAAATGAATCATTCTTTCAAAGCAAACTTTCTTAATGGGAAATTGTTGAGTCTCTTCCATTATCTCTATGTTTTTTAAGCTTTACATATAACTAAATAGATATACCTCTTTCACTTCTTGTGAGTCTTTATCTAATTGCTCTAGTTTTTTTGCCTCTAAGATCAACAGGAAGATTGCTACTTGATTTAGTAGCTGCTTTGACTGAATTTCTTCTTTATTCATTGATGACTGTCAAATATTTGGCAATTCTCTTTCTAACAAGCTTGATTATTCATATATTATGTTACTCCAATTCTGCCAAGTTTTTAGGCATTACCTGCTGATACTTTCACTGTTCTCAATTAAATTAATTCACCCTTAAGCTTTTCTAAGTCCTTAAGGAGATCTTCAGGCTTTTATTCTCTGAGCTTTCTAACCTTGAACTTTTAGGACATTATTTAAATAAAAGGATTTAATTTTTATCAAATATGAAGAATTATTTTCAATAAGACGATCAATATCATATTAATATATTACAAAAAACATAAAAAATAATATCAAATCATAACAATCCATATTATTAATCAGCATACCCTCTCTTAAATCATATTATTATATGAGATTCAAATTCTCTAATTATTTATTATTATTATCATCTAAATATACTTTATATGAATTTATTGATAACTCTTTTTAAGATAAAATAAGAATTGTATAAATATGAGAGTTGATAATAATATTAATTTATTTTACAAAAATAGTATATATAATATTGCTAAGATGACAGAATTCTTATAGCATTTAGGGAAAGATTCATTTAAAATAAATAATGAATAATAGAATGATTAAAATTGTAAATTATAGAAATTTCCTAATGGTGTTACTTATTTAATGAATTATTAAGAAGGATTTCAATTAGAGATACAAAATAATATTCTAAAAAATGTTTACTTATATGGAAATCATGACAAACAATTTAAACCATATAAAGGGGTTTTACCATTTGGAATAACATTTACTATGTGTAATGCTGTATATTAAATTTTATTATATTAGCATATAGTAGCAAAATTTGGTGAACCTACAAGTAAATAAGGTGGTGGACCAATGAATATAGGAATTAGTTATGATCATATTGGTATTGAGATAACTTTTCAAACTAAAACTTGGGATTAACCTAATGTAGCAATAGATTAAATAATTTTGTATGAACCTGTACATTAAACAATCTGTGGAATTTGCAAAAAAAATGGAGATTTAAGATGTGGATAATGTAAATTAGTATATTATTGCGGAGTTGATTGTCAAAAGATACATTGGAAATAACATAAAGGATTTTGTTAGTGATATTAATTTTTATTGTAATAATGATTATTTTTTATAGTAATTTATTTTTAAGGCATAAATTAGTATAAGAATAATTTAATTTATTAAAATGTTGTATATGATTATTTATTAAAAATCAGAGTTTTCATAATGTAATTTTTTGAGAAAATTAATTATCCTAAAAGTTTTTATTAGAATTCAATGAATTTAAATAAATATACTTATTAATTTATTAAATATAATGTAAGATAACAATGAATAATTAGAGAATTTAGAGAAGGAGAACTTGATTGGACAATTAAAAGAGAAAGTATTAGTGATGATTTAGTATTAAGATTAAGGAAAATAAAACAATTACAAAGAAATTAGACAGATTATCAGAGAAATATGTTTAGACTTATAAAGAATATAAGTTATTAGCAAAGGATAGAGAGTCTCTATTTTAAGCTATACAATTTGCTCTAAGTGAATAATAATATAAATTTGAATAGAAACCTTTAGGTTAATGTTTTATTAAATGTTAGGTCAATTTGATACAAATTAAATAATTGACTTACTTAAATAGAAAGATGAAGATAAATCAAAAGCTCTTACAAATCTAATTAAAGAGACTAATAATGAGAAATTTTAATTAGAAGAAAAGTATAGATAAATGATAGAAAAATAAGGGTCTAATAGTGATTAAAAGACTTAATAAATAATTAAATAATTAAAATAATAAATTAATGATTTAGATAATAATAATACAAGATTGGCTAAAGAAATAATTGAATTAAATGATATAATATAGATAAAGAATGAATAATTAATGAAACTAAGTTAATTTGAAGATGATTGTGCTAATTTAAAGACTTAATTAATGGTCTAAGAACTTTAATAATAATAACCAGATAGATAATATAAAATAAATTCATCTGATATTATGAATGAATCACTTAAAATGAAATAATAAGTTGATAAATTATTAGAAGAAATTCAAAAATAAAGTTTGAAAATCAAAGAATTAGAATTAGAAAAAGCAAACTTTTAATAAAATTAAAAACAATAAAAAAATAAAGATAATTTTAATAATAATTATACAATTACATAAACACCAGATGATTATGATGAAATTAATCCATTTGAATAAGAAAATACTATATAAAAATAAGATCTAAATTAAAATATATTTAATAATCAAAAATAAACATAAACTGATTTTATTTATTAAACAAAAGAAGAATTAATAACTAACAATACAAATTTTGAATATTTAAAAAATGTTGTATATAAATACTTTTTATATTAAGAAACAAGAAATTATAAGGAAGCATCTATATTAATGAATGCTATTATGACTATTTTAAAAATGTCAAATGATGAAAGAAGAAGAATAGAATCAGCAAGAGAAAGAGGATTTATAAAAAGTGCTAAGAATTTAATAAGTGATGGGTTCTTTTGTTTGAAGTAACCTTAATTAAATGATATGAATTTTGAACGTCCTAATAGTAGAATTGAACTAATGAATAAGCATATGTTAAATTGATTATATTATTATATAATTTTATGGCTTCTTAAAAATTTATGGAATTTTTATCAAGTAATGATAAATTAAGAATGAATGATATGAAATTGATTGAACAAGAATAATATTATATAAACTAATTAAAGGATTAAAGAGAAAAAGTAATAAACTATTATATATCATAGATGGAATTATTAAAAATTGAATTCTTAAAGAAGGATCATGTCATATTAGAGTTATAAGGTCATTTGGAATAATTATAAGATGAATGTGAATAACTAAGAGAAATTTATTAAGAACATGTTCAAAATTAAGAAAATGAATTTTATAGATTCAATAAATTATAAGTGGAAAAAGATAATTTAATTAAAGATAATGAAGAATTAAAGGATGTAATTTAACATTTACGAAATGAAAATGAAACTTTGAATGTATTCAAAATGAAATTATTTCATAGTCGTTATAATTTAAAAATGATGATTAATAAAGATAGTTATAAGAATAATTGGTTCTATTGGCAGAAGAGAATGCAAGATTAAAGTAAGAAATAGCAAAGTTAGATGAATTATTATTTACATATGAACCTTTAAAGGAAGAAAATGAAAAACTTAATGAAAAACTAAGATATTATAAACATGAAAAACACAAATTATCATAAGAATTAAAATAAGGAAAACAAGAAATTAATAAATAAATAGAAGAATTTAAATCAGGTTATGTTAAAGATTTAAAAAATGAAATTTAAAGATTACAAGAATATAAAGATTAATATTAATCATTAAAAATACAAATTCAAGATTTAGAATAGAAATATATAGAAGTTATTAATGAAAATAATGATTTAAAACTAGAAATTAAATCTTTATATGAAAAAGAAGAAAGTGAAATTAAAATTAAATCAGAAATAGATAGAGTAAATTTATTTTATTAAATTAAAGGTAAGATAAGATCTTATGTCAGTAAGATACTAAGAGACTTTAAAATTAAATGAATTATTTAATGGAATGATTAGTTTGAGCAGTTTAGCAAACTCTAGAGATCACTTTAATTGAATATCATTTTTTGCAATTCTAGTTATCTATAAATTATACTTTATACATTATAATTATTATTATATAACAATTTATGATAAATGTATCCCCTTCTTCTTATAAAAAATAGATAAATACAACTAATTTATGATATTCAAAAATATTAATATAAAAATTAAATAAACTGTTAAAATATCAAGGATATTTATATATTATTAGATTTAAATACCAAATATAAAGAAAAAACTGATTTGAAAAAGTAATGAAAAAATTTTAATGAATTTGAAGAGAAAAAAGTAAAAAATTTACTTAGTCATTCATATGAAAAGAACAATAAGCAATTAAATGATGAACTAAAATATGAGATGTAATGAAAACAAATCTTTTAAGTTCATTTTTTATTTTAATAAACTTTTATATTTTTGAAAATAATACTTATTTTTTAAATAAATCAATCAGTTTAGTATATTTGTAGAAAATTTTTATTCCAAAATAATTATAAGATTAGAATTAATCCTTTAGAAAAGTAATTTGAATTGATTTAACTTTTAAAAATATCAATCAAATCATAATTGATACTAATCTAAATTAAAAAGTATACTCAAAAAATTAAAGGATCAATACTAATAAAATTGAAATAACTTAGAATAATTATGCTAATAATAAAAAATAAAATTCATGATTCATTATTCTATTATTTTTGAAATGATTGAGAAAAATCATAATTATATCTCTAAGATTATGTATGTTTGATCAAAATTTAATGGAAGATAAATTGTAAATAATAATATTAATTTAAATAGAATGAGTAAAAAAGAGGACATCATAGAAATAAACTTGGAAGAGAAAATTCAATAGAATAAAAGAAATAAGTAGAATGTTAGAAAAGGGTACTAAGAGAAGAGATAGAAAATTTAAGCATTTTTTGGTGATAGACATAGAAATGATGATCGTAATCCTGGAGCAATTGTTGACATAACAAATTTACATTATAGTGTTACAAATGATGAGTTGAAAGAGTTGGCTTAATAATTTGGAAAGGTGAGGAAAGCTTAAGTAGAATGGGATAAAATGGGCAGATCTCTTGTAAAAATTAAATATAATTTAAAGGAATAAGGTTATATTGAGTTTTTTTATGTTTCTGATGCAAAAAAGGCAGTCGAGAGTTTAAATAACACAACAATTGAAAGTTTACCAATGAAAGCTTAATTAAGAGATTCAACAATAAGAAGAGGCATGTTCAAGCGATGATGAATATTAATGTACGAACAAAGGTGTTTAATCAATCAAACAAGCCTCCCATATCAACATCTTCTTCTGGTTCTTCAGCTTTCTTTACTTCTTTAGCTGGCTCAGGAGCTTTAGCTTATTAAGCAGCAGGAACTGATGTTTATGCAGCAGTTTAAGCAGCAGGTGCATTGCCTGCATTTCCATGTAAAAGATCGCCAACTCTCTTTCCTTTGAGTGCCTTTTCAAATACTTTAGTCCAAATTGGTTCAACTCTTATATTAGCAGCTTTGATGACTTATGCTAATTTAGAAGCAACAATCTGAGTTTTATTAAGTAATTTACTTCTTAATTGTCTTCATATAAGATGAGAGCAGCATAGGTACAAGCTGCTTCTGATGTAGCTTAATCTGCAATTGGTCTAGTGTCTTTTTATGCTCTTGCCATTTAAAAAAATAATTAAAAGATTTAATATTTAATGCTCATCTCATTCTTCTCATAATTCTTAACTTATAAACTGCAGACAAGCCTCAAGATCTCCATCCCATGCAATATCAGCTAAATATTAGTTAGATCCTTCTCCTATAAATCTAAATCAAATAAGAAATTACAATACCCTTTCTTTTATTCTTTTATGAATCGTTTTCTTAATTGAGGTAAAAATGGTTAAATCATTTTAGACATCTTATTACTAGCATAATAGAAGCATCTGAAAATTTTGTAATAGTTTTTGGTAGACAAATATGAGCACATACTATTTAAATGATAAAATATATCTACTTCAAAGCAAAATAAATGAGATCGTTTTCTGAATCAATTGTTTATGTATTGAAAATATTAATAAGTTAATCCTTATTATCTTTGAGAGCATGGTATAAAATTATATAACATAAAAATTCTGATTTTTTTTTAGTTTAGATTGGCATTAAATAAAGCTCTAGTAATTTCATTTAACATTATTCAAAAGTATACAAATCTAAGTTTTCTATACTGACTAAAGCATTGGTTTCATAGGTTTTTATGGTAAATTCATTTTCAATATTTTAAACACTAATATCCTATCTAATTGATCTTAATTAATCAATAAAATATTGATAGTCAATTTCACCAGTTTTATATTATTTTTTGAATAATTTCAAAGCTTCTTAGAGAATATTTAATGGTCGTATTTTCTCATAATCAATTTATTATGTCAATCTCAAATATGGCTTATGAAGTGATTGATTACTTGGTTCTTGAGTATCCTTTTTAGGATATAAGGCATTATAAAGATCACATAATTCAGCATCTTCTTAAGCTTGCTTTCGAATTCTCTGTAGTTGATATTTAGAAATTTTATATTAATAAGTCATATAAAATAATTTTTATCAGCACCAAGCATCATGCTTTTAGTTCCTAAATCTTTTTTCATGTTTTCAGGACTTTCACTAAAAATATTAAAATATCGATTATCTTATTCATCAATTTCAAGAATAGAAGCAAGATTACCATTTCTATATAAATAATTAGGAGCACTCCAAACTGTAATACATCTATCTTCAAATTTCAAATTAAATCCTTCATTGCATAATTAATGAGCTCTAATCAAATGTGTCATATTATTGAAATGTAGAAATTCCTTAAGAACTTAACCTCCAAAAACAAAACCTGCTCCTCTTGGAGATATTTTAAAACCTGGAGTATCCTCATCATCAGGATCAGACCACATAATATCTGTAAATGCTCCTTCATGAGGAATCTCTTAAAATCTATTCAAATGTTCTATTTCATCCACACTCTCTATACAAGGAGATAGTCCTCCATGCACACATAATAGATTTGTACCAACTATACAAGCAATAGGAATGTAATCAAACATATCTGTAAAATATTCCCATGCTTAAGTATTCCCATATTTCTATTGGCATTCCATATAAAATCCATAATTTTAAGTAATTCCTCTGGTTTCATGATTTCCTCTAATTAATGTGACTCTATTTGGGAATTTTACTTTAAGGAGGGAAAGTAATGAAATTACTTCTACACTATGAGCTCCCCTATCTACATAATCACCTAAAAATAAATAATTAGTAAAAGGAGGTTTTCCTCCAACTTTAAAAAGCTCTTAAACATCATATAATTAACTAAATATAAAATTTCAATTACCCATGAACATCTCCAACTATTGTGACAGGAGTTGGGATTTTTTTTACATTTGGTTCTTTAGAAAAAATCTCTTTCAAAGTTAAACAAATAAACTTGATAGCATTTTCATTAAGCAACTCTCCTTAATAAGCTTATTCAAGAAATTTATCAATCATTTTATAATTATATAGAATTATTATTTAACTATTTTACAAACTTTGCTGCGTTTCTAAGTACATCATAGTTATCAAATGGATTTGTATATAGAGAATGATTTCTAATTATTATAATTTAAATAAGAATACCTCTTTTTGTATGAACTTTTACTTATTGTAGAATATTATTCATCTGATTATAAATAAGGTAGTTTTTTCTAAATATTTTAAGGAATAGTTGGAATAGTAACTTAAACACTTCTAATAACTCTCTCAGTATTTTATTATTTTGGTTTATTAAATAGATTACAAGTTGATTTATAATTTTCTAATTCTACTTCTAAATATTGGATAAGAGTATAACATTTTGCAAGTTATTCTTTTTTTTATTCTAATTATTTTCTTAAATCTTAAACTTCAACATTAGCATTTTATAATTATGATAATTAAGCCATATTTTCTTAATGATATTATTTTGATGTTAATAATTCATCTTTTTTTGCAATTTATTAATTCAAATTTCTAATAATCTTTTCTTATTAAAAGATTTTCTATTTTAATTCATCTATTTAATCTGATTTAGTTGGTGTTTAGGGTTTAGCTTTTTCTTTAATTTCTTTCCTAACTACAATAGAATTTGAGTGTAATTTAATTTTTACATTTTCTTCTTTTTCTTTAGGAGCATTAGTCAATTAAATCATCAATTCATTTTATTTATTTGTTGCTTTAATTTATTCTTATTATTATAATAATTCATCTTTTAATTATAAATTTTAGTATTTTTATTACATTAATTAATCACTTAAGTTTGATATTAAATCTTAAAGATTTTCAATTTCTTTTTCTTTTTTTTCAAGTTCTACTTTAGTTTCATTTAATTATTCAATTTACATTTATTAAAATTTAACTTAATGATCTAATTAATCACATTTTTCATAGATATCATCATCCAAATTACCAAAACAACTTGCATCCTGAGTTATTTTTTATATAGGTTAATTTTTTTGATAATATTCTATTATTAAATTCATTCTAAGATTTTCTTACTCTATTTCAATTAAATTATTTTATAATTTTGCATAATCTTTCTATAATTAAATATATTCTTAATTTTCCTTAATTTATTCTTAATTAATTTATAATCCCTATTATTCATTTTCTAATTAAAATTATTAAGTAGTATAAGGAGTTATTTTAAGAGACCATTCTGTTTGAATATGAGTGCTTCTACTAGCTTTTGTATATGTAGTATCTGCTACAGTTTCAGGAGTTTGATTAATATGATTATGTTCAGTTAAGTCTGTATCTAATTTCAATTTAAATTTTTTAGAATGTTATTTCTTTTATGAAAGTCTTTTAGCTTATATTATTTAATTTAATTTTAATTTTCTAGCTTTTTAATAAGAATAATCATTTTATTATTATTACAAAATTAATTCTTAATTAATGTCCCCTTTATTCATAAAAATTGATGTTTCTTATTGTGCCTATTAATCAATATATTCTTTTAAAGTTATTCCATTTTAATCTAATTATGGAAGTTCAGAGTTAGAATTCTACAAATTATTTTAATTAAATTCTTCTTGTTTATTTTCAATAATTTATTAATTTGATTAATTGACTTCAATATTATTTATAGTTTCTTATTATTATTATTATTATTATTATTATTATTATTATTATTATTATTATTATTATTATTATATAATTAATTCTTAATTTTCATCAATTTATTATTAATTATTCTCCTCTATTACTTTTATACTTTAAATAACATTGTTAATAGATTACATATCATTTATTTATTCTGAATTCATAGATTATACTTATATTTAATTTTTGATATCATTTTATTCAGAATCATCTTCTTTAACACCCATCAATAAAGGAACTGGTTGAGGAGAAAAGAAATTATAAGTTTTTCTTCTTTATTATAATGGTTATTAAATTATTTATTTTTCTACTATTAATTCAGGCATTGAATCAGGATTCTCTTTTTATTCTTGATTACTTAATTCATTATTTTCTTCCTAAGATTGTGATGATTATTCATCTAATTATTCTTCTGTTTTTGTTGTAATTAAAACTTTATCATCTGTTTATGTAAATTTATCTTCTTTATTAATTTAATCTTATATTAAATTATTAGTTTATTCTATATTATCATTCTATAAATCATTTGATTTTTAATTTTCACTTAATTATTATATGAGATCTGATTATTCTAAAATACTTGGAAAAACTTGTAGATCTTCTAATTTATGAATTGAGTAAGATACTTACTTTTAATTAAATTTCTTTTATGATTCTTAAGATCCTTAAATACTATTTTTTAAGATATTCAATTATAATTCTGAAATCCTTTTTTCTAATGTTGCTATAAGTTTATCTTAAGATAAATTTATTTATAATTATTTATTTAATTTATTTTTTAAATCTAAATTTTGAGTTTCATACATATTTTAAACTTCATTAAATTCTAATTTTTATTCTTAATTAGATCTAATTAATACTAATAAATATTCTAGAGAGAATTATAACATTTATTAATATTATTAAGTCTTTATTTCTAATCCTAAAAATGTTGATGCATTTGTATATATTTCTTTGATTAATTAATTATAATTTTGAATAGTTATTTAATTCTCTTGATTTTAAAATTTTAAATCTTAAATCTCTTATAATAACTCATTTTAACGTTATTATTCTTTTTTATATCTTGAATCTCCATCTTTAAATTATTAAAGTATTTTATTATATTCATATTATTATGTATTAATTTTCTATTCTTAATTTATTTAAAGTTCTTTAAGCATTTCAACTTATTTTCTCAATTCAGTTGTAACTTTATCATTTTCATCTTTATGTGTTAAAATATATGATTCCTTTAATTTATAATCTTCTTACAATTTATCAAAATTCTCTTTCAATCTTTCATAATCTTTATCTTTTAAATTCGATAATTAAGTTAACTATTCTATTTACTCTTAAATATTCTTTTTATAAATATCAAAATCATTTTATATACATTTGCATTTAATTTCCCATGACTAAATACTATCTTTTATAGTTTATTCTAATTCATTAGTTTTTTCACTTAATTTATTTTACCAATAGACTTTTTAATCTGTCAATTTTGTATCATAATGAATTGTCTATTTTTTTAGTATATCCTCCTTTTAATGTATTGTTTTAATTAAACTTGCTCTCCCAGTTTCTAAATCAACTATTTTTACATTTAACTATTTAATAGTATTCTCCATATTAAAAACTTATTAATAGAAATCATCTTCAAGTTTTTAAAATTATCCTTTTACAACTTCAAGAGCTATTTCTAAATCTTTTCTTTCTATTAAAGCTTCTTATTTCATTTTATCATAGATTTCTTTATTGTCTTTTTGAAGTTGCTAAACTAATTGTCTCTCAAATGATAATTAAGATTCCAATAATAATATTCTCTAATCTTTAGCAGAAATAGTATCTTTATAATATGTAATGTCTAATTCAATATTACAATTACTTTACCTTCATTTAATAATTCACTTATTGTTATTAAATCTGCTAACTTTTTCAAGAGTTCTCTACTCTCACCCTTTGCATTTATATCCATTATTAACTATGAATATTCCTGACATCTTTTGAATGATATTTTGTATACCTTTAATCTATATAATATTTCATTGCTAACAGTTATTCCTTAAGTGATGAACATTCCTCTGATGATACATAGAATATCTTCTATAAATGTTAAATGTTTTCCCTTAACTTTTATTGGAAATGTGTACTAATTTCTTTAATTTTTTCATTTTATAGTAGTTAATCTGCCATCATAATTATTAATTATAAGACTGTGTTATAATCATTTCTGAGCTATAATCTATGAAAGAATATATACATCTATATAATAGTATTAAATTCAGAATTTAAAGAATATACAACAGAAAAACTAAAGAAAAGATAACCAAAAGTAAAAAAAATTATATTACAAAAATGCAGTTAAGATATAGATTTAAATTCTTAAAATTATTTGATACTCTAAATCTACTATTCTTTCTAAACGATTATATTAATTCTACTGATTTATTTATGTTTCTGGTGTAACATTGTAATGATGAAACACCAGAAACAATGTAAGTTTAAATCAAAGATATTATTGAAATTATTGTAAGATGAATCTTTAAATAGAAAATTTATCATTCTATCATTCATCATTAAGGATTTAATTTATTATAGGTTGTAATGCTCTTATATAGTCTTCTACCATCTAGATTTCCTCAACATATTACACAAAGCCTAAAATATTTTTCCCTTATGATAACTAACTTTAACTTAATAGTATTTCCACTTATTCCTAATATTTAGAATATATATTTTACAAAATCATTTATTTGATCACAAGCTATCAATAATTTAAGTTATATCAATTTCTTTTTGAACATCAATTTATTATCTTAGAAATTTAAAGAATTCAACTGATTAAAAAAATAAGCTAAATAACTCTAAAAATGTTTATCAAACTATTTGCTTCTCTCTATGTATTTAAATTCTTCTTCCAAATCTTTAGAATTACAAAATATTATTTCCTTTTTTGTATTAGAATACCAAGTCCTAAATAAAATAAATAATATTTGAACTTAACATTCATCAAATATTCGTTTCGATAGTCAGATAGAAACGTTTATTCTTCTTTATAATGTTTAACCTCATCACCTTTTTTTGCAGTTTATAATTCTAAGATTTTTTCTTCTACATATTTAATTAAAAGTTTAATAATCAAAAGTCCACTTTAATATAAATATATGCTTGCATCATCAATTTATAATAAGCATAAGTCTAATATTATTTGTTTCAAAAATTGATATTTTTCTTACCAAGCATTAAAATAGAATGATGAAATAATTTAAATTGAATCAGAATTAGTTTATGTATTAATTACATATTAGTATATACAAGAAGATACATATAACCAATCTGCTCTATCTTAAGGATTTTCTTGAACCATTTTGAGAATCAAATTTTTTAAGATATCATTAATTTAGATATTGCTTTTCTTAATTTTCTCTTTAAAATCAATACTATTTTATTATTTCTTTAGTAAACCGTATAACATTTCGTAGAAGACAACGCCTAATGAATATATATCAGCTTTGTATGGTGAATATTTTTATTTTTTATTAACTTCGGGTGCTGAATAAAAAGGAGTTCCCACAAGTGATTATGTTGTCATTAACATATTGTCTATATATTTTGCTAAATTCACATCTGTTATTTTTATCCAACCATCTTTAACTAATATATTTTCTGGCTTAATATCTCTATGACAATAGTTTATTTCATGAAGACAATAAAATAAATATAAATAAATACCATTTTTCTCCTTCAACTATTTAAATTAAAATATCAACTGCTTCCCGTTCAGTTAATCTTTTATCTTTTTTTTTTTCAATATATTCTTTAAGATTTGCTTAAATAGATATGTTATTCTATATTACAATCACATAATTCTAAAACTATATTATAATGTTCCTATGTTTCAAAGTTATCTAAAAGTTCAATGACATTCTTATGATTATTTTTCTTACATTTTTCTAAAATTTTAATTTCCAAATCATATGATTCTTTTAATTTTTCAGCTGTTAATCTTTTTTCTATTTTTGACTTTTTTTATATTTATTTTAATGCCACATATTTATTAGTTTCACAATGTTTTGCTTCATAAACCTTGAATTACTTATTTAAATACTGTACACATTAGTCCTTCTCCCAATAATTTTTAATTGTTACAAATGTAATTGCCTATAATTCGAGGCCCAGACATTATTAATGTATTATAATATATTAAGATAATAAAAATTTAAATCGTAAAAAAATATCAGGTTATATATAAAGTTAATAAAAATTTATATAATAAACTATAATCAAGCCACAGAAACATTTCGAACTTTAGAAGTTCGTTTGTGATCTACTGGAGTTAATTATCTTTTAAATTATGGTAAAGTGACATTTAAATCTATTATTTTTTTATTTATAATATATTATGTTCTTCTTTAACCTTAAGGAGCTGTTGTTGGCTTGACAGTTTAATTCAAATTACTACTAATATCTATAGATTTTTCAGATACTTTTTTAATCTGAAATGATCTATCACATTATTTCATTTCTTTTTCTAAATTCTCTGCCTATTATTAAATTTTCTTTCTATATTCATTTGCATCAAAATTATCAATGTACATATGTTCTATTTATTTTAGATTATTTTACTTGTTAAATCTCTTATTTATTATTTCATAATTAATGAATGTCTATTAATACTATTAGTATTCATTTATTTTTTATAAACTTCTTAGTGATCTTATTATTTTTATTCAATAGGTTTTTATTCTTTCAAATTTACAACTTAAACTTCTATTTTCTTTTTATGAGAGAATCTTCTAATCATAGATTTATTAGTAGTTGTATGATCAGAGAAAGTATTATTTTAATATAATTCTCCTAAATCTATTATTGGTTTATCTATTAATTTAAGTGTCAATGCCTAAAATGAATCTATGGTTGGTCTAATATTGTATTCTTAATCATCTAATAAAATTGAAGAGTTCTAGCAATCAACTTGATAAAGATTAATAGCTGATCTTGTCATTTATTTCACTATTACTTGATCTAATGCATAGATTCATATTTCAAAAAAGAAGGTATTTTTGCATCTATTTAATGTTCTTTAATCAATTTTCTGGCCTTATGTATTATCTATTTGACAATGTCATCTACAATAATTTCTGAAATCATATGTGGTTGTAATAATTTAATATATATAAATAATAATTTATCAAAATAAATGTGCATCATCCTTTACTTCTTAAAGATAAGGATGATCATAAATTATATCTAGAGTAGTTCTAGTAGTTGAATCTGGCTAAAGAAATTGCTCCAGAAAATCCTATGTGATTATATCTATTTATTATTTTGACAATTTTTAAACGAGTGTCCAATATTATTACCATTTTTTTTATTAAATTAATTTCCATAATTTACAATTGGCACTAGGTTTAGTTGATTTGAAAGGTAAAAAACCCAATATTAACTAAAATAAAGTAACTCCTAATGAAAACACATCACTCTTAATTAGAACTTAAGTATTTATATTCTCACTATTATGACCTCCCAATAGTGTTTCTTAGTGTAATTCAGGAGGCATATAATTAAGAGTACCAACAGTTCTTTTTGCTGTACAATTACTTAATAGTTCTGCAAAGCCGAAATCACATAAAACTAATCCACCTTCTTTATCTATCAAAATGTTCTCTAATTTGATGTCTCTATGAACTACTTGATTTTAATGAACATAGTTTATAATTTTGATCAAAGTCTTACATATTTCCTTTATTATTTGTGTGTTTAGATTCTGAGATTTGACTACTTCAAATAAATCATGTGTTTAAAGTCTTTCTAAAACCAAGTAGTTATCTGTGTACATGATGAGTTTTACTATATGATTACTTTTGAGAAGTTCTAAAATTTGAACTTCCTTCATTCTTGACTATATTGAGTAGAATGATTTATATTCCTTAATTACATAATTGGGATCTTCGCTTAGGAACACATTAGACGAAGATCCTTCACTCAATAGAGTGGTCTTGTTGTTCATATGCTTTTAAGAATGATTGATTTATAATTATAAAAGAATAAAAAGGGATATATATTTTATTCAGTTATAAATTAATGGGTTAGGCAGATAGTAAATAGGAGAAGGATTTTTTAAGAAAGATTGACTCGCAATACGAATTCATCAAACATCTTAATGATGCAAGTGAATCATCATAATTATAAAGTAGGATACGGGGATGGTAAATTGTTCGGTAAGAAAAATGACAAGTCATAAATGATTGTATTAAAGAACATAAGTGTTCCAGATGAAGCTAGTTATTAAGCTTGGAAGAATAAATTATAGATGAGACAATCTCTAAAACATCCTAATATTATTGAATTAAAAGGTATGCATAACGAATAATATCAATTAGAATCAATTTAATCAGAAGAAGAGTAAGTTTGCAGTACCTTTTATAAGGTGAACCTCGTATTTGAATACATACCTTAAACTCTAAAAGATGCTCTAGAATAAAGAAAATAAGCAGGTGCTTATTATGGAGAATAAGAGATTTTGTAAATGTTAAATGGAGCAATTGATGGATTGGCCAAATTACAAGAATTTAAGATTGCCCATTAAAATTTGAGAGTGTAAACTTTATCCTATCAAAATGGAATTATCAAAGTTAGTGACATCCCCTTATTAGCCAATATCACATCCTTTGCAGCTGTTTTACAAGATTATGGAGATGCATCTCAAGGCAATTATCTGTCTCCTATATTGACTAAGGCAGTTTATGAAAGTAATCATATGCCTTAACATAATTTATTTAAATCAGATGTATATACTCTTGGAATGATATTCCTTTAAGTTTGTTTACTATAACCTTAAGATAATTGTTATGATTACTTTGAAGGCAAAATAAACATGTAATAATTGTTCACAAACATTGAATAAGCTAGAACTATTTATACTTCTGAATTAGTTGAAATAATTGAAGAAATGCTTGAATAAGTTGAAAATGATAGACCTGATTTTATTTAATTGAGGAATAAAAGGAAATAAACTATTGTCAAATAAGAACCTCAATTAGCTGATAAAAACTCTCTTTAATAAGATGATGAATACTAAATGATGTTCTATAAGAATAATGATAATTAATTTGAAGTCAATTAATCAGTCTAACCTTCTTATTAAGATGAAGGACCAATTCCATTACTAGAAGATAATTATGATGAGTTACATCCACCCTTTAAAGAACCATAACCAGCTAGTTATAATGACCATGATATATTGATTCACAATGCAGATATCACTAGGAATTCTATCTGTAATTAAAATATTAATATTTAATTTAGCTCCAATGAAGTAAAATAACTCAATTGGATATATTCCAAAATCATAAATCTAAGAAATTTAAGTTCAACCAATCTCATTTGCTTAAAATAATAATATTTTAAATTAAGATATTTATAGAGTTCCAGATATGCCAAAATAAAATATTAAATATGATTCTTATACTAATACAAGTACATATAAAGATTAAACAAATCTCAAAAAATAAGATGCTTACACTCAATCAAGTTAATTATTCAATAATAATGATTAATAAAAATCCAATATTCAATATTAATAATAATAATATGTGACTGCCTATTAACCTTAAAGAGAATCATTTAAAGTCACTGATTATATGGATAAATTTCATTTTTCATCACCAAATGATATCAAAATATTTGAATAAAATCATTAAATTGATTACAACCAACCAAATAGAGAATCTTATTAATATTATTCTGCATAACCATAGAGTAGATTTATGTCTGTATAATAATAACCAATTTAATAATAATCAAATTATATACCTATATAGACAGTATCAACATATCTCCCAAAATAGAATTTGTCAACTTATGTTAATGAAACCTATCCAAATGGATAAAGATATGTTGGAGAGAAAATTAATGGAAAAAAAGAAGGCAGAGGAAGATTATATTATAAAGAAGGAGGCTATTATGATGGAAATTGGAAAAATGACAGAATTAATGGATAAGGTATGAAATTATTATTTAAATATAGGTGTATTATATTATGCAAGTGGAAGACCAGCATATGATGGAGAATGGATTGATGACAAGTTTTAAGGATAAGGTATATTATATAATGATACTCCTAAAATTGAAGATATTAATTATAGAAATCTAGAAGATATTGGAAAGTAATTTAATCTTAATAATTTAAGTGCTTGGACCAAATATGTTGGATAATTTTATGATGATAATAAAAATGGATAAGGAACTCTCTATTTTTTGAATGGGGATCGTTTTGAGGGAAATTTTTAAGATGATCAAGTTTAAGGATAAGGTAGATATATTTCAATAGGAGGATAAGTAATCTAAGGAATTTGGAACTTTAATCGTTTTGTGTAATGAAATTCTATATTTATATTAAGTAATATATAAATTTTAACCATTCATTTAAATTTTTTTATATATTTATTCCATTCTCTTTTATTTGATGTACATCTCTATGATTATTAAGGAGATATATTTTAGGTATCTTTATCTAAATTTTATATTCTTTAGGAATTAATAGTTAATTAATTATTTAGTTGATTATATTGATTCTCTTAATTGCTATTAGTAGTACTCCTTTATGAGTTTAATGGAGAAGTATTAATTTTCTTAGGAATTTCTTATTTCTTTTCATTAAATACAATAGCTTCTCTTAAATTTTTATTAGTTTAAACTAATTATTTAATTTGTTAACTCTAAGTTGAAACAATCTCATTTAATTCTTATTCTGTTTATAATAATTTTTCTTATAATGATTCAAACTATTTATTAGCTACTAAAATCATATGTTTTAATTGTTAATTTTTTTATTATAAATCCAATGAATTTAAACGTTCTTAATTTAATTCACTCATACTTTATTTAAGTTGCTATTACATTTTCTATAGAATAGATTGTTGTTCTGCTGATTGATTATGCAATAAAGTAATTTCTTAATCAGCATCAATGAGAGTTTACTTTAAACTATTTAAGAGATTAATAGATTTTTCCATGCCTTAATAGCTCTATATATGCATAATCTAATTATTGCAATTTTATGTATACATAAATCATTTGCATTTTTTCCAAATAAGAGATAATATAATTTTATTCTTTTGTATCTCTTATTAAATTACCAATTATTTTTATTGCCTCAATATAACATTTCTGAAATCCTTCAAACATTATCTCTTTTTTATCTAAAGGCTACTTTTATTAAAAACTATAATATTCTTCTTATTCTGTACTCATCACAACAGATAGTTCATTTTTCAAATTTGATGGCTTTACTTTCTATAATAATCCAATAAATTGATCTAATTCTAGTTTTAAGTTTGTATCCTTTACAATGTCTTATGATACCAATTTTTCTAATGATTGAATTGAATGATCTGATTATAATGTTGTTATTGATTAAATAGATTGTTGATGAGTTGATTTTTTTTTTGATTAATAATATTGTCTATCATCCTCTATACACTGTAGTTATTCTAGAGACATTTTTAACTATATACAATTTAATATCTGTTAAATAATATTAATTAATAATTTAGTTGCTATGTATACTAAATATATAATTCAATCATAAACTCTTCTAAAACCTACATGAGTTTCAACCATATTTGTATCCAACTCAACTTTAGTAGTATTTCCATTAAGAAAATCTTTATCGCAATATAAACTTGAGATTTGCATATTTAGACTTCCATAAACAGTTTATGTATCAATCTTTTATTTATTTAATTCATTATTATGTTTATTAATCTAAATTATTGATTAATTATACATCTGAAAGTAATGTTTTAGTTATTTAATCTTCTTCTCTATATTAATTAGATTTCATTTTATGTAATTCTTCACGTATAACATTCATATCATCTCTGCTTACCTTTAAATCATCCTTGATTTTGTTTAAAATATTCTATTTTTATATTAATACCCATTACAAATAATTTATCAATATGATCTTTAACATTCATTTACATTGAATTCTCAAAACTTTATTATACTATTTCATATTGATCTTATTATTTTTCTGTTTCTTAATTAGCATTCTTTGAATTTAGAGATGTAAGAGATTATTGATTTTATGATCCCATATGTAACCTCTTCCCATGTTTATGCATAATAATATAATTTATTAAATAAAATGCTTATAAATTTAATAATTTATAATATCAAATCAGTAATTATGAATTAATTGTCTTCTCAATAATGATTGATTTGTCAATTGATGATAATTAGATAATGTTTTATATTTAAAATCTATAAATATATGTATTATTTATATTTAAGTAAATTATATCAACATTATTTTCTAATTGAATCAAGTGGTCGCTGACCTGATGTTGAAAACTTACTTTTTCTTGTTTCCTTCCTTGAAAATACTTAAATAGGTTCTTCAGTTTCACTTCCATCATCGTTCTTCACTTGTACTAATTCTGAAAATTGTACTTTTTTGCCTATCAGTTTTTCTGATTGAGTTTTCTAATGAATCACTTTTAGAGATGTTGAACTGTTTCGATCTGTTTGTTTTCCTAAAATTAAATCAATACTATCAAATCCAAAGTCTGTTGTTTCGGTTTTTATTTTTTTTTGTGAATTACTTAAATATTTTTCAGGTAAACTAAATGGGTCAGAAAAGAAATCCCATTTTTTTAAGGATTCTTAACCAACTTTAGAGAGATTTTATTTATGTTCCTAAACATCTTTAAAGTAATTTGATAGTTAAGGCTAACTTGAGTTGTGTTTATGACTTGATCTAACATAATATGGCTTTTAAGGAGTTTAGAATTCAGCAAAATGGAAATCCAAATTCATTTTAATTATTTTTATAAAATCATATCCCTTATTGAAATTTAATTTTATTACTCGCACTCATAGCATTCTGAGCAATACTCGCTAATTGTATTGAGCAATCATTAATGTTCATTTCATTCAAATGTTATAAAACCTATTTAATATTTGGTCTTTCTTTTGGATTCATTCTTAGCATATTGTAAACCAAAGGCTGTAAATTTTTAGGCAATGTAGACAAGACTTTAGGTAATTTTGGTTACTTATCATTAATAAATTCCAAATACATAGGTAATAATGAAACTCCTTCCCAATTTGAATCCTAATATATAAAATACAATCTTTTTTTTACATTCAAACTTCCCAAAAGTTCAGCTATTTATGACATAATCTCAATTTCTGATCTACCATCAAATAAAATTTTTCCTGTAAATAATTCTACTAATGTACAACCAAGGGACCATATATCAATTGATGCATCATATTCTTTTAATCCAAAGAATAATTCTGGTGCCCTATAATTCTTAGTGCAAGTTTGAGGAGTCATAAAATTTCTTATCTATGTTGAAATACCAAAATCTCCTAATTTAACTTATCCTTCTGATGTTACAAAGACATTGCTAGGTTTTATATCTCTATGAAGGATATTTTATTAATGTAAATAATTCAAAGCTTAACATAGCTCTCTGAAGATATAGAGTTGGTAATCATTAATAGAGAATAATAGTTCATGAAGTGGTGCCATTTATTCCATCGTTAAACACAAGTATTTTTTGTATTCAAATTTTTCTGTGAAAGCATCGATGAAATTTACAATATTGGGATGATGTAACGTATTCAAAAACTTATATTCATTTAACTAAGTATGATCCTAAGGGTCTTATGGCTATATAAGATTAGAATTAATAAATACTTTTCTGTAATATCTTTTCAACACTAAAGGAGTGTGTTTCTTATTTGGTGGATCATTTTCTGATCTTCTTTCAATCAGGTATACTTTACCTGCATATCCTTTGAATAGACATTTGATTTTTGTATAACTCTGATTCTGCTACATTTTATTTGATTTTAAATTTAATTATTTTCACATTTTGTTTCAATCTTAACTCAAAAGGCATAAAAATCACAATACTCTTTTATCATTACTTATAAGTTGGGTCACTTTTATGATGGAATAATCTATTAACTAATATAAATTTCAATAAAATTTATTGTGTATTAACTGAAATAACTGTCTAATTATTAAATATTTTAGTTATTAAATTTAATATATGAATATTTATTCACAAAAATTTATTCAATTTCATTTGTTTTCTTAACAAATTTATATATATATGTTAAAATTTATATTCTTTTTATTTGTAATCTAATATTGCAAATGTTTAGATTAAATGAAAAAAAATTTAAAAATTTAGATATTATTTTTTAATGGTTAATCTTCGTCTCTAAAAAAGATTGGCATCTACATAATTAAAGGTTGGTATCAACAGAGTTTGGTTAGACCCAAATGAAGCAAGTGAAATCAGTCTTGCTAATTCAAGAATGTCAATTAGAAAATTAATTAAAGATGGTTTGATTATGAGAAGATTGAGAACAATTCATTCAAGAGCTAGAGCAAGAAGATACCTTGAAGCAAAGAGAAGAGGCAGACACACTGGAACTGGTAAAAGAAGAGGTACAAGAGAGGCAAGAATGCCAACTAAAGTTCTTTGGATTAGAAGACAAAGAGTATTAAGAAGATTGCTCAGAAAATATAGAGCTGCAAAGAAAATTGATAGATAATAGTAAATAATGTTAAATAATTTAGATATCATGAATTTTATTTGGCTTCAAAAGGTAATCAATACAAAAACAAAAAAGTTCTTATTGAGGCAATTCATGAAACTAAATAAGAAAAAGTTAGAGTTGATAAAATAGAGAAAGAATAAAATGATAGAAGAGAAAAAAATAAAGCTTAAAGAACCAAGAAAACCTAAAACAAATTTGCTGCTGAATGATATTTACATATTTAGTACAATAATAAATAAATTGTTATCATAATAATATAATTGATTGTATGGTGTTCTAGACATCTAACACTTTAAGGTATATATAATGTAGTTATTAATTAAATTATGTAATGATTCCTATTTTCTATATTAAAAAAAGATTTAAATTAATTTTTAGACAATGGTAACTATAACAATTAAATAAAGGCTGACGCAAAACCATAATCTGTTCAATAACCAAAAGGCAAAAAAGGAAAGAAAACTGGAGAAGAAACTGTTTAATAAGTAGTAGCTACATTAGGACCAAATGTGGCAGGAAATGAATTAGTATTTGGAGTGGCTCACATCTTATCTACATGGAATGACACTTTTATTCATATCACTGATTTGACAGGAAGAGAAACATTAGCTAGAGTAACTGGTGGAATGAAAGTTAAATCAGATAGAGAAGAATCATCACCATATGCAGCCATGCAAGCAGCCAAAGATGTTTATGAGAAATTGAAAACACTTAAAATTAATGCTTTACATATTAAATTAAGAGCAAGAGGAGGTATCAAAAATATTAATTATTTATTTAGGTGTTGATACAAGATAACCAGGACCAGGTGCTTAAGCTGCATTGAGAGCATTGGCTCGTCTTGGACTTAAAATAGGTAGAATTGAAGATGTTACTCCTATACCAACTGACTCAACAAGAAGACCTGGAGGTAGAAGAGGAAGAAGATTATGAAAAAGTAATATACACATACAGTAAAATAAATGTACATATTAATTAAAATATGATATTTGATCTCTAACCACCATCTCCTTCATTATCTCCTAATTCTAAAACTAGATTTTATTAGGAACAACTCGATAAGGCTCATGAGATTATTGATCAATTAGAATATCTACTTTAAGAAAAAGAGCATCAAAAAAAATTTCATTAGACGACTTACAACAATATACAAATTCCAACTCTTTAATTGAATACAAAATTATCAGATATAATTGGTGAAAGATCTAAGAGTTATGTGACAACACCCTTATAATATTCTACACCAAGAGATAGAAGGGCAAGATTGTCAATGGGAGGTTAAACATCAGCAAGATTTGTAGATGAAATGAAAAGTAGGCATTCAGAACTCATATNAATATAATTGATTGTATGGTGTTCTAGACATCTAACACTTTAAGGTATATATAATGTAGTTATTAATTAAATTATGTAATGATTCCTATTTTCTATATTAAAAAAAGATTTAAATTAATTTTTAGACAATGGTAACTATAACAATTAAATAAAGGCTGACGCAAAACCATAATCTGTTCAATAACCAAAAGGCAAAAAAGGAAAGAAAACTGGAGAAGAAACTGTTTAATAAGTAGTAGCTACATTAGGACCAAATGTGGCAGGAAATGAATTAGTATTTGGAGTGGCTCACATCTTATCTACATGGAATGACACTTTTATTCATATCACTGATTTGACAGGAAGAGAAACATTAGCTAGAGTAACTGGTGGAATGAAAGTTAAATCAGATAGAGAAGAATCATCACCATATGCAGCCATGCAAGCAGCCAAAGATGTTTATGAGAAATTGAAAACACTTAAAATTAATGCTTTACATATTAAATTAAGAGCAAGAGGAGGTATCAAAAATATTAATTATTTATTTAGGTGTTGATACAAGATAACCAGGACCAGGTGCTTAAGCTGCATTGAGAGCATTGGCTCGTCTTGGACTTAAAATAGGTAGAATTGAAGATGTTACTCCTATACCAACTGACTCAACAAGAAGACCTGGAGGTAGAAGAGGAAGAAGATTATGAAAAAGTAATATACACATACAGTAAAATAAATGTACATATTAATTAAAATATGATATTTGATCTCTAACCACCATCTCCTTCATTATCTCCTAATTCTAAAACTAGATTTTATTAGGAACAACTCGATAAGGCTCATGAGATTATTGATCAATTAGAATATCTACTTTAAGAAAAAGAGCATCAAAAAAAATTTCATTAGACGACTTACAACAATATACAAATTCCAACTCTTTAATTGAATACAAAATTATCAGATATAATTGGTGAAAGATCTAAGAGTTATGTGACAACACCCTTATAATATTCTACACCAAGAGATAGAAGGGCAAGATTGTCAATGGGAGGTTAAACATCAGCAAGATTTGTAGATGAAATGAAAAGTAGGCATTCAGAACTCATATTATAATATAAGGAAGATAATATATAGAGAGAGTAAAAAAATAAAGAATTAAATGATCAAATTTAAGAATTAAAATCAGAATTGTTATATTGCTAAGAAAAACAATCTATTACAAAAAAAGAAAAAAAATAAACAGAGCAGAAATTAGAGATTTTGGATAATCAAATATAAAATATTCAAATGTAATTATTACTATCTAAAGAGAAAGGATAGTAAATATAATAAAAGATCAAAGAAATTAATTAAATAGATAATAAAATAAAGGAAGAATAAGAAGAATTAGAAAATAATAAAGTATAATAGTACAATCAAATATCAGAATAAGATAAATAACAATTATAAGAATAAACACTTAATTCTTAAGTATAATAGAAAATATAAAATAAAAGCAGTAATAAAAAATTATTAGGTTCTTTGTAAAAAGAGATTTAATTATTGGAAAATAAGAAATAAGAACTTTACAATTAAACAACAATCTCTAAATTTGAAGAAAAGTAGATTGAAGTTAAAGAAGATCATTTTAATGATTAATAAAATTTAGTTGTAAATAATATTAGTAATATAGATTGAGGTTCCGTAAAATCAAAATATTGTATTACCATCAGAATCTGGAGATTAAGTGAATACATTTACAGAAGAAGATATCCATTCTATTAAATCTTTTAGAGTTAAGGGACATAGAAAAAATAGAAGTTGTGAATCATGTTAAATCTTCTGATTTTATAATATAGTTTTAATTAATTTTTATGATTATTGATAACGAAAAATAATAGATACGAGACCTGTTTGCAAACGATCAAAAGTATGTATAAAATGAAAAAAAATTACAAAATGATTTTGTTGTATAAATGCAAGTTGCAAAATATGATTCTAAAAACAGAGATGATCCATTATTAATACATGCAGGTCTAAATTTTATATTATAACCTTAGGTCTTACTGAATAGAAACAATCTGTTTTTATAATATAAGGAAAATTATAGACTGATAATAATGTTAAATCAATTACTTATTATATGATCTCTTAATTGTAGAATTAAAAAAATTAGTAACTATTCCATAATATTACTTAGAGAATTTTTCATTATCTATATAAATACAGAATTGAAAACTTATTTGAATCTATCAAAATTTTATTCAATCTTTAAAGAATTTCCTTGTGTTTATTTTGAAAACTTATAAAAAATATTCATATTGCATGGAAATATTTTTATAAAATCATGGTTTTGGTTTCAAAGTAGTGTTTAAATAAAAATATTGAAATCAAAAACCATTTATCTGGAAAAGTATCTTTATCATAAAATAATAGAGTTGTATAATTACTAAATTATCAGTTTTTTAAAAAATAACAATTTGAGAAAATGCCTGCATATTGTAAAGATTCTTCTTATCAATAACTTTAATAGGCATTTATTGGAAATTAACAATAAGATATTTGTTTCCAATAATGTCAAAATTAACTATATGATCTTGAATTGGATTAGTATGAGTTTACAAACAAAGGAATACCAATTATACTTGATCTATGCATTACTAAATTATTATAGGATCCTTAAAACATTCAACAAGAAGGAATATTTAGGTTATGTTCTGCATAAACTTAAGACAAACAGTTTGAAAATTATTTAATATAAAAATAGTATTCAGAAATACTAGATTTTGAGAATGTCATAGTTATTGCGAATTTTATTAAGAGAGTTCTAGATAAATTAAAATACTCAGTTGTTCCATATTAATATTATAATTAAATATATTCAATGAAACAATATTCTATTGAAGAAGCCTAGGTATTGATTAAGTAATTTCCAAATTTGAATAGAAACTTATTTACTTTAATTATACTAATGCTATAAAATGTGGCTTAATATTCTCAAATTAATAAAATGGGTCCAAGTAATTTAGCTATTGTATTTGGAATAAGTTTATGTAGACCATAATAATATGATTAAGCTAATGTTTAAGAATAATATTTGAAGTATCATTTAATAAAGTATATTTAGAATTAAAATTGTAAATTAATTTATTTAATTCATAATTGAAAATGCTTCCTAAATATTTCCAAACTAGAAAATAAGTGATTTTTTACTTGAAACTGGAGTTGAGTAAAATGATTATTAATAAGAGGAAATATAATAATAATGATAAAATTATAGTATATCATATATTTCACTCATTTTAAAAGTATTTTTTAATAAATAAATTATTATAAATTATTTTTAAAATATAAAATTTTCTTTATCATAAAATGAAATACGGGATATTTGTATTGCTTCTATTTAGAGTTTATAGTCAAAACATAATAACTTCGATAAAAAATTATACAAATGGAATAATATAATCTTAAGTCACATAATAAAATTTAATGGAAATAGCTCCTTTGTTATTACCTTTGGGAATCATATTTATCTTATTATTTTAGTTAATAAAATATTGTTTCAGAAGACAAATATTATATGATTAATTACCTTAAAGTGAATAATAAGCTAATAAAAATAACAATAAGAAAATAAAAATACCTATTAAACATAAATTACAATTGATTTTAATGAGATATTATTGTTAATTGATGAGATTATTGACTATGTGATTAAAAGTTTAACTATTAATTATATATCTAAATATTAATTCAAAATTAAAATAATCCACCAGCCTATTAATTGTATGCATAATCTTCTAAATCATCTAGTTCTTCACTTTAAGCATCTTAATTAAATGAATCATTTTCAAAAGACACCTATTCTTCAAATTTATATTTTTAGTATTATTGTTACTATAATAAAAAATAGATTTTACTTTTTATTAATTATGTTTCAATAGATTTGAGACAGAATTAGAACTATTTATTTCAAAGGTTAAAGCACTACACCATGAATCCAAATTATCTTGAACTAATTAATCATAACTCCTATATAAGAATTATTTTAATAATTTACTTTAAATTCACCCATACTTATTAACTTAAGGAGTATTTTTCAATAGATTAATTATTGCCTCCACAAGCATATAAACTATTATCAAAAATAACCAATTTATTCCTCAAATCTCTTCCTTCATTCATTCTACTCAAAGTTTTAACTACTTATTCATTAACATCATAAACTTATAAATCATATGAAAAACCTTGATTTGATCTAAAATTAATAATTTTTATAATACTTACCCTCCTCCTAAAATAAGAATCTTATTATCATCATAAGATATAGCAGCAGCATTACTAAATCCTTATTTAAATTTAACATCTAAAACTTTCCATTAATTTTCTTTTACTGAATATCTTTCAATTGTATTCAATCTTTCTCTTCCATCAAAACCTCCAAATACATAAATATATTTATTAATAGCTGCTGCTGCTGCAAAAGCACATTTTTATTTTTATAATGGATCTATTATTTTCCATTCATCTGAAACTAAACTATATTTTTCACAACATGACAACATTTATTTAGCAGATCCATCATATCTAAATATTTAATTAATAATAATACCCTCCTATAGCATATACAAATCCATCAAGATATACACATGCATGCTCTTTTCTTGGAAAGTACATACTTTTTAATGCTTAAGATTAAAATCCTTTAGATGGTGATATTAACATTGTATTTCTACTAACTCCACCTCCAGTAATAATTATATCACCACTTGGTAAACTTACAGCTGCTGCATAATAATTGTATTCTAATGTATTCTATTATATATATTTGATATACATTTGGCATTTGTTTAAATGTCCATTCATTATTTTCAATGTTATATATTAATATTTTATGTTTATCACCAAAAAAGCATATTTATGGATTTGATACATCTTTCTTAAATTAACCAAATTTTAAAATTTCATTAATTAATTTCTAATCAAAAACTAACTTTGGTAATTTCTTTATCTCACTAATCTTTAATTACTTTTATTAAGCAACATCTCTATCTACTTATTCTTCTAAATCATCAATTTCCTTTATAAGATCATTATTTTTCAATGCTTTTACTCCTTCTATTCAATTAATTAATTATATATACTTAGTTCTCCTTATTTTTAATCTAATTTTGTAGTTAAACTTGCCATATTTGTTAATAAAGATTAATTAAATGCTAGTTCTTAATCTATCTATTCACATTCAGTATTAAATATTTTTAATTACTAATCTCTCAATTCTTACTTTCTTTATTCAACTTTTTTAATTAATCGATCAAATTGTTCATCTAATTATTGCATCTAAAAATTTGATATATTCAATACCAATTTAACATTTTCCAATTGTAATTATTCTTTACAATTATCAAATCCTTTTACTTACTTTTCCAAAATCTCAAATTAAGTTTGTAATTTCGATTAGATCTTTCCTAATCGATTTTATTATAAAGAAACTAATCAATATATTATTATGATACCTGAATGTTCATATTTGAAAAACTTATGACCATAATGTTCTGCAATACATTCAGTGCACATATTTGATTAATCATCTTCACAAAAAAATTATAATGGAAGTTTTGTATGTATTGGACATAATTCGAATTTTTTTCTAATTATTATGCTATTAATTTACTATACTTCCAAATGCTTGGAAGCCAAATCCATAGCCACATAATTTTTACTTAATAAATGTGGTTTTACATGTGGTTCATGCTTTGTTCTACAAAGAGGACATTCTATTCTCTTATTTACATTATAGATTGATTCAAGACATATGGAACAGTAAGTATGACCACAAAGTAGATTTCTTGCCACTCTATTTTGAGCATACAATTCCCAACACATTGGACATTCCATTATTTTATTTAAATTATTTATATTCCTCTAATTCTTTTATTTATTAAAATTCTTATTTATCATAACACATATTGTTCAAAATATTATTTTATAATCTTTAAAAAATATATGATTTACAAATATATATAATTATTTAAATTTCTTTATTATATATATTACCATAAAATAATAGAATTTCTTGTAAATACATAATTATCTATATTAATTTATGTTAATAATAAATGAGAGATTTTTTAAGAAAACTAAAATAAACTAGATCATTTTATAAATAATAATTAACTAACAATTACAATGATATAAAACAATCAACATAATTAGAATCATCCAAATTATGTAGATGGATTTGATTCATTTTACTTTTTTTCTTCATCATCTTCTTAAATAGGCTATTCATTATCACCCTCTTTTTAATTCATTTCTTTTTGTAATTCAGAAATTACTAAAGATGATCTAAATTATTAAGGACTTCCTTATAATGTTAATCTAAAATTTATTATATCAAAAAACTTTGCAGGAGGTGTTTCTACAGATTGAAGTTCTCTTACATCAACACTAGGTTCTAATTAATCTTAATAATTTGAAATTTTCTTAAAATCAGGTCTCTCTGAAAAATATTTCAATAAAATACATTTTTCAAATCTTTCAATAGTCTATAAATAAATAAATAAATAAATATAATACAGAATGATTTATTTAATTGATATGATTCTAAAATAAATAGAATGTAATTGCTACAAATCCTGTTGAAATGAATGATAATGATTATTGAATAAGAGTAAAAAAGATAATTAAAACAATAAGATAGTTTTGATTTTTCATTTACATAGGAAATATTAAAAATAAACTTTATCCATTTGGAGCAGTCAAACATCTAAAATATATTTAAATTAGTTTACTCTTAAATGACACAGAAAATATAATAATTCCATAATCCATACGCTTTAATTGAATAAAATGGTGAGTAAATAAACGATAATATCCATTACAGTATAACACATATAAACTATATGAATTATATAGAATATATATACTTGAGTGAGACATCCTAATAAAAGTATTAAAATAATGAAAATAGCAGATGAATACTTTGATTCTAAATCTTCAAATTTTTTATATACACAAATAATAGCAAGCAATAAATCAATGGTATAATCTATCATATTTATTAAATAGATTTACAATGAACAAATTGTGAAAAGAATAATCTCTAAATTTAAAATGGTATTGTTTATTGTGGAGAATTACTGAATAAATCAAAAGCAAAATTGCTCAATAAATCAATAAAACCAAACAACCAAGAAATTCCAATTACAAGTTTAGTACCAAATAAAAGTTATTGCCACCATACTCTTAAAAATTATTCCAAATTGGCTTTTGCAATTTTATTATTGTCTTATTATTCTGAATTCATATACTTATAAAAATAATATTGAAGAATAATATTAAAATTCAGTTTGTTAACAAAATATATTTCTAATTCACTGTTCAAATCTAAACACAATATTTATAATAATTAGAAATCAGAATTTTCTAAATAATGAAATAGATATCTATAATAATATGTCTAATTTGTTAAAAATGAATAAAAAATTCAAATATTTTTTCTAAATTTTTTTATTAATTCTTGATAAGAAGGGATCTAGAATGATAATTTAATAAATTTAGTTTGATTGGTTGAGTTTGATTTCATTTATTTGTAATGTTATAACTTTTGTAAAACATATTAAAAATTTATTTATGCTATCTAGATTGTGTGCATAGAAATTTACTACATAAATCCATGGAGTTCCAATTAAATGTAATTGTTTGATCAAAATGTTTTAGTATTGGAAGCAATGAAATTTGACATACCAAAAGTATCAGAGGAACGATATAAAAATATAAGAACTCTTACATGTTATCTATAAGATCGATTACATGATAGTTAATTGATGGACTTTGTTAGAGAAGTTTAATTGATAAAAGAGAAGGTATTGATGTATTTTAATATTTGTTTAGGAGTATACTAATACTTTACAATTGAAATCTAGTATTTTTAGACTTTTTAATTAGTGTAAGATTTTATTGTTATTTTCAGACCAAGTATTAGATCTTGTACCATTGGCTTTAAGAATTGATCTATAAGAATTGTAGCCTGAGCATTTTTATGATGATTTTGACAGAATAGAAACAGAGATCAAAAGTGAATATACTTGTTTTGTACAAAATAGAGCAAGTTTATTTTAACCATAGAATAAAAGTCTAACTGATTTCATTTAATATAAACGTAAACATCATAAATTGAAAATTGAATAAGATGAAAAAGTTCCTGCTTTTTCATAAATAATTGATGATAGTTTGATAAATACTTTATTACCAAAATAGGAAATGGATTCATATGAAGCAAATAGCAAAGAGATAGTTTAAAATCAATTAGTATTGGCCAGAAATTCTAGATTAATGAACAAACATATAAAATAGAAAGATGAGAGTGAACTTAGAACTCCTTTATAATTAAAATAGATTGATAATGTAGAGGGAATCAAGGAAACTAATTAAGTCTGTTTATATAACTTACCTTATATATTGGATGAGAAATTTAAATAGGATTGTAAAGAATATTTTGAATAAAGATTTGGTGAGATAGAGTCAATAGAATATTTTGAGTATTGTAATTTCAAAAAGCAAATAGATTAAATAGCAACAAATAAATCTAATGAGAATAAGGATTTCTATTAAAGTTTAGATTAATTGAGTTCTACAAAGAAATTATTGGAGAGAGTAAAAGTGAATAAGAATAAGAAATTATATAAATCATATGCTATTATTAACTTTAAAAATAAGGAATCTAAATAGAATGCTCTTTATTAAGATTTGAGAATATTTGGAATTAAATTTAAAGATTTATAATTAAGAATTGATGATGCTGATCATAAGAAACTTTTGTATATAAATAATTTATCAAAATTTTCAAATGTGAAATATTTTGTCGAATTCTTAAAGTTGCATTTAGGTATTTAATTTGAACCACTTGATGAAAGAATATAATTATAGAATAATATAGTATGTTTAATTTTAAAAGACTTTTAAGAAACAAAGGAAGCATTTGATAAGTTAAATAGTTTAACATTTTCAGTAAAGTTATTTAATATTAATAGAGATTTAAAATGAATGCATTTCATTATCCTGATGGTTTGAAATATATGGGTAGTAGAATAGCAGAACATTTTAATAGTAATACAGCCCTTTTGATTTTGGATTAGAATTTGTAAAAATTAAGATTTGAAATGGATCAATATTGGAAGGAAGTACAATAAGAGAAATAAGAAAGAGAGATTGTTACAAAAGAGTCTTAATAACCTATTAGATAAGAGATTCATTCAACAGATATGCAATAATGCATAATAGAAATGATTGAAGAATCTTATCAAGAGGAGGAATTTTAATTAGAGCTCTTTGGTTTGGTTTGGGATGAAGAAGCTCAATACTGATTATAAATATTAGCAAGAATTTTTTGTTTATAAATTTATTTAATTAAATTATATAAAAATGTATTATAAAAATGTCAGATTTTGAATTTCCAGGTACTTTAGGAGATTATAAAGGAGAAGATCAAACAAAGAATAAGACTACTGCATAAATATATAAGTATTTGACAACTGTGAGTACAAATTTAATAGATGAACCAGAAAAATTGAATGAGTGTACAACATGGTTAGATTTTGTGTACTTTTCAATAAAAAATGGAAATACTACTTAATAAATAAATAATGTTCTTTCAGATATATTGAAGAATCAATTAGATAAAGCATATTTAGGAACATTGAAATTAGGATCAGAAAGAATAACAGTTTTTTTGGCTTGTTGTTATTTATGTTGGCATAATTAGATTGAATAATAGGAACATATAAAAGTATTAAAAAGTTTTGTAAAATATATAAAAACAAGCAAATTAATATAGGAATGTTTTTCTATGGTAATGTCAGTAGCAACATCAAATTGTTAGAGTGTAATAGCACATTAAATAGTAGCATTTTTATTAAGTTAAAACAATGAACATTATTTTAATAATTTAGTAGTTGCTTTTTCTGCATAGAATATAAATTGTGTTCCATTATTGAGAAGATTAAATAGATAGAAATTAGAGAATGAAGATGAAGATACTTAAATGAGATTTTAAGAATTATTACCAACATCAAATTCAACATTTATTGAATGTGTAATATTGGAATATTTAACTACAATTAAACCATTATATGCAAAAACAAGTAGAGAAGTATTACTTTAGATGGTGAAATATTTACCAGACTTTTTTACTTAGAATAATATTCTACATACATTATTAAAATTATATGATAAAGAATAATGGATGATTAGAAATACAGTAACAATGACTTTAGGAGAATTATTACGTTAATCAGTATTTATGGAAGATGTAGAAGAGAAATTATTATAATTATTATTATTGAGAACACATGATTCACATGTTCATGGAAGATCATGTGTATTATATGCATTAAAAGAATTAATAAGTTCAAGATCAGTTAAATTGAATGCTGAGATATTATATAAAGCAGTTGAAAGATTGAAAGATAAAAGTAGTTCAGCAAGAAGAGCAGCCATATCATTATTAGATTCAATTATAAAAGCTTATTCTAAATAATATGGAATAATGACTTTTAAATCATCATAATTAGAAAAAAATAGGAAATTATTGGAATTAGAAAAATAGAAACTTATAGAAGATTGTTAAAATTTATAAGAATAATTAAATAGAAATCAAATTGATATTAAATATTATTTGGATAATTTAGAATCATAATTAAATTCTTGTAGAGATAAAGAATAAAAATTAAAGGCATAATAAGTATTTTAGAATTAGATATCTATAGCTATGCCTGATCTTATTAAAATTGCACTAAGTAATATTCATACAGAAAGTAAATGTGTTTTGTAAGTATTTACTACATTAATGATCAATCATCAAGAAGGTATGATTGAATATGTTAAATAAATTTTAGTATTAGTTTATTAAACAGAATTATAAGAAGATTTGAACAAACTTATTTTTAATTCTTTTGTTAGAAATTATTCCAAATTAATTAAATTGATAGAAATTTGTGATATGTTAGAGATAACTTGTTTAGAATAATTATTTAAATCATTTAAATAGAAGAATCTATAACTTAAAACAGCAGATGTTTGGGATAAAGCATGGGATTATTTAAAATAATCAAAATATATATTACCTAATCTTAGATTAATTAGATTTATTGGAATTATGGATGATGCTTTATTATATGATAAATTATGTTATTTATTAAGACATTTAAAAGATACAAAATAATTTAGTGAAATTACTGAAATTATATTAATTATATAAGAAATACCTGTTGAGGATGTTCATCAAATATATATTAAGGAAATTATTAAATCATTATAAAATTATGATGGAAGTGATTTAGAATGGTTTAGAGCATGTGACACTTTCATAAGATTCACAGTTGAAAAAATATAGAAACCAGAAATTACATTATTAGAATTCTTGAATTCTATTCCAATTACAAATATACCTTAATTGATGTTTGCAAGTAGTACTATAGGATTAAAATTATATGTATATAGTGAAAAGATGATTAAATAATATAGAAAGGAGAAGACTCAACCTTTAGATGAAATGGATTAAATGGATAATAGTATATAAGAACATATGGATGGTAAAATTAAAGAATTATAAGATTTATTTGAAAAAATGGGAGATCTTAGTGAATATAGTTCTAGTGCTGAAGCTATATGTAAAAATATGATTACAGATTCATATAAAGAAAGAAATTTAATGATAGATTAAATTAGTGTCATGTCTTTATTATAATTCATGATCATATCTAAATCATGTACAGTCAGAAATATCAAAACTATTATGGAAATCTTAGATTGTCAATAAGTCTAATCTATTATTAAATGTAATATAATTACTATGTTAAGTGATATCTATTATAGATACTCAGATCTAATTGATATTAATAAAGTCTTATAGAAGATGGATGATAAAGTACTCAAAGTAAGAAGAACTGCAATTATTATAGTATCTCATTTGATGTTAATGGAATTATTAAGAATTGATGCTTCTTAAATTGCTAAACACATTAATGATTAAGATTAAACCATTAAAAAACATTCCAAAATCTTTTTTGTTGAATTATACAAAAAGGATAGTTAAAAGTTTTATTAGGTTTTACCTGATCTAATTACTTCAATGGCTCATAATTATTAAGTTTCAGAAGAAGATTTTAAAATATTTGCTAAAGAAATTATTCCATTAGTTTAAAAAGATAAACTTTAAGAATAAATACTTGAGAAATTCTTAAATAGATTTGATATCTTTGATAGAGAAGCATCATTAAAAAATAGAAGCATTTTGTAAAGAGTTCAAGAAGCCAAAGAAGATATTATTCCTTATAATCCTGTATAGTTAACAGCTGAAAGAGAATGTGTTTATCTATCTTATTGTTTACTTTATCTTAAATTTCATCTTGAAAATCTCAGATTATTAGTAACCAATTTTCCATAATATAAAAAAGTACTTAAAAATCCAATCATCTTAGAATAATTTAAATAGATTTATTAAAAATGTAGAAAAGCAGCATCATCTTGTAAAATGAATGCAAGAAAAACAGAGGCCATATAATAATCACATGAATTTTCTTAATTATTAACCATTTTTAAAACAAACTTAGATTCTGTAGATCCTTAATTAGAAAGACTTCATTTATAATAACATAATCAATAATAATAATCTAATTAATAATAAGTAAATAAACCCAAAAAGATTTAAACTTAATATAGACCTCCTAAAAAGAACACCAAATAATAAATAAGAATTCCAGATTCTGATGATAGTAGTAGTATGGAATTAGAATATTGATTCAATCATTTTATATCAAGGAATTTTTAAACAATTTATTTTTATTAAATCTAATTATATTATATTTATTTTCTATATTAAGTTTTAAAACTTAAAAATAAATAAGTATAATAATAAAAATAATTTGAATAAAATATAAAATATCAAAAATATATTTAGAATATAGAATATTTTGTTTTGATATATATATTAAATAATTAAAATTTATTAAATCAAATCATTACACTAAATGCATTCAAATAATCTAATAACAAAGTTGAATAATTTTGTTAGAGTGCTTAAAGATCTAAAAATAAGATTTCTTATTCATCACTTTGACATTTAAACCATAATTCATTTTAAATCAGATTGTGAGATTGTATAAATTCAATAGGAACTTTTTAATTAAAAACTCTGTGTTAGAATTATTGATTACGATAGACATTTTACTATGTTGAAAATCCTTCAGTTTAAGTATAATCTGATATTAATTTAATAGGTTAAGAAGGTTCAAACTTATCATTAATTTCTGTAAATCTTAACATATTTACTTCTTTCTCTTTCTATCTTTACTCAAATATAATCTCATTTAAATAATCCTTTTCAACTTTATATTTACTTTTATAAGTATTGATTTTAATTGGATTAAACTATTATTATCTAATATGCATCATTCGATTGAAATCAAGAGTTTGTGATACTTTCTAAACTTTAAATCTATTTAGATCTTTAGATTCATTTTATTTAATTGGTTTAAAATTCACACTTACTATTTAAACATCATCATCATCATCATCATTTATTTAAAAGGTTTCCTTTTTTTAAACAATTTCATCAGTATCTAACTCTATATTTATAATTTCAGCCTCTTTTATTAATACTTAAGTGAATCTGTTTCTAATATGTACTCTTATTGGTTCATCTGGTTTTTTAGGTTATTTAACTTTCTCTACTTTCTTTGCTATTAATTTGTAATAATTTTTATATGCTAAATATCTTTCGAATCGACTATATAAATATATATAAAGTAATAAATACCCAATTAAAAGTAAGGATGCTGCACTGAAACTAGAAATAGGTTCCCAAGTATGATGTTTTTTATCATATCCAAGCCATTTAACAGCATAATCTACTATATTTCCTTTATCTAATCTTTTACCGAAGACATATTCTACTTCATAATGTTCTTCGTTATTGTCCATATTTAATAATTGTGTTAATATTTAAGATGGTGATGATTATCAAATTTTAGCATACATAATAAATATCATTAAAAAAAAGTATCATTATTTTTTTAAGAATTATAAAATTGACGTTAAACCTTTTTATTTACTTTTTGATTTTGAATTTACATTACTTTATTAATTACTATTATTTTATTATTATTATTATTATTATTATTATTATTATTAACTCTTATATTTTCTTTTCTTTGGATTCATTTCTTTGTCTAAATTTTCAGCTATATGAAAATCATCATGGGCTTCTTTATCTTTTTTCATTATCTCTTGTCCACAAATTTAACAACTATAATAATCATCAGGAGATATCATTTTTTCTTACATTTCTGCTAATTTTGCTTATTTCTCATACTCTTATTATTCTAAAGTCTTTTTAAAAAACATTGTAATAGGATTCTATATACCTTGAATCATAGGTTTAAAGTATCTACAACTTATTCCAATATGAATTAAAGGAAATAATTCATTATCCTAAATTTAATTTAAAATAGAAAGAACTCTTTCTTCTATGGTTAATCTAAAACTTTCAATAGGTAAAGTAAGATAAATAGGTTCACTTTTTTAATGTGATCCTTTTTCAACATTATGATAATGAATAACTAAAACAGATGGTACTAGATTGGAATCCTCATAATAATCAGTTACTCTCATAGTAATATCATGTATAATAAGTTCTAGAGACTGTATAATGACTTCTCTTGAAGAAGTCTTCTTTATATTTTTTAATGATAAAATAGATTTATTTTTTAAATCTACTTCTTTTTTGACTAGTTCATCATCATATCCTCTTAATTTATCATAAATATATTAAGCTTTATCTCCAAATAAAGATTAAAGTTCATAAATTGATAAAGATTAAGCTTATCCAACTGTTTTTAATCCACTTTCAAGAAGTGTTTCTTATACTTTACCTCCAAATCCTCTAATTTTTTTAATACTTATATTAGATATACATTCAGGTAGCATACATTCCAAAATGATAGTTTATTTATTGGGTTTGTTAGTAGCTGATGCTAATTTAGCTAACATTTTATTAAATGAAATTCCTGCACTACATTTATATTTTGTTTCTTAATAAATAGCATCTCTAATATTCTAACATAATAAAGATGCTCTCATTAATAAATAATCTTATTCTGTTAATTAATATTCATCAGGTAGTTCTTTCATTAAATGTCCATAGAATTGCTATGTCTCTATGTTTTCTAATTCTTTCTCACTAATTTAAATATATCCTTCATCTGTTCCTCCCTTTTCAACACAATTGCAAAATCTTTTAATTGTTGCAAATATCAATTTGCTCTCTTATCTATAATATCGAAGACTCACTTTCTCTTCATATTGATTATGTTAAATGTATTTATCTTTTAGTGTTGAGAATACCATCTTGCCATCAATAACTTTGAATGTTTCCACATGAGGCAACATAACATTAGGACATAATTTCATTGCCTCTTCACTTAACATTCCCCTTTTTATACCTGCATCTCTGGCGGGATAATTAATTGCTATTAAACTATTCCATTATCTAGCACAAACAGGTTGATCTTCTGGAATATTCAACAACTTTTATTCTGCTTATGCATAATAAGCATCCATATCTATATGAATATATACTTAAAGCAAAGAATTCATAAATTTAAAACTAAAAAAAAATATATTATATTTCAACAACATCCTTACTTTTTATTACCTGAGTTTGTAATTTCTAAATCTAATTTCTCTCCTTATAAATGTGACATCTAATCATATTTTTACAACTGTTTTGTTAGATTCTGATAAATTTCTAATTTATATAGAATTTAAAACATTGTATAATTTATGTAAAGGCTTAGTCTACATTAGTACCATCTTAAGCACTTGCTTCCATAAATGCTACCTTCTACATCTGAGCCAAATCTTGACCTGACTCTGTTCTTATTGCTCTTAAATGTTTCAAATCTGATTTGTTTCCTATAATCATTATCACAATATCTTTATCTGCATTCTCCCTTACTTCCTATATCCATCGTTCAACAGCTTCAAAACTTTGTTTGTTTGTTATATCATATACTAGTACAGCCCCAATTGCTCCTCTATAATATGCAGAAGTAATTGCTCGGTAGCGTTCCTAAACTCTAATTTATGCACTTTACTTGTCCTGCTGTATCCCAAATTTATGCTTTGATAATCTTCCCAGAAATTGTAATTGATCGTGTAGCAAATTCAACTCCTATTGTAGTTTTAGAGTCTGGATTAAATTGGTTTTTTGTAAATCGTAGTAGTAGATTGGATTTTCCAACACCAGAATCACCTTTATCTATTTAATAAATCTTTACCTGATAGTACTATTTTAAATAAATAATCATAATCATCTTCAGCTTTGCTCATTTAATTAATATAGGATAATAAATATCAAAGTTGTGCCAATATTTTAGAAGTAAAAATTGCAAATTCAATTAACAATAAGTCTTTGAATCAATCTCATAACATAAATCAAAGATTTTAGTGGAAATCAACTGAGATGATTCTGACTTATGATCTGAATAAACTATACATTTAATTAGATAATCAAAGACAATTAATAGAAAAAAAGGTGAATTGATAGGATTTGGTTTATTCTGAAGAATCTTCAAATGTATGGATATCAATTTTGGTAGAATCATAGCTGTAAAACAAATTGACTTATGCTTTGTAGACAATTAAAGTTTGGAGTCATTTCGTTAACAAATTTATGCATAAGAGCATATTTAAATAATATGGTTGTTAAGAAGATGATTAGAACTTCGTTCCCTCTTTGAATTTCCTGGAGGTAATTATGTTCTCTATTCTATACCAAAGGATTATCTAAATTTGTAGATTTTTATTGAAATATTATAGAACAAAGTGCATATAATCTTAATGGAACTCCTAATTGGAAGGCTGCTGAGGTAATTAATTAATAAGAGACTGGCAGATACTGAAATATTAGAAATCTAGGATGTACTATTATTTGTATTATTTTAATTAGAGATTATAAAATTGTAATCTTATTTAACTGAACAATCATTGAAATGTTATTTCCTCTAATGATAATAATACTGTTTATCAACTTAAGGATTTTATAAATATATGACTATAGTTTGTTCATAAATAAAAGTAAATTTTGAATTTCAATAAAAAGTTTTCAAAAGGAGAATGAATTTTATCATAATTCAAAAGTTTCGAAGAACAGAGTAAATTAAATTTATGTATTTCTTCTCATATTGATTATGTACGAAAAGATTTAGAATATTTAGATAAAGATTAGAATGCTACGATATTCTCTATTTAATTTTCTGGATTTCATAATGAAAATCGCAATTTATGATTCAAAATTTAGTTTAAATATTTACTTATAGTTCTCTCCTTATTATATGCTTGCGAGTATTACTATTTACTTTCTATAGAGTAAAATTATCATTTATTATTTTAGATTAAACTTAACATAAATTGAAAGCTAATCAGAGTATAATGATAAAAAACAAAGGATATTAGTAGAGCGATTTGTAATACATTTCAAAATTCTAAGCAAAATATAGAATCAGTTATGGATAAGGTTGGTAAAATAGATATCAAAATTCATAATATATAAATGTATGGGATGGTAGGATGCTGAAAATTGTAAAGTAAGAATTACAATTCCTGATAATTTAGAAGATCAAATTAATTAATAATTATTAAGTAATATTATGACACTTAAATTTAGATTTAATTTTTAATAGGGTAAATTATATGTTGAAAATCATATTTACTTATAAAAAATAATTTTGAATTATATTAAATACTTTTTATTTATTAATAATTATTTAACACATAATTTTAATGTCATAATTAAGTGCTTATAATCTGTAAAAATAGTTATCATAATAATAAGCCTTGAAGAATTTTCAAAATAGAATGAAGTTGAAATACTATCATATAAAGTGACTTTTTTAAAGAATATTAATGTTTTGGAAATTGATCCTGTATAATCTAATTTCACTTAATAAAGGGTAATTAATAATCATTTTCTCTCCAAACATTTACATACTTGTAATTCTTTCATTTAGAAAGTTTAAAAATAATCTATTTAAACTGCTATTGGTATTATTCATAATTATTTAGCTACTATGGGTGTACCTTTTTCTCCAGAATTGAATGAAATTAATTTTAAAAATTAAGATCAGGTATATAATTTTATAACAACAAATCTTAAAGATTCTTTTATGATTTAAGAAATTCAACACCATTCAAGTACAGTTTGCATTAGTTTTTGTCCTGAATTAGATTCTTTTTGTATTTCTTCTGGAACATAAACAATTGTTTGTTACAATGAAAAAGATATTGATTTATTTTAGGAACCTATGCATGAGAGACCACGTTAAGTAGCCTCTTAATTTTTTAACTTTTTTAATAGGATGCCAATAAAATAATAGAATAATTTTATTCAAGATTTAACTAATAGAAGTTTGATAGGTTGTTACAACCTTAAAAAATATATTGAATGGTTTGCTATAGTTGAACATTATTCAGAATAAAGAATGGTGGATCCAATTACAGTTAAGAATTTTTTAAATCATTACAAATTATTATCTGCTTAAACATAATAAACTACATGCACATCTATTAAATTACAACAATATATTTATTAAATTCATAATCAATCAATTGAATAATTTCATGACTATTATAAAGGCAAAACTTTATATTTTTGGAAAGATAATATATTTCTAGGATGTTGTTTCATACCAAATAGATAATACTCTATTCTAAATCAATTAAGATTAATTTTATTAAATAAAGAAAAGTATCTTAATAAATAAGAACCTTATTAATACCTTTCTAAATTTAATCTAAATGATTAAGATTTAGAATTTTATAAAAAATATACAGATAGGATGTTTGAAATTCCAGAAACTATTAAAAATAAATATCAATTTTCTTAATTATCAATTAATACTCTTAATATCATTAATACAGAATTATCTAATAAATAATAATAACAAAATAATATTAGTCCTAATTCTATATAATAAACTATTATAGTTGTTATTCCAATAGGAATTTTAGGTATGGGATATGAAAAATTGTGTAACTTTATTTAAAAAGCAGGTAAAAGAGTATAAATAATTAATATGCCAGATTAAATTAATGAAAAAAATTAATTATATTTTTATGAGAAAGTATGCAATCTAAAAGAATTAGAATAAATCAATAAATAATTGAAATCATTATCATTAAACTTAAAAACTATAGCTCTATTACCTGAATGCAATTTCTCATATAATTAAAAGAATTCATAATTCAATTTTCCTTTTTCTTTCAACTTTATCATGTATTGTTTACTTTCTGTTTTGGATGATAAGAATTAAGTTAAAGAAGTCATAAATTAGTTGAAAGAATTTCAAAATTAAAAACTAACTAATTTTTGTACAGATTATAAAGTTTATTGTCGTTTTATGCCAATAGAGAAAGAAACAGATGATCTCTATAGTGAATTAGTTGAATAAGATTTTTAAGCTGCTCTTAAATCAGAGAATGATTAATTAATTGAAAGCTTATCATAATATAAAGAGACACTTAAGAATATAGGGGATAACTTTTTAAAAAAAGAAACAAAGAGAGTTGTATAATCTATAGAAGAAAAGTCTCAATTAATATTAAGAAAAAGTGTTTAATTTTAGATTGAAAAAAATAATAATTTATAATATGGTTTATTTATTGAGAAACCAGATTGGGATGCAATTGATAATTTTGTAAAATCTTGTTTAGAAATCATAGTTTAATAATATCCAAATGATTCAGGCATTAATAGAATGTATCATTAGTATGATATATAATTCAAATCGTAAAATGCTGTATTTATGAAAATGAATCATCCATACATGTAAACTAGATAATTATAAGAGAAAACAATAGATGCCAAAGTTTCAATAGGAGTAATTATAGTGGATGGAATTATTATGTTACATCCATAAGAATTAGGATTAGATTTATTATAAGATATTCCAATATATTCTCATAATATTGATAGTCTAAAAAGTAATAAGGTTTCAGAACAATTAAGAATAGATGTTAGAAAAATGTAGAGATAAAATGTTGAAGAGAGAAATATTTATAAGAAATAAGTAGATTTCAATAGAAAAAGTTGGGATGCTTATATTGTTAAATTTACACCAATTAATATAAAATTAGTAGGGAAATAAATAAATTGATTATTTTTATGATTGTAATTAATTCAATAATATTTATCAATGTTTAATTCTCTTTCAATTATCTAAGTATAATAATATTCAAAAAGAATCATTATAAAAAATTGAATTAAAAAGAATTTAAAATAGTTCATAATTAATAAATAAAATATCACATAATAATAATATAATATTTTAGATGTACATAATTTCTTATATTTGAATATATTATAACATTTATAAAACTAATTATTTTATCAAAGATATCTATATAGATTAATGCAAAATCATATATGTACTAAAAAATAAATTGTTTAATATTTTGATAATATTCAATTATTTTTTATTTAATATTCCATTTTATATAAAAAATTACTTATATCTATACAATAAATATACAATTTCTTTTCATTCGTTAACAACCTTCTTTTTTGTTTTACTTTCTTGGCTTTCACTCTTTTCAATTATTCTCTGTTTTTCAAACTAATTTTATAACATTACTCCACCAATAATTATTAATGAAACCAAACCAATTAATACTGCCAATAATATAATGTGTACTAGTTTAAATTCTTATTCATTTTGCTACAATAATATATAATAATTAATACCCTAAATGGGAACAACCAACTGACATCTCCCACGTATTTATAAATTAATGATTATCTATTTATTGACATTTGATAAAGAATTTAAAGTCCTTTTCCCATTATGCTAGCCAAAAATACATATAGGGGTGTAATAAACACCAAAAGCCAAATAAACATTACTTGCTGTGAAAAAAAGGAAAAAACTTGCCCTAAAACCATTTTAATTAATACTTTTTTATTTTAAATAATACTAATAAGAGTATTCCATTAATTTTCTAGCACTTCTTATCCAAGATATTCTCTATTAAAATTAGAAATTTCATTATTTATTAAGTTTTACTCATCTCTAATAAAGTTACTAATGTTTCTACTTTTTAAATTATTAATATTAAGAATACTTTATACATCAAAAACTAATATATTATTCAATTTATTAAATCATATATTGAATAACATTGCCAATATATTAATATGATCATATTTTAGGATGATTATGGATAATAAGTAAAAAAATGATTAAAATTATAAATATATAATAGTGATACTAAAAATAGAGTTTTAATTATCAATTAATATGTATAAAATTAACAATTAAATAAATTCCATAAAATATAGAAATATAATAAAATGATTGCATATTCATAATTGATTATCATGTATTCATATAATATTAAGAGTATAATATTAATCTAGAAATAAATCAAAATTTTATAAATAATTAATTATCAAATGTTATCGTATTAGTTGTTTATTTTTATTTAATTTATGTATAAACATTCTCATTCACAGATGAAGAATGAGATTTGGATTTGAATTTTTGATATCATGAATGAAATCCATCAAACATAGCTATATCTGATGACTGATAAATTACTTTATGAATAAATGGATGAAGAAAAATATAATATTTTTTTAGTATTAATTCTCTGTTTTATTCAAAAAAAAAAGTTGAGTCTTTTTAGCAAATACAATTTATGAAGTTGTAAATAATACTTAATATTAGCTCTTCTTTTTAACATTTGATAAGAAATAAGGAATTAGTATTAAATATTTTTGTTAAAATATTTTAAAAAAGAAAAATCTTAATTAATACAATTGAAATCAATTGATAATATAATTACCTTATATTAATATTATTTATTAAGAATGAGCCAAATGTATAATACTGTTTAATTCTTGCTTTTCGAATAAGATGTTTTTTTATGATTTATCTAAACATTTTTGAACAAATATTAATAATTAAATTATGGGGGTTTGTGCATTAACTCAGAAGGGATCATCAAGAAAAATAAGTAAACCTGAAGTTGGCCTAATTTTGGAAGGTGTTACAAAAGAATCTTAAATCAATGAATCTTATAAGACTTTAATAGGCCAGACTTAAACTGTGTTTGAAAATTTGATAAATAACAAAATTATCAGTCGGAATATTAGTTAAACGGAATATGAATTCTATTCTAAATAGACAGAGGAATTGAGTCTGCTAAATACCTATCTCTAAAACTATTACAATAACTATTATAGAATAGTAGTTTCTAACATCAAAAGTGAAAACCTGTATTATTTTGAAAATCTAAATCTTAAATTCATTATCCAACTCTATTTGGCAATGAAAACAATAAAAAATAATGGAAAAGAATGGTGGAATAAGTAGACTTTTTATTCACTTGAAAAATTGATCACAAATAGATTTGATATCTATTCTAAGGTAGTTGAGGAAGGAAGGATAACACCATTCTTAAATTTCATACTACTTTTGATGAAATTAAGTATAAAGTTAATGTAGATGGAGGGTATGACTCTTTAAGAAAAAGAAATATAACCAATTTTTGATACTAAAGGATCAATGCTTTACAATTAAATCAAGTTAGAATTATTGATTTGAATCTTGTTCTATTTTTTACTATCTTTAAATCTATTTATATTATAATTATAATAAAAAAAAAATAAACGTAAAGTTCATTTTAAAATAAGAATATATACATATGTTAAAATTAATTTATATAGAATCAAAATGATGGTTTCGATTAATTCACGAAATTTTATAATAAGAATTCTCTACTTGGTTATTATCTGAACATATTATGTTTACTAGAGATTATTTTTGAGACTCTCTGACTATTTGCTGGACTTTAAGATCTAAATTATAATTCACTATTTGTAGTTTCTAATTTTCTTTTCTATTTCAAATTAATACAATTTTATTACTGTTGAAGATTGAGGAGATTATAGTGTAGTTGTACATTTTTCGACAACAGATACTTTATAATTAAAAAATAAAGGAACAGCTTTGTATCCAGTTCTAACTCTTTCTTTTTATATTTATTATGACATCTCAAACATTTATATACAATCTTATTATGGAGAGAGACTTCTTAATGCTTTTTTCTATCTTTTTAATAAACTATTATTTTATCTTCTATTCTTATTTTTTTCAATTGAATTTGGTTAATAATATATTTGTTCATACCTCAGAACACTTTAGCATAACAAACGTTATTTTAATATGGGATATTCTTTTAACAAAGTTAAAAACTCTTTATATTATATGATTATTTACTATTTCTGCTTTAATCACTAAAAGAGACACAGTAGAATTACTCATTGCTTTTGTAAATCTTACTCTATTAAAAAATACTTCATATTCTCCAAATATTTAATTTTCAACTAATATTTTTAACTATTTCTTATCTCGTTATAGCTATCAATTTAAGTTCTAAAATTACTTAAATTTCTCCTTCCCTAATCAAATAAACAAATTTGCTTTCTTCATTTTCCCTATAAATTACATGTTTAAAAGGAAGAGATATCAAACAAAAATGTTTTGAAATTCTTTCTACACTATTCCTAGGAAAATTTGGGAAAAGGGTTTTTCTTAAAAACTCTATTATTATATCTGTTCTTAACTCTTTTAATTGACATAGATATTAATTAAAATTAGCTCTAATTGATAAAAGATGAACATCAGAAAGAGCAAAAATTATAACTTTTTCATGTGATGGAATAACTAAGAAATTAGGTATTTTAATAAATCTTTTTGGTAATTAATATTAGCCAGCAACTATGAAGTATATTCCTTCTTATAATGTAATTTAATTATCTGAATTGATTTTTTCATATACACAAACTCTTGCTAATTAATCAGCCAATTAGTTTGTTTGATAATAGTTATAAATAAATTTTCTTATAAATGTTTCTACTTCTATCAAATCTGTAGCAGATTTAACTTCTTTTTCTACGATTTTAATTAAGTCATTCATCAAACTTTAAATTTCAATAAATTAAAAATAAATCATTTTATATCAATAAATAAACAAATTTAATTACCAATCACTTTGTCCTAACTAAAAGTCTAAATTAAATAAAAAAAATAATATAGTAATCATATTAAGGAAGTATTTTTATATAATAATTAATAAAATTAACTAATTTATTTTATTTGAATTAATCATCTAAGTAATTAAGTTTTAATCTATTTTATTATTCTACAAAAACTACTTAATATTAATAATCATAGATTATTATAGAAACCAATTTTATAATTATATGAATTTTAATTATAAATGAGTAATTAAAATAATATATATAATATTTTTTATATAAAAGAAACAAGTGGGTATTTTAATAACATAAAGTGGATAAATGGGTTATTCTTATTTTTCCCAAGTTGACATTTAATTGAGATTTATGAATAAATATTATTAAACAAAATCCATTTACTATTTAAAAAAATATTATCAAACGAATTATAATAAAGATCGATTTTAAATAAAAAAAGAGAACTTAAATTAAAATTATTAAAGTAAAATATATATATAGAAAGTAATCAACTAAATAAGAATTTTTAAAGTAGTGATGTAAATTCAGTAACATTTAATAAATATAAAAATGAAAATAAAACTAATAATATTTAAATAAATATTAAAATGATAGCAAATAAAATAAAATTAAACTAAATTTTATTGAATACATTTTGATAAAAGCATTAAAAATCTAAAATTTTCATAATAAAATAACATTTTAATTATATCTTTGAATAGAATAAATATTATTTTTAATTTAATATAATGAAAGAAATTTATAAATGATATTAGACCTATCAAATAAGTTAACAAAAAGAACAATTTCGATTCTATAAAACATTATAAGTATCTTTTATTTAATTGACTAATTTATTTTAATATGATTAATTACTTTCTTTTTCAAATAGATTTGTTAATTTGAGGGATGGCAAATGCTTAAATTAATACCAATCTTGAATAGTTTCTCCTGCAATCTCCATAATATTAATAAATTTGATAGCTGCTTCTTATTATTATTCAATTTAAAAATTCTTTTTTTCATATGTAATTCCTTCAATTTCTTCCATATATTCCTCTAAAAATATTTTTAAATTTGCTGCAGCTTCGCCTAATTATTTAGCGTATATTTTCCTAACATATTATTAAGATTAAACTTGCTTTAACAGATTATTTCAGTTATACAAATAAGTGATTTAGCAAACTATTATGTATTGAATAAATTATTAATTTCCCTGATGTTTATTTGAAGTTGTCTAATGAATTGTTCTCCTACTTTATCAAAATTCTTTGGATCACTCTCTTTAAATTATACTAAGTTCCATCTCTACAACATTGTAAATATAATAAATATTAATTTATATTCTCCTGATTATAATGTTTATGGATTTTTATCTTAAGAAATTATTGATAAGATTCTTTTAGAAATTGAATCTTAAAATATATTATAATCATAATATTATATTCATAACTTAGATTATAATAATATTCAAGATAATTAACCTTTTTTGTATAATTAAGAAAGATTCTCTGTGGATTTAAATGAATTTATTTATCTACTAAATTCATCAAGAGATTTCTTCTCAAATTTCATTTGATTACTTTCTTTCTTTAAGTTATCCTTTAATAGTAATTAACTTGAAGTTATTAATCTAAATTCATTATTTCCTAATTTCCCTTTTGGAGTGATATTATTATTTGATTTTCGTTCATTAATATAGGAAGGGCTAATTTAATCATTACTTTTTCTTTAATGTAGAATTTCTCTTTTTGAAAGTTAAGGCTATATTCTTTAAGAATGATTTGAATTGTCTCTGCCTCTTTAATTTAATTAATATTGTTTAAAAAGATCAATAGGAGATGATTAATCCACCCAATCCATTTAAGATATTTCCAATAAATTAGAATTTTTACAATTTAATACATTACTTACGTTAAATTCTTTTTCTTATATTTCTTCATTTTTAGGTTTACGTGATATTATACATCCTCCTCCTCTTTCTGGTTTACTATTTTCTTTATCTTCCTTTTTTTTCTTTTTTTATTCGATCGTTATTGTTGGTTCATTTTAATTTTGAGAAATAGGAAATAGTTATTTAAATTCTTATAGTTCTCTCTTTTATTCTTACCTCTATTCTTAGATTTGATATTCTAATAATTCTAAGTAATCTTTTAAATTTCTATTTTCGATCTCCAATTATTGTAGCATAGTATTATTTCTATTTTTGGATTCAATTAAGTCTTAAGAAAACTGTTCCAAAGTTTATTGCAATTGCTTATGAATATTATTCTGAATTAATATAATAAAAAACCTTTACATTTTATTTCTGAACATCATTTTGCATTGAATTGTAAGCATTAAGTATCGATTCGTTAAATATCTTATAAGAATCTTCTCTTTCTTATAATTCTTTTAACTACATTTCTAACAGTTGGGTTTCTTACTCTAAAAGAGCTTTCTCAGTCTTCCAATCCATTATATTATTTAAAAATTAACGACTAATTATATATTTAGTGGCACATCACATAAAGAAAGAGAGAATTATCTAATCCTAATTCTAATATTTAATTAGTGTATACTTCATAATATTTTTTAAGTTTTATTTAATTCTATTATTGACTATTTGATTCATTGATTTACAATCCTAATTGAATAGTTCAAAAAGTAAACATTTTAAACAAATCAATTTTTTTTTTATTTAATTACTATTAACTATGATTTGTATGTGATGAACATCTTTTACGTTATGTTATTAGTAATTTAAGATATAGAAATTATTAAATACTAGATGAATTATTATTGTCTATCTAAATATTATTTATATAATTATATCTTTTATTTTTTGATATTTTATATAGATTATTATTATATAAGAATGAATTGATTAAATATTTAAGATATTTAATTAATTATTGTTTAAATTTATGTATTAACCACTAATGAAATACTTATTCATTAATATTTTTAGCCATTTACATTGGTTTTCTTTATAATAATTCCTATACAGTTGGTCTCTATTTAGAATCTTTATGCAAACATTTTTAAATAATATCTTAAGTTTCTGGTAGCCAATTATATTCTTAAAGATATTATTCAGCATTAAACGCAATTATCTGTTTCAGTTATTTAATCTACAAGTAATCCTTTTACTTTTTAATTAATTAGCAATACTTAAAGAATGTTGACCATGAATAAAATGCCCCATAAAATTATACAATAAAATCAGATTCGCAAGATATTAAAGCCTCCAATTCTCTTGTCAGTAATTTTTCTTAAATTGTATCACCCAGAAATTAAATTTTCTGATAATAATCAATAAAATTACTTTCAATGTATACATTTCTTAAGTACCTTTTAGTTAGATTTCTTCAACAGTTCCAAAACCTCATTAATTCAATTTGGTGATCAATTAAAAGTCATTGAAGGTAATGTTTTAATATTTTTAATCATTTTGGATTACTTATGATATTTAATTTCTTTTTCATTAAATCTAAAAAACTTTGATCCATTTTCTGAACTGATGATATATAATGAGATTAACATACAGTTTATTCATAATGTCATCATCATCTTTGACAACAATTAATATCTAATTTCAATTAAATTAATATAATTATAAAATATAATTATAAAATGTAATCATAAGGGTAGGCTCCATTATAAATAGAACATTATATAATAGGTAAAACATTGGGTGTAGGTGCATTTGGAAAAGTGAAATGTAAGAATTAATGACTAGATTAGTGGCTAAACACAATATAACAAATACATAAGTGGCAATTAAAATTATCAATAAGAGGAAAATGAAAAATTCAAGAATGGGTACTAAAATAAGAAGAGAAATAAGATTACTTAGATATTTTAATCATCCTAATGTAATTAAATTATATGAAGTATTGGACACTCCTGGAGATATTTTTGTAGTTATGGAATATGCAGAAAGAGGAGAGTTATTTGATTTGATAGCATAAAGAGGTAAATTGCCAGNTATTTAAGATATTTAATTAATTATTGTTTAAATTTATGTATTAACCACTAATGAAATACTTATTCATTAATATTTTTAGCCATTTACATTGGTTTTCTTTATAATAATTCCTATACAGTTGGTCTCTATTTAGAATCTTTATGCAAACATTTTTAAATAATATCTTAAGTTTCTGGTAGCCAATTATATTCTTAAAGATATTATTCAGCATTAAACGCAATTATCTGTTTCAGTTATTTAATCTACAAGTAATCCTTTTACTTTTTAATTAATTAGCAATACTTAAAGAATGTTGACCATGAATAAAATGCCCCATAAAATTATACAATAAAATCAGATTCGCAAGATATTAAAGCCTCCAATTCTCTTGTCAGTAATTTTTCTTAAATTGTATCACCCAGAAATTAAATTTTCTGATAATAATCAATAAAATTACTTTCAATGTATACATTTCTTAAGTACCTTTTAGTTAGATTTCTTCAACAGTTCCAAAACCTCATTAATTCAATTTGGTGATCAATTAAAAGTCATTGAAGGTAATGTTTTAATATTTTTAATCATTTTGGATTACTTATGATATTTAATTTCTTTTTCATTAAATCTAAAAAACTTTGATCCATTTTCTGAACTGATGATATATAATGAGATTAACATACAGTTTATTCATAATGTCATCATCATCTTTGACAACAATTAATATCTAATTTCAATTAAATTAATATAATTATAAAATATAATTATAAAATGTAATCATAAGGGTAGGCTCCATTATAAATAGAACATTATATAATAGGTAAAACATTGGGTGTAGGTGCATTTGGAAAAGTGAAATGTAAGAATTAATGACTAGATTAGTGGCTAAACACAATATAACAAATACATAAGTGGCAATTAAAATTATCAATAAGAGGAAAATGAAAAATTCAAGAATGGGTACTAAAATAAGAAGAGAAATAAGATTACTTAGATATTTTAATCATCCTAATGTAATTAAATTATATGAAGTATTGGACACTCCTGGAGATATTTTTGTAGTTATGGAATATGCAGAAAGAGGAGAGTTATTTGATTTGATAGCATAAAGAGGTAAATTGCCAGAAAGTGAAGCTCGCAATTTCTTTCTATAAATATTAAGTGGAGTGGAATATTGTCATAATAATATAGTAGCCCATCGTGATCTCAAACCTGAAAACATTTTGATTACTCATAATTATGTTGTTAAAATTGCTGACTTTGGATTAAGTAATTTAATGAAAGATGGAAAGTATTTAAAAACTTCATGTGGTTCTCCAAATTATGCTGCACCTGAAGTTATATCAGGAAAGACATATTGTGGTTCAGATGCTGATGTTTGGAGTTGTGGAGTAATTTTGTATGCATTACTTGCAGGGTTCTTGCCATTTGATGAAGAAACTACTTAAGCTTTGTTTAAAAAAATTAAAAGTGCTGATTATACTATCCCAAGTAGTTTCAGTCCTTAAGTAAGAGACCTCATTAATAGAATGCTAACACCAGATCCATTAAAGAGAATAAAATTTCATGAGATTCATCTTCATCCATATATGAGAAGTACATAAGTTCCCTTTTATCTTTAAATACCATTTAAATTAGATGAAGGTCGTAGATAAATTAATGAAGATGTCTTTGAGAAATTGATGCAATTATAAACAGTCAATTTTAGAGGTATGACATAAACACAAATTCAAAAGAGTATTAGAAAAAGAGAAGATAAATCATTTGTAGTTATTTATGATTTGCTTTTGGGATAATTAGGAATTGAATCTTCTACTCCCATGACTCTACATAATTTAACTATACATGATCTTATATTTAATCCTTAAATTCCATAAATAGAAGGTTAATCATTTAATAATTGTTTATTGAATGAAATTTAAAAACCTTAGCCTTATGATTATGGAAAGGAATTACCAAAAGATATTATGGCAATTGTTTATCCATTTTAAGCTAAATAAATTGTAAATGCTATTTACACTTGTCTAGAGAAATTTAATACTGTTATTAAAATAAAAAGTCCTGATTATAAATTAAAATGTTATCATAAAAATCTCATAAAGATGACAAAATATAATTCGAGTATGGAATTATTCAATGAATTTTAAAAAGAAGTTGAAGAAACAGGATCTAAAAATGACTTGGCTTCTTTAACTTTTAAAGATGATGGTAAGAAACCAAAAATTAAAGAAAATAAATTTTCAGCTAAAGAGATTATATTTAACATCTAAATTTATAAGGTATTAAAAAATAATTATCAACAAAGATGCCAACTAATAATAATGATCATATGATTGATTTTTAATTACGTAGAGGACATCCTGTTGTTTTTATGGATTTTTGCAATAAAGTGATAGCTTTGTTAAATTAACACTTCAATTAAATTTGATTATTTGTTTCCCAAAAATATAATAAATAAATAATAAAATTCATTTATTATTTGTCTTCTTTATCTTCTTACTAACTCCAGGAATTTAAGATTCATCTTTTAATTTTTTAAGATAATCATCAATGGTTCTCTCTAATTCATTAGCACATTTAAAATAAATTGTATCAGGTTAATTGTAATTTCTGCAATTAGTAAATATTCTCTTAACATCCTTTATAAAGAGATCTTTTGAAGTATACTAATTATTTTGTAATTTCTTTTCAATAGACTTAATATCAATTGGATCAGTAATCACATCATAATAATCAGGAACATCATCCTTATTGACTGGTTCAAGGAATGGCCATGCTGATTTATGTTTTCTCATAGTATCAATTATCTACTAACATGAAATCATAAAGGTCTTTTCCTTTTATTTTTTCAATTCATTATAATCTTCAATTGTCCATCCACTCTCCATAATTCCTTAAACACTTTCTGGTTTAACTGCTGGTCTGTCTCCATTAGAAGTTTCAACTTTATAATTCTATTTTTCAATAGCTGGATATACTCGATCATTCAATGTTAACTTTTTAATGATGTCTATCATGAGCTTAATATTATAAAATATAATACCTACTTTTATTCTCTAATAAGATCACTAATGTTTCCATAATCTATATTAGGATGTACATAACATTCCATTAATGTTCCTCCATCATAATCCTTGATGAATCCCTTCCATTTATCTGGATGCATTTTTATTTCCTAATAGAATCCTTATTTTCTAAAATATCCAATAGCATAATTGTCTGCATAAGTAAGCAAATATTCAACATCCTATTTTTGAATATGTTCTTTGAATTTATTCATCAATCTTGTTCCATATCCTTTGACTTACAAATTTGCTGTAATAGCTAGAAAAGCAATTTCAGCAAATCTTTAAGTGGGATATTTTCTATAACATATACCTCCGATAACTTTTGTATCATCCTAATTAATAAATAATCAAATACTTTTATAATACACATAGATTCATGATTTCGATCAAATACCAATCTAACAATATATTCTTTAGGCATTTTAGGAAGTTGACGAGCAAATATATTTTTTAAGTCAATTAACATTTTCATTCTGTCATGATTACCATTATTTGTTATAATTTTGAAGTCAATTAAACCTTGATCCTCTTCAACCTTGGCTCCTTAATCTCTATTGGTAAATCCAAGACCTGTCTATTCTCCATTTATTCCAACAAATTATTGAGACATTAAATAATTATCATACAAATTAAATCATTCTGCTATCCAATTCCCGCATTTCACATTAATCCAAAAATTTTATGCCAACTTTATTCAATATATCTCTTTCTCTCTTTACTCTAGCCTTACAGATTAATCGTTCTCCTTCTTCACTATTAAACTAAGTTTATGAAAATTTGAATTAAGGTAATCCAACTACTTAAAGTATTTTATCATAGACTTCAAAGAAATTGAAAATAGATGCCATAATCAAAAGTATAGGCAATGAATAAGAGAATGACATCCCTAATACAGAACTAGTATCCATATTGCCAACCACATCTTCAAAAGGAGTACCTTAAATATGAATCATTTGTAGGAAATTAAAGGTCAAAGGAAAGGATACTCTTGAAAAATTACTATTAATATTAAAAAGATAATAATTACATAGAACCAAACATCAAACTAGGTGCATCAGTTTATTAGTGATTATAAAACCCATACATTCCAGCAAAGTTAATATGAAATAGTCCATAAAATGCACAAAATGAAATATACATCAAAGGTATTAAAATTGATATTTATGTATGAATAAATCCATTTACATTAATTATTCTACTAAGAATATTAAAGTCAAATTCAGTAAAGCATGAAATTTCTGACAATATTACAATACTAGATAATATTGAGAATATCACACACAATGATAATAAATAAGCCTTCTTTATTTTTGTGTACCATAACCATTGTAATACATCTATATAATGACCAAATTGTCCAGATTTTGGATATCTAAGAGTTGATCTAATTTTGTAATGTACACTGAATTCATTATCAATCATATCTTCTAAAAGAAAACATTCACTACAGATATGCTCCCATTTAGTTTAAGCTCTTTTATATTCAGCAGCCTTTTTTTTAGCTTTCTTATTAATTTCACAAAAAGATGATAGTTATTTTACATCATTGATCTCTAAAGTCTTATGAGAAGCATCTTCAATAATTTCATATGGAATCTTAGATAATATAAATTTATTTTACTTCATTTAATATATAGTCTATACATTATTAGTTTGGATTGCTTTATTTATTTTATATCAATTCAATAGTCATATTGAATAACTATATATATAGTTCTTAAATGGCATGATTAATTTGGGCAGCCTCTAAATAAAGTGCCTTTAAACATTTCTGATATTATGCTTTTCTCCAATATTCTCTTGGGATTGCTACTAAACCATGTCCCAACAATATAACAACTAGTAAGATACCACTTAGAATAAAATATATAAATACAAAGCATAAGCTAAAGCAACTAACACTTTTAAAATTGAGTTAAAGTCCAGTTTGTTGAATATAGCTAAGTAGGCAATAAAGATTAAACCAAACAATAAAAAATAAGCATAGATAATTAAATTGTTCTTTATAGATCTTATTAATTTGTCTTTACAAGTGAATTCACCTGCATCTTCATATTCCTAACAAATTGGTAATATTAGCCTAAAACGAATATATGAATTTATTTTACCAACATAATATGAAGTTACCCCAATATATCCATTTCCATAATAACACAGTGTAATCATAGCCATCACCATAATCATTCATTGTGTAATAGATATCATGGGGTATGATAAATACAATTCCAAAAGAAAGGATCCATGAAATGTATGTTAATAATTTCACATAGAATGGTACTTGTTATTATGAGTACTCTCGAACTAAATATCCTACATAAAATAGTAAGATCATTCCCTCTAACACAGTCAATATGAACATAAGTTATAAATATTAAAAGTAATATTGGTTTTTAATTGATTTGATATCATTCTGGAACATCTTCCAAAGCTCGATCTCTTTCGTCTATACTTTTAGCACGAAATGCTTTTATGATATGATGTAATGCATAGATTCCAGGAAGTAGACAAATCCCACCTAATACAAACATTGCTATAACTCCTTAAATTCCTTATGAATACAAACATCCTCTATTTATTAATCATTCTATTATAATACCCTACTATTAATAACACTATTCCAACTATATTTAAAAATAAAATCAAACAAAGAACATTTTTATTTAATCTTTACCACTATTTCTATATTAAATTTTACTGTAGTTCGAGTGTGTTATATATCATCAATATGTGAATTTTTTCTTTATCCTGCTATTGTTTATTATAATTCACTATCTTCCATTAATTAAATATATATGTAAAAGTTTTCAACTGTCAGATAATAACTTTAACCTCTTTTCCCAATTGATTAGAATACTACCGTCAAATTCAAACCAAGATCTTCATCTTACTGTGAAAGAATCAAATAACTCTAATAGAGAACTGTATCATAAATGCCCAAATGCAGAAAAAGCATTATATTTTGTATGGGTGAAACCAGTCGATTGAATTCCTTCCTAATCAAATCAAAACCAAAATATGTCAGTAAAACTAACACACGTCATTAAACATTGCAAAATGAAAATTCAATAAATTATGACATATCACCTTGGGAGAATTATTCACCAACATGATTAATTCACTTTACATACTTATATAAACTTCTATTATTAGAGTTATTCAATCATTTATAATTAAATTCTTATAACAAACTTAATTCAATTTTTACTAGAATACCCTAGTATATTGTTATTTACTTATAATTTTTATTTTATTAACAAATATATTTTAAATATTCATGAATTAAATAACTAGAAGTTATTTGACATTTATTTTCAAAATTTAGATGTATTATCAAAATATCAATCTTCAATTTTATTCTATTTCTTCATATAACAAAATTATATAATAATTAAATCAAATACATATTTATATATTAATCATATAAAGTAAAATTGTTTAATTTATATATTAAATAATTCAAAAACTAAAGATTTAGTTTCTATAAAATTATGAATTATAATTAATTTAAGTATGATATAATAACCTTCAAGAATAAATTTTAATTAATACTTTTTTTATATCAGTTAAGTATAATGAATAATAAGATATAATTATCAATGATATGATATTATAACTAAATTGGGATATAATTATAGTAAAGTATAACCAAGATTAACAATTAAAATTTATACTCACTTGTCATCTAAACAATGTCACAGATGCATTATAAATATAGGAATTTTTTAGAATATATATCATTTAAGAGTAACCAAGATTTATAAGTAGCCTTACTTTGAAATTATAAATAATTTGTCATTAACTTAATTCTAAGATATGAACAATCCTGTATAATTAACAAAAAGAACTAGATATTTAATTGTTTAATAAAATAAGATTTAATATTAGATTCTGATTTAATTTAATTAAAATTGATATCAAGCAAATAAAATTTGTTCTCTAACTTTATAATAAGATGGCTCTAATGATGATGAGTCAGAATATATTAAGAATTAAATACTATTCTAAAATTATGACATTTATGGAATTTGACATTGATTAATAGATATATTATTATGTGGACCTATGTTATCTAAAAGCAATTAAGTAATTTCAGTTATAATTTAAGCATCTTCGAATGTATTATTTTAATCATTATTATTAAATCTTTTATTTTAATTGAGATTATATAAATTAAGTGGCTCATCACTTGAAAAGAAGAATGTGAATTAAACTAATTTAAATTATGTTAGAGACTCTTCATTTTATTTGTTATTTTCATAAGTAGATTATTTATTTTCATTATGATTTTATTAAAATTCTTCAGCTATTCTAAGATTAATTAGATTATTTTTAATATTTTTCTTAATCAATTCATCAAATATATTAATTAATATTTAAGTGAGATATTTAATATTAATATTAATAGAAGAATTTTGATTTACATAATTTTGGAGTGTAAATTTAATTGAATAATGAGCAGATAATGCTTGAAAATATTAATTAATAATTGTTATATAATTATTAAATTTGCAATTTTAAAGACTGAACTTCATCTCAGTAATTTTATTTTTCTAAAAAAATAAAATATAATTTCTAATGTAATTCATAATAGATAAATTGAGACATTATAATTAAACTAATTATTATTATTCTTTTTAATTTTCAAATTTTATTTTCTTAATTTCTTCATAAAGATTAGATTATTTTTTTATAATATGATTAGACATATTTATTATAACCTTTTGATATTCTTTAATTTAACTTTCATATTTATGAATCAAATTAGGAACTTACTCTGATTTTATAATAGCAATTATTATTGGTTTACCAAAATTAAGAAATCTAATATGTAAACACATTTTCTTTGTATCATTATTGATTAAATCATGTTAATATATATCTAATAACCCATCTTTTTGTTCTTTGTAATTTAAAGATTTTTCAAAATTCTGAATCCTTTGAAATAAATATTCTTCCAAATTCAATACTTTTGTTGAATTCTTATCTCTTTATTTATTTTAATTATCACTCTATTTTACTAGAATAAATGTCTATCTTAAAAATGTTTTTATCTATTCTGTTTCCTTAATATTCATTAATTCTACAAATCTATTATTCTGAAATTCTAGAACAAACTGCCGACTTCTTTTGTCATAGCTAATAGCAAACATAGCATCATTAACAAATTCATTAATCAAATCTCTAAATTACAATAAATAAATACTTTTGCTTTATCGAAATTAGGTTAAGAGAAAAAGCAAGTCTTGATGTATATTCATTCATATATCCCCAAATTCCTATAAAAATTACACATGAGATAGTCAAAAAGACAAAAGCTAGAGTATCAATTCTGTAAACATCAAATATACCCATTAATACAAAGGGAGTAATAATTGTATATGCAATTTTAAGCTTATTATCACTGTATTACATTGTAACAATAGCTAAAGAACAAGTGTTGAAGCCAAATATGAAATTAGGTCTAAATTATAGAAGTGACTTACATTGAGAAGCCAGCAAAAGCGATAAGTATGTTAGTAGTTATTGCCCAAACATAATAAAATGAAAATATGGATTTTAAGTATGGTAAGATCTTTTTACTTATTATTAATGAGAAGACACTTCCCATCAATGTTAAAGTCATCATTATAGATAACAATAAAGTTTGTTATTGAATAACAAAAGTTATTAGGCATATTAATGCAGCTATACTTATAGTGAGGTTTAGAATGCGAAAGGATAACAATCTAATTTTATTTAAATGATCCTCATACTAAGATTCAAATTCTGGATCATGAAAATTTAAAGTCCATTTATCAAAAGGTAGATTAAGCATAAAGACTGAAGTTAAATTTTATTTTATATTTCACTAATATTTTAAAAATCGTTGTCTAATTAAGCAGATATACTATAGATAAGTACATGTATATTTATAAAGGTTATAAAAAATAAATTTAGGATATTGAGAATAATATATACAACTAATATATAGAAAATTTTGATATATATAAATATACAAGATTTGACTATTAATATTTTAAAAGTTAAATTGAAAATTAATTGATTTATTAAGTTAATAGGAATGATTAAATTTTATAATATATATATATAAATATATAATTTATTAATGGAAGGATACTTAATGAAGTGGACTAACATTTTTCAAAGATGGTAACCACGGTATTTTATTCTTTATGATGATATTCTAACCTATTGTGAGTAAAAGGGAAGTTCTGTAGAAGGTCGAGTAAGTTTGAAAATATCTGGAATTTTTACAGTTGAAGATGATCCTTTAGAAATTTTGATATAAACAGGAACTAATGAATTAAAATTAAAGGCCAATTCTCAATCTTAATTTTTAGATTGGTTTAATGCATTATAAATTGCATAAGAAAAATCATAAAAAAATAAGGTTTAAAACTTTGAAAGTCAAATCAATGATTTACTTTCAACAATTTGGGTTACATTTGCAGCATTTGATGAAACATTGAATACACTTTAGATCAATTGCTCTAAATTTTAGTATGAATTAATTACTAAATTGCACACTCTTGGTTAGAATTTAAAAACATTTCTAACTTTGGGATTTACTTTAATAGAATAAGAAAAAGAAAGATTTGAGAATGATGCTAATAGTGTTTATGAAAGTTTTAATGAAATGTAGAGTGTAATACCGAATAATGGAATTCCTAAATAAATATAAATCAAAGTTTAAGAATTTGATACTCCTTAAAGAGGAAACTCATTCAAAAGCATACTAGATTCAATTAAACATTCTTAACCAATAAAATATGTAAGTTATATTATAATAAACTAGAGAAATCTTGTAAATAGTCCTGTTTTCACTAAAATATATATAACAGATGAACCAGAAAGGACATGTTTACCATATAAATAGGATCCCAAAGAGAAATTTAATATTTGGCCATTTCTTAAATCATGTATTGGAAAAGATCTAACTAGAATTCCATTTCCTTGTATATTTTAATAATTTAATTTTTAGTGATATTTCATTAACCAATGTCAGTTTTATAATTAATTGTACAATAATTTGCTTATTTCGATTAAATTAAAAAAGCTAGTCAATGTGAAGATTCTTGTAAAAGAATGTGTCATATTATTGCATTTACATTGTCTCGATTGTCATCAACATTGGATGGTCAAAAGAAACCATTTAATCCACTTTTAGGAGAAACTTATGAATTTTTAACTCCTGATTATAGTATTGTATGTGAACAAGTATCACATCATCCACCAATATCAGCTATGCATTGTGAAGGGAAGGATTTTAAATTTTGGTCATAGAATGATGCCTCAATAGGATTTGGAGGAACTTATATAAAAATTTAAATAGTTGGTAAATCTCATATCTATTTAAAACGATTTAATGAACATTATAGTTTTGATATGCCTAATATGCATATTAAAAATCTAGTATTTGGAGAGAAATATTTTGAACATGTTGGAAAGATTAAATATGTAAATCATTAGACAGGAGATATTGGTATAGTTGATTTAAGAGAATATGGAGAAGGCAAGGTATATAATATAATTAATTTTAAAAGAATTTTTCTTAAGTTTAAGCTGAAGTGAGAGATTGTAATAACAATTTAAGATATTAAATTACTGGTTTTTATAATTAAGCCTTATATGCAGGTAATGAATTACTTTGGTAACGAATTATGCCTAGCAAAGAAGCTTATTACTATTATAATTATATTCCTTTATAAATGTAAGCAAACTATCTCAATACAGAAATTTTACTTGTAATTTAAATTGATTATATAAGTAAATACCTTGTACTGATTCACGTTTAAGACCAGATATTGCAGCTTTGGAACATGGTTGGAAAGAAATTGGATAAGATGAAAAAGTTAGAATGGAAGAGAAGTAAAGAGAGAAGAGAAGAATTATGGAATAAAGAAATGAAGTTCATATTCCTAAATTCTTTGAGATAAAAGAAGATAATGATACAAAATCTAAAGGATATGTATTTAAAGGGAATTATTGGACAGAAAAACATGAAGTAATGGATATATTTTGATATATTTTATTTGTATTTTGGTATATTTAATCAATCCTGCCATATAGGATAATTATTCTATCCTATGTTTTAATTTGGCTCATATTAAAAGTCATTTTAAGGTACTTGCTTTTATTTTTATTTATTATTATGATGATTCATATATCTATTTTGTTTTTATTTTTATTTTTTTTCTAATTTCATCTATTATTATTATAATTGTTGTTAAATTTATTATTCTAATTCTTCAGCTGTAGGCTATTAAATAATAGGTTCTTATCTTCTCATGAATATCTATTTCTAAGGTGCTGGTTTTGGAGGTGCAACAGTCTAAACTAATTAAATAGTTTATTAATTTTATGGTGAAGATCTTAAATTTGATAATTTTTCATCTTTATTCAATCTCCTAGGTTAATCATTAACCTTAGCTTCTTTCATTTATTTGATAAAGTCTAAATATTATATGAATTAGAATACCAACTCCTGTTGTAAGATTGATTTATTTAGATTATTTTACTTCCTCTACTATATTGATTTAAATATCCAAATTAGTATCATTAACCCATTTAATTTCATATAATTCTTCAAACTTTTCTCTATGTAAAAATTCACCAAATTTAGAACAAATTATAAATTAGTTATCAACTCTTAATCTTGGAAAAGTTGTAGCTAATAAAAAGTATTCTCCATTTGGACTCCATTCAAATTATACTACTTTGTCTTATTTAGTTTAACCTACCTTTTTGAGGCTATCTATTTCATAAATATATATGTCTCCAGTTAGATTTCCAAATCCACACAGAGCAACTAAATTATTCTTAGGAAAAATTGTATTTATATGAGCTTATAATATTAAATATTCTTTTTCTCCTGATTTATTAAATAGAATTGCACCTGCTGGCATATATCCAGTTATAACTATAAATCCATTCTAAACCCATTATACATCATGAATAGGTCCTTCAAATAATTCTATATTTTATAATTTATCTTCTGTCCAATGATTTAAATGATGAGTACCAAAATAACTCTAATTTGTGTGATCATCTAATGTTTATGACCAAATTAATAATATTTTTCCATCATCTGACCACAATTACTTAACTTCATTTGATGGAGGTATTGAATGTTCGAAATGTTTATTACTATCATAATTATCAATAATAAGTCGACAATCTCTTAAGTCTTCTAAATGTTTTATTAATGTAACAGATGATAAATATAATGAATCTCTTTAAGTTGAAATAGTAAAGTCCCCATACTCTGGACATTTAAATTATTTCAGCTATTAGAAAGTTGCTGTTTCATAAACTATTCCTTTGCAAAAACAAAGAGATCCTGTTGAATCAAATTTAACTTCATGAGGAAATGTCTTCACAAAGTTTTATGTTTTTGTAGAAAATAAATAAGTTTCCTTTGCTGATAATATTATGTATTCTTAATCTGGAGAGAATGAAATTGATTAAACTTTCAATTAAATATTAAATTAGTTTTTACCCCAGTGTTCAATCCCGAAATCTCCTCCAAACTAAATTTTAATAGATTAAATACCACAATACTATATTTTGAGATGGCCATACATTTAATGGAAGTATGATTGGATATTTAAGTTGAGTTAGTAAATTTATTATCCAATCCATCTAATCCGTTTTAATGTCTATATACAACAGAATAAGTTAATTCAGGAAGAGATTCTTATTATGTAAGGAGGAGTTGATATAATTGCTGCATTTTTTAGTATTAAATATTTAAATAATTATTATTATTAATTAAATAACATATTGTTATTAAATATTTTTATTCAAACCTTTCCTTATAGATTTAATCAAAGTTATATAGATATATATATTTATATATAGAATTTATATCAAAATAAATAATTATTCTAAATATTCATATTCCTTCTTGAGTAGATTGATTAACTTAAGTAGTTTCCTCTTCCTCATCTTCCTTAGGTAATTTAACTCTAGAGAAACAGATTGCAGCAGCCAGAAATGATAAAAATAACAATAAACATCCATAAAAGGCTTAAGTTCTAATGATTACAAGATTTAATATACTTATTTTAATCATGTGTTATTACTGAAAGAATCTCACCAAAAACGAAACTCCATATATGAACACCAGCTAATAAAAATCCTACTGCTATTGTTTAATTTATAGGATGTAAGACTTTGCATGCTAATTCTAGTTATAATGGTATGCAAGGTATCACAAAAAAGCCAAGAACCTATTAAAATAAATTATAATACTGAATAGCATAATAACACAAGAGGTAAGCTTTCAGTCATTAAAGCAAAGTAGCTCAATCCCAAACTAACTAATACTGGAATTAAATTAAATAAAACTATTTTCTTATGATTTAAATGATATTTTCTTATTAATATCGAATACATAACAGAACTAACAAATCCACAAATAATAGGTGAACTTTCTAAATTGTTCAAATTTATATTATATACATATAAAGCTGGTTTATGAGGGAGTGAAACCAAATGGATTAAAAAGGTATGAAATTACAACAGCTAAAGCATGAAATCCACCCATCAATAGACTATAACAAATAAACAATAGGATCTAATCACATAATATATGTAAGAATTACAAAATTTTTATTTTTTGCTGTTATCTTTAAAGATTACAAGTATGTAAACTCATCTCTTGATTTATTAATTGGACCAGGTGGAGTAGGTGGACTTGGTCTAAAGAATAAAATGGCAGGAATTAAAATAGCACTAAAGATTTCTAATTCTATAACCATTAGTTTTCCAGTTAACCATTTACCATCATCTGGATCTGTTTCATATTTATAACCCTTGAATATTTAACCAGGTACTATAACACTATATGAAATAAATTATATGATGTACCCAAATACACTTGAACATGTAATAATGAAAGAAAAAGCAATCATAACAGTTGTTTTATCTTCTGGTCTGAACCATTCCTTTGCAACATTGGCTTGAATATTGATAATGAAGGGTCTTCCCATTCCTGCAACAAGCGAACCCAAAATAATAGTATAAAATCTATATTTTAGTGAAACAATACAACCTCTCTGTGATAACTGTGGCAGTTCTGATTAATGCACCTAGTAATGTTAATGCACATCCAATTTTTAGACTAACTGATATATCTGTTTGATTGACAATAAATGTTTCTGTTTTTAAGATTGATTGAATTACATACAATAGTTAAGAGAGGATGCATCAATAGAAATCCATTTGCAGCTAATGAAACTACAAATGTTGGTATTTCATAAACAGCTGCTAAAACTGATGCAATAGGATTGCAAGTTGAAAACATCATAGATGAACAGATCTTGAAATTAGGTAATGAAATACAGTTGAAAATGCAAAAAATGATGCCATAATATATCTCCTTTTGTAAACCTTATATATTTCAGTTTAGTCATTGATTTCTGGTTTGGCAAGATGTACCATAGCCATTTCCATTTCATTTGATTTTTAATCCATTTAGTTTGCAAACTTAAATTTTTATATTTAAATGTTAATGCCAAGGCGTAAAGAGATTTAATAATTTTTTGTAAAAATAAAATGATTAAATAAGGTAAATCCAAGGATACAGCAGTTTTAAGGACACTCATCAACACTCAAGCATAAAATTTTGCTACAAAAAGATTGTTAAAAGATCTCAATATAATTGAAAAAGAGTCCATTCCCACAGTGGGAGTTACTGCTAGACCTCTTGAACATGACCTCTTTGTTTGGCATGCAAATATTAGAGGTCCTGTTGGAACCCCTTATGAAGGTGGAATTTTTCATTTTCAATTGTTGATACCTGAATCTTATCCTCATTAACCACCTAAAATAGATCTATTTACTGAATTACCTCATCCAAATGTTTTTGGTAATTCAATTTGTTTAGATTTACTTTAATCAAGAAAGCCTGAAGACAAAGATAAATAATCAGGTTGGTCAAGTGCTTACACTATCTAATCCATATTATTATAATTATCAGCTTTTTTGTTTGAAGAGTAAATTACCGAAAAAAAGGAGAAATAATTAGCACAAATTAAAAAAGCTGTTTAAACTGCAAATAATTTTAAATGTACCACAAAAAATTGTAAACATGGTGGAAAACTCTCTTTATGGCCTTAATTCAACACTAAGGAAAGTGATGAATAATAATTTATTAACAAGTAAACAGAATAAGAATTGTTAGAATAATAATTCATTTGCTTCCATACTAAATTAAGTTACAAAAAACCATAAATACCATAATATGATGATGAAACTAAAATCAAATAAGAAAGTTGTCTTGGAATCCTATTAAATGTATCAAAGGTACCAAGAACTGGTTCAATTAAGTAAGCAGTTCCATCTTTAGATTATGTATCAATCAAAGCCTTTTTAAATGAGGGATTAAAATGGGATTCGTTAAATTTGAAATATACTCATTGGTTACCTCTTTATTTTGGCAAGACTGATAATAAAGAAAGAGTATTACATCTCTTATAAAGATCATTGTCAATGATAATGACAAATAATACTAAAAGATTCAAACCTGAATTTGTTTTGGAAGTATTTCCAAAGATTACATAAAGTATTGTTCATGGAATGATGGCTGAAAAGACTCATGCATCAATTAGATGTTTAAGAGTGTTAGCTTAAATTCATGCCTTATGGTTATTATGTATGGAAGAATGGCCTTAACTATATTAATAAGTAGATGCAATTATTTACAAATTTATTACTGATGAAAAGAGTAGAACAAAAGAATTTACTCCTAATCTTGGTATATTATTTAATTTACTCTATGTATCTAAAAAATACACTTTTGGAGATTTAGTTTAATCATATACAGCAGAATAATTAGATAGATAAGTATTTTGGTTATTGAAAGAAATTCCAGAATTAGCAAATGAAAAATTGGAAAGTGCAATAAGTGCAACAAAGAGAGTTGAAATAACATTTAAATAATAATCAACTTCATTTTAAATGGGTTGTTTTTAATATATTTATTTAACTTATGTTGTTTAACCATTAAAGACATAGAAGGAGATTTTAGAAAGATTTGATAAAAATTATTGTTTGTTAACAACTGGTATTGAAAATGGAATACAAGAAAAGATATTTGAATCTTTTAAACGTGTAGTTAATTATGATGGGTTCTATGATTTTATAGGATAATAGAAGAAATCTATTGAAGAATTGAATTTATTATTAAAATAAGCTGTAAAGAATTCTAAAGAAAAGAAATATCATGGCACTGTTGAAGAAATGAATTAATTACCACCTGCAATTGATTAAGTGAAGTAATATTAAAAAAAATACTCTAAATTATAAGATTTCTATGTAATTACTTAAGAAGAATAAGATAAAAAATAAATTAAATATAATTTTGAAGAAAAACAAAATGTTGATTGGAAATAAGAATTATGTAAAAGATGGGATTGGATTGATGAATAATTAAAGTGGAATACTGAATTAAATGCAACTGAACTGGCTCAATAGTCAAATTATAGAATGTTAAATGGGTTTAGTCTTAAACCTGAAGATAGATTATATAATAAGATTGAAACACTTAGAAATCAATATCATAGCATAAAATATTAAACTGATTTTCCTTAACATACTTGGCAATAACTTTATATGAAATTAGATTTTGAATAATTTCTACTTTAATTTGATTCTTGTCCTGATTTCCAAAGCTTTTATTAAAAAGTAACAATAGTAAAAGAATAATTATTAGATTTGGTTCTTGTATTGATTCACATTAAAACTGTTTAATCAGGATATTATTATATTACTGCTGCAATAGAATAATTTACTAAATTAGTTAGATTAACATTAACTGGATAAAATTAATTAGGTAGCATAATTTTCCCAATGAAAGCTGCTAAATCAATATATAAAGGTCTAAATAATTTAAGTAAATAATAAAATAATTTATAAATTCTTGAGATCAGTAAAATAAGTTTTGCAGGAAATTAACTAGAAATAACAGAATCTATATTTGGAGTATTAAATCTATTTTAAAATCAATTAAAATCTCTTACAATAGAAAATACAGATATGTTGACATTAAGTACTGCTGCAAAGACAGTAGGTGCCATAATTACTTCATTTAGATAACTTGAATATTTGAATTTGAAAGGATCAATACGTAATGCTGATATAGCAAAAGAAATAACAGATGGTTTAATGAGAGCAAAATAATTAGTAGCTGTAGATTTCTCTTAGAATATATTAGCTACTGAAAAGGGTTTAGCATTAATTGTATATAATTTGAGTTTCTCACCAAAACTAAAATTCTTAGATATATCAGGATGTGGATCAATTACATCAGTTGAATTAGTTGAAAGCTTATTTAAATTATTAAGAATAACTGCAAGTTTGGAACATTTAAATTTAGAGAGATTATCTTGTTTGAATTTAACATAAGAATTCTTTATTGCATTAGGTGAAAATAGAACTCTAAAAACATTGAATTTGAATTATATTGGAGAATTTAATGATTAAAAATTAGAATAATTAGGTAAAGCAATAGCATTTAATGCATAAAAGGGAGGATAATTAACTATAATAAATTTAAATAATGATGGAATAAATTATTTAAAGTTGTAGAAATTAGTTGAAAGCATGGCAATATCTAATTATGATAATGAAGTTTGGTATGGAGATGCAAATAAAGCTAGTAAAATGTCAGGAGATGATTATAAAAAAGTATTTAAATGCAATTTATAGACTCTTGATGTTAAAATAGCTCCATTTAATTCTAATTTTGATATTAATTATTATAAGAGTTAATATAAAGCTAAGAATGAGTTATAAAACATTTTTGAGATGAATCCAAATCTTATAGATCTAAATTTTGCTGAGAAATAATTTAATAAGAAAGATATGGATTTATTATCTGAAATTGTACATCAAAAAGCTATTAAATTAAAAGTCTTAAATTTAAGTAGAAATAATTTGAATAAAGAAGGAGCAAAAGTATTAAGTACATTCTTAGAATCAAACACTACTCTAGAATTCTTAGATTTATCAGGTAATAAAGTTGGTGTATCAGGTGGAAAGAGTATTGCATTAGCATTAAGAAAAAATTAAACACTTAAATAATTGAATCTTTTCTTTAATCTTATTGGATTTGATGGTGCTAAAGAATTTGGATTAACATTTAAAATTAATAATATTCTTGAATTTATTGATCTTGGAAATAATAGAATTAGAAATAAAGGATTATTAGCAATTACAGAAGGATTAAGTGAGAATAAATAATCAAAAGTATCTACTCTTGGATTAAGATTTAATTTCTTATCTGAGGATGGCATTTTAAATTTAATTAAGAAAACTAATTTATAAGAAATCTTTATCAAGAATAATTCAATTACTGATTATGGTTTATATTGTTTAAAAAAAGGATATGATGAATTAAAATCAAATATTAGAATAGATTTGTTCTCTAAATTAAGTTTAATTGAGGAGAGTAGACTAGAAAGAACAGCTTGGATTCAACCAATCTTTGAAATCCCAGATATTATTGCTTTCTTCAATAAATTTGAAGTAGGTGTTATATTAGATGCAAGATTTAGAAAGGGATAAAAGTATAAAAATCATATATTGACATTTAATTTCAATTTTGTTGAATTTGCTGATCCTAATAGTTTGAATAGAGCTCTAGCTTTAGCTTCAACTAATTAAGCTATTATTGATTCTCAGGCATTTAGAATTTATAAGGCTGGAACAGGAACCTTCATATGTATTTATTAAATTATTATCATTTAGATTAAAAAAAAAGTGCAAAGTAAAAGAAAGCTGAAAGTTCTAAAACTAATATTTTATAAACGAACATTACTACAAGTATAGCTACAAGAGAAAGAGGTAGAAGAAGAGACATGGGAAGAGGTATAAGAAGAGGCATGGGAAGAGGTATTAGAAAAAACATGGGAAGAGGTATAAGAAAAAACATGGTAAGAGACATCAGAAGAGACATGGAAAGAGGTAGAGAAAGAGACATGGAAAGAGGTAGAGAAAGAGACATGGAAAGAGGTAGAGAAAGAGACATGGAAAGAGGTAGAGAAAGAGACATGGAAAGAGGTAGAGAAAGAGACATGGAAAGAGGTAGAGAAAGAGACATGGAAAGAGGTAGAGAAAGAGACATGGAAAGAGGTAGAGAAAGAGACATGGAAAGAGGTAGAGAAAGAGACATGGAAAGAGGTAGAGAAAGAGACATGGAAAGAGGTAGAGAAAGAGACATGGAAAGAGGTAGAGAAAGAGACATGGAAAGAGGTAGAGAAAGAGACATGGAAAGAGGTAGAGAAAGAGACATGGAAAGAGGTAGAGAAAGAGACATGGAAAGAGGTAGAGAAAGAGACATGGAAAGAGGTAGAGAAAGAGACATGGAAAGAGGTAGAGAAAGAGACATGGAAAGAGGTAGAGAAAGAGACATGGAAAGAGGTAGAGAAAGAGACATGGAAAGAGGTAGAGAAAGAGACATGGAAAGAGGTAGAGAAAGAGACATGGAAAGAGGTAGAGAAAGAGACATGGAAAGAGGTAGAGAAAGAGACATGGAAAGAGGTAGAGAAAGAGACATGGAAAGAGGTAGAGAAAGAGACATGGAAAGAGGTAGAGAAAGAGACATGGAAAGAGGTAGAGAAAGAGACATGGAAAGAGGTAGAGAAAGAGACATGGAAAGAGGTAGAGAAAGAGACATGGAAAGAGGTAGAGAAAGAGACATGGAAAGAGGTAGAGGAAGAGACATGGAAAGAGGTAGAGGAAGAGACATGGAAAGAGGTAGAGAAAGAGACATGGAAAGAGGTATAGGAAGAGACATCAGAAGAGACATCAGAAGAGACATCAGAAGAGACATGATAAGAGAAATCAGAAGAAGTATGGCAGGAGAAATCAGAAGAGAAATGGAAAGAGACATCAAAAGAGGAGGTAGAGGAAGAGACATTGGAAGAGATAGGGAAGAGCTTGAAAATTAGATTATATAATGATTCATATAAGAAACATTATTAGTTTATCAATTAATATAATTTTTAAATACATTTCTTAAAATTATGTAATTGAAAAATTAAATATATTTAATTAAAAGATGAATTAAGAAAGTCTTACAAATTTCTTAAAACAAAAACCTTAAAGCCTTCTTTAATAGAATAATCAAATAGGATCATATCGCCCTAAGAGTTAATAAAAATATTGTAATCAACAATAAACTTTATTACGTCCTCCATCATCATAAATCTAGAGTATTAATGGAGCTGTAAAACGCAAGTAATTTATTCACAAAAAGAACAATCTGATGTTGAATAGATAATCTCAAACTCAATTACAATATTAATAAAATGAAGATCATAATTGTTATGAAATCACTCCTTAGCTATTATCAGAAATAAGTATGGATGATCCAATTTGGAAAAGGATTCTTCCTGAAAATCTGAAATTAGATGAAAATTAACTCATTTAATTACTAGATGAAAATACAGATTATTTTTATCATAACTTAAAATTGTGTGCCTGTTTTAAATGTACTTGTGGAAGATGTAAATGTGATGTTACAACTTAAGTCAAACTGAAACTTAATGGAATTTTCTTAACAAATTATGATAAAGATTTTGTAATCAATCACAAATCAAAAAAAAGTGTAACAAATCCACTCAATTAAAAAACATACGATACCAAATTTATGGATCAAAAATCTATAAATTTAAAATCACTCTATTAATAAGATTTTCAATAATAACCTCTTGAATTGTAACCAAATCTAAAAAAACATTCTAGCCAATAAATTGGTTCGGTATCTAATCTAACAAGTTACAGAGTATTTTTCTATTGATAATATAGTCTAATTATAATGATTGGGGTACTAATTATCATAAATTTATACCCTACCCTCACATAAGCACAAGTCCTGACATCAAATTTATTGGTTCATCCTAATATAAAGACTCATATATATCTCCTAATAGATGGAACATTAATAATGCACATTATTTTAAGACTTGTTTGTAAGTAATCTTTAATTATGATAGAACACCGATACCAACTGGATAATTTGAAGGATAAACTACTCATAAAACTAGTTTCATTCCATATTCAACATCTCATAAATCATAGATTGATCGATAAAATGTATATAATATTTTAATAATTATAGGTTTATGAAAAGATACCTACTTTTGAAGGGTAATTTATATCAACAGAAATGAATGATTATATTAAAAAGGATGATTAGAATTGTCCAGCTAAATAATTTTAAAAGATATTTCGTAAATAAATGGCAGATAAACTACTAAAAAAGTAATAATAATTCCTCAAAAATTAAATATAATAAAATAATTGATATTTAAAAGAATATACACACACAATCAATGTTATTTATTTTTTTTCTTTTTTTTTTATTATTCATATTGTAATTAAGGTCTTCTTTAATTATCTTGTATTTCATATTTTTTCTATGTTATTTTGCCATTTTCATTTCTTTTTTCTATTACAGTAGTTTTATTTCCATTTTTAATTGTCTCTTTAGTTACAGTAACTTATTTACCATTTCTAATAATGAATAAATCATATATACATAAATTATGTAGTTGATGATATTGATTTTGAATAACCAGTCTAATGATTATCAAAAAATGGAGGATCAATGAAATTATTAATCATAGATCCAAAAATAGAGTTCCTGTTCTTATTCTTCTATTTCTTTTTTCTTCTATTCTCAAAAATTATAAATTCATCATCATCTGATCCAAATAAAAGATCTCCTGAACAAAAGAAATTATTAAATATCTCAAAAGGATCAAATGTAAAGAATGCAAAATCACCATCTTCTTCATGTTAATGGATTTATTCTTCCATTCTATAAAAATACTAATAATAATATTCTACCCTTAATGACCATATTGATCATAAATTTTTCTTTTTTCTATATCAGATAGAACTGTATATGCTTCTCCTATTTGTTTGAACATTTCTTGAGCCTTCTCTTTATTTTCTGGATTTTTATCCTATAATCTTATAAAATCTTTACAGGATGCCATTGCAATGCTAATTTTCTATATTATTTTTTTATTTCTTCAGGAGTAGCTGTTCTACTTATGCCAAGTGTCACATAATAACACTCTTTTTATATCATTTCCTTAAATAAAAAAATATTTACATAATATATTTTTATTATAAAACTTCATTCGAATTTTCTAGAATTCATAATTTAGGTTATATAATCAATATAATAAATCTTAATTATTATTTATAGTCTCCTTAATATAAAATTAAAAAATATATATGAATATTTCTCTGTCTTTAAAGGAATCTTAAAAAAACCCTATTTATTATTTTATATGCAATAATTTAAATTATGACTAATTATTAATTTAATTATATAACAATGATAATAATAATTTTCTCAGTCATTTAAATCAACGTATTTCTTTTTGTTTTAAAATAGATTTTATATTTCATTTTTTGTTAAACCTTTAGTTTCAAAAAAAAAATAATAAAACATAATTTCCAATAATAAGCATACTGCTGCAAATATTCCAAAATTGAATTATAAACTCAGTTATTCAACAATAATGGGAAAAATTTAAGCTAAAATAGCACAACTTATCCAATTAATAAAAGTGACTAATGATATTCCTTTAGTAGGTAATACTTCTGATAGATAAACCCAAAATACTGGACCTAATGAAAGACTATATGAAATAACATAAATAACTAAAAAAACTAGATTAAATATCTAATAGTTTTTTTCATCATTATCCCCTTATGATTAAATTGAAATGATTAAACATATGAATGTTAATGATATAAAACAAAATGCATTACCAATTAATAATACAATCCTTCTACCTGCTCTATTAATCATAATACTGCTGAATATAGAAGCTGCAATACTTACTAAACCATTTGTAACATTAGCTAAATTAATTAATGTTATGTTATTATTTGTCATAGCACCAATTATAGCACCAGCATAAAAGTTTACAGCATTAATTCCAGCAAATTATTAAAGTACTCCAAAAATCATACATAAGATCATACTTTTTCTATATGACTTACTAAATAAATCTTTAATACTTTAATTTTCTTCCTTTAAATTTTATTTAATTTATATTAATAATTCCTGAATTTCCTCATTGGTTGTCGTACTTGGATAAGAACTTTATATTTATAATATTGCTTTTTCATCATTTCCTTTCTTCACTTATTCAAAAGGCAATTTAGTTGTCAAAATGAAAACCATACCAAAAAGACGAATAATACAGGGAATGGCTGTGAATAAAAAAATAATTTTCCAATTGTTAAATCCTAAATATCCATAATCCTGATCGACATTATATTCAGAGGCTGGTAATCCAAGAAATATCCATTATACTGCAAATCCTAATGTTAAGCCTACCATCATAAGACATGGACCTAACCCAACAAATATTCCAACATTGTTCAGAGGTACAAAATGATAGATGTATTGAATGACTAGAGCACTATTCAAACCTGTTAAGAATCCTTATAAGGTTCTACATAATATTAAAACATTTAAGTTTTCAATTGTAAATAACAATCCTATACAAATTCCAATTATATCAAAAAGAATGAAGGTATTGCGATAATTAAGCTTGTTAACTATCATAGCTACAAGTTTATTGCAAAAAAAATTTACATGATACTAAAGCTGCAACAGCTGCTCCTATTGAAAGAGATGCATTAACAAAACCTTCAATAACACTTTTGTTTGGGGAATGTTAAAAGTCCAAAACATATGCAATTGAGTCCTAAGTGATTGCATAATAAGTTAGAGCATAACCTATGTAAAGGTATCCCATTGTTATAAACAGAACTTTACATAAAAGATCACAAAAGACTGCATTATCTTATTTACACATTATTATGAATTGATGTTATCATTAATATCATTGTTAATATTTTTTCACTAAGAAATCAATAAATTCTTATTATGAAATCTAACCATCTCCATTTGCATCACACATTTAAAGAATTTCTTTCCATAAATTATCATCTACTCCTCCCATAATCTCTTAAAGTTCATCTCTACTTATCTATCCATCTCCATTCTTGATAATTTATATAAAATATATTACAGTATCAAACATATTGAATGCTTATTATAATCTAATCTTGCTCAATAATTTTTCTTCAGAGGCTGCTGACATCATAAATTCTGTAAAATCTACAAATCCAGATCTATTAATATCAACTTTTTCAAAAATATCATCAACCATTTATTTTGCTTTGATTTCATCATATTATTTCATATAAACTAAAGTTAAAAATATATAAATTTACCTTAAAGCAATTCTTCTTTACTTATTTATCCATTTCCATCTTTATCAATTTTTTTAAATTCATTTAATAAACCTTCTTTCTCTGTATTTGTCATTAAATTAGTTGAAATAAATTACATTAGAGCAGCTCTAACTTTATTTTTACCCTAAAATAGAAATAAAAAGATACAAAAAATGAAGATAAATTTTTAATTGCTTTCAAATCTATTGGTCCGTTTGGTGCATTTTTTTAAATCCAAGGATCATTGTATGCTTCTTATGCAGAAATTCTTTATTAATATTCTTTTGTTAACATTCTTTTAATTAAATTCTTAGCATCTTCTGATATTTTACTCCAATCTTCAGCTATACAATTTTATTATTTTAAAATCTTACGATCAAATTCATATTTTCCAATTTCTATATTTTACAATATTTCTTAATCTTAACCACCAAATGGAGGATATCCACAAAGCATAATATATAAAATCACTCCACAACTCCAAACATCACATTTCTCATTATAATTTCTCTTTAAGACTTCAGGTGCAATATAATAAGGCTTAAATATTTTTTAATATTACAGTTCCTAATCTCTTTGTAAGATTTTAATTGCCATCCATCTTTCTTGAAGTTCCAAAATCAATAATCTTTAGATTTGAGTTTGGTTTTTTACTTTCAAAAAGTATATTTTCAGGTTTCAAATCTCTATGGACTACTTTCTTTTCATGACAATGAACAACACCAGCCAAAATTTATTTCATAATATCTGCAGCCATTTTTTCTGTAAAATGTTTCATATCGGTAATCTTTTAAAATAACTCCCCTCCTTCTAAATATCTAGATATATTCTTGACTCTTACTCAGTTACTAGATAATAATTTTTTGCATCCTAAAACAATTCATGTAATTTCACTATATTTGGATGATCCAACTCCTTTAATGTATTTACTTCTGAAAACATATTTTCTTCATCTTCTTTTATTATTTTATCCTTTCTTATTTGTTTCATTGCTCTCTTATATCCAGAATTTCTATGTATAACCAACCTTACTTCTCCAAAGGCCCCTAATTTATGATTTTTAACTACCTGAACCCAAACTTTTCTCAATTTTATAAAAGCTACTTATAGAACCTTATTTTAATGTTGCAAAGATATTGGGACCTACTTTAAACTCTTCCGTATTCGGTTGTTTAGTATCAACTACCAAAGGCTAATCATTTGCTGCAGGCTTTCTTTATTATGATGAACATGGCCCCATAATTAATATAATTTTATTTATAGTATTAACTAAGTAATATTACTTATTAGCATTATAACATTTAAACTTCTAAGACTATAGTTCCCTAATCACTTAATTATTTCTTAGATATTCTTTTTATCATTTAAATATTTATGGAAACAGAATCTAAAATATAAAAAAACCTATTAATTTAGAGATAAGTCTCACCTCCTGTATTTGGATCATTACATTATAAAAGATCTCCTAATTTGGAGTAATTAGATTAATTAGCCTAAATTTCAGTAATGAGGAGAAAGAAATCAAATGATCCTCATAAAACTGAACCCATCTTTAGTGACATTCATAGTAAATCATTTATAAAATTAGGAACATACACCAAAATAGAAAGAAGAAATTAATAAAATAATTAAAACTAAATAACCATCATTACCTTACTTACCTAAAAAATAGAAAGAATTTTATAATAAATGGTACATACCTTATGATTAGAGGTATCTATAAAAGCCAGATGTAATGGAATAATAATATGAAGGTATCAACATCTAAAATAAATTTATTAGATGAATTGCACTTTTATAAAAATATGCATAATATGTATGTACAATATAATCCATTTGATTAAAATTTACCTGATGATCTAATGAAAAAGATTGGCTACAAGGAGAGAACTGAGACACTTAAAGAATTATTGAAAGGGTAGAAGTAGATAATTGAATTTAAAAGGTATTTATTGCAAAATATAACTTAGGAATTTAGAAAAAGAAAAATAAAGAGTTCCTGAATTTATAAAATAATTATTAGACTCTGATAATAAAAAATAAAAAAAAAAGTAATACTCATGAAACTTTTTAATATTTATAATCACATTATTAATAAATTATTCTTTATTATTGTAATAAAATTATTGAAATATTAATTTTCAATATTTTCTTATGATTTATAAATATATCTAATAAAATTTAAAATTGATTTTAAAGATAATTTATTTAATTATAAAATAATAATAATCAATTATCATCTTCAACATCATCATGTTCATCATCATCTTCCTTTATGATAGGTTATGTAACTGTATCAGTAATTAAAGTAGTAGAAAAGATTAATTCAAATAAATTTTTTTAATCTTATATATGCTTCTTTTTATTGAGTGGAGGTGGATACATAGGATCAATAGCTATACGTATTGTATTTTCTATTAGATGTGAAATCAATCTTGCTAAAAGTGGACAACATGTTTCCAAACAAGGATTAGTATTCACTTCAATAAGCCAAGGTTTCATATCTTAATCAATCATATAATCTAATCCAAATAATTCAAAAGTATAAAAATTTAGATTTGGATCTAAATGTTGATATGTGGCTTTTACAATGTCTGTACTTAATTTTTTAAGTTAATCAATTATAATTGAAAAATTGTAATTATAATTATCTTATAAGTATTTTTAAAACTCATTAAAAGATACCTAATTAATTATTATTTACTTACTTTATTGCCTGTTTCATATTTTCCATAATTTTAATTCTTTTTTTATACAGCATCATTTGTTAAATGAGTAAATTTGTCTTCTACATCATCCAATGAGAACTCTTTACAACTTGTTCTAATATATCCTTCTTGATACCAATAGGCTTTGAATTTATTATTGATACTTGTCATCAATATATAACATCTAATATCAAACTTTCTTTTATTATAGAGAAGAGGCTTCTCCATATATTTTTAAACAATAAATGTTTTTTTCATTCCATTATGATGATTAGAAGATTGAGATATAATTGATTTAACTTTTTAAATTGAATTTGCAACTTAAATACCATTCCCTCTATTAGATGATTCTCCTGGTTTTACTATCCATAGATTTACATTTTATGTTTAAGCATATTATTCAAATTCTAAATAAGCAGGATCATTAGAACCTGTTTAAATATGATAAGTAAGAGGAATAAATTAAAAGGGATCCTCATTTCGAGAAATATAATAATTTTTCATATTATAAAAGAGTGCTTTTTTATTGCATACTTAAAAATTACATTCTAAATGATTATGAACTTTTAAACTTACACTCTAATTAAATATTGAATATTCTGAGTCTTCAATTTTATATTTTAATTTATCATTTACTTATTTCTTTTACAATTTACTAAATGATACCATTTCTAATTGTTATTTTTATAATTATTCATAATGTGCTTATTTTCTTAATTATGTCCAATAAAAATTCATATCTTCACTAGGTTAATCTATCAATATCCACCATGGTCTTTATTTTAAACTTTATCTGATCAAAATTCCATTATTACCTTTAGTCACAAAAGCCTTATAGATTGCTCTATCTGGAGGTTAAACACTTAAATTATTTGATAATGCGATAAGAATTGGAAATTCATTTTATTCAAATATTATATTACTATCTTCATTTTTAGAAGTTATTGCTCTTTTAATTGAAAATTATTTTTAAGGAATCAATCTAATATCTTTCTTGCTTCTTTCTTAAGAATGTGATTCAGTAGGTGTATCAATAAAACTTTTTTTTACAAATAGTTTCATCTCACTTGCTTTTCTGGTTTAAACTTCTATTCTTGGAGGATAGGAAATAACAGTTGGTAATAATTAAGGAGTACATTAAGAACAGGTTTTCAATTATTGTTGTTATTCTTATTATTTATTAATGAGTTCCACAAATTGTTAAAAACCTTTGAGTTTTATAGCATTCACTTTTGGTTGATGTTATCTAATAGGTTATTAAAAGGCAACATCTTGAAATTTCTAATTGCCCTTTATATACAAAAATTCCAAATCAGGTTTCAGCATAAAATTATAAATATAATAATAATTATCAGTTCTATAATAATTATACTAAATAAACATAATATCATAATTTATTTAAAAAAGTATTTCTTTGCACCATTCTATAACCTTATCAAATTATTAATTGCTTCATTGATCTATATATTTATAGTTGTTTTATATAATAATATTGAATCTCCCTCTTTTTGTCCAATTAACGTTTATACTATTATTCAGAATAGATTTTTATTTATTATAATACTAATATACCTTATCTATTATTCCTTTTGTAGAGATCAGTCAAATTTCTTTTTTCTTCATCTTAATCAACTCTTTATCTCAATAATTATTTTCACTTAATTTTTTTAATTCCTTGAAATCATATAAATCTTGGTCATAAATCTACTATTATTGTATTAGATTATAATGTTATTAATTATTTTCCATAATAAATTTTTTGTATCTTAAAAATCTATAAATTCCACTTAGAGGTAAAGTTGGGCTATGTTTAATTGTTAAAAGGATTAAGGTTATTTTGGTTGTTATTAGGAAATTCCAGAAGGCAATCACACTAAATCTTATTACAATTCTACTTATTTACTTTTTTATAGATTTACCTTTGGGTATTGATTGAAAAATACAATAAATTTATAATAAATAACCATTTTTTATTAAAAATCAAAAATATGAGGATAAGATAATTTTAGTAAGCAGAATAAAAGTAATTTGGAGATCCAATCATAGAAGATTATTTCTATAGACAAAATTATGAAGATTAATAATAATGTTATTATTGAAAGGGGTTGATAATGATGTTAATATGGAGATTATTGATTAAAATGATATGGTTAAAGTAATGGTTATCCATGTGATTGGTTGAAATCTCTTGGTAAGGAATCATATAATATTTGTTAATATGCAAGATTTATTGATTATATTTTGTAAATATTTAAAATTCTATTGATTATCTATGATTAAATGATGATGTATTCCTAATGGTTCATATTGTATATATTAAGTTGAGGCTTTTAAACACATAATAAAACTAGTTATTATTTTAAAATTGAATTAGAAATGTATCTAATTATTATTTATATCTTCTTGTCAATTTATATAGGCAAAAACAACATTGATAGTTCTAACTATATTTGAATATCAATTATATAATGATATATTACTCTTTTCATCCAATATTAAGATGGCTATTATGGAAATGACAATTATCACTGATTAAAATATTCTAAAGGGATTATGATTTTTAAGTTATCTATGTATATTAGCATATAAAGAATTTGTGTGATATTTTTGAAATTTATTTAATCAATAATTCCCTATTTTTATTAAAGTATCTATTCTTGTTAATAAATCTTTCTTCATCTTCTTCAACTTCTTCTACCTTGTCACTCATTTAATAAAGATAATTATAAAATTTAAAAAAATAATAATAAAAATTTATAATATTTCATTTATAATAATTTCTTAGTAATGCATTTAATGGTCTATCAGATTCAAAATATTTAGTATATTTAGAACTTGAATCAGATGGATAAAGTCTTTTCCAACCTCTACTTCTTTTCAATTCTTCTTCTGTCTCTTTTATGATATATTTTTCAAATTCTTATTGATGTTTCTTAAAATCATAATTGCTTTAATTTCTAACATACGATAAATCTTATGAAAATCTTTAGTCCTTTAATCATAATGAAGATTACTAATGGTACTATTCCTATTAGAGTGAATAGATCTGCTAACATTTCTCCTTTTATTTTGAGATCTAAAGGAGCATCAATATTGAGTGAAGGTGAAAAATTGACTTCTAAAAGCCAAGGTTTCAAAAGGGAATCCACTAATACATCAAATCCAAATAAGGAAAAACAATTAGATCTAAATGGTACATTCATTTCACATGCCTAAAATATTGCACTTTCTACACTAATGATTGTCTTAATTATTAAATCTTCAATTCTTTCAAATATTTATTACTAAATAACTATAATTAAATACTTCATTTATTTTGTTTAATTTTAAATATTCTCTTAAAGCCAATAAACTCCATTTACTACCTAAATAATCTAAAGTGGGATCTTAATTTGCTACAAAATTAGGAGAATCCTTATTTACAGAATAATTAGTCAAATGTACAAACCTATTCTATTTTACAGAATCAGAATTATATGCTTCAGTAGCAAATCTTGCCAATCCATCTTAATAAATATATATTCTCAATGGATTTATACAACTTATAGCTACATATATTCTTAAATCAAATTTTAGATTATTTATTAATAATGGTTTATCAATATAATGTGAAACAACATATGAATTATTAGAATTCTATTTATTTAATATCTTAAAATAATAATAATATTAATTTACATCTTGTATCTTATCAGTAATAAAGATACCTTTTCCTTAAGAACTAGCATGTGGTTTACATATATATACAGGATTATTATTCTTAATTTTCTCATGTTCTTCTAAAAAATAACTCATCTCTGCTGGTAATATGTATGTTTTTGGGATAAAATTAAAATTAATAAATCCATGATTTATTTACATTTTAGAAATGTTACGATGCATTAAATCTTTACGAGTCATTTCATATGATTTTGGAAAATGACATACCTTTTAATAAGCAAATAAATTTGTATAAATTTCTGATTTTATTGCACATGATGACCAATACAAAGTCCAATTTTTATCATTACTTTCTTTAAAACCATTCTCTTCTAATAATCCTTTAACTAATTTAATTGGACTACTTCCAAATTTATAATAATAACCAACATCCTTTTTATTAAAATTCATACATTTATTATAATATCAGTGCTTCCAGAATATGGTTTAAAAGTTAAATATCTGGTCATTGGAATTTAAAATGAATTAGTATCTTTGATTTATTATTTCGGTTGTTATTATCTATTTAAACTTGCTGCCTTTCTTTTGAATTTATCTTAATTATTATTATAAGTGTTTGGTATTGCACTTAACACATTTAATTATTACTGAATTAGTTTATTATCAATTTACTTTTATTTGAGGAAGCATAACATTTCCAATACTTGGTTTAGGTCTTTAATATTATTAAGCTAATTTACTAATTATTCAAAAACTTTACATTATTATTCTTAATTACTATTTGGACGATAGTGTTTGTTTAATAGACTAATAATGTCATCAATTGAATCACTAGGAGAATTCATCAAAACTTTTTAAACTGTTTTTATTATTATTTTTATACAAAATATTTTCTATAAATTTTGAAGACTATATATATATTAAATAATAGATTCATATTTTCAATCAATAATAATTAGTAATTTAAGTTATTTATTTAGATAAATTAAACTATATTATTAGATATACTGAATTTCATTTATAAAATTGAGAAATAGTATTCAAACATAAAATTTTTAATTATTTTTATATCATTTTGCAGTGCATTTTGTTTTACAATCTTTTAAACCACAATCACAATAAAAATTTTTGGCCACCTAATAAAATTTTAGTTTATGTTATTTATGACATTTCTTAGCACAAGGATAGCAAACTCCTGGAATAGCACCATCATGTGTTTATTGATATTTCTCTATATCAAAACAATCATAACATAAATACATTGATTATTATACCCTTTTAAATTTTGTAGTTTGTCTTGTACATAAGCTACTTTTGTGATTATATTTACCACAATCACAATAAAAGGATTTTGATTTTTTTAATATCAATTCATGTCCTTAATGACATGTAATACCACAAGCCCTACAAGCTCCAAATACTGAATCCTATCCCCAACATGTAATACATTCAAAAAAATCTTATTCCATATATTTATCACCATATGTATCATAAGTACATTAACTTTTTCCATATACCAATTAAATACCTTTAATATCTCCTTCACTTAATTATTTTCTTTAACCAAATTATAAATTATTAAATTAACCTTTAGAAGTCATATTTCTATTTAAAGAATAATGCATAATAGAATCAGGATCATATTCACCAATCATAAATCCTTTCTTCTCATATTAATATTTTAAATTTTTAGAATCTTTTTCTTCAAACTATACTGACACATAATTATCTCTATCTTATCTACATCATTCATGTTCAAAACCTAAAACATGCATAGTTTCATGAAGATATGTCCCATAAGGAAATTTATCATTTATGAATATAGCATGCTCTTTTTATGTTAATGATCTACCAATCCAACGAACATAACTTGAAACTTTTTCATTTCTATAATATTTAACATATTGATTATATTATTGATCATCGCTTATTTATACAAATTGAATAGGTGTTTTCTCTTAAAATTCTGAGATTGCTAATTTTAAAGTTTATCTCATCTGAAATGTAAAAGATTCATCAATAATATATGGTATTATACCATTAGGCCAAACCCAATCAGCTAATTTTAAATTTTATTTTGTTTAATTTTAGTGTTATTGAATTTATTTTATTGGTTCTTGTTATTTTTTTGTTTATTAGATTGATTATGATTAATTTGAACTTTGAATTTCATTAGATTACTTTTGAGGTTTAGTCTGCCTAGAATATTAATTGTCAAAATTATCTAGATAATCCTAAACAGCTATGCACTTTTAATAAGATTGAACAGTAACTCTAATTTCATTTGAAGAAGAACTACCCATTTCTATTAATAATATTGTATTTTTATTAAAATTTAAAATGATTAATAATGAAAAAAAATTCTATTTAGTTAATTATAAAAAGTATTCTAATGAAATTATTAAATTATTATTGTAATTTAATTATAATTATTAAGTAATAAATATATTCATTTATAAATCTACTCTCATTATATTTTATATTCTAGAAATAATATTTAGTTGTATATTTATAGCATAAATATTTAGAGTATATAAAATTGAATTTTTTTTTATATAAAAAAGAATAACTTTAAAGTACAAATATAATTTTGATTTATATTTTACGGTTATTATAGAATGCATAAGAGAATCTCTTTACTTAATTATTAATTATTTATATTTATAATTATTGTATTTAAGATGGATGAAATAATGAAATTACAGAAGAAAAACAAACAATAAAATCAAGAGTTGAATTTATTATGGCAAAAATTAATGGAATTGCAATTCTTATTTGTAAAATTATAATAATTCATTTAGTAATAAAGAAATAATTGTTCAAAGCAAAGTAAAGAAAATAGATTTACGTTTTAAGTGTTTTTAAGTATTTTTCCATTTCTGTATTTGCATGATGTTTTGAAATTAAGACTTTTGAATAGCTATATGAAAGAAATAATAACAAATTATTTACTATATTATCGGTTTTAGCAATTGAATATAATTTCATTATTAGATATTGAAATTTAATAAGAGAAAGAGAAACTGCCAATATTATATTATTAAATTTTAGAGAAATTGATAAAAAAATCATCAATATATGCTTAAGATCTAATTAAGTTAAATAATAGAGGAATAAAATAGGTGCCAACTTATAATCCTTTATTAGTTATGCAAGTTGCATAATGTGAGGGTATAGAACTCTATAAAATAATACCAGAAGAATTAATTTAAATGAAAAATTATCTAATATTTCTTGATTTTAGTAAATATACAGATTAGAAAAAAATAAAATTATTAGAATTTTATGAAGAGAAATTACTATCAGCAGATTAAATGGAATAATAAATGAATTATAATGATAGATCAGAACTCATTTTTTGGAGATTGGCTAAAATGTGGTTGAAATAGACATACTATAAAAGCACATATAATTAATTTAGATTAATCATGATACTTATAAAAAAGAAAGAGAAATTAAAATAATTGGTTAGATAATTGAAATAGCTGAAGAAGAAGAAGGAAAAGAAAAGAGAATAGCCTGAATGATTTTATTGATATTTTACTTTACAATATTCTTAACTATTGATATTTATTATTATCAATTTGTTTAATTTTTTAGAGTATTTATTGATGAAAGTGTTTAATCTATATATCTATAACAATATTTTTAGGTTTTTCATCTTGTATAAGTTTAAATTTAATATGATTTTATGAAATACATAGGTTTTCATCATCTTTGATTCTTTTTCAAAAAGATCTACTCCAAAATAAATTGTTGTTTTATAAATAAGGAAATATACTGTGCATAGAGAAATTATATATTTAAAATTTACAAAGAGTGTTTCATTCAATTCTTTAGAATGATGAAATTCTAAATTTAAATATATTAGATTTAATTCTATCTTTTATGAAATATATTATTAGTTTATAAATCTAATAATAATACAAGTTTTTATAATGTGATGGTTTCTTAAATATAATAAAAATAATAAAATTCTGATTAACAAAATATTAATGTATGGAGTATTAATGATAAATAAGATTATTTTTAATCATTATTCAATTAATAAATATGTTAAAATCATAGAAAACAGGTTCTTAGTTAAATATTAAAAGTATAATGATCCCTTTGATAATCTAATCAAATTCATATAATCCAGATTATTCTTTATTAAATAAACTATCACACAAAATGAAACGAAAATCATCATAGAGTTTAAAGTGACACAATAAAATTATGACCATAAAGAGTATTTTTAGTAGTTAAGGATGCTAAGAAACAACTTGTCTCTTAATAAAATCCTAGGAATGAGAAAAAAATAAAATGTAGAATGTAGACATCAGAATGCTAATATAGAGGATTAGATTTTACTTTTGCCTAGAATTTCTCAAATAAATAGATAATTTTAAAAGAATTCTGAACTACTTAGAAAAAGATTCTTTGTTTGATTTAGTATCAATTATTTATTTATATCATTGTATCCTTAAACGAGGTAACAACTTCCAGAACATTATTTTAGAATAGGGATCTTCCAAAAATTTGGATGGATCTTTAATATCAAGTAAGATCAATTCTTTATCAGTAATTTTAATTTTTGCATCAACAATCACTTTTGTATTTTTGGTACTTTTAGATGTAGCTATAAAATAACCATCTCTAGTNTATATATCTATAACAATATTTTTAGGTTTTTCATCTTGTATAAGTTTAAATTTAATATGATTTTATGAAATACATAGGTTTTCATCATCTTTGATTCTTTTTCAAAAAGATCTACTCCAAAATAAATTGTTGTTTTATAAATAAGGAAATATACTGTGCATAGAGAAATTATATATTTAAAATTTACAAAGAGTGTTTCATTCAATTCTTTAGAATGATGAAATTCTAAATTTAAATATATTAGATTTAATTCTATCTTTTATGAAATATATTATTAGTTTATAAATCTAATAATAATACAAGTTTTTATAATGTGATGGTTTCTTAAATATAATAAAAATAATAAAATTCTGATTAACAAAATATTAATGTATGGAGTATTAATGATAAATAAGATTATTTTTAATCATTATTCAATTAATAAATATGTTAAAATCATAGAAAACAGGTTCTTAGTTAAATATTAAAAGTATAATGATCCCTTTGATAATCTAATCAAATTCATATAATCCAGATTATTCTTTATTAAATAAACTATCACACAAAATGAAACGAAAATCATCATAGAGTTTAAAGTGACACAATAAAATTATGACCATAAAGAGTATTTTTAGTAGTTAAGGATGCTAAGAAACAACTTGTCTCTTAATAAAATCCTAGGAATGAGAAAAAAATAAAATGTAGAATGTAGACATCAGAATGCTAATATAGAGGATTAGATTTTACTTTTGCCTAGAATTTCTCAAATAAATAGATAATTTTAAAAGAATTCTGAACTACTTAGAAAAAGATTCTTTGTTTGATTTAGTATCAATTATTTATTTATATCATTGTATCCTTAAACGAGGTAACAACTTCCAGAACATTATTTTAGAATAGGGATCTTCCAAAAATTTGGATGGATCTTTAATATCAAGTAAGATCAATTCTTTATCAGTAATTTTAATTTTTGCATCAACAATCACTTTTGTATTTTTGGTACTTTTAGATGTAGCTATAAAATAACCATCTCTAGTTTATAATTGATTTTAAAATAGACTAAGAGTTAAGGTAATTGAATTATCTAATTTATATTTGATGCATTCTTCTTTAAAATTTTCATCTGTGAATTCATCTTAATAAATGAAACATTCAGGATTGACTCCTGCATAATAATAAGAATCTTTGCGTATGAATAATAAACCATTTTTAGTATAAGGGAAGAGAGTTTTTTATAATTCAGTAATTGATGGGATAACAGGAATCCATTCAAAATTATAATCCTATTATTCTTAATCTTAACGTAATTGACTAAGAATGTGTCCTTTAATCCAAAAATATCTAAGTTCTGCAACTTAATCACTCATATCCATTTTACCCCATTATAAAATGTCATAAATATAAACTGTATTTGCACTTAGAAAACAATCTAAAATACATCTACCTATTAAAGTCTTTTAACTTCCTATTAAATTGATTATTTTAACTAATACCTCCAGGAAGTGATGATGAAAATTTATATTTTAGACCATTGATAGTTTTTAATACTGTGACACCTTGATGACTGCTAACAATACATCTTTATCCAACAGGTAGAATACGAATAAAGTAGTCATTTATACAAATGGAATCCCCATTATAATATTCAAAACTTTAAAAATTCTTGCAAAATTTTCGCAGGTTTTATTATTCTAGTTTTAAAGGGGGTTCTTCAAGTTTAAGTTTATTGAATTCTATCTCTATTTCCTCTGTTTATTACTTTTCTTCTTCTTTTAGCCAGAACCTTTTTTGATTAAAGATAGCAAGACGACTCATTTTACGAATATTATCACTTTCTCTCTCCACTATTAATTAATTCATTTTCATTTTATTAATATAAATTATCAAATAATTGATTCTTATATTTAATATAATTCCTTTTAAAATGTTAATATATATATATATATTATTGTATAATTCTGTAAAATTATCAGTTCAATAATATGGCATGTACATAATCATAATCTTCATTCTCCAATATTCCTAATAATGAATGTAAAGTATGAATTGGATCAGGCATACTTTATGGATATTTACTAAATCCACCATAATTAGATTAACAATGTTACAAGAATTCCATCAATCTTTCCTTATCTAATAAATCAAGACCTAACAATCTTAAATTCCATCCTATCCAAAATGAATAACAAGAATCAGGAATCTTATTAATTCTACCAGCCATACCACCAGTCATCTTACATTATCTCATAACTAACCATTCTATCAAACTACTTTTATTAGGTATTTCTAATTTTAATATAATCAAACTAGAAACTGCACAATAGGATGCACCACAATGAGATTCCAAATTTGGTCTCAATCCAAATGCTCCATCTTAATTCTAACATGTTAGTATGAATTTTCCTACAGTTTACTAAAATTCACTTGTATCTATTTCTAACAAATCTAAATATGCCAAAGCACTATAGACCATTCTTAAATCTGCATCATTAGAACTAACAGATGAACGAATATTTCCATCCTCTTAAATAAGTGATCGAACATAATTCAAAGCTGATTCTTTATTAACCTCAATTTTTTGTTTAATCTACTTCAATACAGATATTGCACAATATGAATTAACTATTGATGGTTCTGAATCATCAAATGTTGAAGCTCTATATTAATGTGGTTACACTTCTAAATGTTTCAAGAATTCTACTATTGGTTCACATTAGTATTCTGATTTCAATAATTTAAGAGTTGTAACACAACAATATAAAATTAATGCCTTCAAAGAATCCATTTTGCATGGGAGTTTCTATTAATAAAGGGTCTTTTTGATGAATTCTTCATGTTTCTCAATTGTTAACTATTATTACATTATAAATTATTATTAAAATGGAAAGCAAACTATAAAATTTTGAGATCCTCAATAAATTAGGTATCATTTAATTCATTAAAATATTTCTAGGTTCTGGAGCTTACTCATCTGTTTACAAAGTATAACGAAAGTCTGATGGAAATATTTATGCTTTAAAGAAAGTAAATTGATGTTATGAAATATAATAAAGGTTAAATTAGTAGATATTGGAGATAGAGAAAAATAGAATGCTCTTAATGAGGTCCGTTTTATAGCATCAATCCACCATGAAAATGTTGTTTCTTATAAGGAATGTTTTATTGAAGATAATAATCTATGGTATAATTAATCGTTGTAATCTAAGTATTATCATGGAGTACGCAGAAGGAGGAGATTTATTGTAAAAGATTTAGAGGTTTGTAAAAAAATAATAAATGATTCCTGAATAAGAGATATGGCAAGTTGCAATTTAAGTTTTATAGGGATTAAGAGCATTACATCATAAAAAAATACTGCATAGAGATTTGAAATGTGCAAATATATTCCTATATGAAAATGACTAAGTCAAGCTTGGAGACTTCAATGTTTCCAAACTAGCCAAAAATGGTTTAGTCTATACTCAAACTGGCACACCTTATTATGCAAGTCCAGAGGTTTGGTAAGATAAACCATATGATCACAAAGCAGATATTTGGTCCTTAGGATGTGTAATATATGAGGCTTGTGCTCTTAAACCGTATTTATGATTCAACTATTAGATTAGACCATTTAGAGCCAAAGATATGGATGGACTTTATAAATCTGTTCTAAGAGGTTAATATTAACCTATACCTGTAATTTATTCTTAAGAGTTGGTTTAATTAATTAAAACTATGATGCAAGTACATCCTCAAAATAGACCAGATTGTGGTATTGAATTTAAGATATAATATTTAGATAAGTTACTCTAATATTAATATGTGCAAAAGAAAGCCAAATAATATGGTATTCCTTTGATCTCAGAAGATATAGAGGATGATTTATTAAAGACAATCAAGTGGCCAATCACTAGGAAAGGATTATAAGCAAATAAATCAGAACTTATTAATCTAAATTTTTAATTACCTGGTAGCAATTACTTGAATCAACATAATTCAAATCACATAAGAAGAAATTAATAATCTAATAGAATCAAATCTTAAGATACAAATGATTCCATATCTCTAAATTAACCTAATGAAGCTTTGCATCAATTAATGAAGCAAATTACTTAACTTGAATAGAAGGATATTGAAAAGAGTCCTAATGTGAAATAGAATTTAAACAAATCTACTTCAAAATAGACAATTTAAGATAATATTTTGCCTCCAGATAGAAGATTGAGGGTATCAAATTCTACTCATGAAAAACATGAGAAGTATGAATCTGTCTAACCGTAATAATTGATATATTATTAAAAGTAAATGTATCTCAAAGGATCGAATAGAACATCAAATTCAAATAAACTCTAATTATTATGCTAAAGATGTTATTTAATCCCTCAATAAATAACACTATTCATAGAAGTTACCAATCATCTCTGGAACTTAAAGATAAGATGAGGAATAATATGTATTAAGAAAGAATTCATCCAATGAAAGAAATCCAAGTAATCATATAAAGAGATCAAAGAATGATTCATTAAAAAAGGATTTGTCAATGTAACCTAGTGCAGAAAGACCTACTGTATTAATGAAAATAATAGAAGAACATCAATAACTACCTAAAATAAAGAAAAAGTAGTGATATATAATTAAATAATCACACTATTATAATTTTCCATATTTTAAATTATTAATAATATGTTTCAGAAATATTTAAAAATTTAAGCATTCCATCCATCAACAATGACACCTAATCCATTATTTCTCATATCATCTCCATTTCTTACATAAGTTTATCCACTCATCAATTCAGTAATAGTTTATTATCCACTTGAGGCATCACTTAATTTGACAAGTCCATATCCAGATCCTTCTGAGAAATTAATAATAACAACTATTTTATCTGTTGCATTAGTCCACTATTAAATAATTTTAATTTTATTACTCTAAAAGCAAAGAATTTCCAATATTAATCTCCACTTACATTTAATTATGTCCAATTTCCTGATTTAAATACATCTTTTTTTAATATTGTCAAGATCTTTCCATAAAACTACTTAACATAAGTTGAACCATTCTCTTTATAACTTCTTCTTAAATGAACATCTAATTTATTAGACAATCCTTCCAATTAACCATGATTAATAAATCTTGCTCCTGGAATTGAGTAACTCATTAATGCAGCTACACAAGAAATGTAATCTTTGCCACTAAACTTTTTTATAGCTCTTGGTTCATCATGATTTTCAACAAAATGATTTGAATGAGATGCATACTATTCTTAAAATAAATTAAATACATTTAAATTCAAATTAGATAAAATGGGTCTAACCTTTCCTACATCTAAAGTAGCTTATTGATCCAATAACCATTTTTCATATACATAATCAAATCCTAAATTTATTAGATCCTATTCTTTTCCCCAATATACTTCAGCCAAGAAAATTACATTTGGATATTATTATTTGGTTTCCTTTATAGCTTCAGACCAAAATTCAGTTGATGGTTTTTTATAACCCCAAGCATCTAATTAAGGTTTCCACTTGTTGTAAAAGAGATCATTTAATATAACCATAGCCATATCACATCTCATACCATCTGACATAGAAGCTATCTTCTTTACTACAGATTTAAGATAGTTTCTAGTATCTTAATTCCAATAATTCCATTAAGCAGTGTCTTTCCAAAATCCATCCCATTAATCGCCACCATAACTAACACCATCAGGTAAATAGTATTCAGAGTCATAAGGCTTTGGTGTATTAGGAGGGGCTCTAATATAATAATCAATATGTGATGTTCTATATGGACTATCAATTGCAGAATGATTAGGAACAAAATCTAGCATGAGTTTTAATCCCATATCATTAAGTTTCTTTCTCAGATTTATAATGTCTTAGTCTGTACCTAGTTCTGAATTACAAACAAATTCAGTAATGGCATAAGGGGAACCTATGACATCATCAATAGTAAAGTCAGGTAAATTAGACTTATAATCATTTGCATGAGCCTTATCAAAGTCTAATCCATATTTTCCAAGTTACCAAATACCTAAATTAACATTAACACTCACCCATTAGCCAAACATAATCAACACCAATATTTTTAAGATTCTAAAATTCTTCCATTGGAATATCATTTAATTTACTAATCTTTTTTCCATATTTATTTGTTAATTCATAAAGCCAAGGTCTCAAAGATAATTCATAAATTGTAGGATTGTAAGCATTCACCAAAACATTCATTAATAAAAATCCGATGACGAATTTATACATCATATTAATTAATAAAAATCAATTTTTTGCTTTATTAATTTATTCATAATTCTATAATTGTTGAATAAATGAAATGATTATAATATTTTAATTTATAGTTTTAGATTATAAATTAATATAAATCTAGGGGTAGCATACAAAAAGATATACTATAATAATCTGATAATTAAGATTGAGTATATATAATAATAAAATGAATGAGAGTTAAAAGGATTTGTAACATAAACTATTTGTTTTAGAATATCCATAAAATGAGTTCTTTATGATCTAAGATTAAAATGTGAGAATAACAAAAAAGAGTTTCAGTTGTTAAATGGTCTCTGGCATATCTGATGACTTACCTAAACAAATTCAAAAGTTCTATAAGAAAAGACACTTCTTATTTAAAAAGTTTAATGAGGGAATACTTTTAGATGAAGAATCTTGGTACTCTGTAATACCTGAGGTTTGAAGTTCACTATCATTTTAAGGTTATGAGTTCTCATATTACAAATAAATTAAAAATCAGTTCTCCTGAATCAGATATAGTAGACGGTTTCTGTGGTTCAGGAGGATTAGCTATTCAATTAGCCTAATTATTTAAGACAGTTATTTGCATAGATATCGATCCTATGTATATTAATTGTACTATTTAATCAGAAAGATAAATAATATCACAAAAAACTTAGAAGTGTATCAATCTATTGCTAGAGTTATTTAAATGAACTTTCTAGAGTATTCTCACAATAACCAAGATCTTATTCTTATTATGTGTCCACTTTGGTATTAGTTGATCTGATTCCATAGGGGTGGACTCAATTACTTGCATCAACCATTTGATTTAAACAGCATGAAACCTCCATTATAAGAGTTACTAACAAAAGGTTTGTAAATGACAGATAAAATTGTTCTACAATTACCAAAAAATATTGATCTTTTACAATTAGTTAATATATTTAAGAATGTAACAGGTAAACTTAGACTAAAAGTGAAACCCTTAGAAGTTGAAATGATGTTCATAAATGAGTAAATAAATTAATTAATTATTTACTATGGGTTATGAGATATATTTTACATTTCTACTCAATCTCACATTGAGCCTATATATAAATTATGTTGTAACAATCCCCTACATGGTACAATGCTAATTTACTTTCTTTTATAGGATGAAGAATTTCATTTAGATCAAATGCAACATTATCTAGATTCAGATTTTGCTTATTGGAATCCAAAATTGACTACTCCACCTATGCTTTACTTTCTTAATTATCCATTTATTTTATTGCTCTCCAAAATGGGTTTTAGCACACTTATAGCTTGCAGAATAATCAACACGTATATATATATTTAATTATAGTTTTATATATCCAATTATCACATTTTTAGTTTTATCCAAATCGTTTTAAAATAAACAAAAGGCATTATTATTTTCAATTCTCCCAACTATTTATTTTTATAACTTTTTGTTCTATACCGATACCTTATCAATTACATTATTATCCTTATCTTTTCAATTATTGTAGTCAAAGTATTATTTTATTTCTTCAATTGTAAATTTTTTAATCTTATATATTTCTAGTTTTCATTATGTTCTGTGATGAGTAGATAAACAAATATATTATGGATTGTTTATATCTGTATTAAAGATTATTTGGACTAAAATTAAATCAAGTTATAATTTAAAGATCCCAGATTATGTATTTATTATATATATATTTAACTAAGCTATTACATTTCATCTTAATGCTTTATTCAATATGATTTTGAGTGATTTAAGAACTATAATAAGAAACTACATATATCATATTTGCATTTTAATACTATTTATTGTATTTCTATATAAAAATGGTGGAGTTGTATTAGGAGATAAAGATAATCATTAATTAGTATTTCATGCTGCTTAAATAATGTATTTTATGCCAGTTTTGTTTATTTATTTTCCAATAAATTGGAATACTCTATTCTAATATACTTAATTATCCATAAAGAGATTATTATTATCTAGAAATGCAAAATTCACTTATTTGATTATTTTGATAATATGTTTGGAGATTGTTCATGATTGGACATACATTCATCCTTTTATATTAAGTGATAATCGTCATTATGTATTTTATATTTGGAGAAGAATCCTCTCTAAAGATATATATCGTTATATTTTATGTTTCATTTATGCTTTAATTATTGTAATTTTAAGCAGAATTTTAATTAGTAAATAAGTAATCATAATTATATAGTTCGTAAAGAATAAACTTTCTAATTAATTTTACTATTCATTTTCACAACTTTATCTCTTATATTTAGTCCATTGATTGAACCAAGATATTTTAGCATTCCTTTATTGTTCTTTTATTAACATTGCTAATTTGCAGAATAAACTTTGAAAAAACAAATAACTGTATTTACTTTAATAAATTGCATTATTGTTTATGTATTTTGTGAAGTTAAGTTTTCTTGTGATTTTCCATAATGTAGATTTATGTTTTGATATTTATGATTATTAATTAATATTATCATAAAATATTTAATTATATTTATTTGTATACAAATATACATATATACAAAAATCAAGTTATTAACTCTAAATTATGTAATTTTCCAAATTATTTTGTTTTTTCTTAAACATCATTACTTTATGCTTGAATTAATTATAATAATTACATTTCAAAATATCCTAAAAGTATTAATTTTAACAAACACATTAAAATGATAAACTGACATTCTCTTAGAGAGGACTCTTATTTTATTTTAAATTAGCTAAGATTTCTCCAAATTTCTTTAAAATATCCAACCATAATTAAAGTGAAAATCTATCCTTTTGAATCCAATTGAAGTACATCTTTTAAAGATATTAAGAATAATTGACTAAAATTTAATCATTATTTGTTAAGAGAATCTACTATTATCTAGATGTAACTTAATTAAAGAGAATAGAAAAATCTTTTTCTTTTAAATCAATGTAATTATAATTTAAGATAACTTACATCATTATTTATATTATCTTTTATAAATGTTCATTTGATAGATTAAGTGCCAATGATAATAGATCATTTAAAAATGCATTATCTTATTCATGTATATATTTTTCATAAGTAGTCATTATTTATAAAGTGTGTTTAGCAATAAAACCATCTACAGATGAAACACTTCTAAGTTATCTTTATTTAAGTAAAGTATTTAATATTTCTAAGTGTTTTCTAAGAATTTAGACTAATTCTTTATCTGATTAATATCTTTGAATCTACTCAAAAATATCTTAAATTAAATTCATTATGATTTGAGCATCTGTTTAATCTAAAGTCTTTTTCTCCAATTCTGTAAATATGGTTAATAATAATTAAACTATATTATTAAGGAAATTGATAGAAAAATCTAATTCACTATTTTATTTTAAAAATTTCTATATTTCAATTAAAAATTCTTATAAAATTTCAAGTGATTAATCAACTAAATATTCTAATCCTTATTTAAAACAATCATAATAATTTTCTAAACTTTCTCCTTAATGCAAAAATTCTATAACTAATTTTAATAATGTATAACCACAATATGATGATAATAATTATTTAATTGAATTCTTCTTTATACTTTCAAATTTCTATTTTTAAGTTAATATATTAACTACAGTAGGCCAAAATTATAATAATCTATCAGTATTAACTCTTAAGATTTCTACAGATATAAATATGATTTATGCAAACTTAATATATTCTTTTTTAAAATCAGTAATATTTTAAATAGAATCTAATAAAAGACCTAAAAATTCATTCAATCTTTCTTTGTCTAAAAATTTAGTTTAATTAATTAGATTTGTTAATAAATATGGAGATTTGATACCAATTTAAGATTGCTACTCATCTTATTTTGGTATTTCATTTAATAAATCATCTTCACTTTCTTCATCAGTAGTTTATCTTAAGAACTATGTAAAGAGTTGAATTACTCCTTCATTTGATCCCATTTTCTTTTTAGTAAATTTATTATTTAATTTGATTCTACGTAAAACATTTCTACAATCTTTACTAATATTATCAGTTGCTAATTTATGTCTTTACATAATAGAATTATTGATTAAAGATATAATTGAAGAAAATTATTATGTATATGGTAATAATTATTCAGCAATATAGAAACCAGCATATAATGACATATCATATTAATCATTACTCATTTTCATTACACTAATAAGTATTTATTATGCATTATCTAATTTATCATTGTTAATACAGATATCAATAATTTATTATAAAAATGAAGTCAATTCTTAAACATCTTAAGTTTATGCTATTAATTCTTCTATATTATGAACCATAGCAGTTAATATTAAATCTCCATAATGTTCTTCATCTGTTTAGATTTCAAATTATTCATTCATAGTTTAATATATTTATCTTGCTTCTTATTTTGTAGATAAATATTTATCCCAAACAAATTAACTTAGATCATCTGTTAATGCAAAATCTCTAATACATTTAATTTCATCTTGTTAAATATTATTATAATCAGCAACAAGTACATCATTAGGTAGACTTTCTCCATTATTAATTTTAAGACATGTTTTTTTAAAATCATCTAAAGACATATGTTTGGTTACAGTTTTATTAAAGAGATCAGTATTAAGTAATAATATTGCATAAGTATAAGTATATAAATAATCAGGATGTTTAAAATATGTATTATCTTTATTTTATTCAAAATATCTAATAGTAAATGAATTCAAAACTCTTTCAATCATTTAACTTTCTCCAAATAATAAAAAATTAGAAGTTAAATATCTTAATCCTTCAACTAAACTTAATTATGAATAATCAAATGTATTTACATATTTTTCCATAATAGTAACACATTCTTCTTTATGACATCCTAATATTTCAATCATTAATTTTTCATTAAATAGATTACAATATTTAAGAAAATTAACAACTTATTCATGTGGCATACCTTTAATTGAATTTCTTGTTTCATTTGTAAAATCTTATACAAATGACATTAATTTAGTTGTTTATTATTAACTCTTTTTAGTTAAACTAGCTTTAAATAATTAAACTTATAATTCATAAATTTATTTTTATAATGTTCTACCATCATCACATTATAATCTTTTTGAAACTCTACTTAATTCAAATATCTTATATACAACTTCTTAAAATACTGGTTTCTAAAATGGATTCATATCACATTTCTTAAATATGAATTTTATTTTATCTTTACTACTAAACAATTCCATTAAAAATTTAACAAAAAAATGAGTATCTATTTCACATTATTATGCCATATCAGTAATAGTCATATTTGATAATCTATTTAAATGATTTGATATTCCCTTTAATACTATTTATCCAAATAATGTTCTTGTCTCAAATAAATCATCTCCTAATTTCTCTTGCATATTTAAATTTAACACAAATAACATAGCTTAATTTAAATAATTCCAAATCACTGGATGATCAAATTTCACTAATTATAATAACATTGGTATATAATATTAAACTATAAATTACTATGGCTTCCTTAATTATAAGATAAATATCATTATTGAATATGGGTATTCTATTAGTTTTACAGTTTCATTATTTCTATTTGCAATCTACTATATTACTTCATTCCTTAAATCAAGTAATGCAGCTATTAATAATTCATCATTGCATGTCTAACTCATTCTTTTTAATCCTTAACTCAAAGAGTCTCTTGCCAATTCTCTTATTAATAGATTCGGTACACTTGATTCTATTTATCTATTCATTTTTATTAGATTATTCATTATTGCAACATCTAATTCTGGATGCTCGAATGCATTTCTTATAAACTTTCAATAATAATCTTTATTTCATTACTTTTAGTTTTTTTTCCAACAATAATTGATTCACTGAAGTTATTTTCTATACAGCATCTACCATTTACTCTAACACTTGTTTTCCTTCTAAATAAGTAATTTTAGAATAAAAATTTATTAAAGCTATTGAAACTTGCTCATCAGGGTCTTCATACTTCAAAAGTCCATTTAAAGTGCCTTAAGTAAAGATTTATCCAAAAGACCCTACTGCTAATTGATTAGTCTTCTTGTAATCTCTTATACGAAGCAAAATACTCTAGACTTCGAATTACACGTTGTCCATTTTTAATTAATTTAATCAATAATGCTAAATCACATTCCAAACAATAAATTATTCAATCCACACTTAAAACTTATAACACGTTGATTATCTAATAATAAATTTATATACTCATAATCTCTCATTTATATTCTAACTAAAAATATATATTTCCATCTTAACTTACATTATATATTCAATTAAATCAGTATATTAAAGGATGAATCTTTAAAAGTATAAATCAAAATAAAGATATTTATCTATTCAAAATTATGTTAATTTTAAAAATACTAACTAGAATATGCATCAAAATATATAATATTGTTTATAAAATGATCAAACTCTTAAATTTAAGTTTATAATAAACATTTATTAAATATATTTATTTAATAAAATAAATAACAAGTTTAGTATTGAATTTGAAAAGAATATATTAATATTAAGAAATTAAATATTTTTTACATTGCTTGTTCTTTTGTTTAAACTCAAAGTATAATTAAAATTATTTCATAAAATAAATTATGATTTTATATTCATAAAGAATTAGTTATAGTAGAAAACAATGTTTTCATCAATGTTAATTTCATTTAATAAACTTATCAACAATTATCTTATAATTTGGGTTATTATCAAAGTATGACTGACATATTCAAGAAAAAGATATTACCTTTAGATAATTTAGAAACTGGATTATTTTTAAATTCTCTTGGTAAATAATTAATTTGAATTGCCATTCAAAAATATGTAATTAAAATTAGATTTATTATAATAAGAATATAAACTTAATGTATATTAAGTATATTGTATTTATTCTAAGTAATAAAACTACTTAGCTTTTTAGACCTATTTTACAAATTGTGTTATATTTATAATAATTGCATAAATCTGATTTTTAACTATTTTAGATTTCCCATATATTAATTAATTAATTAATTAAAAAATAATTCTTATTGGTGATTTAAGCTTGAGTAAATTAAAAAGTAGAAGTTTAGCAGTCTTTTTATTTATTATGTATTAATTATGATCCTTCTTGTCAAATTTATCTTGAATTTTTTATTTATCAAAGGATGACTAATTTGCCATAATAATACATATATTACTTTATGAATATAAAAAATTCACTGAAATTCACTGATTATAGTGATTATAACATTTTGGAGAAATCTATCTGAAATGTTTATAATAATGTGATTTAGTTATCATAAAATCATATCAGGATTCTTTTATTTAACACTATGAAATTTCATTAAATACTTATTAATCATTAAATCTTTTTTTTACAACTTAGAATCAAAAATGATTAACCTGAATATTAAACAAGAAAAGAAGCAAAAGTATAAATCTGTAAATTCAGAGGAAAGAATGAAAATAATCAAATATTTTATAGAGGGATCGCTATCAGCATCTTAAGTATAATTTTAATGAATATTATATGATTGCTTAAATCACAGGGCATAACCTTTCTACAATAAAAGCTATTTATCGAATTTATAGAAATGAAGGAAGAATAAATAAAAAAGAAAAAAGAGATAGAGAACTCCATACCTAAAAAAATGTAGCAGTATTTGTAGTAGACGAAGAGTACTTACAACATTCATTATTAATTAGGACAAGATATTTAAAGTTTATTATCAAATAGCACACGAAGAAAGAAATAATTTTAAGAAGTCATGAAAAATTTAGTGAATCCTAAGATGATATAGTCAATATAACTTTATAGAAGGCAGCAAATGAAATAAGAAACAATTTGAACAGTTTATAATCAAAAAAGAATTTTGACTAATCTTTAGAAAGTATTATGAAAAATGGAATAAAAGATAAAGAAATTATCAATATACCCTTTAAAAGTAATTTCTAATTTGACGCCAATTCTTATATTAATGTGAAAACTATTTCAAATTTATTTAAATAAAGTGAAAACTTACCTTTAAAAAAAACCTGTATACAAACACCATAAAAATAATGGATTCAATAAGAATAGTAAATAAATGATCTCAAACGTATTTTTGAGTTATAAGTTTAAGAATATCTAGGAAAATCTCAATTAGATAATTTAAAATGATTTTATATTATTTAATAAATAATTTTTATATTTATAGTAAAATAATCTCCAATGATAAGTAATATATTACTTTTTTTAAATTAATATTATTATGTATGTTCATTATACTAAAACAACTATAAAAATTAATATAGCCTTTTTACCTTATTAGATAATAAATTAATTTAACTGGTATAATCTTAATTTATTACTGTTTTTCATTTTATTAATATATATTATTTATACTAAAATAATGACTATTATTTAAAATAAATGTCATTTAATATTTTATGTAAAATATTCAATAATTTATTCCTCTATTTCATCCTTATTCCTTTATATTTTAATAAACTCTCCCTTATTATAAATAACAATTTGATCTCTTCTATTTTGTAATAAATTTCCTATGCACTATAAACTTAATAATAATTTATACATATTCTAAATTATATTTTTTCATAGACTCTGATATTTTCTTATAGAGAATATCATCATCAGTCTCTAATTTAAAGGAAATTATTATAGCCTCCTTATATATTTCTCTAATTAACCCTAAAATCTTTGGAACTGGCATTAATTCTAATTCTAATTTATCTTAAGCTTATATCTTATGTTATGCCATCATGTCTTTTGGAATGTAATAATCACTGACTGCACTAGCTAAATATACTAGCAAATTCAATTTTAACTCTTTAAATATCTCCATGGCTTTAATAACAAAATACAAGTATTCCATTACAGAAATATAAGATATTTCATAGAGTTTAGTTTTATCAATTTGTTAAAGTTGATTAAGCTTTTCTAATTCTTATCTTAAAGATTTAATATTTGTATAAATACTGATCAGCATTAATTAGCTTTTAAACATTTAAATGTCTAGCAAATGGTCTTAAACACTTATCTCTGTAATAGTAGATGACAACGAAACCTTCCTTTAAGAAATATTCAGCAGATGCAGATCCTCTTAATCCAGATGAGAAGTTTTCAATAGATCTAACAGTATTCTATTCTAAAGGAACTGAGGTTCCCCCTGATGTAAGAAATACTATTTTCTAATTCACATGATTAAGGAGAAAATCCTTCATTTTAGATACCTAATGAAGAATTGGTTCTTTATCAACTTATTGTTCTATAAGATTGATCATAATTAAAAGTTAATGTACTTATGTGTATAATATTTTTTGTATTTATCATTTTTCAACTTTAAGTTCTCCAGAATTGATTTTTCCGATAATTGCCTTAACTGTTTAACCATCAACTGTAGCTCCCAAGGATTATGCAGTTCCTAAGACTTATTTAACAGTTCCGGTGAAGGTTTTAGCTAAAGACTTGTCTTCAATGGCTCTGGCAACTTTAATGACTTATTCAAGTGTCAAATTTCCATTATGTTTAACATTCTTGGTCTTCTTTCTATCTCTTTCATATCCCTATAATATAGATAAATTTGATGTTTTACTCCAATTTCTTTAATAAGTAATGCACTTGATGTTGGAATGACTGTGACATCAGCATTTCTGTTTTAACATCTCAAATTAACCATAACTCTGATACCCTTCCATTTACCACTTTCAGCAATAATCTTATCACCAACTTATTTTGGATTCTGTTTGATAAGCAATAATAATTACAAGACCAAGAGGTCCCAATTTGGGAGCAAGAGTGGAAGCAGGACCACCTTCTCCTCCAAAAACTTTAATGTTGATCAATCTAACTTCATTTGGGTCGACTTTGGGAGGCATTAAAAAAGATTTAAATTTTTTTAATTCTTGATTAAATCTCAATATAAAACACAAGAATCAAGTATTCTTTCTGAAGTTTGTACTAATAATAGATGGAGGCCAGAACTCAACTCTATTTGACTATGTTCCTCCAAACTTCTCTTCAATTTATTCTTTATTCACAGATTAAAATAGTTATTTTACCTAAATAAATAATAATATAAATAATACATCTCCTTTAACAAATATAATTTTTTATTAAGTTATCTCTTCCAAAAATAATTTAGCCATATTCCATGTCACATTTAACATCATAGTTGTATTAAAAATAAACATTCTATACAATCTGGATCTATAGTTATTTTATAAATATGACATCACTTATTTTAATGCCTAGAAATAATACTAAATTATCTTACATTAATTTATAGTCCAATCATACCTTTATAATCAAGATCAATTAATATAACCCAATTTTCAACTCTGCCTGGTACCATCATATCATTTACTACTACTTGTAAGAAATAAGTCAATCCTCTTAAATATTATTCAAGACTCATTTCATTAAAATTAACTTTATATGCATTCAATACAATTATTGGTCTATAAGAATGATCTCTTCCTTAAATATATATTATTCCAGCTTTCTAATCAATATTATTATTAAAAACATACCAGAAATTATTCAACTTGTTAATCAAAAGTTATTGGCAAGGTTTTTATCCATTCTTCATATTATTACATTGTTTAAACTGTTTAATCCTTCTTAAAATTATTAGCTTATAAGAATCTTAAAATTTATGGTCTTGTCCAAATGGGATTTTAGAAAGGTCCTGCTTCTTCAATAAATTTATTTATGGCTGCATTATCTTATTCATCTAGTTCTCCTTCAAATAATCTCCTAATAGTATATTTTCCAATTTTAGTTTTTTTCTCATCAGCAGTTGGTTCATAATTGAGAATTTCTTGATTAGGTTTTATTGAAGGATACTATTAATCCATAATATTATTAATAATTATTAAAATAATTCATTCATTCTAACTAATATAATAAAGAATAGTATTTTCAATAATAAAATAATTAAGTTAGTGTTTGATGTTTTAATCCTAAAAATGAGGACATTATTAAATAAATAAATTAATATCAGACCTTTTATTATCTTGGTACATTTCTGATAAGAAGTTGTTATTATTGATTTTAATATCTACTACTATTTTTCTATTTCCCATAATAATATAACTATTATGTATTGGTGATCAATTCCATTAATTTTTCTCTATTAGAATGCTTCTTTAATAAATCTGATGCTTTTTTCCCTTTTAATGATTATAAATCTTTTTAAGCCTCATTTAATAAGTAATATAAAAATACTCCATTTTCAATGAGGAATTTTATTATTTAATAATTAATGTCAGCTTCTTTCTAATTCAATTCCATTCTAATTGAACATAATTACATTAAAAGATTAAATCCATGTGTTTTATCAACAATCCAATTTATGTCTGCACCATAATGAAGTAAAAGTTCAGCCATTTTGAAACAAATTTTTCTATTTTCAAAAACATTTTTTTCCTTTTGAAATATATAATAATATTTTAAAGTACCTCTTCTAATCGTGCAAAACACATAATAAAAGCAGTTTAATTAAATGTATTAGGTTTGTTGACTTCAGCTCCAGCATCAAGAAGTATTTTTAGGATTTCATAATTTCCTGTCATTGCTGCAATTGATAATGGAGTTTATCCTGAATCCATACTAGCTAAATCAACATCAACTTGTAAATTAGAAAGCAATAATTTAACTATTTCAAGTCTTCCCAAATAACATGCACAAATTAAAGGAGATATTTTCTGATCTACTTCAATCTCATTAAAGGATTCTAAAAAATTAATATTTCCTAATTGAAACTCATTAATAAATACCTTTATTAATGCCAAATTCTTTAAGAGTATCATAATCATTTTAATGAATCATGTGCAGAATTAATTGCTTATTAATATTTAAAACATACTTATTCTGATAAGGTTTTTTCTTCTGCTTAAAACATTAATTACTTAAAATTATATAAAAATATTAATGATTCAATATGTCCATTTGGTAGATGTTAAAATTCTAATATTTAAAAATTTGTATTTCATTATAAAGAGTGATTAATTTTCAACCAAAAATTAATTACTTTTTTATTAATCATTCTCATATAATATTTTTTATTTAAATCAATTGAGAGAATTTAAATTATAATCTGAGTATATTTTGAGAATACATAAATTAGATATATGATTATCTATAATTTATCATATATTATAATATATAATACATATATATTTCAGAAATTCATTATTAAACCTCATTTTTAACTTTTTATAAGTTATTAGCATCAATTTCAGGATATTGAAATGGATTTTATAATTTCAAACCTCTTTAATCTAATTCATTGACTATATCATTAGTTGTTAATTAGAGCTTTTCATCAGGGTCTTTTTCTTTTTTTCTCATTCTATCTTAGATTAATTTTTAAACCATGGAATCTGTCATTTCGATCATCCATTTATCAGTTAGATGAGCTTTAATTTAAGAGCACTCAAACCTATTAATTTATAGCAATTTTAATCATTTGTCTAAAATCCGCTGGCTTCCAAAATTTCTTATATCAGAAATTCAGACATATTTGGTTTTTTTGAGATTGTTTAATAAATCAAATTATCAATGGATCCAGTAAATTGTGTTTTCTTTGATGGTGGGATATCTGATTATTATTAATTCATATAATAATATAATGGAATTTTAAGAAATATTAGATGGTTATTAATTAATATGCAATGAATTATAAGGTTCTTAGAATTATAAAAATGTTATGGAATTGTATAACAGATCTGCAAATTTGTAAGATCTATTTGAAAATGGATTAATAATAGAGGGCATATAATATGATTTTGATTTATCTGGACATATAGATGTAATAATATTGTTAGATTGATTATCTAGGCAACAAAATTAGCATTAGATAGATTTGTATAGAATGTTTTAGATTCAGATGCTGTAGTTTAAGGACATAGAAAAATAACAAGTGCTTTTGCTTCTTTAAAAAAACAATTGGTTTAAAAGGATGAGTAATAAAAAGTGGTGATAATGACAAATTCTTAGGTTATTGCATCTAATCCAATTTCATAATAAAAACACAATAAAGCTAAGTTATTTGACACGTAGTTAAGTAGTGAAAATCTAGATGATGAATTATAAGAGGAAATATTCAATATTACAAAGAGAATGAAAGGAATGGCTGTAGATATTTCAGAATAATTAAAATTTGATAATAAGGTTATTGATAAAATATTGCATAAATAAGATGGAAATAAAAGTAAATTGAAATTTGAAGAAAACAAATTAATCAATTTTATGAAATCAAAAAGTTTAAGTTGTTCTTCACTATTTTTAATGCTTACTACTTCAATATTTTTATTTATATTTGCAATAATTTTCATTAGAATATCATGAATAATTTATAAATTATTAAATTATATCTAACAATTAGATTAATTTTTATTTACATTATTAATAATTTAACGGAATGAATAAAGAAAATGTTTGTCAAGCCTTTAAAACAGTCAAAGTTAGCAATCGTGAATTAGAAACTTTAGTTAATTCACGTGTTAATTAATTGTAGAGATAATTATAGGAAAAAGAGTAAGAAATTGCTTAATTATAATAATATAATCCACCTGCACATTCTCGTTTAATAGAAATTAAATTTGATACTATTTAAACAGAGAATCATTAATTGAGAAATTAAGTTAATTAATATGAATAAATGATTAAAACTATATAGAATAAATGCAATTCATATTAAAATTAATTAGAAACATTAACTAATTTACTTTAAGAAACTTAAAACACATTAGATTTTGAAAGACAAGCTAAATAAGCTTTAGAACTCTAATAATCAAATATTTAATTAGATGCAGAATCAGAAAAATCAGCAATCAAAACATAAATTGATTTATTAAGAAAAGAAAAATATCAATATTAATCTTAATTTTAAGAAATTGAATTATAATTGAAATAATAATAATTGGGTAATATGGAACTTACTTAAGAACTAACTACACTTAGTAATTAATTTTCATTATTATAACTTTCATATTCTAAATTAGAAGAAAAAGCTTATGAATTAGAATCTAAGAATGAAATCTTAGTATCTTAATTAGATGTATATAAAACTTAAAATGAATAATTGAAATCTTAATAGCATCAATCTGATCCTAAAAATGTAGAAAAACAATTTTAATAACATGAAAGGATTACTGAACTTGAAGCTAAATTACGATTATCATATGAGAATACTTCATAATTCCAACAATTATTGAATGAAAAATAAGATCATATAAAGAAATTAGAAAAATAATTATAAAGATAATAAAATTGGAATGAAAATAATAATATATTATAAGATTAATTAGAAAAATCATAATTTGCTTTTGAAGAAATGTAGTTTGAAAATTAGAAGATTGCTAAATATTAATAATAATAAATAGAATAATTAAAAAGATAATTAGAATAATAAAGTAATAATAATGAAGAGTTGATTGAAACAAAATAATAATTATAAAAAGTAAAAATTGAATTTGAAAATTATAAATCAATTTAAGAAAGCAAATTAAATGATGTAAAATATTATATATTAATTAAATAGATTAATTCAAAGTCATAATTAGATTAATAAAATGATTGGCATTTAGAAAAATCTAAATTAGTCAGTTAAATATAACATTTATCAAGTTAAGTTGAAGTTTAATAAAATTAATCTTATGATTAATTGAGAATACAAATTGAAAGTTAAATCTCATTAAAATATGCAACTGAAAAAGTCTAATTGGAAAATTAATTATGGGCTGTTTAAGATTAATTGAATGGAATATAAAATTCTATTGAATTATATGTTACAAAAATCAGTTAATTAAATATTGAAAATGATTAATTAAGAGAATAATTAAATGAAAATTAGAATAATTCAAAATAAATATTAATATTAGAATCATAAATACGTAACTTTTGTGTGGAAATAGAAAAATTAAAGAGTATTCTAATATAAAAAAGTGATCAAATAGAATTTCTGTCATAAAAGAAAAGTTAGACAGAATAATTGGTTAATTATATATAAGAATTAGAAAGAAAAGTGAATCAATTAAGTTAAGACAATTAAAGATTAAATACAATAATTATATAAAGATGCAAAAATTATTGGTGATCAAATTTTTATTATTTTTACTTTCATATATATGTATATAATCATATTTATAATCAATATTATCTTTTCTTAAATCTTAAAAAATATTTAGGCAATGATTTCGTAAATTTTTTGGATTACATATTAGAGTTTTTTTCAACGAGATTAAAGTTAAATTCTTATAGAGTTTAAGCCACTTACACTGTTTAAACTTAGACAGTCTTATATTCAGATGAGTGTCTAATTCTGTTGGTTTTGACTTATGTAATTACAAATTTATGTTACTAAATTAATGGATTAAGGATTTTATCTTAAGGCTTGTAAAGTGATATGGTTCTCAATTCAGTTCTACATCTAGAATCGTTTACTGGACTATTTAATTTACTTAAAGGATTCTATGGAGTAGGTAAGTTAGACTGAGTTAAATTTATTATGATTTTTCTGGCATCAGCTAATGAATTAGATTAAGTTCTTCTTAATAGTTTTTTAATTTCTTTATCATAATCAATTTCATGTAGTGAATCTTCAGTAAATCCCAAATTCAATAATGTTTCTACTGCATTTTTTTCTTTTTAGTTATAATAATTAAACATAATTATTTAATAATAAATCATGATCCAACCTTTTTAATCTACTCTTATATTTATTCAGGTGTTTTTAATGGAATATATGCATCAATTTTTGTATGTTAAGGTAAACGTGACTGTAAAAATGATATCAAATGAATACCCTCTATTCCATTAAATCAATATTAAAGAACTTTTTAATAATAGCTCCAATTTTTCTAGCTTCTTATTTATAATTTACTGAATCCTTATCATTTCTTTTAATATAACTTTGTAATGAATATAACTAATTATAAGATGTAAATTAATACTTGAACTTTAGATAATTTAATTTTCTCACAATTTTTCAAAGCAATCATTAATTCATTGATTTTAATTAATCCAGTATTATCTTTATCTTATCTTTTAAAATGTTCAAGTAAAAACACTTCCATTTTACTTCTTTAAGCTTCTAATAAACCTTTTACTAAATTTTCAAATATAGTTTCTTCCAATACTTTATCACTAGTTTAATATTCCACATCCTTTTATCCAATTATTTCCATTATTTATTTGATTTCATCTTCAGTAAAGAATTATTACTAAATGATAATAATATAAATTGTACTTCTTCTAAAATTTATTGGAATACATTTTAATTAACAGAATGAATTTCATCTTCATCCTTAAGTTTACATTATTCTACTATTTTTTTATAAACATTTCTAAGATCAGTAGATAACATCCATTATGCTTCAAATCTACTTTCTTCTTCTTTTTCTCTTAATTCTTTAAGTGCTTAATTTTAACAATAGATTGAATGTAATATTTCAATTCCAAATGATGAAATGTCTTTAAATTATAGAATTCCTGTTCTTGAAACATCTAATCTATTGAGTGTATCCTCTAATTAATGTTTTCCTAGATGTAAACCCATTAATAAAAATAATTAACCACCTTCTTCATAAGATATTACTCCCATATCATCTTTATCAATTTATCTAAAACATTAATATAGGAGTTCAGTTAACATTTTAATTTCTCTTATTTTTTCTTCTTCTGTGATTGTAAATTAATTTACTAATTCTTAATCATGTTCTAATAATTCTGGTTAAATGACTAAATTCTCCTTTTCTTATTCTGGTTATTTTTCATATAATACTTCATCCATTCTTTTATTAATAATTCTTGTTTATTCAAATTCTGTTCCTAAAAACATTATTCTACATGTTCTATCTTTACGTGCTAATATAGTTTCAATCCATTTCTTAAATTTAAAATTAATTTATTTACTTCCATTTATGATATTCGAATAGTTCGATTAACTAAATGTATAAGTGAATCATTTTCAAATCTAAATGACATAGTTTTTTCAGATGGATCTGTCAAATCTGGTATATAGAAATACACTTTAACTGTTGCAACAGGAATTGGATTTGATGGAGTTGGTAATGAGAAAACTGTCATAAAACTAAAAATTAAAGTTTATGACTTACGTATGTCCTGAAGTAGTTTCTTCAATATAGCTTGTGTAATATAAATATTTCTTTGTCCATTGACTTACGAAATTGTTGATCAAATGAATGCTTCTTTCTAATAAATCTGTCATTAATGTTATTAATTAATTATTTGCAAAAAACAAATTAAATCAATTCAAGAGCAGAGATCATTTATTTACACTATTTCAATTAAACTTTTAGGCATGCTATTTTATGTTTAATATAATTACAATTCATCCATATTTTTATATAATTTGTACATTTTAAGTTAAACCAATATATCTAAATCAGCAGATAATTTTAATTTTGATTAACTCATAATCTTTAATACTTTCGATTCCATTTTAAGTTTAATTTATGATTATTAAGCTTAAAATGCAAGAATCGGAAACATTATCTTATTTTCACTCTTATTATTTTAGTTTCTTTACACTAAATTCTTTAGAGCAACAACTTTAATAAATAATTCTTGTAATCTTTTCTTTTTATCTTTTATTAAATTCTTTTAATTCATCTATAATTTATTAATATATTATACTAATTATTCTTTAAACATATCAGTTTCATTTCTTCTCATCCTATGTTTACAAAAGACATCAGAAATGACTCGTTTACCATCTTTCCTTAACACTTTTGAAGCGATCATAACATTTAAAGCATCATAAACTCTTCTTTTTATATTTTATTCATCTTTAGGCTTGTAACTCAATTTTAATTCATACATTATCTAATTCAACTATTTATCCATCAGAACCTAAATCTTAAATCAATCTTTATGCAACATCCTTATAAGATGTGGATTTCAATTCTAATACTATATCTCTCACTTTTACACTCAAATTACGTAGTCCTTTCATAATATTACTATATACCTTTCTAACTTCTTTGAGGTGTTTAATCTTAATAAAATGCTAAATTTATTGACTTTTTTTCATTCTTCTCAGAATAATATCTTCTTGTTTATTCGCTTCTACGTTTCTGTGGTGTCATTTATGTAGTGTTAATTTAAACAATTTAAAAACCCTATTACTTATTTTGTGATTATTTTATCACAACTTATTTTAATTGGGGAGATTGATTATTTGATGTTTACAAATCAAACATTTTTTATAATGGTTATTGATCAAATGGAAAAATATCATCTCCATGTTGTATGGGTTATGCAATATAATAATCTTGCAAAACCATGTTATTAGGACTAAGGTGAGCACGAAATAAAATAGGACTGTAAGGCTAAAACAGAATCATGTTGGATTGACGAAAGTTTAGAGGAGAGGATTCCAATTCAGAATGAAAATCATTTGGAGTCTAATCAGTCATTATAATAATTAATTAAAATTTCATTCAATTAATTATATTTTTGCGCAATTTGTAATTCACTTTCACTTTTATATTATATATATATATAATAAATAAGAAATACTTATTCAACCATTCTAATATATTTATTTTATTTAAGAATACTTTTTTTATTTTAATCAATAAACTATCTAATTAAATAAAATCAACAATCTTTTTATCTAAAGAATTCTTCAAATATATTTCTTTAATAACTAAATAATATGATTCCAATGTAATCTATTCACATTAAGACAATTTTAATTCAATAAAATATAATTTATCAATACCATTTCCAAATCATACTTTTATAAAATTATCTTAATATTCATTTGATTTAATAATTTGCTCTTCTCTTATTAATTCTATAATTTTCATATGTTTTTAATAAATTACAACTTTAATATTAGGTGAAAATATTTGAAATATTTATTAAAAAAATTAAAACTTACAATGAAAAATCAATAACAATAATCATCTGGCAATACTAATGCTGCTTAGATTAGAAAGAAGCTACTTAATAACTAATAAGTTTTATCAGAAAGTTAAAAGAATGAAATCAAAAAAGCTTTTGATTATTTTGATACAGCAGGATCAGGAACAATAGAGGCAACAAATTTAAAAGTAGTATTAAGAGCTTTAGGTTTTGATCCAACTTAAGAAGAAATTGGAAAATTAATTAAAGATCTCGGTAAAGGAGATGTTAAATATGATGCTTAGAGAATTGATTTTTAAGAATTTCTAGAAATTATGATGGTTAAAATGAGTCAAAAAGATTCTCTAGATGATATCAAAAAAGCATTTAATCTTTTTAAAGATAGTAACAATCAAAAAGTATATTAATGAATATTCATTTAGAAAATAATCACATTTGATTCATTAAAGAAAGTAATCTAAGATTTAGATGAAGATATGACTGATTAATAAATTTTATAATTGTTAAAAGGAGCCTAATCAAATACAAATGAATTGAAAGAGATGGATAAAGATGGTAAAAAGGAGAAGAAATAACCTGAAGATGAATACAAGATAGAAGTTTCAGAAGATCAATTTATTAAAATATTAACAAGAGATCTTAATGATGATAAAAAGAAATTATGAAACTAAATTTCATATTTTAACAATCATTCTTCCCTCATATTATCCAACAATCTAATAATTGCAAGATCTGAAATATTATAGTGCTATAGGTCCTATAACAGGTACTTTATTTTTAGAATGTAAACCTAAATATATTAAATATTATAACCTCTGCCCACAATAAACTCTACATCAATATTTATTTTTTTCAATCTTGTTTTATATATTTTTATCTATTCTATCAATTCATCCAATAATTCTTCTACTTCTCCTCCATATATTCCATGTAAATCTATTTTTGTAAATGATTATTCTGCAACAATAAGGGCAACAAATAATTTTATACCTTCATATTCTAATTATTGTATTTTCTCATATTAAGTTTAATAAAAATGATTTAATTTGACTCCCATAGCAACATTACCATATTTCCCTGTATATATATTTATATTCAATACCTGCACATCTATTTACAACTTGAGAATTGTTTCTTAATTCTTTTATTTTTTATCTATTATTAGTAAATAATTATCTAAGTTCATTTGCAGATAGATTTTTATATTTCTCACTTACTGTATATTATTTAAATTGAGTTTGATTGTCCTGTTACACAACTATTTTAGGTCTTTATATAATTTTTGGATAATATTCATCATTGTAATACTTTGTAAGGAAACCTTTACAATAATCATAAGAACCCAATTATTCTAATGCAAATTTAATTTTTGAATAAGAAAAGAAAGGAAATTCTTCACATAATTTTTGTAAAAGAGAAGATGAATCTGATTTTGATTATTATTATTGTTATTATTATTATTATTATTATTATGTCCATGAATTTATATACTTTCTTAGATTCTAAGGATTACCATAATTTGAAATTTTCATTTATTAAGATAAAATATCTTCATTTTTTTTTAATTAAATTTTTTAACCTTCATCTGGAGGAATCAGAATCGGAAATTCATTATAATCATTTTAAATTTAATTCTGCTATTAGTTTATTAATTAATGCATATATGATTGAATGTTATTTATAAATTCAGGTGGTATTTGATTGATATCAACTCCTAGTAGATCGAGATAAATATTATTATTATTATTATTATTATTATTACTATTACTATTATTATTATCTTCATTTTTTGTTTCTTCATAAAATTTATCATATGAATTGAGTACATCTTTTAATTCCGGTTCATCTAACCAAATCATTGAAACTTCAGCTTTTAATGTATTATATTCTTCTGATTTCTCTTCAAAAATAAAGCCTTCATTTAATTATTCACAGTTTTCATAGTTTTCTAATTTCTCAAATTCTTTTATGTACTTTTAGATATCATCATCTTATATATCCACTATATTTTCAAGTACTTCTGGCTCACTTTATAATTCAAGCAACTTTGATACTGTATTTTGAATATTTGCTTTTTCTGATCTATAACATTATTCAATTAATTCTTGATCAAATGAAGGAAACATATCATAAAGGGATTATGGTGGTAATTATTATTGTCTTCTCTTTTTATTTTACCTTGAAGTTGTTTTTGTAGTTATATAATTTAATTCATCTTCTGACATAATAAAATTTATTATAAATAAAGTTCATTTCATAATTGTTTTAATTTTTAATTTTTTTATATACTAAGTAATTCATATCTTAAGTTAATGATTGCAATTCAATCATAATTTTAATTATAATTTAAAAAAAACAAAGTAAATTAATAAAAATTTAGGTAAAATTCATTAAATATTCTATTTTCATGTTAACTAAAGATTTTCATATGGATTCTTTATTCCTTATTATACTTTTTAAATCATCTATTCTCTAAATTAATTTAAAGCTTCTCTGACATCTTTACACTTTTTTATTGCAATTTCTATTTTAATTATCATTTATAATACATTCTAAAAGAGGCATTAAATCTTTCAGAGCTTTGTCTTTTTGTTCTCCTGTCCAACTCTATATATATATTCCATTTTCTGGTTGTAACTAAAAGTTCTCAGGCATATTATCAACAATAATCACTTTATTTAAATTTCTACCAAGAATAGATAAATCCTATTCTTAAAAATATATTCTTACTTTTATATATACATTATCTTTAGGAAATGTATGTTCTCTATATAGTCTGGCTTTCACAATCTATTATTTATCTATTATATCTATAATAAAATTAGCATAATCAGGTTAAGCAGCTGTGAAGATTATTATTTCATAATATTTTGATAATTTCTCTAAAAATTCTTCTGTGTAAGGTCTAACTAAAAATTGTCCTCCACCATTTGGAAACTATTTATTATATTTATTTTTACTTCTTAATAATGAACTAAAGTTTCATCAAGATCTAATACTAATGTATAATTTTTAGTTTGTTTAGATGGTAGTATTGGTTATTTCTTTTTTTCAAGAACATTTAAACTTTTATTATTAATAGTACTCTTTAGATTGTTATCTTTTTATAGCTACTTAGAAATTTGATTTAATATTTTATTTTGTTAAATAAAGTAAGAATCTAAGTTTTATTATTTAAACTCAAGTGATGAATATACATCTGAATGAGTCGTGTCGTCAATACCTAATATTGATTAATTACTTACATCAATTCTAAAATAGATCTTATAATAAAATTATTTTTCTATAAAGTTTATTTTGCTTTATTTTATTGTTTTTTTTATTGCAATTATCTTAATTCTATTCTTTATTTTAATAAAGACTAATTATATAATATTTGATACATGAACTACAGCACAATTCATAGTTTAAATTAAGTAAAAATTACTTTAAGTAATGTATATGATTAAATTTCTTAAATTTTAATCTAAAATCTATTCTCCTTTTGGTTATTCCATTAACATTATCAAAACTGTAAATGATTCTAATAAAAATGTATCTATTATATTTATGTCTATATCATATAGATATTAAGTCTAAACTTAATTATTATTATACATTATTTCTTTCTGATAATTAACTTATACATTAATGTAACTCTATACAATGAGTTACTAATGATGAAAAATTTAATTTTTCTAAATTTTAATATAATTTATTCCATAATAATTCTTTTTAAAGTACCAATTAAATTAATTAATCAGAGATTTCTTCAGTCTTAGCAAAACAATTTAAATCTTATTAAGTTCTTTTAGAAATTGAAGAAATCCCATTATTTTTGATTATTTATGATTCATTCTAATTTTAATATTTTTCTGTTTTTTAAGAAGTTTTCCTTTATAAACTATTATCAATTTTTTGTTTTAATTATTAGATCTAATTTATATAAATAGAAGAATGATAAGTATCTTTGTTTTAATTGTTATTGAATCCATTCTTTTAAGTTATCTAATCATTATTAATTCTTTATTGTTAATATTGTTTTGCCAATTGAGACAAAGTTAACACATTTTATTTACTTTGAGAATCTTACTGTTTATTTTGAAACATATAATATAAATTTTAAAGGTTTTCGTTATTCTAATTTACTTCTCTAGTAGATTAAGGTGCAACTATCTATTATTTGAAGTATGAATCATTTGTCTTAGGTGTTTTAGAGTCTTAATATTAAAATATTCTTACAAGTATTATCTGTTAACTTTATATCCTGTTTCTCTTTTAGACTTTATCCAAAAGGTGATTTAGGAGTAATTTAATCTGTCTATACTAAATTTGAAAGTATTTATTTAATCTTTGAGGCACTTTATTAATTGCGATGACCTGTTCTCTCTTAAGGAGTATGATCTGAGTGTATTAATATATGTAATATACTTCTGTATTCATTTAGATCTTTGAATGAATTCTTGGATTTGTTTGATAACATAGAGTTTTCAAGATTATTAGTTAGATAAGAATTACGTAATTTCTTTTATTCATTTTGACGATAAGAATTCATATTGAATGAGTTACTTTAACAGATTTTAATTAATGAACTTTTTATATTTCTAAATAAACATACTTTCCATTTTTTTAAACACTCTAAACATATCAATTTTTAATCCTTTAAAATTATAATACTATCAAAATATTATGATTAATCTTAATATAGCTGAAACTTGAACAAAGGTCATTTTAAATAAAAATTTAAGGATTCAATTAGAATCATTATTTTTAATGTTTCTCTATTTCCTAATTCATATTACTACTTTAATACTAATCTGTTTCATATTTTAAATTTATCATAATCATTACTATAGTAATTAACCTATTTACTTTAAAATATATATAATATAATATTAATAAAATTTAAATATAGAAAAAAACTAATATTTTTAATTGATTATAATAATTTTTCTATCCTTGTTGAATATTTATAACCTAAAAATTCATTGATGAGAAATCAATAATTAAATTAGATGTAAAATAACTAAATTCAAAGAAGAGGTAAACCCAGCTAATTGTAAGTAATTCAACAAAACAATGACTCATGGCTCTTTAACAACAAATGCAAATAATTTTTTGCCTTACTCTAAGAAGGATAACATATTTTCCCATATTGTTCACGAAAAAAGGAGTCATTGACTTCATCTGAAAATGAAAAGAAGAATTGTATGATGGAATTATCAACTCTTCTTGGAATACCTACAAATATAGATAAATCTATTTTATTATATTTTAAACCAGTACAATAATTAGGATAACCATACAATCAAGAATTAATAGCTAATCTTTAAGCTATATTGATATAATTAAATGCTGAAGAATTACTTAAACTTAGCTACACACTTGATAATTAGTTCATTTAGGAATTGACAACTATATTGCATAATATAGATCAAATAGGCATTTTAGTATAACAAATACTTAATAATTTCCATAACAACTAAGATCCTGCTTCTTATTATTAGATAGTTAAGAATTCTTATTTACACCATGTTAAATCTAATGAGGATTATATGTCATTTCAAAATTTTGTTAATTCTGATGAGGCGGTTTCAGCAGTATTTAATTTTATTGACAGGATTCATCACATCTTAGAACAAAATTGAATAATGAGATTATTTGTCTATCCTTAAATATATTAATTTTTTATATTATTGTTTCTTTTTACTATTAATAGAATTTCATAAATTTGACAATCCAAGATAGAAGATTAAAAAAATTATTTGAAAACTTATTCTCAAAGATGTATCATAAAAAAGTACATTCATAAATATAGAAATGAAGGAAAATTATCATCATTAAAAATATTCCAAATTTATATTGTGAATTTTTTAATAATTATGATAGAAGTTTATTTCTACACTAAAATAGAGTCTTTTTCTTCTTTATTGTTTAACGTAAACAAACATATTTACAATTTTTCAAAATTTATAAAATTAGAGTACTTATGTAATTTATAATTGTTTTTATTTTGAATAACATATTTAGTATTAAAATATATTTAATTTATTAGTTCTATAAATATATTTATTTTAAGTTAATAATAAAAAAATACAATGATCTTTATGTTATAATTTTTTTAAGTCTAAAATTTATATTTGAATACTTTTTTGAAGAGATTATTGGAGAGAATTTTTATGAAGTTTTGAAAATGAGAAAGTAAACTTAAATGGATTATGTAATTAAAATAATAACATTGAAATTTTAAAATATGGGTTTGATGATTATCTAAAATTACGTAATATAAGTTTTGTTTAGATTAATAATATAATGCGTAATATAAAAGGTTTAAATATATAGATATGATCGTCATAAATAAAATCACTAATAATGCAGAAATAAAACATGAAAACACATGAACTTCTTCAGAAATGGGGACTTCATAATACAAATGTATTCAGAAATCCTAGCGTTCCTCTAATTTACTAGCTATCAATGTAATCAACTGAACAAACATCTACTAGACCAGATTCTATAAATAGTACTGGTGCATTAGTGGCATATTCTGGAAAGAAATGTGGGTAAATACATTGTATTAATGATGTAGTCGAGTACCAAAAGATAAAAGAATCATCAAAGATTAAGTAACAGAGTAAGATGTATGGTGGGGTGATGTGAACATACCTTTAAGTAGAGAATCGTATAATGAAGTTGAAAAGATAGCTTTGGAATATTTGGGAAGTAGAGAAAAAGTAATCAATCCTATCAAATATATTTTAGTTGTTTATAATTGACGGATATGCTGGTTGGGATTCTAACCATAGATTAAGAATTAGAGTATTTTGCACTAGACCTTATCATGCCTTGTTTATGAAGAATATGTTAATCAAACCAACTGAAGAGGAGTTGATGAATGACTTTAACGGAGACGTTGATTTTTATATATTCAATGCTGGACCTCAAATAATCCAAAAACCAATTGATGGAGTTACTTCTGAAGGATGTGTAGCTGTGAATCTAACTGAAAGGAAAATGGTAATTCTGGGTACCTAATATGCTGGAGAAATGAAGAAAGGAGTCTTCGGAGTTACACATTACCTATTTCCAAAATAAGGCATCCTTACGTTACATAGTTCAGCAAATGAAGGAGAGAATGGAGATGTTACTTTATTGTTTGGGTTAAGTGGAACAGGCAAAACTACTTTAAGTGCTGATCNTATTTAGTATTAAAATATATTTAATTTATTAGTTCTATAAATATATTTATTTTAAGTTAATAATAAAAAAATACAATGATCTTTATGTTATAATTTTTTTAAGTCTAAAATTTATATTTGAATACTTTTTTGAAGAGATTATTGGAGAGAATTTTTATGAAGTTTTGAAAATGAGAAAGTAAACTTAAATGGATTATGTAATTAAAATAATAACATTGAAATTTTAAAATATGGGTTTGATGATTATCTAAAATTACGTAATATAAGTTTTGTTTAGATTAATAATATAATGCGTAATATAAAAGGTTTAAATATATAGATATGATCGTCATAAATAAAATCACTAATAATGCAGAAATAAAACATGAAAACACATGAACTTCTTCAGAAATGGGGACTTCATAATACAAATGTATTCAGAAATCCTAGCGTTCCTCTAATTTACTAGCTATCAATGTAATCAACTGAACAAACATCTACTAGACCAGATTCTATAAATAGTACTGGTGCATTAGTGGCATATTCTGGAAAGAAATGTGGGTAAATACATTGTATTAATGATGTAGTCGAGTACCAAAAGATAAAAGAATCATCAAAGATTAAGTAACAGAGTAAGATGTATGGTGGGGTGATGTGAACATACCTTTAAGTAGAGAATCGTATAATGAAGTTGAAAAGATAGCTTTGGAATATTTGGGAAGTAGAGAAAAAGTAATCAATCCTATCAAATATATTTTAGTTGTTTATAATTGACGGATATGCTGGTTGGGATTCTAACCATAGATTAAGAATTAGAGTATTTTGCACTAGACCTTATCATGCCTTGTTTATGAAGAATATGTTAATCAAACCAACTGAAGAGGAGTTGATGAATGACTTTAACGGAGACGTTGATTTTTATATATTCAATGCTGGACCTCAAATAATCCAAAAACCAATTGATGGAGTTACTTCTGAAGGATGTGTAGCTGTGAATCTAACTGAAAGGAAAATGGTAATTCTGGGTACCTAATATGCTGGAGAAATGAAGAAAGGAGTCTTCGGAGTTACACATTACCTATTTCCAAAATAAGGCATCCTTACGTTACATAGTTCAGCAAATGAAGGAGAGAATGGAGATGTTACTTTATTGTTTGGGTTAAGTGGAACAGGCAAAACTACTTTAAGTGCTGATCCTAAGAGAAAATTAATAGGAGATGATGAACATGCTTGGTCTGATAATGGAATTTTTAATATTGAAGGTGGTTGTTATGCTAAATGTGTTGATCTATCTAAAGAAAAAGAGCCTGAAATTTTCAATGCAGTTAAATTTGGAGCTGTTTTAGAAAACATTGAATATTTTTCAAATCAAACCAGAGAAGTAGATTACTCAAATATCTCTATTACTGAAAATACAAGAGTGAGTTATCCCTTAGATTTCATTCCAGGTACTAAATTTCCAGCCTAAGGTGGACATCCAAAAAATATATTCTTTTTGACTTGTGATGCTTATGGTGTTTTACCTCCAGTCTCTATGTTGACACCTGAATAAGCTATGTATCATTTTATCTCTGGATATACTGCCAAAGTAGCAGGAACTGAGGTAGGTGTCAAAGAACCATAAGCCACATTCTCTGCTTGTTTTGGAGAAGCTTTCTTAGCATTGCATCCAACTCTCTATGCTAATATGCTTGCTGAAAAAATCAAGAAATTTGATACAAAAGTCTGGTTAATCAACACTGGCTGGTCTGGTGGAAAATATGGAGTTGGATAGAGAATGTCATTGAAATATACAAGAGCTATTATAGACCTTATCCATAGTGGAGAATTAAAAGATGCTGAATTTGAAAATTTTGCTATTTTCAATTTCAGAATACCTAAGGCTGCCAAGAATATTCCTTCAGAAATTCTTAATCCAAGAAATACATGGAAGTATCTTTTTTATTTAAAATATTTAGTAATCCAGATGAATTTGATAAACAATTATAAGAATTAGCTTAAAAATTTTAGATCAATTTCAAAAAATATGAAGATAAAGCAACCATAGAAATTATTAATGCAGGTCCAAAACTGTGATTATAATTTATATTTACATTAGATTTGTAATTTATTTCAGTTTTTGTAATTTAATATTTTATTATCCTTAAAATTAAGAATTGTTATATTAGTTTCAGATTTTATTGAAAATTTAGTACTTTTATATAGTTTTCTAATAAGAAAGTGAATTAATTCATAAAAATGATTAAATCTAAATATTTGAACCAAATGGATAAAATCATAAATTAGACATAGCAAATTGATTAGCAAATCTGATAATAATATAAAATATAACAGATTATATAATTACTATTAAGAAAATATTAGAAGCTTGACCCTTTATTTAATAGATAAAAAACAAGTTTCGATTTAATTATAATAATAATTTTTGAAAATATTTCACAAAATATATACTCATGGTATTAAATACTTATAATAAAATAATTTATTTGTATTCAACTATTTTGATTTAGGTATTCTTAATACTACTTTATCTCTAATAATTCTAAATTACTTTCCATAAGTTTATGAAGTAAGATCAATACTAACATTATGATACATAAATAATTATCAATTTTCATAATATTAAATGTATTCATTAAGTGCTTATTCAATTTGGCCTTTCATTTATTATTTCATTTGATTTTTCAACATTTCTCTAAAAATAAAAAAGATAAACAATAAAAATATAATTATCATGCATACAACTAGGATTATTAACCATTTATAAGATGTTTATTCTTCTATTAATAATTATTGATTATTGCAAACACTAATATTTGTCAAATCTTTGAATGATGAACAAAGAGCATTCTTAATAATCTCAACATCCATATTTCCCCTAAATATTTTCCCATTTATTGTTAGACCAGGAAAATATACAATTCCAGATTTCATTTAGAGTAGGAATTATCTTTCCAATAATTCTATCTATCCATTTCTTTAAATGAGACATTCACTTAAATTTTTTTAAATGTCTTCAGATATATAAAATTCAAAGCAACTTTAAAATTATTTTGGTTGACTACATTATGAACTGAAATAATTCTATTTGAATAATAAATTTGTTTATTACCATATATCTCCACCAATATGTATGATTTAATTGCCATAAACATAATTAACGATATTATTCCATGACTACATCAGCACCATTACCATTTTCATAATCGTTTGAGTCTAATTAACAATACCTACCATTGTTTATACAATCAATTTATTATTCTGTATAATTTTATTGTTTACATCTTGGACATTAAAACAAATGATAAAAAATATCAAAATCAATAAAGTCTTTTAATTCGTCATAATATTTCTTAAAATTCTTAATTAATTTAAAAGTGTCTCTATTACTAATATCTAATCCAAACAACACTTTAGGTTTTTAAGTTTGAATGATTTAATTAAATTTAATATGTGCATTTAATGAACCTCCAGGTTGATCATTTGCTAATTATTTATATAGAATATTAGCTTCATTTTATCTAATCATAATTACAGGTATATAAATTTAATATCCATTACCATCATCAATTAAAAATAATTCAGAGTTATCATCTGCTTTATCATCAAAAATTAGAAGTAATTTAGCCTATAACTTTTAAGCAAGTATAGCTTTTTAAGTGATTGAACAACCTCCAACTCTACTAATGATCCATTTATCAGGCTTAAAAGAAAAGTAAGGACTATACGAATTAATGGTCTTTAGATCACAAAATTATCCAACTAAAAGATCAGATTGTTGTAATGGAGGCATAAACAATTATCCATGCAATTATTATCCATATGGAACATTTCCAAAATTTGCAATTGAGTATTTAGTTGTATTTAATAATAAATCTCTATTTCCAAAAGTATACACCAACAAAGTAGAAGAGGAATACTCAATCAATTATGAGATTATGAATAAAATTAACATATATAATAAAAAAAATTAGAATATATTTTCATAATATATAAAAAAAATAAGAATTATTCTGTATAAATTCTTATTAAATTATTTATACTAACTTTTGATGATATTTATAATCATTTATTATAAAGTTAAATTATTTGGATCTCTTTTGTTATTAATTATTCAAAAACTATGTAATGGATATTTTTAGATATTATGATGATTTAGTAGAACTAAGAATAATTGATTGATTTCATTATTTTTTAATCCTTAATTAATTTGATATTTGATTATCATAAATAAATGAATGATTCTAAGATAAAGTATGTATTTAATCTATTATAAAAATCGACACATCAATCTCATAAACTATTCTTAAAACTTCATAACTTTGTGATATGATGACTATTATAAAATGTTATCATTTTACAAAAGTTATTCAATAGATTGTTATAGTGATTATTTCTTAATAACCTAGATATATAAACTATTACTTTAAGTGTTATCAATTGCCTTGTCTTCTTATTTTAAGGTTATAACAATAACAATATCATTATTCTTGAAATACAAAGAAATCAAATGAGAAATCAGGATTGTCATTCATGAATATTAAAATTAATAATGGGATGTGTATGTGAAAAATCGAAACGAGTGCAACCTGAACCTACATAAATTGAAGTACATCCCTGTGAAACAGCTTAACCTTAATCTTAACCTATGAAATAAACTTCTTTAAAGAAGTTAAAAATACCTTAAGTAAGCTAATTGTATAGATATTTGTAGAAGAAAAAGAAAGTTAGGGAAACTTAAAAACTGGTAAAGACAACTAATGAAGATGTAAACTAATTATTAACTTTAAGGGAGTAAAAATGATTAATGACTATATTTTTGATGAATTCCTTGGAGAAGGAGCATTTGGTAAAGTCAAGTTGGCATTCAAAAGATCAAGTGGTTAAAAATATGCTATTAAAATCATGAGGAAAAGTAAACTAAAACGATAGAGAGAGTATATTAAGGATGCTAAGGGAAGTAGGACTTACTATATAATTAGATATGGTGATTAAGGATGCACTATAAGATGTAAGAAGAGAAATTGCTATAATGAAGAAGTTAAGACATAAGAACTTAATTCAATTATTTGAAGTCATTGATAATCCAAACAATGATAAACTATTTATGGGTATTTATTATCTCATTATCAGTATTGGAGTATGCTGATGGTGGATAAGTAATTGAATGGGATGATGATGAATGCAAGTTTTATTAGGTTAATGAATCTGTAATACTTGATGAACCATTACTTAATTAAATATTTCGTGATTGTATTAAAGGTCTCAATTATTGTAACAGTTCTTTAATTATATTTTAAAGTACATAAGAATGGTGTTGTTCATAGAGATTTAAAACCATAGAATGTTCTCTTGTCTGAAAATAAAACTGCTAAAATTGCTGATTTTGGGGTTTCTACAATGGTAGGAAGTAAAAATGATGTATTGGACAATACATAAGGAACTTATTATTTCATGCCTCCAGAAGCTTGTGATAAAGATAGAGTTAAAGATGGTTATTCTGGTAAAGCTGCTGATATTTGGGCTTTAGGAATAACATTTTTTGCTTTTGTTTATTTAGATGTTCCATTTACAGGGTCATCTATTCCTGATATACTTCATAATATTGCTAATAATGAGTATAAATATTAATAAAATTATTAGAATTACATTTCCTGAAAGAAATGATATTAGTGATGGTTTAAAAGAATTTTTGTAATTTATTTTATAAAAAGATCCTAAGAATAGACCAAAGATACCTGAAATAGCTAAACATCCATGGTTGAATGCATAGAATATGAATTTATGGGATGAAATGTAATGATTGTTAAAATATATAGAAATAAAGAAGAGTAAACTGATATGGAAATAGGTTAAACAGATATTGATAATGCTTATTCATTGAGTTCGATAATGATGATAAAAAATTGGGCATTTAAATGGAGAACTACATCCAATCTTAAAAAGATGTCAAATATCTAATAAACATAATAAACTAATTCAGAATAGATGATCAAATGATAAAGATGAATAATAAATTATATTACTCAATCAGTTAAAACCATAATATGACTAAAACCTAATGCAATATCTTAAATCTTAACATTTTCCAATCCCAATTCAGGTATTAATCTAGTGTATGTTTCATAATATGGTATATCCATATATCTTAAGTCTTATCCACCCCAAATTATACAATCTCCTTTACTTGTTATAACTGCAGATCTATCAAATTTTGCATATATCTTAACAATCTTTTCATCTGGTTCAAGTGGTAAATTAATTTCTGTTTGACCACTAAATTCAAAATCAAATTTAGATTTGACTCCCATCTAATTATGCAATAGACAACCAAAAAATATTAATCTATTATTGCTAGTTAATACTAGATTATGTGCTTATCCAGATACTATTTATTGTATTGATTCATCTGGTTATAAATCTAGAAACACTTCAGTGGGTTCTTTTATTCTATCAATTTCATTATTCATTCCACATTATCCATATATATTTAAACCACAAGCATAAATTCTATTATCAGAAACTTATAAAAGTGTATGATGAGCACCAGAACTAATTCTTTAAATCTTTTGATTTCTAATATCCATCAACTATCTATGTTATGTAAATTCAACTAAGAACAACTATTAACTTTTTAATCAATACCATATATTTAATCTTAATCATTCTTTCTTGTTTCAGTAAATTAATAATGATTTCTTTTACCAGATCCATAAACAACTCCTCCTTCAGTCAATAATAAACTATGTTAATAACCACATCCTACTTAAATAACCTTATCTTTAGTTGGCAATTACAATTATTTAAACTAAAATTAATACTTTAATTCACCATTTCCCAACTATCCTTTATAATTTTCACCCATCCCATAACATACTCCATCATTCATCTGTATTATAATAAAACTACCTCCAACTTAAAATGATTTGATTGGAGCATCAATAATAGGTTTATTTAATAAAACTGGTTGAACAATTCCACCTCTCATTGATAACATAGTACCAAGAGGAGAATATTTCTAATATTGATTTTAATTAGAATACTTGCCATAATTTACATAGAGTAGGATTTCTCTTATAAAATGAGAGTGTTCTATTTTCAGTCATTGTATCTAATTACCAACCCCAATGTAATAATTAACCATCTTATAATAATGCAAATGATTATGTCATATTAGCTTCCAATTATTTTATTCCCATATTTTATAAATCAGGTATAAGTGCAAAATGTTCTAGACTTTTAAAATTACCTTATCCCAATTACCCCATAAAATTCAACCCTTTTGCAAATACTTTCATTAATTAAAATGTAAGAAAAATAAAAACCAAAATTATTCCTCGAAAAATTATTCGATTTATTAGAGGTATATTCAATTGTAACTAGTCTGGTGAAGCATATAATATTATTCAATGGACTGTCGATAAAGATGCTATCAAAATTATTAATCGATAATAATTGATTAGTGATATCCTACCCAACATTTTTAAATAGACATCCTATAAGAGTTTTACTAAATAGATGAATCTTTACAATTTTAAAAGTACTAAAGATGAAAATGGTTTTACTATTTTTATTAATCCAAATTTTACTCAAAGTTCGCTTAATCTTACATAAATTATGGCAGAGAAACGAACAATTAAAAAGTCGAAAAAAGAAGATAATAAAAAGAGAAGTGAATTATAACATGAACATGAATAACTTAAATAGAGATTAATGGCATTATTCAAATATTAAGTGACACTTTAAAATGAAATCAAAACATAATTGGAAATTCATAAACATCTTCAAATGAGAGTGGCCATTATTAAAAAATGTATTTATACTCGTAAAGAGAATGGTTTAAAAAGAAGAAGAAAACTTTATAATTTTTTGAATTCTTTTTTTACACATCTCAAATCTTCAGTTATATGTATTCATTTTACATTTACAGAAAATTAGGTCAAAAATTTCTCATTTTGAATCATGATCTAATATGTTAATGTGATGACAACGATGAAGAATAATGTCTAGATTTTTAGAATTCTAGGTCATTATATCAAACACCTTATTTGACACCTAGAAATCTTACAATTTTCTAATAAAATTCCATAAGATAATTATAAGATTTATTTTATGATGAAGATAATAAACCAAAGTCTTTTTTATAACTAACACCTGAATAATAAAAATAATTTATAGAAACTATTTGGGATGATTGATTTATATATAATTATAATAATAAATCTAAAATAATTATTATTGAAATAGAAAATAGAATATTTATATTAGATAATAATAATTATTTTTATTATTTTGTAATTAAATTTATGAATTCTAGTTGTTCCTTTATTATTTGGCTTAAATTATAATTTTATAGTTATAATTAGGAATTAAATAATTAGTATCTTATTAAATATAGAACAACCAGAAAATCAAAATTTTATTTTATAAATTATCTACTTTAAATATAGTAATTACAAGTTATTGGAAGTATTGTATAACAATAATATTTATTTAAATGTAAAATGATTAAAATGTAAGATTAGATTTACTATAAAAATATTTTTTTTTTTTGAGATTTAAATGTATAATTTAATGTAATTTATATATATATATATATGATTAAATAAAAACAACTTTGATTAGTTTGATAAATAAAAATAATATGAAAAAGCAAGCTAAATCAAAGAGTCCTGATTAACATATTGAATAAATTATGAAGAATAAACAATAAAAGCTTGAGGAAGATGAATATTAAGCTTTAGAATTAACAAGAATGACTTCACTTAATAAAATAAATACTGATGGCTAAAACTTTTACATAAATATTTTGCATGGTAATTAAGAAATGCCAATAAATTTGTCTTAATATTTACATGAATAAGTAAACTATATAGAATAATATTTTAGTATGCCTTAACTCATTCTTTCAAAAATTATCCTCCCGAATAATATTATGGGAATTGTGAATACAAATTAAAAATAATCAAAGTTGATTAATGTAAAATGGAACATAGAACTACTTAAATGTAATTTAGGTAAATTACTTAAATATAAATGAATAGATTAGATGAAGGAAAAGGTATTGCATATTATAGAGTTGGTGTTGAAGATGATGGAACTCCAACTGGTATAAATTTAAATGAGATGTTGGTATCAATATAATGGCTTATTAAATTTGCAAATAATAACAAAGCTGAAATCATATTATAGAAGATGCATTAAGGAAGAACTAATTAATAAAAGATAGCTGAATTTATGGTGAGAAGAAGACTATAGGATTCAATTAAGACTGATATTAGAGTAGTAATGTTGGGATAGGTGAATTCAGGAAAGTCATCTTTAATTGGAATGATTACAACAGGTAAATCTAATATTGGAAGATAATAATTTGGTAAATTATTTAGATAAGTTGTTGGATTTGATAGTAAAGGAAAAGTAGTGAATAAAATAAATTTATTGGGATAAGAAAAAGAAGATGAATATGTTTTTGAAAATGCTACAAAAATAATAACTTTTATTGATTTATTAGAAAGACAACATTATAATAATAATGAAGCAATGTAAAATATTTAATCTCAATTTCCTAATTATTTTATGTTAGTTATTAATGCTATTTAGTAATTAGGAACTGATTTTATTAAATAATTAAAATTAACATTATCTTAATAAATACCAATCTTTATTGTAGTTACTCATGCTGATAAATTAAAAGATGACTATGAATTAGAAATATTATTATTTAATATTAGATAAAAGTTAAAATAACATATTATAAAAACTATACCTATTATTTTAGTAAGATCTACTGAAGATGTTATGTTATTTAGTAAATAAATAATTGATTAATATGAAAAGGAAACAGTAATTCCAGTTTTTATTTTATCTAATTTAGAATATAAAACACATAACTTATTTCTATAATTTCTAAATCAATTACCATTAAGAAATGAATTTACTAATAATAATACTCAACCTGTTGAATTTGGTATTCATTAAACTTTTGAAATTGCTCTAATTAAATAAATCAATGATGAATAACCATCAATTGAATCTGAAAGTTTTACTGTTGAAGATGTAATTATTATTAGTTAAATTTAGTCAATTCTAAAATCTAATAAAGGAATTATTCAAGTATAAGATAGAAAATTATTAATCTTAGGAGGAACAGTTACTAAAGGTATTATTAAAAAAGGATAATCTTTATTAATTGGTCCTGATAAATAGGGTAATTTTTATCCTGTTTAAGTTCAAAATCTTTAATCTAATAGAGTTAAAGTGAAGTCTGCTTTAAGTGGTCAATTATGTACAGTCTAATTTTAACTTATTAATTCTTATAAAAAAAATTTTGGAACTTCTGAAAATCCAATAAGAAGAGGAATGGTACTAGTTGATGCTAAACTTAAACCTAATAGCTACACAATTTTTATAGTCAATTTATAATTTTTTGCAGCAGGATGGAAATAATTTCAATAATAATAATAATAATAAGAATTGATATCCATAAATTAAACTTAATAATGTAATTATATTAATGAAAAGATATGTTTATCACAATCTCATGAATTATTAGTTCATACACCATATTCCAAGTAATTAAATATTAAATTAGATAAATTTGTTTAATTTTAGAAAATCATTGTGAAAATCAATATTTATTGGTTAAACAACCTAGTTTAACAAGAAAACCTTCAAAATCTGTAGAAGGTAAAGTTGTTTCGTCATCATAAAAGTATATTGAAAAAAGTAAATCAAAAAAAATTAAAATTTAATAAAGTATTTTTATTTCTTTATTTAGAAATAAATGTATTTGAAATTAAATCAGGAGAAACATTATCATTAAAATTGAGATTTAAATATTAAAGTGAATATTTGACTTAAGGTATGAAAATAGTTATCATGGAACAAAAATTTTCTGCTTTTGGACATGTTGTATCTATGGAAATTTGAGATTTTATATTATTTAAGTAATAATGTTTTTAAATTACATTATTTTCTTATTGATTTATATATAGATATTATTAAATAACATAAATATTATATGTTAAATCATTAATAAAAATGTGGATGAAACTAAATCTGAAATTTAAAATTCATATATATTTGAAATAATTTATTAAAAATTCTTTATGATAATAAATTAGAGTCTTTTTGATATTAATTAATATAATTATATATATATATATATATTTTAATATATAATGTAAAATAATCCTGTGTTGTAAAAGTTTTTATAGAACAATCCATTCATAGAAGGAATTGTTTTAATGGATAAAGAAGGAATAGAGTAATAAATATAGAGAAACTTAGAATTATAGCTGCATTTTAAAATGAAAATAACAAGTTGAGAACAGGTGCATAATCATTGATGTATGTGGTGGCTATTCAATAATGCAATGAAAATTTAAGAAAACTTTCTGATTCTGAAACAAAACAAATTACATTAGTTTATGAGTATTGAATGGTTTGTAAACTTAGTGAATGGATTCTTTATTTTGAAATTTGGACACATTCAATTTTGATATTTTATTGCAATGTTAAAGCTAATATAGTGTCATTAAAATAAATTGGGTAGGATTTAAAGCGTATACTTTAACCCTATAATGATTTATTAGAAAAATAGTAAAAATGAATTATATATATATATATTAAATCATTTATTATGTCATTAAGAACATTTATTTTGATATGTTTGATATTTGTAGGATATTGTAAAGAATCAGGTGAAAAACATCTTACAATTCTTACTTAATCAATAGGATCTATGTTGGTTTCAGAAATTGGAGACAAAGTAAATCAAATTTTAAAATAGACTTTCTTCTTAGCAGCAATTTTATCAATGAAGTTTAATAGACTGGCTGTATTTGCTGGAGCAGCAGGAGCTTTAGTCTTAATGACAGCAATTAGTTGTGCTTTTGGTATTATTGTTCCAACTCTCTTGCCTCGCTTTTATACTGCAATTGTTGTGACTATTATTTTTTACTTTTTTGGAGGTAAATTACTCTTTGATTGGTATCATATGGAAAATGAAGGAGATAAGGAAGAATTGAAATAAGTAGAAATGGAGCTAGAAGAATTGGACAAAAAATTGTTGAGTAGCCACAAAATAATTGATCCTGAAAATCCAACAGAAGGATAAAAAACAAGTAATTATTCATATCTATATATAGATTTGGCTTCTGTGGTACCAATTTAATAAATTGTATGGTAAGCATTTATCATGACATTTTTGGGAGAATGGGGTGATAGAAGTTAGATAACTACAATAAGTTTAGCAGCTGTTTAAGATGCAGATATCGTATTTCTAGGATGCAGCATAGGCCATTTAATTTGTACTACTATAGCTGTAGTTGGAGGAAAACTATTAGCTCATTAAATCTCTGAGAAGACTGTTAATTTGGCTGGAGGAATAGTGTTTATCATATTTGGGTTGATGCATACATATGAATTAATGACGGGCAATTTAGATTGAGAGTTATAATTGCATATTGATAACAATTTAAATGATTCTTCTTCTTTTTTAAATTTAATTTATAAATCCAATCAAAGATATTAATCTCAAATAATAATAGGTGAAAAAATTGCTTAATTAAATTATAACTCAATGGTACAGAGCATGAAATATAAAAGTTTATAAAACTTGAATTGTTTATAAAAAAAAAAGAAATCTTATTTTTAAATAAATAATGGGAAAGAAGGAAACAAAAGATAAAAAGCCTGCTTAATTCAAGTATTTCATTTGTAAATTACTTTTAGAAAGATCTATGAGTTGTTATCAAAATACTCACAAGTAATTATTGTTGGATTAGCTAATGTTGGATCTAAATAAGTATAAGACATTAGAAGAATTTTGGCTAAGAGAAATGCTCTTCTTGTGATTGGAAAGAATGTATTGAACCATATCTATATTTAGACATTATTTAAGAAAGTTTTGGCAACAAGAGTTTAAGATTTACCAGAAACCCATGAATATTATGATGAATTGAAAAAATTTGGAGCTGCAATTAAAGAATTAGATGTCTTAAAAAATTAAGTTGCTGGTAAAATAGGATTCATATTCACTGACACACCAGTCTTTGATCTTAAATCTGTCATTGAAGAAAATAAAGTTGAAACACCAGCTAGAGTTGGTGCTATTGCTCCAATTGATGTTGTTATTCCACCTGGTCCAACTGGGATGGATCCAGCATCAATTCAATTCTTCCATGCATTACAAATTCCAACTAAAATTGAAAAAGGATAAATCTAAATTACCAAAGACTTTGTAGTTTTAAAAACAGGATAAAAAGTAGGTTAATCATAAGCTGTTTTATTATAAAAATTGGGAAAGAAACCATTTTTATATGGAATGGAAGTATTAGCTTGTTATGATAATGGATCTATTTTGAATAAATAATAAGTATCTGTTAATTTGAATGATATTCTTGCTAAATTCTAAAAGAATGTTACAAATATTTCTGCTATCTCATTAGCTAATGGTATTATGATATATAATATTTTTAGGATGGGTGAATGAGAGTTCAGCTCCATATGTATTAGCTAATGCTTTTAAGGATTTGGCAGCTATTGGATTATAATCAGGATTTATTTTTGATTAAATTAAATAATCTAATGCTCCAGCTACAACTTCAGCTCCTGTTGCTGCCAAGGTTGAAGATAAACCAGTTTAACAAGCTCCAGCTAAAGTTGAAGAACCTGAAGAAGATGTTGATATGGGTGGCTTATTCGATTGATAAAGTATAGTATAAATAATAATATAAAATAAAATGAGTTTTATAGAAAAATTTCTTGAAATTCCTAATGATCTATCAAGTCCTCGATTATATGCTTTGAGTTTAAAATGGTATCTTGTCTAAATATGCAAATTTTAGGTTTGAATAATTTTAGGATGAATTATATTGTTCCAATTCTATTTTCACTTAGATAGATAACTATTCTCTATGGTAATTCAACCAATAATTGTTATAGTATTTGTTAGGAAGAATCATAATCATTATAAGGCTTGATTACAAATTTTTAAATAGAGTTCAACATCAATCCTTAAATAATAAAATAAAATTCGTAAGAGCAAGTTCTCAAAGTAGATAAACGTAATTAGGTTCATTTCGTATGCTCAGAATTATGGAATTTTCTGATGCAACACATTAAAGGAGGTTTTTATTAACATAATTGTTTCATAGGACCTTGTTTACCCATTTACACGATTGAAATAAATAATATCAAAAAAAGTACTGTTTATGACTTTACATTTCTATCATAACATGATATTGAAGAATTACCTAAAGATCTCGTAATACCAGTAGATATGACTTAAATGGAGTTCTTGATTTAAAATGAAGATGATTCTTTTACATACCTAACTAAGGTTGTTCCTTTGGTTTTTACAATCGAATAAGTTATAAATAAGATACTCTCATAACAATTCAACATTTCAAATTATTTATGCTTTAATAAAATAAGCAAAAAGATCATATTAAATAAAAATTCAACTTTAATCTATGAATTAGAGTTCAAATCTCTATGGTTTTTTAAACCTAATAAAAGAGACATTGGATTTTCAGAAAATCTAGATGAAATAACTATGTAGCAGGATTTCCAAAATCTCATTACTGGTTCAACAGAATCAACTTTTGAATCAAGGGAAATTCAATCAATACTAGATAGCAGTTCAAAAACACATGAATTCGAAGATGATGTTACAAATTTAAGTATTATATTTATTAAATTATAATTAGTATTGAGAGATATTAATGAATTCAAAAATGAAATTGAATCAATTCTCTAATATCATAAAAATTAACCTCTTATATTATTAAAAGAGGAATAGGCAATTGAGAATATAAATTAAATTATTTTATAGATTGAATAGGAAAATTGTTTTAAAAAAGAATAATAAGAAGAAGGAACTAATGATGAACTTATCGATTATTAGGATATTTGATTAAATTATAAGTCAGTCAGTTTTAATTTGTTTCTTAATTCGATCATTTATTTAATATTGATTTTTTAGTCTTTGATTACATAATTCTCTTAATATCATATCTGTTATTTCTCCATTCTCATTAAATTCAACCTCTTTATTTGATAAACTATTCTCAGAGATTAATTCTAAAATCACTTATTAATAGTCATCAATTAAGAATTTAAAACATTTTAATTTACAAATAGGACATTTCCATATTTTTTTATCTTTTTAATCATCAATAGCTGTAATAAAGTTCTCTAAATCAAAACATTATAAATGATTACAAAATCTACCTCTAGCTGGAATATTAATTAATTATAATGTTATAGGACATAATAAACTAATTCTAATTGATTTTATTTTGACATCTTTATTAGTAGAACATTCTTATTTAAATAATTTAAATGAATCTTCAATACTTAAATAATTTTTATGATATTGTTTAACATCCAATAAGAATTCTTTTGCATTCAATTAATTAATTGAAAATATACCTAAAAAATAAATACATTAATGTTAAATTCTAAATTATTTTTTCAAGTCTTCATTAGATTTATATTCAATTAAAGTAATACGATTCTATTCATTATGTTTGATATGATTAGTTATATTAATTGAATCATCTTTACGTTTCTTAACACTATAATTAATACTTAATGGTTTAAACTCAGCTAATTTAACACCATTCATTTATAATTCTCCATAATCAGGCCAAGTGATTTCATTTAATCCATCTTTACCATCTATTCTTAAACATCTAATCTCTATTTAAGATCCTTTATGTTTAACAGGACAATTAAATAAGAAATGTTTTTCATTTTTATATTATAGAAACTATTAAAATGTAGATTAAACTATTTAATCAATTACTTTATTTTAAGGATTTAACATTACAAGTGTACAATATGGACAAATGAAATCTTGAATATCATTATTAATTTGTAAACAATATCCATGAAAATTCTATGAACAAATTTTACATTTTAGAATTTTTGAAGTATTTAATTTAGTTTTAATTTATACATATAAACCTGGTTATGAATGACAATAGCATTTTAAAAAATTAATATCTTATTATGTTTCATTTTATTTATCATTATTGGATTGAGAATTTCTCAATTAATTTAATAATTATTATTCTTTATCTTTAATTAACTTTAATCTTTCACGTATACCTTCAAAGTACACATGAATTTATTTATTAACAAATTTAGTTAATTCTTCTAAAATTGAATAAGATTTGATGATCTTATCTTCATAATAAAACATAGTTATTGTAATCAATTATCCTAAATATATGGGTCTGGCTGGATTAATGTTTGTAGATTATAAACTACATTTTTTCATTCTTAATAGATGACTAAGTAAACATTCAGTTAATTTTGGAATGAATTGATTGTCTTATTTATATTTATTACCACCAAGACACTTAATGATGTCTTGCTTTTTTTATAATGAAATTTGATCAACTTTCAATTCTAGACAACCTTATCTAATGAATTCTGGTATTTTCAATTCAATATCTTATTTTATTGTTAAGAGTTCCTTAGTAATTTCTTCTTGAAGTTAATTATTTTAGTTCATATTTTAATTAATTCTACAGAATTTAATAAAGAAATTAATTTTTAATGAAAATTTTAAGCAAGAAAATAATAAAGGGAGTTGGATTCATAAAAGTTATACCAGAAGAAGATGATGATTTTTGGCATTTATATAACTTATTGTCTGTTGGAGATATAATAAAAACAAGTACTCATAGAAAGATAGTGAAAGAAAGTAATTTTAAATAATATTGATTAGGTTAAACTGGTACTAAGGTAGCTGAGAAAAGAAGAATATTTGTATTTTTAAAGGTTCATGAAATAAATTATTGGGCAGATTAATATCTATTGTTATCAATAAAAGGTAGAAATTGTTAGGAATCTCATTGGTTATCTTTGGGTTAATTTCATACTTATGAAGTTGAGTTGAATTAATAAATTGTAATATACAAAGAAAATTGGGATAGATTTCATTATGCAATATTAGATTAGATTAAATAATAGTAAACTTAATCAGAAGTGGCAGCATTTATAATGGAAGAAGGAGTAGGTCATCTATGTTTGATAGGATCAGCAACTACTAGATTAAAATAAAAAGTAGAAAAATAGATAACTAAGAAAAGAAGTTCAAATGAATAAAGAGAAAAGGGAATGGAAGAATTTTTTAGAGCATGTTTGGCAGCCTTGGAATAAGATTCATTATTTGAATAAATAAAATGTTTAATAGTAGCATCACCAGGGTAATAATTTTAATTATATTATAATAGATTTGTGAAGGATGATTTCTATGTATTTCTTAGAAACACATTTTAAAAGGAAGAGAAATATAGAGGATAATAGAAAATGTTAGATAAAATCTTTCTTGTAAAATCAAGTTCAGGATATTTGAATAGTTTAATGGAAATTTTATAAGATCAATAAGTTTAATAAAGATTAGAAAATACAAAGTAAAATATTATAAGATCTCTAGAGCTATGTAAGAAGTGATGATCTTGGAGAAATTCTTTTAATAACTTAGAATAGATATAACTAAAGTGGCTTATGGAAAGAAAGACATTGAATTTGCTCATAGTCTAGGTGCAATTCAGACTTTATTAATAAGTGATAAAGTGGCAAGAGCTAAAGATCCAAAAGTAAGGAGATAATGGTTAAAAGTAATAGAGGAAATCAAAAATAAGGGTGGAGAAGTATTTATATTCTCTAGTTTACATCCTTCTGGAAAACAATTGAATAATTATACTGGAATAGCAGCAATTTTATATGTTTCAGTATAGTTTGATTATGAAGACGAAGAAGAAGAGGAAGAAGAACAAGTGGATCAATAAATTCATTAACATTAACATGATTAAGATGAATTCAAAATGGATATTGCAGTCTAAAAGAAATTTGAAGAATTTGGTATAGAAGATGGAGATGATGATTATATGTGAATGTTAAGATACAATTATATAGATAAAAATATAACATCTCATCTTCTGCTATAAGGATACTTCTTTCTAGCTTTATATAAACCAAGCTTCTTTCTTTCTACTTATCTACTATCAGTTCTAGTTAACAATAACTTTCTAAATATTCCTTTGATACTAGGACACATTTTTACGATGGCTCTACTTAAAGCTGAGCAAATGCATTAAGACTATGCTGACTGACTACCTCCTCTTATTACACTATTGATTTTATTTAGATTATTTACACATTCACATCAACTAAACATGACAAATGAGCTAATTCTAAAACTCTTAATGCTGTTCTTCTATAAAATGGATGAGTAAAGTAATTAATAAGATTTTTACCATTTATAGTAACTTCTCCAACCCCTTTCTTTAATTATACATAACAAATTGATGACTTTCTTCTTCCTCTTCCTACATAATAAAGTAAAGAAGATTCACTATAATCTTTTTCTATTAATTAATCAATCTAAATTGCACTCTTTTCTTTGAAATCCTCAATCTTAACTTCTTCTTCAACAACATCCTTAAAATCTGGATCTACATCATCAGCCATCATTGCTGTGCTTGGTACTTCATATGTGTATGGATTTGTATTATCACCAAAGGCTTATAATCCATCATTTATTTATTCTCTATTTAATTTGAAAATATTGGTTAAATAATGATGGAAGAATTCTAAATTACTTGGTTATTAGAATTCTTTATATAATTCAATTGAAAATTGATATTCATCTTATTTAACTTCGTCTACTTTTTCTTAAAATAATTCTTTAACACTAAAATATAATTATAATATACTGTCTATTATATGGTTGTTTTTTAATATCTACAAATGTATCTTATTATTTATTGAGTTTTATTTCAGGAAAGATAGTCTCAAATGAAGATTTAAAATCTTTCCAAAATAGACTTTATCCTTTAGTTTTCTCTAAATCTTAAAATACAGATTCATATCCTTTAATTTTATTATTTGGATCCTTATACAAATCTTTTATGAATTTTGGAGCACTTAATAATAAAAAATCTATATTATTAACAATATCTTAGAATTTGACTGGATCATTTATTCTTTTATCAATTTATTTTGCTTTCATTTGAAGTGTTAAAGATTATTTATCTAAATTTCTGAAGTATTTTCTTAATCGTTTTAATTCTAATTCTTCTTGATCTTTAGCATTTATTAATTTTTTTGGTTCTTTAGGTTCTTATGATTTATCAGCTAATCTTTTCAAATAGGCTCTTTTAACAAAATTTAAATTAACTTTATCAACAATAGACTATTCAGTTTATAATGCTTCTTAACCATCAGATGGTCTAATATATCTCATTTTTAATAATCGTTCATCATCTGATATTTCTTCAACAGTGCATCCAGATTCATAGAAATCAAGTTCTTTTAGATATGCTTTTCCAAAAGTGAGTTATTAATTTTTATCATTATATTTTGGATCATAAATTTAAAAATCTTATAAATCCTTTTACAAATTTTCTTTTGCCATCTCTTCAGCTACTGCATTAACAGAATTAGTATCTATATATTTATTTAAAATTGCTTCATCAGTTAATTTCTTATCAAAATCTTAAGCATCATCACCTAAAATTTACTTTCTTTCCTCTTCTGGTAATTTTTTTATTCCTTCTAAAAATCTATCAAAAACCACCTTTCTTGCTTTTGCTATATATTCAGGTGCTTCACTTTTAACCAATAAATCTTGAGATGTTTGTAATAATTCAGTTTCTGACATTACTCTCTATATATTTAACATATACAAATACCATTTAAGATAACAATCCTTAAACTTTACGATTATATTCTGCTTCATATTGTTGTCCTCTTTTCATTTTGATATCATAAACAAAATCATCAAAAAATAATCCTAAAGGACAATTGGTCTCTTCATCAATGTAGACATGTTTCAATACATTTTATAGTAAATCTTAACCATTTTTTGAATTCGATTCTAATTTAATTTCTTATTTAGGCTACATTTCTCTCACTCGTCTAAATTTAATTAATTAATTTACTGAGTCACTCTTGCTTTAATTTTTGACAATTTCTTTTTATACACAGCATGTAATTGCTTTTGTGAATCATCATAGGATGTTATCTTAGGTCTGTATGCCAAGTCTTCCTTTTCAGGATACATGGGAGGTACAACGAAGAAATTTCGTTGTGCTACGCAGAACCTCATTCTGCTCACTAATCTGAGCATAATTATTTAAATAAATTATTTATGCCAAATTTTATATATAAATATTTAAATTATTGCATTTATTCATTAATTAAAATTAAAGATGCGAATTCCTTAAGCTTACTATGATAGCATGATTAAAAGATATAAGAAATCTAAACAATGTGATTAAACTGATTACTCTTGGATTGAAACAACCAAGAAGTCTTTTGTAGAAAGAATTTAAGATTTTGCATAATGCAAACAATTGTAAGATCCAAAGTATATACGAATCATTTGTGAAACAATTGATGCAATATTTGAAGCAGCAGTTGCCTTATTTTAAGATCAAGACCAAACCCTTTGTGTTCAATTGCTAGGTGAATCTGATTCTATTTAAATTTGGGATTTGTGTTTATAGTGCTGTGATTATATAATCAAGTTTGCAAACCCAAAAATAAGTATTTCTATTTTAATAATCTAAAGTTGATATGTTTTTTAGTTATGAGCATATTTTGACACTAATATTTCATAATCCAGATTATGAATTATAAAAAATATATAAATTGGTGTAATGCATGTAATATTTGATTGAATAAATGAATGGATCCAAAGCTTGTAAATTTAAAAGTATTTATATATAAACTATAAATTTTAGTTGAACAATTTGAAAGAGTTTTTTTAAGATTCATGTATATTAACACATTTTTATAAAAGAATATTTACAATTTATCAGATTAGGAATATTAGGAATTGTTTTAATTATAAACTGATAATTACAATCTTAAAATAACAATCCCAAATGAAGATATGAATAATTATTAAAGATTTTTGGAGATGAGTAATTTCAGAAAAATACTTAAATCTCCACCTATAAATTTAGACATTTCTTTTGATTATACTAAAAATCCATTGGATTAAAGTTTATAGATAGCATCAGAAATTAAAGTATAAAAAGATAGTATTCTCTTTGATTAAATCTTTATCAGATTACTTTGTTAATATTCTAATGATGAACTATTACTATAGAAGATGTTTATCAGTAATTATATATTTCATTTTAAATGTACTTTTTCTGATTTACAATTATTTAATCATAAATATATGACAGATATTACTAATAGATTAATAGATCAAAAAGACTTTTTATTTTTATTAATAAGAATGATTGCTAGTAATAAGGATGAATCACTTAATGATACTCTAGTAGAAAGTCTTCAATTTATTAAATCTAAGCAAATATAATTATATGAACATAATACATTCTTGGATAAATTATGGTTATTTGAATTATAAGGAATTTAAGATACATTAATTTGGTGGAAAAAAGAACTCTAAATCAATGAAGGTAATTTCTATGATAATAGAATGAATTTAAATGTTAAATTATAACAATTATTCTTTTAATCATTATCTGATTAATAATTTACATAAATGTTCAAGAAATAACCAAATTATACATAATGGAATTTTATAATCATTCAAATTATAAGAAAATCTTTTGGATAAGATGGACAAACTTAATTACCATTCTATATATTAAATCCAATTTTAAGTTATTGTATTAATTTGATCACTGAATTACCAGGCAATAATCAAAATCAATAATTAGATTATTAATTAGAAACTTAAATTATTTAAGGATTAATAGAAATTCTTAAGAATTGTAATAAAAAATCATAAATTTAATTATAAATCAGAGCATTTCAATTATTAAATTAATTAATTACATACTATAAATTAGAATTTGATTAAGTATAAATTTAAAATGCTTAATCTGAATTTTTGATGCCAGTTCCTGAAAGATATCACAAATTGCTTACAGAAATCTGGTCAAACAAAATATTGGAAGATACACTAAACACAGCTGAACTTAATGAAACATTATACACCTATTTAATAACATAATTAGCTATAACAATGGGTGAGAATCCAGCTAGAGTAAGATAATTTTATGAAAACAATAGTTTATAATATCTTATTAATAGAATTATTGAATTATTAAAGATTTGTTCAAGAGCATCTCCTTTAATCGTAACAATAATAAATTTATTGATTGCAATCAGTACAAATGAATAAGCAATATCATTAACTTTATAATCCAATAACAATGTTGATTAATAATAATAAGATAATTTAATTAAGAGAATATTTATTAAGTGTTATTTACCTTCAATTGAATTATTAAATGATCCTTCAGTGAGTGATGATTTTGCAAAGAAGATTATTATGTTGTATAGTTAAAGTATGTTAGCAAAAAAGTAAATAGAAAAAGTAATAGAAAATACATTTGTTCAAATATCATAATTAGTAGATTTGAGTAAAGATAAGATAGAGGAAATTGTGAGTAATTAAGAAAAGTTATAATCCTTTTATAGTTATTCAAAAAGCTTACAAGCCTTATTATAATTATTTATGTAATTACAACCTGAGAAGAAATCTTCATATCGATCATTTTAAGGATATGAAGAATTATAATTAGAAGAAGCATAGAGATAAAAGGATTTATTATTTAATTCACTTTTGAAGAATTAAAAATTTGTAGAAGCATTAGAAAAGATAATTATGAGTCCGATACTAATAGGTAGTAAAAACAAGGATACTTATGTTGAACACTATGTTGGTATTTTGTGTAAGAAAAACAAGTTAAATCCTTATACTTCTTTATGGAAGGAATTAGATCTAATCAGTTAAAATTATATGGTTATAGGTGATTAGAAGATTATTGATATTGGTAAATTAGTTGATTATGATGCTTTGTCTATCCATATGAGTGACAAATATTTTTTTAGAAAAATCATCAAACATATATCTCCTTAAACTTATAGAGGATTCTATATACTAAGTCGTTTCCACTTGATTCATTATTTAATTAAGATGTGTGTGAATTAGGGTGTAGCTTAAAATTAAGATACTCATCTAATGATTTCTTAATTGTTAGAAATCTATTTTTTATCTTCATAACATGCAGGTTTTCATGAATCCATTATGATGTTTATGTCTGCTAAATAATAAATTTAGAAACATTAGACTAGTTATGATGAAGATACATAAATAAGGAGAAGGATAAGCAAAGATAATTTGATTCCATTATAATCATCTTGTTTGGATTTGATAGGTAAATTATAATAACAAGTTGAATAAAAAGATTATGTAATTAAGAAATATGGAGAAATAACTTAATTATTCTTTCAAAATTTCTAAGAAAAATGTTAATAAATTAAATAAGCTTAAGGAATATAAATTATATCTCTTGTAACATATTTTTAAGATATGTTAAAATCATTCAAATTCCTTTAGAATTTATTTTTGAGTTTAGAATAATAGTATTAACCATTATAATTTGCAGTAATCTGTTTTCAAAATAGTAATTTCTTTTTATAATTGATTGAGATTCTATAACATTTGGATAACATATAAAGACAATCATAATTCAATGGTACAAAAGAATAAGAGATTACTAGAAAGATTTTACCAGGATTTATAGAAGCTATTCATTAACATATAGATAATATTATTAAATTATTAATTTTTAAGAAGATTACTATTGATAAGATATAATTATCTGGATAATTAATTTAAGATCCTTAATAATTAGATATAGTATGCAATGAACTTTTTGTATCTTAAGCATAAATACTTAATTCTATGATAGATTTATTACTTTACAATAATTGTGAAGGTAATTTAAAGACTTTGTTAGAATAATTAATATAGAAGTTTTATTCAATCAAAGATTTATAAGTATAGGAAATGAGAAAGATAGCTGGAACTGAAACAAAAGAATAATAAATAATTGGAAATAAAGATATTAATTAAACATAATCAGGAAATGAAATTCGATAAGAATAAAAGAAATCATTATTTGATAGACCTGAAATTTAAGCAATGATTGATGATATATGTGATATGGGATTCAAATAATCATTGATCAAAAAAGCTTTATAAAGAATTGAAATTCCTGAACCTACAATGATAATTGATATGTTAATAAATGAAAGGATTTCTGATGATGAAGAAGAGTAGGAAGATGTTTTAGATCAAGAAATAAAGATGGCTGAATAAAATTAATTGATTTAAGATTAATTAGCTTAATAAATATAAAAAATAGAGAGTCAAATAGAAAAAGAGTAAATTTAGAATGAAATCTAAATCTTAGATTAAGATTAATTCATGAAAATATTATAATAAAATTTCCCATAAGCAAATACTTAATTAAATATTTTGGAAAGGTTTTTAACATTAATAAATGATTTTTAAGTTAAATTAGATTCTAATCTTAATAAAATATTAGATTAATAATTGAACAATCAAAAATTAAGTGGTAATTTATTAGAATACTTATTTACAATTGCCAAAAAATCATAACATATAAACAAGATTTTAGATTATATATTTATGATATTGAATCCTTTAAAAAAAGAAAAATCATCTTAAGATTTAAATACTACTATGATACAATATTAAAAAGCTTTATAATGGCTTAACTTATTATAATAGATTGCTCCTTAGGAACATGAAAAATTATATTAAAATTTAGCTTTAATAGATTAAGAACCATAATAAAAATATGTTTTATCATTTTAATCCATGATTACATTAGGTTTTGCATTATCTAATGATATCTTTGATCAATTTAAAAAAAATGGAGATATAGAACTATAATAATTAAAATAACTAAAAATATCTGAATTAACTTACTAAGAAATTTTAATTCAAGCATAAACTATTACTAATAATCTTAATAATTTATATGAAAACAAACAAAATACAATTAAATTATTCTGTAAAGAAATTTTAGAGGCACAAAAGTATCTTACTAAGTTTTTCTTGAATTTATAAAACAAACATGATTAATTAATTGAAAGATATTGGAGTTAGATGCTAATCTATTTAGAATTTTTGATATAAATATGTACAATCAATTTAGAATTGTAAGAATAAACATAATAAACTTTTAATTTCCTTGATGAATTGGACACATTGATTAATGATACTTAATCATTGAAAGAATAAAGAGATTAATCTCAAAATATGATTTATTTTAGATAATTAATTTAAAGAAGATTTATGTTTGATAAATAATTAATCTCATAATTATTACAATGTTTAAATAATTTTGGATTGCATAATTAAAACAAGTTATTTAATATGTTAATCAAAAAAACATCAAATGATAAATAATCATTATTGGAGACATTATTATAATTAAAAATTTAAACTAGTCATTTAGAATAAGAAGAATCTTAACCAGTATTTCTTGAAAACCTAATATATCTTGTTGCCATAGATAGCAAAACAACTAATGATTTAATTTTCTAAATAATGAAATAAGTGATGTTAAATGAACATATAGATTGGCATGCACAATAATTAAAGAATATTGATGATCTAACATAATTACAATTCCCATAGAAATTTATAGAATGTCCATTACAATATTTGTTATCGTTTCATCCTGTATTAGTTAACAATCCTATTATCTATAATATGATAATTGAACAATAAGGTTTATCAATTACTGATAAGTTCTCAGAATTAAATAGGATTCACGTCCCAAAATAATCATAACCTTTGCCAACAGGTAAATTAACAAAAGAATAAGAGAAATTATTGAAAGATAAAGAAAAAGAATAGTAAGCTCAACCATAGACAGAAATAGTAATCAGATATGAAATAGAATAATTAATTGAACCATAATTGAATGAAAATTTCATTTATTTAGTCAATATTATTGCATAAAAAACAATTGATAGATTTTTTGAAGAGAATTATAGATTGATAGAATAAATATTTAAAGTTTAGTTGAATCAATATAAAGATGATAATAGAATATATTTATATGGTTGGGATCAATTATTAAGAATAATTGAAATGCTCATCATTAAAATCCCTTAATTAATATTATATCTAAGATAATTATAAGTGGATCTACCACCACAATTAATAAAGGAGAATAAAAAGACTACTTTTATAGAATTTGTAATTAAGTATTTGACATGGGTTGGAGGAGATAAATTGGCTAACTTTATGCACAATTATTTAAGCGATATTAATTTATTATCTATTGGATATGGAGTCACTATTGCTTAAGAAGTTTTACAATTATTATTGAATGAATTATAATTAGATATTAATTAGGATTAGATGCTTTAGAAATATTATCACATTATGCAATTATTGATATTATTTGCTTAGACTTTAACTATGCAGAATTGTTGCATGATCTTAACTGACTAAAGATCATAATTGAACATTATTCCTTAGTTGATTAACACCTTGAATACTGTTAAAAATTGTGAAAATAAATAATTTGTTAAAACATACTAATAAACTATAGCTAAAGTTATTGAACCTTTCTTACAATCTTAAATATATTATGATCAAATTAAATATGGAAAGTATGGGGAAATATTCAGATTATAATAAAGCATTACTGATAATCCTTTTAAATATCACTATTTGCATTGTCTAAAAAATCAATTGATTTGTTATTCTCTATATCCCAATTTTAAGAGTGTTCCAGGATCAGCATAACATTTTATTTCTCATTAATAAGTTCAATAAACTTTAAAAGATGAACACTAATAAGAATTGATATGGCCACTTTATCAATCAAGAAAAAATTACAATAATTAAAGGCAAAATAATTAAAAACAATAAGAAGAAGATGTGAGTGATTCTGATTCAGATTAAGATATTCTTTTAGTAGATAGTCAAATCAAATATAAAGTAAATTATTCAAGTATCAATTCTTGGGGTTCTGATTATTATTATTATGACAATAATGATTTCATGTCAAAATACAGCATGAATAGAGATGAAGATAGATTGCAACGAGATAATTAATAAAATATATTTCCTTAGAAAGATCTCAATATCTTATTTTGTAAAGTTGATCCACAAATTATTAATTTCACATTACCTGCTTTATCAATTACAAAATCAAATATTCAATATCATTCCAATGATTATAAATAGTGGATTACCTCTATTGTTGGGTTGTATTATAGTTCAAATGAATATTTTGAAAATAAAAAATCCTTGATTTCAAAATCATATGAAAATCAACTTAAAATCACTGTTGAATTCATTCATTAGATGAATAGGCTATTATTATCTTCAAATTACTATAGAAATAAATAAAATGATTATATGCAATCATATTTATCATATTATTTGAATGGTACATTAAATAACCTATAAGTTTAAGCAAGTGCTTCTTGTTTCTATTCAAAATTTGGATAGCCTCCAAATTAATTATAATAAGATTATCAAGCAAATTCACTATCTGTAAATATCAATGAATCATAACAATAATAACATAGAATTTTATGTTAAATATCATGTAATATTCTATAAAGCAGAGTAGTTTTAAATGGTATGCCAAATGATTTGCAAGATTAAAATTTACTTAAAGGAAAACTTTAAAGTTTATTACACCCAGAAGAACACCTTATAATTCAACCAATAATCTTATAAATTCCAAAAAGATAATACGTTTAACCTGATCCATAGTAATTATTAATTTATGATAATGTGGTTCTTGAAATGTTTATAAATCTTTTACTAGATGTAAATAATTTTCCATAATTTCCTTTTAATTTATTTAGATAAATTAGTAAATGTTCTCGACTAGGATTTAAATTATTGATTTAATTATTACTCTTATATTAAGAATAAAAAAATAACTTAGATTTAACCTTAAAAATCTTATATCTAGTAAGTCAAAAAATACCTTCTACTAATTTAAGAGATTTGTTATCTGAATAATTATAAGTGAGTCCCATTTTAAATAAAAGAGAAAAGGCAAATCTTGCCAAAGTTTAAAAAATTAAGGAACAATTTGTAATTGAAGAAGAAGAAAATTTAGATGAATAACCTTAAGATGAGGATCCAGAAAATCCACTTGTCTTTTTGATTAATTAAATTAATATATATTGTGAGAAAAACATCTCATTCATGAAACTCTTTCATAATCCAGAATCTTATATACCATTAGAAAAAAGTAAAATTAATATGATATTTTAGATATACTATTGACTCCATTATTAGCCAACTAAACTGGAATGCATTTATCTTACTTGATTTAAATTATTAAAGGTTCATTGATGGTTGGAAGTGAAGATACAAAAGATAAGAATAAAAAAAGCGATGATGATTATCTATCAAAAATATAGAGAAGATAAGCTACAATCTTTACAAATAGTATCCAAGAGGAAACTAATAATAAATTATTTGATCTTGTCTCTTAACTCAATAAACATGAAGAAGATATTCATTTATAAGAAATGATTTTTAAAACATTTGCAGAGAGATATTCAGAAAATTCATAAGATCAATGGGAACCATAATCCTATTACAGTAGATTGCCTTTTTCATTAAGATAAAATGAATAATTCTAGCAATAATTACTATAATAATAGTAATAGTAACAATAGTAATAATAATAATAATAATAATAATAATAATAATAATAATAATAATAATAATAATAATAATAATAATAATAATAATAATAATAATAATAATAATAATAATAATAATAATAATAACAATAATAGGAGTAATAGTAAAGGCATCTTTTATAAAATGCAAACTTATTTTAAAAGCCATTATTTCCATCAGCTAAAAATGCATTACCTCAAACACTCCCTACTCAAGTTTCTCCTCCAATAACATCTGTATCAATACTTTAATAACAAAATGAATAATTATAATAATACTAATAATAATATCAAAAAAATTTATAAAACATGCGAAAATAGACAGCCTCTTAAGTTTATTATCAGTAACTTAGATAATTTTATGATTAGTATGTTAAAATTAATGATAATTAATAAGACAATTTCTAGACTTAATAATAACAAATTAAATAATTTTATGACAATATTTAATCATAGAAATAGTATTAATAGGATAAACAATAATAAGAGTAATAATAGGATTAGATTAATTAATAATCAATATCTCTTGAATAATAAATATAGTAATAATCAGATTAAAGCTAAAATATATCTGAAGAATAGAATGAATAAGATTAAAAAATATAATATAGAGAGAGAAAACTTAGTGCCAAGATCTCCCATGTTGAAATAGATATTATAACAGCATTGTGCAAAATTCTTAATAACCCACATCTAAGAGATTGCAATTCTACTGAAATCATTAATATAATCAACACATATGCAAATGATAGATTAAAAATGGAACATGCTATTAATGAATTGACAAAATATATAATCTAACAATCTAAAATATTCAATTATGAATTAGATAGAAAAAGAAAATAACTTAGAGAAATAGCAAGTTAACGAGAAAAAGTGCCTGAGCATGATCCTGAAAAATAATAATAGTTATCTCATTAAGAGAATGAAATTATTAAAGAACTTAATTAGAAAACACCAGATCCTAGCGGCATTCAAAGATGTTTTATTGCTATTATAGGATTTTTAAATTTAAATTTGAGTACTTCAGATTAATAAAAATAATCAACAAACAAGCCAAATTCAACATAAACTAGATAATAAATTTAATTAGATAAAAAGAAATTTAAATTGCATCAACAAGGAAAATAAATAGATGATATACAAGAAGTTGATACTTTATCAAAAAAAGACATTAGAAAATAATTCATTAATGTATTATAAACAAGATAAACTCACCATTTGTGGCTTAATGTTGTAGAAACATTATTATTGATTTTCAATTGTAAAGGTCATAGATCATTAGAATTATTATAGAAAAAACTATATCCTCTTTTAGAATGTTTCCTAAGGCTTTATTAAAATGTACATGAAGATACAAATAATTAAGATTCACTTTAATAAGGAACTTCAGATCCTAACTTTTTTGAACGTAATACAAGTGGATCGGCCACAAATTCATTATAATTTGGGTTATTATAAACATAAAATATTCATCTAAAACGATCATTTTCTGCTGTTAGAAATGAAAATGAAATGTAAATGAAAATTGATGAACTATTCACTTATCTTTGTATTAATGGTAAAAGACTCATCAATCATTTGATATAACAAAGACTTCATTAAGTTACAATTGATCATAAATAAAATTAGAATTCTAATTAAATCAAATTATTTAAAGAAACTGATCCTTTAGCTTTTGTTTTCTTCAAAATGAGTCAAATAATTTCATTTGAAAATAAAAAACATTTATTTGAATTGGATTTAGAAGCACTTAAAATAAGTGACAGACCTAATGCTCGATCAAGAAGTAGATAAAATGATACTATTGAAATTAATGTTGTTAGAGAAACAAGACTATAGTAATCTTTAGAAAAAGTTATTAATATTGATAAGATTAAGTTTAGAAAATGTGATATAAAAATTAGATATCAAGGAGAAAGAGGTTAAGATGAAGGAGGGATTAGAAAAGAGTGGATGACTAATCTTGTAAAAGATATCTTATAAACAGATAAATTTGAATTAACAACTAAGAGATTCTACAAAATTAATCCTAATAAAAAAGCATAAGAGGATTTGAATCATTATAAACTTTTAGGTAAAATTATTGCTAAAAGCATTTATGATGGATTACTTTTGCCTGTATATTTCATTTCTCCAATTTTCAAGCAAATGCTTTAGAAAAAACCTAGTTTTGATGACCTTGAACACTATAATGAAGGATATTATGATACCTTCATTAAATTTTTAAATGAAGAAACATAAGTTCAATATAAAGATTTATTCGAATTTTGGATTCCTGAAGAATATGCAAATCTGATAGAATAAAATAAAAAGTTAATCTTTTCTGATATTCTATCAGATTATTTAGAAAAGAATCCTATTGAATTAAAATAAGAATAATTAAATGAATAATAATAATAGAATACTAAATAGGAAGCCAAATTAACTTAAGAATAAGATTAAACAAAACCATAGAAATAAGACCAACAGTAAGAATAATAATAATAATAAGAATTATAATAGTAATAATAATAGTAATAATAAGAATTATAATAATAATAGTAATAATAGTAATAGTAATAATAATAATAATAATAATAATAATAGTAATAATAGTAATAGTAATAATAATAATAATAATAATAATAATAATAATAATAATAATAATAATAATAATAATAATAATAATAATAATAAGAATAAGAATAGTAATAATAAGAATAAGAATAGGAATAGGAGAAATAATTGTAAGTATTATAATAATCTGAGTAAAAATATCAAGAATATTTATAAATATTTGAAGATATATAGAAATAATAATTACTAATATAATAATAATAATAGCAATTATTAGATTAATAAATTATCAGAGAAACAGAAGACTTATAGTTTTTTAAAGATAACTTTCTTTAATAGAAATATGAAGACATTTAGTAACATGAATCATAATTAGAAATAAATTTAGAATAATTCGAATAATAATAATTAATATTATATCTATAATAACAGTATGATTAATCAGTTGTATCTTAATAAATTATAAAAGAATAGTAAATATCTCAATAAAAAATGGAGATGTAATAAAATTAAGTAGAATCTGAAGGGATGGTTCCACTTTTAAAGGCAGAGCAATAAAAAAGTGATAAAGAAGAAATAAAAATAAAGAAACAATCCGAAGATATTACAGCTGAAGACATGGAAAATAGGGAAAAGAAAAGACTTATTAGAAAGAATAAAAAAAAATAATTAAATGATGAAGTTTTGAAACACATTAAATTGTAAGATGTTTTTGAAAAATAAACTACTAATGTATCAGTTAAACATAAAAGATTAATTTGTGAATATATTAGCAAAAGAATTATGTTAGAAGAGATTAAACCTTAGTTATAAGCATTAAGAGAAGGCTTTTTTGATATTTTATAAAAAGAGTATTTCTCTTATATGGATTGGAGAGATCTTTAGAAATTAATAATAGGAGTTCCATCTGTTGATGGTATTTTATTTTATTATTTATTTTTAGTTGATGATTTATAAGCGAATACAGAATATATAAATTATGAAAAAAATAATTAAACAGTATTATGGTTTTGGGAAGTTTTAACAACATTAAGCGATTCTGAAAAGGCTGATTTCTTAATGTTTGCAACAGGAAGTCCTTTAGTTCCATTTGGAGGATTTAAAAATTTAAGAGGTCCAAATGGTCCAAGAAAGTTCTCTATTTCAAAAGACTTCAATAAAGAACATTTTATTAAGGCTCATGCATGGTATAATTTTTAATTATTGTTAGCTTTAATCGTATTGATTTACCAGAATACTCTTCTAAAGAAATAGTAAGAGAGAAATTACTAAAATCTTTGAAAGAATCTGGTTCAGGATTTGATTTAAGTTGATATATTAATAATATTATTTCTTATAAACAGTATTTAAGGTCTTTCATAAATTTATTCTTTGAAATGGTTAACTCAAGAAATATTTTCTATATTTTCTGTAAAACACAAAATACAATCCAATACTTGTGAGCTAATATGATGTAATCATCATAGAAATTACAATTAATTTCTATAATTAATTTTCAGCATCGATACAAAATAATGATCCTTTCTTATAATAAGTCTGAAAATCATAAAAAATAAGGGTAGCAGCTGAAATTAGTTCAGCAAAAATAATAACAAAAACTTATTATTATTTATTTTGCAGATCAACTTATTTAAGATATTCTAAATTACTAGTTGGTTTCTAATATCTTATTCTACTAAAATAATAATGTATGTTAGCTAGTATAAAAGATCCAAAATAAAGATTTAAAATGTCAATAAGAAAAATCAATAATGATAAACAAATCCATAATGTTTAATCACAATAATAGAAATCTCCTTCAATAAAGTAAATCATTGCCCATAAAATTAGAAATATATTTAAAATCATAATTTTAGTTTTTTTAGATAACTAGTATTCCTATTAAACATACTTTTTCGTAAAACGAATCATTTTTATTTTGCATAATAGTAAAATTTTCTAAGATTAGAATAACCGATAAGAGCCTAGAGATTCTAAGGGCACTCATAAAAATAGTATATTATTTGATTATGAATGCCAAATAAAGTAGTTCTAACTCAATAATATTAATACATTAGAATGTGAATAAATAAAAAATATTCCTCTCTATTTTTTCTAATACATCATTAATATCTTTTCTTATTCTATAGGATGCAATCAACATGTTGATTAACAAAAACCCAGTTAGAAATGCTAAACAACCCTATTAAATTGAGAAATCTTAATTCATTAAATTAAACAAAATATTATATTAAATTAAAGTCAGCATTCTGTTTGAATTCTAATTCTCATCATTTCTTTTACTTAAAATTGAATATTATTTATTATAAATGAGTTTACTGTTAATACCTTAAGATTGAATATTCTTATAATTTGCTAATATAATTTTTTAGATTAAACTATTTGTTTATTATTTAATCTATTATTCAATATATTCTTGTATTTAATAATTGCTATTTTTTTTATTCTTTTTAGATTAAAACATATTTTTATATTTGAATGATAAAAATACTATCGTTTCTTTAAAATATATTAAGAAATTTTATTTAGTTTTAAGTTTTTCAAATAATTGAACACAATCTTTTATATTGATATTAAATCTCTTAATTAATAGAATTATAATCTTTATTGTACTTTTTTATTCCTTTTCTGAATTTACTTTATTTCTAATTAATTTAACAATATGAAAATAGAAATTATTTTAGTTCTAAGTTTTTATGATTTTGATTATAATGACATAATACTTCAAATTCTGTACATAAATGGCTTTATAAGAATTAAAATTGAAATGCCCTCAACTTAAGTAATCGGTTAATCAATTCTTCAAATTTAATATTGAACTATAGTAAATAGACAACCTTTTTTCTGATGTTATTAATACAGTATTCCTATTTTTCCAATCACTTGATAGTTAGTATAATAAACTAACAGATTAGTTAACATTTATTTCTAGTGAGTTTTATTTCTCAAATTAGTCTCTTCCTCTCAATTGTTATTTTTTAAATATATATTAATTTTAATTTAATTTATTAGATCTATATAAATGATTTTTTTAAGTAAGAAATCAATCATTTTAGTAATCATCCAAAACCACTAATATGTTTAATTATGCTATGATTGGTTTTGTGTCTTTTACTCTTATGTTTCACTTAACCTATATCATTCAAAGTTCCTATATATTTTAAACTATGTAAATCTTTTGAAAGTGAAGGCTTTAAATTACCTTAATCTTCCCTTATTTTCTTAATTTGCTAAAGGGATCTGTTGCTGGTTTAATTAAATTACCACTTTACAAATGTCTTTGTAAAATTGGTTTTTGTATCCCTTTAAGTTTATAATCCAGATGTTGGAGTTTATGCTTTAGAATATTTTCTTTCTGTTAAAGATNCTGTTAATACCTTAAGATTGAATATTCTTATAATTTGCTAATATAATTTTTTAGATTAAACTATTTGTTTATTATTTAATCTATTATTCAATATATTCTTGTATTTAATAATTGCTATTTTTTTTATTCTTTTTAGATTAAAACATATTTTTATATTTGAATGATAAAAATACTATCGTTTCTTTAAAATATATTAAGAAATTTTATTTAGTTTTAAGTTTTTCAAATAATTGAACACAATCTTTTATATTGATATTAAATCTCTTAATTAATAGAATTATAATCTTTATTGTACTTTTTTATTCCTTTTCTGAATTTACTTTATTTCTAATTAATTTAACAATATGAAAATAGAAATTATTTTAGTTCTAAGTTTTTATGATTTTGATTATAATGACATAATACTTCAAATTCTGTACATAAATGGCTTTATAAGAATTAAAATTGAAATGCCCTCAACTTAAGTAATCGGTTAATCAATTCTTCAAATTTAATATTGAACTATAGTAAATAGACAACCTTTTTTCTGATGTTATTAATACAGTATTCCTATTTTTCCAATCACTTGATAGTTAGTATAATAAACTAACAGATTAGTTAACATTTATTTCTAGTGAGTTTTATTTCTCAAATTAGTCTCTTCCTCTCAATTGTTATTTTTTAAATATATATTAATTTTAATTTAATTTATTAGATCTATATAAATGATTTTTTTAAGTAAGAAATCAATCATTTTAGTAATCATCCAAAACCACTAATATGTTTAATTATGCTATGATTGGTTTTGTGTCTTTTACTCTTATGTTTCACTTAACCTATATCATTCAAAGTTCCTATATATTTTAAACTATGTAAATCTTTTGAAAGTGAAGGCTTTAAATTACCTTAATCTTCCCTTATTTTCTTAATTTGCTAAAGGGATCTGTTGCTGGTTTAATTAAATTACCACTTTACAAATGTCTTTGTAAAATTGGTTTTTGTATCCCTTTAAGTTTATAATCCAGATGTTGGAGTTTATGCTTTAGAATATTTTCTTTCTGTTAAAGATGGATGAATCTTAATTATAAACTTTAATTGATTACTACTGTAAATGTAGCAGGAAAACTGATTTTTGGAATGGATTCATTTGATTATATATTCTCAGTCTACAAATTTTGTTTTAATCCTTTATTTCTAATAACAAATTTAATAGTGTTACAATAACTATAATTTCTTTAACAATTATTCCTTTGTTAATTGTTTTAAATTAAATCTATGTTAAAAATCATTTTCAATTTCTATATGTTTATCTAAAGATCTTTAGAATTTTGAAAAAGAATGGTCTAAAATTGATGACATTTTGCTATCAAATTATGATTCTTAATATTCCATTCTATGTTTTGACTTTTTTAATTGATTTTATCTAATTTGTCTCAATAAAAATGATGTGCACTAATAAATAACATAAAGTAGTAACATTTTAAATTTTCTTATACTCTTCATTTTCAATATTCACATTTTATATGGTATCAAAAAATTGTTAATCAGATCTATGAATTTTATATTGCTAACATAATTTAATCGCCAATCTTTTATCACATTTAAATTATCTGAGCTTAATAAATTAATCACAATCTGTCCATTCAATAGGCTTTCTAGAAAGATTAGGAAAGTCATTTATGTTTATTTTCTTACGTTCTTTGTTAGATTTAAATAGATTATGTTCATAAGTTTTAAGTTCTTTTATAATGCTTTTTTGAGGTTTCATCAAATTTAAAATGATATTTATATAAATTTAATAATAATTAAATAGTTTAATTAAATTTTATTCATCTAAACAGAGATATATATTTAACTTAAACTTTCTTGGATGAAAATAGGCAATATAACATGAGATAAAAAAATTGGAATTAAAGCATTTATATATATATATAAAGTTAAACTCATCTTAAATCGATTTGGCTCTTTTATTGATAGGCATGCTTCATTTTGACAGGTGCCTTTTATTAAGATTGCTTAATTGTTAAAAGTTTATATTACTTGATTGTCCCAAACTTCTTAGGAACTCTTGATAAATACTTTATTGATGTTTTTTGGTTTAATTGGATTTTCAGGTGGTGACAATTATTATGACATTGCACTCTAAATAAATCTTTTCTTTCCATTTTTAATATCTGATTGGGCTTTACAAATTTAATAAGATGATAAAATATTTTTTTATATTTTTGTCTAACTCTTAAATAATCTATCAGTTTAACTCTAAAATGATTCTGGATATAGTTATGAATTTTTACAATTATTAAGATGACCTTAAAGATCAAGATAGCTTTTTAGTTTTTATGTTGATTCATGTGATTTGTATTTACCTAAACCATAATTATCTTCCTTATAATCCTTTATTTGCATCTAAAATAGTAACTAAATAAATATTACTGCACTAATTGGTAAGTTAATACGATGAGAAAAGTCTTGTTATCTTTATTCACATGTTCTAATAACTTAAGAATATTATATACTTTAAAATTCTCTTGGAGTCTTTTTAAGAACTTTCTGCATTGGCATTATATCTAATATTTGATGAACATCTTCTTTCTGGTGATTAAAATTAATCTAAGCTTGGAATCAAAGTCCTTTTTGTATTTGAATCTTCAAGTGATTTTCTCTCTGTGGCATAATTTTTTGGTTTAGTTACATCATTTTTGATTGGAGTAGTATTTTCTTTAAAAATTTCTGAACTTTAATGTAGTTTCTTATAAGCCTCATTATTAGGATTTCTTTTTCCATTTAAAACTGTTGGATGTTGTTTTTTGCATGAAGAATTTAGAGCCTCATAATTATTATTAATCTCTTTCTTGTTAGTTAATCTTAAAAATAGTTGGTACTTGTCGTATTATTCCATTATATTGGCTAACAGATAATATTTATTTATATAATTTATTACAGATTTATAAAACATATAGAACTCATTTATTATATTAAAATAACTTAATTATGTAGCTCTCTTAAATTGTAAATAAGAAATAGACAAATTTGAATTGTCCATTAAAAGTATAATATACAAAAACTTCTTTTTAAATAAAATTAATTATCGCAATTAAATTATAGAAAATATTAAATAATTTCTTAGTTTTTATAGTAAACATATTATGTAAAAAGATATTTTTATTTAAATATAAGATAAATTTAAAATCTAATACTAAATTCAAAATTTTTTTGATAAAACTGGAATTTGCTTAAAAAATGAAGGTTCTAATTAAGATTAATCTGAATATATTAGAAATTTCAATCTATTTTGATAAAATGTTTTTCCATCAGAATCTATTATTTCTGTTTAATTAATTTATACAAAATTATTTGGTCCCATTTAATCCAAAAGATAGCATGTTACATATTCTGGTATATGGTTAAAATTATTAATATCATTTTTCATTTCCATTTAAAAGGATTAAAGTTTTTATAAATTAACATAATGTAGGGAATAGAAAGTAAACGTAAACGAAATCAATCTTAAGTCAATTAATTATTTTGATTATGTTTAACATTCTTCAACTTTCTTTTTTGTTTCAATTTTTTAATATGTATATCTTTTTGTTTATGTTTATAATTCTTCAGTAATGTTTAAACTTATCACTTAATTCTTCATAGAATGCATCAAAATTTATTAAAATAAATTAATTGAAATTTAGGTTAAGAATTTAATATTGATGTTGAGAGAAAATGAAGCCTCCATTTGATGTTACATTATAAATTTAACAGAATAATATTCTGCAATAGTAGATAAATACTATTATATTGTATCAAGATATATAAATAAATTAGAAATATATTAAATCTAAGAAATTTATGGTATTTTATCTTATTGAAAGTATATTAAATAGTTCCTTACATAATTCATAATTTATAAATTGAGGCATTAAATTTTTAAGAACATTTAATCTTAAATATTTTTAGAGAAGCGTTATTTAATTGTTTTAATTTCTAAATTGATATTAGCTTATCTATTAAGAATTTCTTATGAATAATTAACAATTGATTATTGATATTCTAAAATATCTTTTTCATATGATTCTATTAAATTATGTACTTATTCAGTTTTTATAATAACAATTAAAATAGGTTTTCCAAAATTAAATAATTTAACAATAAGTTTCATCTTTTTATGTTTTTCATTAATCTTGTCTTATTAAATAATGTCAATCTCATAATCTTGGTTTTCAGCATTCATATAACTTTCAGAAGTTTTTATTTTCTTGAAACAGAATTCTTCAAGTTTTTACAATTTAGATAAAACTTTTTCATTAATTCTCTGACTCTCATTCATATTATTTAAGACATATGATGTTCTTAAAAATTATCTAATTTATTCAGAATCTTTAATATTTTTGAGATTTTCAAAAGTTTTATTCTTAAATTCAAGATTAAACTGTCTTGTTCTTTCATCCAAGCTTACAGCAAACATAGAATCAGTTACAAATTCATCAATTATTTCTCTAATTTATATATTAACTTTACTTTTATTTATTGGCAATTAAATTAAGAGAGAAAGCAAGTCTCGAAGTATATTCATACATATATGTTAAAACACTAACAAAAGATATGCAAGCACAAGAATGTAACATAAATTATATGTTATTTATAGTGTAAACCTAGAATAGAAATATTAAAATTAAAGGAGTCACTATGGTGTATATTAATTTTAGTTTATTGTCGCTAAACTACATAATTCCAAATATGAGGGCAGATGAATTAAACCCAAAAAAGAAATTAGGACTTTATATTTATACGATTTTTACATATTATTTCCACTCATTGCTATCATAACATTTGTTGACACACTCCAAATATACATTGCAGAAAAAACAAATTTTAAACGTGGTTTTAATTTTGGACTTAGTAAAAACAATCCGAAACAGCAAAATACAACTGCTGCCATCATTATTATTAAAACATATGGTTATTACTGAACTACAAAAATAATAAGTGTGATAAGAGCAGCGAAAGTCATGAGAAGATTAAGTATCTTAAATCCAACTAATCTAATTTTGTTAGAGTGTTCTTCATATTAAATCTCAAAATCATATTCATAAAAGTTGAGTTTCCATTTATGGAAAGGTAAACTTATCATTTGTATTAATTAATAATCAGTAATTAAAATAACTTATATGCATATTAATTATATCATTGCACAACTTATTTCATAAATCAAAAGTTATTTGCTTAAAACAGATCCTTCTCTATTATATTAAAACAAATAGGGAATATTTCTGTAATTTATTTAAAATGAACTCTTAAAAGGATAGTATAATTGGAATCAATTTATTTGAGAAAGTAAAGATGTTTAAATTAAAATAAGACTGAATTATATTATGGGATATCCATAAATGAACTTGAAACATTTTAGAATAAAGATTATTTGACAAAAATTACATACTAATTAAAGAAGTTTATTAATTATTATATAAATTTTAATATTTTTATAAAAATTTCCTTTTTTATTAATTCTACCTACATGTTTATAACTAGCTATGATTTTTCTCGATTTAATTATATAATGAAAAATTATAAAATAAAAAAGGACTTTCTACACTAAATTGAAAGATTAGATTCAATTAAAATATATTTAATTTATGCATAGTAACATGCCTTCATATACTATATTATAATTAAATCAAAATAGAAACAATAATTAATAGCTAATAATTAATTGGTATTTAGTATAATATAAGTTATAATAAACTATTAGCAATACTCTTTAATATATATATTTTACTATACTAATTTTGAACAAATCTTATATTTAGTGAGAGAAAATTGGAAGAGATGATCTGAACATTTCAACTTAATGATAATTGAAATTACTCTTTGTTTTAGCTTTTATTTCCTATTGATTAAATATATAATAATATAAATATATACAATCAATAAATGACAACAACTCCGAGTGTTAGAAGTCGAAAATGGTTTGAAGATGTAAAGGGAGAGTTATTGATGCCAATTGTCAGAATTAAACCAGCAACCAATTTTTAAAGAGAGGATTTAAGAATTAATAATCAAAATATTATATTGACAGATCCAAACAATAGAATATTAGAAGAATTTGAAGTTCCAGAAGCTTATGGATAAGAAGTAGGCCTTGAATAAATATATAATGAAAGAGTGGCTCCTTTAATTTAATAATTTATATAAGGTTTCAATGTGAGTGTTTTTGCATATGGTTCTACAGGTGCAGGTAAATCATAAACAATAGAAGGAAACAAGAAAGAGAAAGGTATAGTTACACTTTGGGCAAGCACTTTATTTGCATATTTGTAAGATAAGGTAGTGTAAACATACAAAGAAGATAGTGTGATTGCTGATTATAAGTATGAAGTGAGAATGCAATATTTGGAAATATTAGATGAAAATATTATGGATTTATGTGCTGATAGAAAATTTGGAGAAAGATTGTTTGTTGAAGATCATCCTTGGGATGGACCAATTGTTTAAGGAGCATCTTGGCATGAAATTACAAAAGACACCGAATTAAATGATCGTTTATATAAAGGATTAAAAAGTAGAGATAATACTAGTAATGAATTTGGAAAAGTAAGTGCAAAGGCTACATCATTATTTATAATTGACCTTAAATAATGGTTTTCAAATAAAGATACATAAGAAATGGTCTTGCTAAAAAGTCAGGCAACCTTTGCTGATTTACCAGGAAGTGAAATATTGGTGGATGATGCAGAAACAATTAGAGTAAAATAAGGATCAACATTAAATAAAGTAATTATAGCATTTACACAATTAATTAAAGATTTGGCAAATAGATAAGAAGATTATGTAATGTATGATACATCTACTGTGACTAAATTAGGTAAAGAAATATATGGAAGTAATTCATATAATATAGGAATATTTTGTTGTTAACATGGTGATCCTAAAGGTTCTTCTTTAGCATTATAAGTATTCAAATAGGCTCGTAAAATAATGACATATCCTGTTATAAATAACCATAGAGTCATAGCATTATTGAGATAGTTTAGATTAGAAGCTGCATCTAGTAATTAAGTAGGGAAAAAGAAAGATACTCCAGTTGCTTCAGGGGATTCTGTTGGTGTTTAAGAATTACTTGATCTTAAGAGCAAAGTCAATGATTATGCTAAATAGATAGCTGATATGGATGATGAAATTACTGATTTGAAATCAAAATTATCAGCTTTGAGAGCAAGATTTTAGGAATTAGTTAAATAAAAAGTAGAATTGTAAGATGAATTAATTAAGGCTGAAGAGGATAAAATAGAATCAGCTAAGGCTTTATTGGATATGGAATTGTAGAACACAAAATTATAAGAATTAATTATTTAAATTTAATCTGAAAATAATACTAAAAAATTGAATGATGAAAATATTTCAGATGATGTTAGACTATAAAAGGCATAGTAGATTATTCAGGAATTATAAGATAGATTAAGAGAAGCTATAGATGAAAAGAGAGAAATTGAAATGGAATTTATGGCTTTAAAGAAGAATTACATGGATAAACTAAAAGAATTGGAAAATATTAGACTCTAATAAGAGAATTATAGTCTTGAACTTATTAATTTAGGTAATGAAAATAAGGCTCTTTAAGAGGAAATATCTAAATTATATTAATCAGATGGTTAAACAAATGAACAAACAAAAATGATGTAAGAAAAATTAAAGACAATGACTGATGAGTTGAGAGAGAAAAGAGAAACTCTTGAATTTGCAAAAGCTGAAATTGAAAGATTAAAGGTTGAATTAATGAAATATGGATTATTAGGAGCAAAAGATAAATTGGAACTTGATAAAAAGAGATTAGAACTTGATAAATCATCTACATAAATTTAGATAACATAATCTCCTAATAATGATGATGCTTATAAGAATGAAAGAATGTTATGGGAAAGTCAAAAAATGGAACTTACACATAAAGTTAAATCATTATAAAGAAAAGTAAATGATGATAATGAAAGAATAAAAGATTTAGAAAAATAATTAAATGATTTAAATGGTGAGAATGTTAAGATGTAATTGTAATTAGATGAAATGAGAGCCATTTATAGAAATAAATTGATTTAAATTCATAAATTAGATCCAAGAGATGAATTATTTTAAACTTATGCAGCTAAAGAAAGAGAATATTCATAATCTATTGAAATTTTAAGTAAAAAGAATAAATAATTACAAATTGAAATGAGATCAATTAAAAGTTATTCTAGATAAATTCGTTATTTGGCTGAAGATTGGGCACCTCTTGGTTAACCTTTACCTGATATTTTACATAAAGGTTATATGATATTAGATGAAAATGAACTTGTATTTATATTCTAATATATCATAGCATACTCAAGCATAAAAGGATTAAGAATAAGAAATTCAAAGACTTAGAAATAAAAATCATATTTTAGAAGCAGAACTTATGAATGTAAAAGAAGCTAAGAAAATTGAAGATCCAAATAATGCTACTAAGAGACTTATATCTGAAATCTAGTTATTAAAATAGAGTTAAGTTTCTGATAATAATAATAATAATGATTCTTCTTTAAGGAGAGAAAGAAATGATTTATAAGAAGAAAATAGAAGATTAGTATAATTATTAAAGGATTCCAATAAATGGGATCTTCATAAAATATAATAAGAAAATGAAAGATTATTAAAGATTGTCAAAGAATATGAGATGATTGGACCATAATCAGGATAAAGTAAGAATGTTCAATAAAAAATTTAATTTTATGAATAACTTACAAAATAATTGGAAAGGGAAAGAACTGAATTAGTTGTTAAGGCAACTGTAGCAGAAGAATAATTAGTATAATTATAAGCTAGTATGACCAGAGTAGCAGTAGATTATTAAAAACAAATAAATGAACTAAAGAAAAAACTAAAAATATTATGATATATATTTTATATTTGAGCAAATTAATAAATAATATAAAATCAAATATCAAATTCATCAAGAAACTTAGCCTATCTAATTTAAGCTATATGATAATTCCAACTTTATAAAAATTTATAATCATAGATATTATCTAAATTTATAAATCTATCAAGTAAAGAAACACTAATAATTTCATGATTGGGATGTTAAATTAAAAACCTTTCTTAACGGAAAGATTAAGGACCTTCATTATCCTAAAAATCATCCTCTTAATTTTATATTAGAATTTCTTTATTAAAAGAATGTTAAAATTGGACTTATTTTTATGTATTATATTCTTTATCTTTATTCTTTAAATTTCTAACTTCAGATTCTTATTCATTTTCACTTAATTCTTCTTCTTGTATAACCATCTCATTATCATTTCCAGAATGTTACTCATCCTCAGATTAATAAGATCCATCTGCTTTAATTACAGTTCTCCTTCTACTGGCTATTTTGCCAAGTTAATTTTTTTATTTTGATCCATTTTCTGAGAAATCTTAATTATCTCCATCTTATAAATCTTCTTATTAATTTTCAATATTATTAGCATTATTAGAAATTTAAGATATTTTTCTTCTCCTTTTATTAGGTGATATAATTTAATTTCCTTAATCATCAAATTTTATAGATTCCTAATCTTAACTCTCTTTTGTTTAATCTGAGTCCATAGTACCTTATTATTTTATCTTACTTCTTGACTTAGTGTTTTTCATTTTTTTATTAGATGATTGTCTATTATTTTTAAATGGTTATCCATCTATATTATTATCATTTTCATCATAGGAATTTATATCATCTTGATTAAAATCATCATCTTCACTTTAATCATCAAAATTATCAATATCTACTCTACCTTATATTTAAGAATTATCAATTCTTTAAGTTGCTGATTCTTTTGTTTCTTCTTATATTGAATCATATATATTTTAATGTAAAGATTAACTTGATTTTTAACACATTCCATATGGTTTTTAAAGTGGACTTAATAATTTTTTAATAATCTACATATGATTCAATAAATTCTTTATTTATGCTAATAATTAGAATAATATATATACAATCTATTCTTTTTGATGAGAAATAGAATTCATTGAAATCTTAAAATAATACATCATATTCATCTTACAATTTTACAAGATTAACATTTAGATGAACTTAATATTTCTTTTATTAATAGAAAGATTATGAAGAAATGAGCATTTAAACTTTAGTCATAAGTTACTTAATTCTTTCTTCCAAAAGTTTATCTACTTACTTTGTATTATCTTAGAGATTATTTAATTTAATGGAAGCTGAAGGCTCTTTAAAAAAGAAATATCTTGGATCTCTAGAATTGATTTCACTTCTATTTTAATTATGTTAAACAAGTTTTTTAAGTTTGCTTCTATATCTTCTAACAGTTTAGACAACTGAAATACTATTATTGGTGTTTTAACAAGTAATAAATTCGCTATTTTGAAAATGTTTAGTTTAATTAGTTGGTTTTATCTTCTCTTAGCTATTATAAACTGAAACAGACATAATTTTATTTCTATGTCTAATTGGTGAAGGATTATAATGATTAAAACCATTCTACTGTATTGTTTCTTTACTTTAGTTTTATTCAATAGATTCTTAGCTTAGATTAAATTTATATTCTCTTGGCTATAATTTTAAGGCAGGTAATCTAAAAGAGTTATCTTAAGCCTTCATATAAATAGTTTTATTATTTATTATTTTAATATTTCATTAAAATTTAATATTAGAAATCAATCACATAAAATTCATCATTTATTTATACTATTAAATTAATATATAATTCATTTATTTTATACCTTAGGATGTTTTTCTGCTTATTGTAATAAATCCTCAACATCTTTCTAATAATTATTATAAATATATACTGTTTATTAATCCAAATATAATAAACATTCACTTAAATTATTGACAATCTGATCCCATTCAGATTCCTCCTTTTCCAGTCCTAATATTTTTTCTTATATTTTAACTACGTAATTGATTTTACGTTCTAAAACATCTAAATCTTTACCAAATTATTTTATTGAATCAATAAGTGATTCTTCATCTATATCTATAAAAAATATAATTATAGTAATAATACCAAAAGAAGTATCCTATTATGTGAGTTAATCAACTAAAGCAGCTAATTATGCAAGTGTTTCATCTTGTTTTTTACTAATATTAAGAAATACTTTATTCCATTCATTATAATAGTTTTCAACTTTTTAAGTATGATTTCTTCTATCTCCCTTAACAAGAGTTCTTTATACTTATTATTATGGATTTGGATTAATTCCAAGAGTCATTTATTATTATTATTATTATTAGATATTTTTCAATGAGTTTTTTTCAATAAGCTATAAATTTTTTTAATTTTTATCAATCTTTTCTTTGTTAGCTATAGCTTTAGTCAAATTTTCAATATGCAATTTAGTTTGTTAATTTATTTAATTTAATGTGTAGTTTTTAGGTTAAGTTGGCTATGGCTATTACTAAGTTGTTGGTTATGTTAATGTTGTTTATTACCCTTAGATTTAAGGTTGTTATTATTATGGTTATCCAAACATATTTGTTTATTGGGTCTGTCCTAATTATGTTGCTTATTATTGTGGTTGTCCTAATAATGAATTTGGCTGTTATTATCCTGCTAAAGTAGTTTATTGTTACTATCCTAATACATTAGTTTATTATTATTATGGCTATCCAAATATAGCAGTGGACTAATTGGTATTACCAAATATACTCGGCTATTGTGATTACCCCAAAATTCCTTATGGTTGTTATTACCCTAAAGGATTTTGAGCTTGCCCGAATAAATTGTTTGAAGGAGCAGGATTGTTAAAAATTGAAGAAGTTGGATTCCCTTATTATTATGGTTAAGTATTATTTGCTCCATTCATGTTTGTAAACATTATTAATTTAAATTTTAAGTAATAAAGCAAAAATTATTTAACTAAAATCATTAAACAAATAATTCTTATTTAACACTACTAATTAATACAATCAATCTAAAATCACATTTTGATTTCGAACACTAAAGTACTTAACATTAAAGATAATTATACTTAATTTTTATGAAAGAATTTTGGAAATCATAATAATATTGATTCTTTATGTGAACACACCTTTATATATGTTAAGATTAAGACCACTTTACATCTAGCTTTAGTAATTATAAATTAATTTTCTAAAGAGATATAAAAAACAAAGAATTTTATTTGGAATGTATTCTTTTTTCTTAAAAATATTGAAATTAAAATCAATATAAGAAAAAATCAATTTAGGATTATCAAACATATAGAATAGATAATTGAAATTCTTAATTTCAAAAAATTGTCCTTCTCCATATGGTTACTTCAATATCTGGAAGATTATATGAAAAATACAAAATACTATTTAATATTAATTTGAAATGGATATTTATTTAATATTCTAATTTATTAATTATTAATTCTAAAATTAAAAAATAATATACTTTATAACTACAATCCAATCATTTTTCTTATAGATCTGATTTAGCTTTAATCAAATCCTAGTAAAGTAATTTAATTCCTTCTTCATTCAAGTTAGATTAAAAGAATATTTCCAAAATGTTCTAAAATTTTTCTAATTGTTTCTGATTGTCTTATCCTTTAATAATTTAATCAATAACATCTAAGATCTAATCTGAATTCAATTTTTTATTTTAAGATTTCCCCTTAATCTTCTTAATTTCCAATTCTATTAATTCTAGAAAGGCTATAATATCATCTATTTAATCATAATCCAGATCTTAAAGAATAATGACTTTTTATTTTTTATTTTCTTTCTCATAGTTTTCTTCAATCATCTACTTATTTAATTTTTTATCTTAATGCAATAGTTTTTACTTTAACAATAAGTTCTAAATTAATAACATAGATATTTATTCTTGAGTGTAATACAATTTCTTTAACTTAATTAAAATAGAGTCTATTGCTGTATATTTACTTATTGTTATATTTATGATTTAATGATCTACTGGACCCTTAATGAATACCCAATTTTCATCAACTTGAATATCTATATCTGTAGTTTTTCCTCCTAAAAACTCTAATGTAATTTTTGAATTCTTTTTTAAACTCTTAACATAAAATTAACTCAAATAAACTCCTTTACTAAATGAAATAGTTCCATCTTTTTCAGCTGTTTGTATATTGATATTATTAGTGGTAGTCTTAGTATTTTATTTTGCTTTTTTAGGAATATAAAGATCTTTGAAATTAATGAATAGAGATCCATTATGATCTTTAAAAGTATCGTTTGTTTTATTTATACTATGAATCTCTCTTTCTTATAATTCAACATAGTATTTATGTTCAATCAATTTTTATTCTTTTTCTAAGATGAATTAATCGAAATCCATTAATATAGATAAATATTCTTCATTGATTTCATAAAGTCCAATTTCTTTTTTGATCTAATTAATTGTCCCTTAATAATATTGGTGATATTTCTAATCTGATTCAATTAAGCTTAAGAATAAATTAGCCTTCCTATTATTCAATATTTACTTCTTCATCAATGTATTTTTTCATTTTTAATTCTTATTATGTATTCTAATATTACTAGATTTGACATGGTAAACCAAAGATGGGTTTACAATTTTTATATATAATGCTATTATCATAAGTATATTTCAAACTTTTTTCCACCATTTTTAGACCATCGAGAATTGATTAACAATATATTGTTGTGATGATAAATATAAACATATAATTATATTATTAATTATAATATTGTTATACTAGTAATTGAGTAATTTTCTTACTCCTTTATGAAATGAGTTTTTGATATAAATTAATATAGTGAAAATACTAATGTGGAATTTATTAATTTACTTTAAATTCAATAATTAATGTAAAAATGAATAAGATTTTTATTAGTGAATGTTTTTAAGGGTTTTCAAATTTTGAGTGTTGGGTACATAAATAATTTATAAAATATTAATATAAACATAAAAATGATATCAGAATTGAATTCATTTTTTGACTGTCCAGACAATTCAGGGAAATCCAATAAAATTTGGTAACCTATTATTGATTTAGAAATATATAATGTAATATATATATAGTAAACGTTATTAAGAATGACATCATCGTTTTTTAAGAAGACTGCCGCAAAATCAGTAAAAAATAGAAACAACTAAAATTGATTACAATCTAATTAGGAAATGAACATTTATATCATATTAAAGACTAAAAAATATCTTAGCTTAATATAACAGTAGCTGTAATGACAACTTATAGACATGACTTATTTGGCAATATCATTAGAATTTCTCGAAATGGAAAATTTGTTGATTTATTATTGGATGAATATATTGTATTTAAGAATATGATGGCATAAAGATGTTTATAAACAACATTTCATGATGAATTTGGAGTAACAAAAATGATAGGAAAGGGTAGTTTTGCAAAAGTATATTTTGCTACTAAAAAATCAACAGGAGTTAATTATGCTGTAAAAGCATTCAATAAAGAATTCATGTAAGATTAATTCAAAGGTAGAGAATCATTAGAAAATGAAATCAAAGTTATGAGAAGATTAAACTAAGAAAATCTAGTAAAATTATATGAAACATATGAAACATAAAATTCAATCTATTTTATATTAGATATATTAAAAGGAGGTGAATTATTAATCAAAGTCAAGTAATAACCTTTGAGTGCTCCAAGTTTATAAAAATTAATGTATAATTTGATGAAAGCACTTTGTCATTTACATTCTAAAAAATGTATGCATCGAGATTTGAAACCAGAAAATTTATTATTAAAAGAGAAAGATAATGATACAGATATTGTTATAGCTGATTTTGGATTAGCATGTTTTTTAAATGAAGATATACTTTTTAAAAGATGTGGAACTCCAGGATTTGTTGCTCCAGAAATATTATTATATAAAGAAGGAGATCCATTTTATGATGAAAAATGTGATGTATTTAGTGCAGGTGTTATCTTTTATGTTCTATTAACAGGTAGATAACCATTCTAAGGAACTGATTATAAAAGTATTCTAAGAGCAAATAAAAATTGTGAAGTTAATTATGAAATAAAATAGATTTAATCTGTAAAATAAATTAAAATAATTAATATAGGCACCCATATAGTTAGTAGATTTATTAAAGAAAATGTTGTATCCTGATCCAAAAATTAGAGTTTCTTCTGAAGAATGTTTAAAACATCCTTATTTTAAGGAAATCTTCAAGGAATAAGATCTAATAGATGTTTAAGAAAATCTTAGAGATTATGATAAGGATTTTATTTATGGATTAGGTAAATAATAAGGGTATTATATGTTATTTAATAAATAGTCCACCAAGTTAAGTTGGTTCAATGTAATTATAATAAAGATAGCCTGCTTTGAATGGAAGAATTGACACTATTGGTTCATTTTCAAATGTATCTAATAATGGATCAGTTACAAGATTAGATTAGAAACCATAATTATAATAAAGTAAATTTAGTTAATTTGGAAATCTAAATAAATAATAACCTTAATCAGATTAAAGTAAATTAAAAATTGAATATATAGATTCTCCTGTAATGAAGAAGAATTTATAATCAGATTTACGTAAGACAGCTTTGAAAAATTCATTTTAATAACAAATAAATCAATTAAGTAAAGATGATGATTGTGTAAATGATGAAGCTGCTCACTTAGAAGATGCTATATCAAAATTAAACTCTAAGACACCTAAAATGGGAGGATTAAAAAAAGCAAATTCATATAAAATACCAAAATCATCAATGGAATGAGATATACTATAATCATTAATCCCGTTTGCCTGAAAATATTCTATTAATCATCTTCAATTATTGTTTAGTTTATAAAAATGATACAGGTTAACCAATATTTGGTAACTTTGTTTAAGTTCCTCTTAATTATTATTTATTAATTGTTTATTTTAATTACAACTACTACATGCATTATTACTTTGGACATTCGATATCTTTTACAAAGTTACTCATCGTTTCCCTTTTACTTTATCCACTATGAATTCTAAATACTTATCTGAATCCTTAACTAGAGTTTCTTTGTTAGAAGATATCAGGTAGCTTCTTTAATTATTTGAAAGGAGGACTTTAGTGTTCATCATTAATCTATAAGAATTCATTCATGAATTTAAATTAATCACCAAAACTAAATTATTAGGGATAACTAGAACGTTGATTTACATTAGAACTAAATATTCGATAATTGTTAGATTTTTTATCCTCAGAATTTGTATGCAATTCTGATCTTTTTCTCATTCCATATATTTGTGGAGGAGTATGTTACCCTTCAACTCCAGAATTATCAGAACTTCTCTTGGATGTAGTTCTTAAATTTGATTAATTTTATAATTACATCTGAGTTGAAGGATTTGAAACATTTCTTTGAACAGGATGTTTCAACAATCGTCTTGTATGAACAAATTTCTATTTCATGCCTTAATTATCAACAGGGAAAAAAAAGTTTGCTGTCTTTTCTAACTCATCATTCATCTTTTATTTATTAAAACTTTCTTAATGCTTAAATTATTATTATTATTATTATTATTATTATTATTATTATTATTATTATTATTATTATTATTATTAAATATGATATTCTTATTCTTTCCACTATTATATGCACAATTACTATATCCATATCCTTAAAATCAATCAATTGAAACTCTAGAATTCATTCAAACTATCAACTAATAAAAACAATGCATAAATTTATATCAACATTCAAATCATCAAAATATTATCCATACACAGTATATCCTTTCTAATAATTATCAAGATTACTAATTTAAGCTATCCTAAATTAATGGATAAAATGTTCCAAAATTGCTATTCAATATTATAATCACAAATAATTCGATCTATATCCAACCTTTTAAAATATTAAGCTAAATTACAATTAAAAAATCAATTTAACATTTTTTGAATAGTTGTCTAAACTTTTACCATCACATTCCCCTTATTTAAATGTATTAGAACCATGTTATTTGTGGGCTTAAAATATGACACATCTCTTTTTAAAAATCAAATTCACTACCAAAATTGATATTCCAGGAGCATAAACTGTCAATAATTTTTAAATTAATATAACTGAACCTTCCTTATACATAGAAGCTTATTCGTTTGAATTACTTAATCGGTATGTTTTAAGAATAAAAACATATAAGTTTATGAATCCAACATATTTTCATTATAAATTTGTTGAATTAGGTTAAGTAATCATTGAAATCTTGAAAAGTCCATCTCCTTATTTTTGGAAAAATGTCCATTCAAATATCATGTACAATCCTCCAAATCAATATATATGGTGGGATATGTATTATTAATATAGAGGATAATTAGAAGTGGCATTTGGATTATTAGAAGATACTGAAAATAAAAGAGAAGAAATGGAAAGACAAAAATTATCAGAAGACTTAAAGATGAGAGAAAGCAAAAAATAATATAAAAAAATAAAAGAGGATAATTAAGAATTATATAAATAATTATATTGTAGATATTGTAATCCTTTAGACGGAGATGAATGGTCAAGTTGGATTATATGATTAAATATTAATATTCATAATATTCATTATTTTGGAATTTGATCGAAGAATTTGTTTAATTAATCTGGTGGCAACATACCTGTAAAATTATTTACTTTCTTTCCATTTTAAAATAATATAACAGTTGGTACTACTTCAATATTATTTAAATTTGCTAATTATTCATGTTGATCAATGTCAATTTTTATTAAAGTAACATTCGGATGTTCTTTAACTTTTTGTTCTAATATTGGAGTCAATCTTTTGCATGGTCCACACCATCTAAATTATTATTAATTAAATTACGTAGCATAAAAATCAACAATTATTGGTTTGCTAGCTTTAATGACATCTTTTTCCCAATCTGTCAAGTTTTGAATACTACCAAAGCTTTTAATTAACTTGTTTAATCTAAACATAAATAAAAATTTAATAATAATAAAAATTGTTAAAAAAAATTAATTATAAGTTAAATATTCAAAGAATCTTTTATTTATCATAAAAAATAAGAACATCAAATACATATATAATTTAAACTATTTTATTTTTTATCCTTCAAATAAATATTTAATTACTTTACTCTATAACCCTAACTAGAAATTACCTTAGCAATAAATCTATCAAACTCTTTATTTTTTTTTATTTATTATTACTAATGCTACTTTTATTTAATAGCCATGATTTAGAAAATTTTTATTCTATAAACCTAAAAATCCTTATTTACTCATAATTAAAATGATACTCTTTATTGTATATTTATATATCCAATCATATTTAATTAAATTAATAAAATATACTATATAGTTCTTAGATATTCTCTATTAAAAATATTATTTCTTATAGCATATAATTCAACTTATAATCTTAAAATCTAAAAGTGTAAACAAAATTCAGAATTCAAATATATATAAAATAGAACTACTCATAATATTGATATTAATAATAAAATTCATTTTGTACTATCTATTAGTGCAATTAAATTCTTTATTAAAATGACTAATAATAAATTTTTAATTCTCAATAATTATGTATTTTTTTAATTTATCTAATGATTTATGAATCTTTTTGGAAAATAAAAGGAGACGATTAATTATAATAATAAAGTTGATATAAGTTTATTATTTTTAATTCAATTGAATACAATACTAAAAGATTAATTGATTTAATATAATCATAGGTTAATTAATAATATATATCTTTTGATCATTTAAGAATCTAGGTTTCATTCAAAATGAGCTATTAGTCAACTCTTTTATTTTAGACCTTAAGTAAATATTTTACTCTAATCCTTCGAAATATTGCATATATAAAAATAGAAAATATTAATATGATTATTAACTTAACTAAATCTTAATAAATAGACACATCCTTTTGATTTAATTATAAATTGCATTTGTCTTCTAATAATTATTCAATAAATATTTCTTGTGTAAAGGAAGTAAAATGAATAATTTTGTTTTTGAGAAAACTACTTCCTAAAATAATTTCAGATTTAAGGGAATTTCCAATTAATTTTAGAAAATCTACCTCTAAATTTTCATAATTATAAAATATGTAATCTTCAGGCATAATAAGCAAAGGCTATTCTTTTACATTGTAAAATTTTATTGGATTTATAAATTCAACTCTTAACGAATTTGTATCTCTATAAAAAAAATTATTTTCATCATCAGATTAATATTCATAAAATTCATTTTATTTTGAGAAAATTTTGATTCTCTAAAACAACTCAATTGGTAAAATTATAATTTCTATTCCATCAAGGATAGTGATTTAATAATTTGAAATATCAAATACTTAATCAAAACATTCTAAATATGAAATTCGAATTGAATATGTTACTGAATCCTCTTAGTGGTAAATTTAACTCTTGATTCCATTTATATTTAATCTATTTTTTTGTAGGTTTTCATTCTATCTAGTTTTTAAATATGCGTCTTATCCTGATCGGCACAATGAATATCCAAAATACACGAAAGAATTAAAAAATTGTGTTAAAGGACTTAATGTTAAGAAGTTTATGTTTAAGTGATTAATTTCAAAATCTATGGGTGGATTGTAAAAAGTTATAAATTCGGTATTATATGTATTCATTTCTTCATCATAAATCGAAAAATTCTTAATTTTTAATTAGACTCTTTCTTATGTATCAGTATTATTATTTTATAATGCCATCCAACATTAATTATACCCATAAGGGCAATATTGATCATTATCTTCATCATAAATTTGTGAAATTAAACCTTATAAACTGATAATTGCTGTTGATGATGTGTCTAAATTTATCATTAGATTATTTGACTTATATTCTAATAAATATAATGAATGAGCAAGATAAAGGAATACGAGTATTATAATCATATTATAATTATTTTTAATTTTTTTCCTCATTAATTTAATAGTAGCCTCAATATAAATATTTACTATTTTTTCCAATATTTAAGAAGAAGAATCATAGCAAAAACTAAATGGTTAAAATTATATATTCAAAATTGTAATAACAATAATAGTATTATAACTGAAGATTGCTTAGAGGGTAAATATTTATGTTAGAGTCATGCGAAAATTTATGATAATTTATAAATATTATGTTTTTACTTCATTAAATGAAACTTTTATTAGATTCTTTTATAAAGTTGTATTATTATTATTAATTTTTCGTTTTTATTTTATTCCAAAGTTACATATATGAATAAAGACATATATATTAAAAAATAAAAATTTGTTCATCATACCAATAATGAGTTAAAAGCTCACAAAACCATCCTATCTTAAAATTTTTAATAACTTTTATTAATCCATAATTTTTCTGAAGATCAAATCTAAAATTATTTAATTTTTGGGGATGATACTGCCTATCAAATGAAACAAATAATTCAATTTGAATATGATATTTTAAATCTTTTAAAAAAATCATGAGAAAAATAAAAGAGTTATAAGATAGCTATCAGATAAGAATTAATGAATCAATATAATTTTTATCAATATTTAATGAATGAATTTTCTGTTAAAGAAAATGATTTTTTTATCTGTAATTATTTTGATTTCATTTAATTTAAACTACATAATTTTTCTTGTTTTTATTTAGTTTTGAAAATAAAGATACACATAGTATATATAAATTTAAGTAATTATTATGTATTCATCCCAGATTCTTATCATTTTAATATAGGTTGTGGCTTTTAATTAAAATTAAAATAAATAGAATAAACATTTATTCATTTATATAATATTTCATATATTAGATATCTATCTGATTTATAATTCCAAAAGATTAAATATTATGTATTCTCTGTCATTGTACCATATATTGATGCATAGTTGCAATTCAATTCATGAATAATTTCTAAGTTACCATCCTTCTTTATTCTCAATAAATAAATATATCTTTTTTATCTTATTACTATCACATTTTTTTCTATATTTTATATAATTGGAAAGAGACTCTCATCCCAATTATAATCATCATTAGTTAATTGTAGTTCCTTATTTATATCTTCTTAGAAAATATTTTGATATTTCTAGAAAACCTAGATTTTTTCAATTTATTCAGTAACCCATAAGAACTAATTATCATTAATAAATTTAATTTTTTCACCTTAATATTACTAATCCTATTTATATTTAACTTGCCATTTATCTTCTTAATTTTTCTCCCAAATTATAAAATGATCATATCCACAAGTTGCAAATTGAGTCTCTGATATATTAAAACTAATTGAACAAACCTTATTAGTATGTTCATTTAAAGTATAAAGATAATGTAATTTATTCTTCTTAAAATCCACATTCCAAATTGTAATTGATTTATCTTTACTCCCTACAATTAATTAATCTTCTTTTTAATTTAATATAAAGCATTCTATCCAATCAATATGAATTCTATATTATTAAGAGTGAATCCACTAATTCTATTTAATACATTTCCAACATATCAGCGAATTATCTTTAGATCCTGAAATAAAATTTTTCTACTTTTTACTAAACTTTAAACATTGTACATCATCACTATGTGCTTTAAGAGTTGAAATTTCATTAATTTTTCCATTTTAGAAATTCCACAATACTATATCTTCATTTTTACCAGAAATCATCAGTGAAAATTCTTAATTTATATCAATAGCATAACACATTTCCTTTTAAATAATAGAATCATCAATTAATTTTATTTAAATCTCCTTATCTTATTATATTTCCTGATTATGTTATACAACTTCTTATTAACAAAAATACTATTTTCCTTAAACTTATTTCCCCAAGTCTTACAATATTTATATGCATTATTAAGTCTCTTCATATTGATCATATTTTTATATAAATCTAGTTATATCTTGGATGTAATATTCATTACACTATTCAATTTAAATATTCATTAATTAAAGATCTAAAGAATCTAATGAAAATTAATCAATATTAATAGTATTAATTTTTTGAAAAAATGCATTTAATTTCAATATCCATTAATCACTTTGTATAATTATTAAATCTAACTATTATATTAATTTTGTCTTTAAATTTTAAATAACTTGTTTCAAAATATCTACATTTTCAATTGCTTATTTGATTATTATTCCTATTATTTATTATTTCTAGTTCTTTTCTTCTCTTATTTACATCATATGCGCTTCATTTTATTGAGATTAAGTTTTGTCTAGGTTCTCTAAGTTAAGTAATCCTCTTAATTCTTAATCTTTAGGGTCCATTGCTATTCATAATAAATGGTTAAATTACATTCAGGAAATACAATAATTATTTATTAAATAAATAAATAATAACTTCATTGTAATTATTTTCCTTTCTCCATTATATAATTAAATTTTGAATTATAAACTTAAATAATATTACTTCCAATATAATTAAATTCATAAGCAATAATAAAACTAATTTATTTTATTACTTAAAAAATTTAGATGTGAAAAACTTATTTTTATTAGTTAGAAATAGATAAGTCATACTTATAATTCAAGAATCAATCAAATAGATTTTCAACAATAACTTTAGAAATAAATAAAATATTTAGAAAAGATATTTTTTCATTTTAGCTATAATTAGCCAATTTTTGAATGTAATTTTAAATTCGATGAAATATTATTAAGATCAAGATTGGGGGATTGTTATTGATATAGCAAATGAACAAATATCATAATTTTTTGAACCTATCCAATCAAATTGCAATTATTTTAATTTAAGAGATTAAGATAATTTTAAAGAAAAAAATAATTTAAGTTGTTTGATAAAATTATCTAATGTAATAAAAGTTGAAAGAGGAACAAAATTATTGGAAAAACATAATATTAAAGGAACAAAATTTGAATTATCTTAATGGATCATTTTATTTCAATATTTTTGAAGAAAAAAAATAGAATGAATAGAATGAGTAGAATGATGATAGTTAAATTTCAATAAAAAATGAATCTGAGAAAAAAAAAGATGAAAGCTAAAAAAAAGTTGAAGAAAAAATTTAGGATGATTTTTTAGAATCATCATCTATTGATTCTAGCTTAGAACCTATTTAATATGGTTTCATGGTATCATATCTAATTAGTCCAAATGAATAATATTTAGTTGTTAATTCAAAATAAGTTAGTAGTTGGTAAGTTTCAGATAAAATAATCATTTTAGACCTTAAAAATTTAAGGTATTTTTAATTTTCATTTAAAACCAATTATATTGAAGCTCCTCCTACATATTTTTTATCTGATTATTTAATAGGTATTGATGCTATGTATGATGGAAAAGTTTATTATATCTTTTTAGATTTAATGAAGAATTGGGGATAGAAATATATTATAAACTATAATTATCCAATTAATTAAATAATTTATGATAGATACTTGAATTGTTTATATATTTTAACACAAAATAATAAAATTTAAAAATAATAATTTAATTTAATAAACTAAGATTAGGAGATATAAATTATGATGAATTTTAAAAATGGTTGGCCATAGAATATACTTGAAAGTTATCCTTTATAAAATTTACATATTCTTAATGATTCATTTGCTTTACTTAGTAACAAAATTAATTAATTGTTTTTAATAAAGATTAATAATAACCAAATATAAGTAGTTAAATATTATTAATGGAAATCCTTCAATACTAAAATTATTAAATTACCCTTTAATAATTGTATGGCTGTAATGAGTAATGAATTAGAGGATATCTAACCAGTATTAGTAGATTATCGCAGGGGGAAATTAATACGAAAAGTACCTAAAGGAGGGGCTAATAGTTATCTATATACATATAATGGATCTTGTTTCATATCCAGTATTTATTAATCTTATTCTCTTCAGGTATTAAATAAGAAGAAAATTAAGGCATACTTTAATCATAAGGAATAATATTTGATATTTTAAGAGGAAATCAAAAATAAAGAAATTTGATGGATATGATTTAACTAGAATAAACTAACATTAAATTTACTCATAATATAATTACTCAATAATGCAATGATACAATTAACTACAAATTGATATATTGAATTCATTATTATGAATGTCATAGTTTTTATTATTTAAAAAACTAATTGTCTGTTTTATAAAAATCTAAATCGCTTAATTATCATTAATTTGATAAATTTGTTAAAGATTATCTGAATATCTTTCTATGTTTTACTATTACTAGTAATTACTAATATCTGAATCAAAAAATTTAGGAAAAATAATTAATACAATTTATTAAGAAAAAGGATTTTCTTACTTTATTGATGATTATTAATATAGAAATAGATTAAGAAATATATGATAATTTATATATAAATTTAAATAAAATAATTATAATAATTTAAATATTCAATATAAGAAAATAATCATAATTATTCATTATTAATATTTTCTTACTCTGATGCATATACTATCACTATCCCATGTAACTAGATATTTACCATCTCTAGTCATGGCACCATATAGATAAACATCTGAATTTTAAATTGATTACACAACAGAAAATTCATTATTTTTCTGATTGATTTTAATTATATTCATAGTATTTCCATTTTTATGAAGTAGAATAGATTTTTCTTCAATCAACTATTAAGAAAAGAAATCCCATCTATTATCTTTTGAATTTATTTTAAGTTCTTAGATTATCTAAAAATTTCTATTTTCTTAATCTCTCTTATATATTAAAAGATATCCTTAATCATAAGGTTAGAATGTAAATAAATCATCCTTAATAAATTTCAAACTATATCCACATTTATTTGTTTAAATAATCTACATTATACACCATTATTTATTATTTTGTATATATTAAGTAAGAAAGATCTCAGTTCCTGTAGAACAAGAAATGAGTTAAGTAGATGAAACATTTAGACTTATACTACGAATTTCATTAGAATGACCATTAAGTATTTATTTACAATACCATTGATTATCTTTCTTAGACCAAAATCTAATAGAACGATCATCACTACCAGAAATAATCAAATCTTCTCTATTATTCATTATAACTCCTGCCCTAATATAATCAGTATGTCCTTCCAAAACTTATTAACAATACCAAAGATTATTACTATCACAAGACCATATCATTATTTTACAATCATTACAACCTGATATAAATTAATTAGACCTATTCATAAAATATAAACATCTCACATAATCTTTATGATTGTCTAATATTTATGTTTATGTTAATTAACCTTGCCTAAATTAAAATACTTTAATAAAACGATTACATCCAACAACTAAAACATTAGAATCACTATTGAAAGCAAAAGATAAACATTTTTCTTCTTTTATATTATATTACTCTTATAATTTATAATTTAATGGAACTGCTTAATTTGTTTGTTCAATTTTATCTTTATTTGATATTTAATTAATTAATGGATTATTCCAATTGATTAAAAATGATTCAAATTAAACTACAAGCATATTACAAAAACCTATAGTTTAATTCATCATTTTTGATATTTAGATATCTTTAGCCATAAATTCTTATTCAATTAATTCAATATAATTTTTTTAAGCATAGATATAAGCAACATCTATTAATTAACTATTTGTGAATTCAGACCAATCTTATTACATCATTTAAAATTGTTGATGAAGTTAATCATTTTCTAATTTAGTTTGATTATTCAATTATTAATTAATTTCTTCAATTAACTTTTGGAAATATGTTGTTAATGATTAAATTTATTAGTAAATAATATTTGATTTTGATATTAATTTATCTTAAGCCAAATTAAATGAATTTAAATTTTCTATTATGTATTCATTCCATTTATTTTTCATATTTTATATGGTGATATATTGTCCATATTTATTATATTATCTACAGTTTTCACAAGCTAATTTATTTGAAATTTCTCCCTTTAATTCTATATATCTTATTTATTATTAATGTTAATCACAAATCCATTTTCCATCTTTCTATTTTTAATGAGGATGAAATATTCTATTTAAACTTGTTATAGTATCATTGAAATTTATCTTTTAAATTGTCTAAAAGCAATTAATCAAAATATCAGAATTTACTAGATTCTACAACTAATTCTTCAACAATTATTTAATCCTTTCACAATCGACTAATTATTCTTATAATAATATATTTAATTTATTAGGATTGTTATACACTTGATATGGTAATTCATAAACTAATTATCCAATTTATTTTGATTTAAGTTACAATTCTTAGACTTAATTATCTAAGTCTTGTATATATTTAAGTGATGATTCAATAAAAGCAATCATCTATTTTTGAATATGACTTTTAAGAGTAATAAGTGCCTTAATAGCAATTTGAGTGTCCTTTTATTAAAGAGGAATCCATTTTTACTTTAAGTTCTATTCAATACTTCCTGTATCTTGATCTTCTATATTATAAACTTAAAACATAATATGAATTATTAATTATTAATATCAAATCCATAATTGTCTTCCTTTTAATACGAACTTAAGATACCAAACTTATAAAATACGACAACATTATGATATTTTTTTATATCCTTTATTTTTATATGTTTCTTAATAAACACTAACTTATTTGTGTTTTATCAATAGAATAAAACTCCTTAATATTTTATTATAAATAACTATTTTCTTCTTCTTCTGATTAATTTGTTTATTACTAACCATATAATTATTTAAGATTTTACTTGTTTCAAAGTATTAGTTTTTATTTATAAAACTCTTTTCATATATTATCAAAATTATACTGATATAATTTGTTATTTTTTATATTATTTTATTCCAAGACACTTCTATCTAATTTTCTTCAATGTAAATTCATATAATATTTCAATATATTAAATTCAAAAGAATAATTACAATTAGTTCTTTTAATATTGCCTTAAAAATTTTTGTTTCTATATTTTGATGAATGACTTTTATCATTTTATGTGAATAAGATTCTATTTCAATCAAATTTCCATCTAAATTTCTATTGAAAACAAAAGTAAGAAGTTTATTTTATTTTTTAAATACAATAATAGCTTCATTTTTTAGGTTAAAAATTATAATTATTCATTAAGAACTTAATATTAACCTTTTTTCAACTCATCAGAATTTCACTTGATTATTTTGAATCCATATTTTCTATTATTGTTTCTTAAATACTAGCTCTCCTTATAATTATTTAATGATCATTTTATTTAGTTCTTTCTAAATCAAAAAAAATAACTAAATGATGTTTTTTTTATTTTAAAATAATGTTTGGTGTATTATCAACACATAATACTACAAATGATATGCTTCAATTAGATTAAAGTATTAGAATTATTTTTAATAAAAGAATTCATTAGTTTCTTGAATTTTTATTAATCTAAAATGTCAATATAAATATATATATTGGGAAGATTATCTGCATTATTTAATCATAAATCATTTTAGATTAAAAGAAATGAAACATTAATTGACAACCAAGATTGCTTTATAGATTAATATTTTAGTGTAAATTAAAGCATGTTAAAAATTCTTATTATATAATTTTTTTAACTTCAATCTAAAATTAAATATTTGTTTAAGAGTATAACATGATACCACTATAATTTTTGGTTATTAATTTTGTCACAAGAAACATCATTTTTTAGAATTTATATTAAAATAATTAATAATATTTATTTGACAAAACAAGAAAGTTGAAGAATTCTGTTCATTACAATAGAATAATATATCATTAACTTCTAATTATTAATATTTATAATCTGTCATTTAAAATATTAAATGAATTTTATTGTTTATTTTAAATTTGATTTAGACAGTTTCATCAGTTAAATATTAATTTTAATAAAATAAAATGAAAATTCAAAAGATCTAATAATAGATCCATTTAAAACCATAGTTATTATTAATATAAGTATTGATTAGATTTGAATTATAATTTAACATCTAATTTAAATTAATTAATATTTATAAATATCAAAACATCTCTACTGGCATTAATAAACCAAAAAAGAGGATATTCGTTGCAGCAATTATGTTATCCTTTTAAATCAAAAACTAAATATATATATATTTAATTACTCTTCCTTTAAAAATCTATCCAATAACTATCATAATTATAGAGCCATACAAAACAGATATTATTGAATTTATAAAAAACCAAAGATTGAATATTAAAGGGATTAATGCAAATATACAGCAAATAGCAATAGGAACTACAATATTATTATTTATTTACTAAATATTCTAATTTATTCTTGTTCTATAGCAAAATATGCAATCAAGATAAAATTGATAACACAATTGAATATAAATTATTATTCTGCCAATATAAATGCTAAATCAGCAGCTAAAATTCATATTATTAAATACTGCTAAATTATAATCCATCATCATCATCGTTTAATGAATCATGATTAAATAATCTACAAAATGTCAAATATGTTTATGTTGATAAATAAATTTGGACAATGAGAATGACGAGACTTTCTGGAATCTAAGAATATAACTTTAAATATATATACTCTTCTGAATTGTTAGAGGGTTCCAATTTTAGCCAATCCATACATTAACATAAGAGATATTGGAAATATATAAGGAGCTATTTGATCTATAAAATCTTTCATTCCACAGAGTAATCCATATATTAAGAAAAATTGAATAAGAGACCAAAAGAAAAAAATGATCAGAATTTTGATTATGAACATTTTTTGGATACTAAAGCATTATCGATGTATCAAATTATCTTATGAATAGTCTTAACATTGCATTTAAGTATAATCACTGTTATTAGGAATTGCTATTCCTTCTTATATGTTTAATACATTTTCTATTATAATATAATAAATATTACCTTTTTAGTTCTAATTTGAAGGTACATCTTTGTAATTCGAGAATTCAAAGGTTTCCTTTTCTATTTATTATGCTATTAAAGATTCTTCGTTTGTTTTTAAAGAATTACTCATAATTTAAACTTAATTGATCCTTTGTATTTTTTTCACTATATTATCTAATTCAAACAATATATACCTAATTCCATGAAGATTCAATAATTCTATTTATTACAATAATTTATAATTATAAAATTTACTTTAAATACATAATATCTTAATTATATAATTTCGAATTATTTAAATTATTTTATAAGTAAATTTTGTTTTATGAATAATATATTATTCAAATATTTAAGTCATAAATATCATCAATTAGATTATTTATCAACTCAAAAATACACTAAATTAATCTATTTTGAAAATATATATTCATTATAATTTTTAGATATTTGTTGATATTTGTTTATATTTATTATCCATATAAAAATGTTTGTTTTTGTTGTTGGATATATATTATGAATTAGATTATATAAAATAAAAAATTAATAATAGCATTACCAAAGGTTTCGAACTTATGAAATTTATTATTAAGTATTTTTTTAAGTTAATTTAAGTATTTAATAAAGAAATAATTAATAATTAGTATTCTGTTGATCAAATTTCCCCATATTAACATGATAATATACATTTAACAATGAAATAATAATCAATTTGTAAAAAACTTTTGGTTATTTACCTCAACTAAAAAATAGAATTTGCAATACAAAAGTATGTATTATAAAAAAGTCACTTCTATGAAATAGATATTGTTGCTATGAAGTCAAACTGATATAGGGTTGTGAATATATACAAATTAGCTTAATTATTTTTCTAGAACATAAGCAAAAAGAATTTAAAATTAAAGTTGATAACTGACATAATAAAATATTTAATTTTTACTTATATATTTCAATTATTTTAAGCCTCAATTCAATGAACCAACCAATGAAATGAGATTAACTTTTGATTCTCTTAGTTCATGAATTTCCTTTATTACATCAAAATTTTTAAATATCTTGTTAAAGGTACGATAAGTTCCCTAATGCCAAGATTCTGTGAGAAGTTATTGAAATCCTTGCTTTTTACATTCTTCTATTGATAAATAAGCACACACAACAGCTAATGATTATCTTATGTAATCTGAATGTGTTCCCAAATGATTTAGATAAGCGACTTCTTTATAGTCTCTCTCTTTTGATGCTACATACTTACCTAATAATATATCAATAATTCCAATTATTTCTGAAGCCACTGGAGTTGGCTATACTCCATCTTCCTACATATCAGTCTTTAAATCACAAGTTAAACAAGCAGAAACTAGATTTTCTCCTTGAAAGGCACCAAATGAAAGGTTCTCAGCTATGATTCGATCACTAAAATATAAATACTCATAATACTTACAAGATTTCTATTGATTACAATACTTTAATGTCTTATTCGGTGGCCTATAGTAGTTAAATCACAGGGTTTTGGGTGAGAAACGCATTTATCATAAGTCTTTATGTGTTGAAAACGTCCTTTCTTTCAAGCCTACGAAATGTATACAAGCCTTCTTTTTCTTTAACGAGAGCAGATAAATCAGAAATGTTTTTCCTTTACATTGCTATAAGTTATAATTAGTATATTCAACTGAAGTATTAAATAAATATAAATTGTTTATATATTAAAAACGGATTGTTTTTTAATATGAAAATGATAATTATAAATATTACTATTTTGATTGAAAATATAATATTTAGCTATATTTATTTATCTTAAATAATTGAACTAAATTTACTTTTGAAGCATGATGATTAAGTTTATACAATAAAATTTGATGATTTTTATTTTATCAGTAATTCAGAAATTATTAAATGAAATCTAAGCTCTTATACAATTTGATTCCTATTGATATATAATTTGGAGATTTGAATAGCTTTAGATTAAGATATTGATATTGAATTAAACATAAATTTAATAATACGGAAGATTGATTTGTATAAATCTTTGAAAATCAAAGATAATATATATTCATATATCAAATAATTAATTATCATTCACTAAATGGATGTTTTTTAAAAGTAGTTATGATTTAGATAAATTAATTAAGTTAGAATGAATCAAAACATTCTTTAAAATTTAAATTTTAAATGAATTAAAAATCAATTGAGTAAAAAGATTCAATATACTAATGTGGAATACAAGATTCATTGATGAAATTAACATAATAATTATAAATGTAAATAAATATATCAAATTATCAAAATTTATTATTAATTATAAATTATAATGAACACTTTTTTTATATATTTTAATTATAATATTAAGATAATGCTCTCACTCAGTTTAATTGCAATCAAAGATTTATTTGACTTTTCTTCAATTACATCCTAATCCTTATCAAAAATATTTGTTTACACTTTAATAAAAGTAATTTCAATATCATTAGAATCAATATATTTAGAATATTTAACTTTATTATAGGTTATTGTTTTCTAATTTATTCAAATGGATCGAATATAATTGATCATCTATACTAATTATATTTAATGAATACTTTTCAAATTATATCTTGATTTATAATATATGTAATGTTAATATAAAATTAAGTTCTAAATGATAAGCTTTTTAATCTATATCCAAAAAGAATTTACAAAAAGTAATTTATATATTTTAAGTAATTTTTAATCTTAAAATTTTACTTAATTTATATTTAATTTAATTTGAAAAGCATTTAGACAAGACTATCAACTATTTTTATAATAGATATTTGTTAATTTGAAAATATAAAATTCAATTATATGTTTAGATTAATAACTAATTACCTGTTAATATTAAAAAAATAGAATTAAGACTTAATCCTTTTAGTAATTAAGTATCTTATATAATTATAATATTAGATTATATATATATTTCATTATTATGAAAAATAAAATTTTACAAAAAATAAATAAATAAAAAGGGTTTAAAATCTTTTAAGATGTGTAAATAATTAAAACTACTTATAGAAGTTTTTAAATGCATCATTAATAATGTTTAAATTAAAACAATAACAAATTATATATTGAATTAACACTTTTATAAAGTTAGTTTTATCTACTTCACTTCATAAACAACAATAAGTGAGAGGATTTTAAGTTAATTCAAATTAATTATTACTCTAAATAAAGTCACACATTGATTCCAAAAAGATTAAAAATACAAAAAGATATCATATAATATCTTAAATAATTCTTATGATTATAATTGTAAATATTTAAAAATAATATTTTCCAAATTATTGTCAGGATAATTTATTTTAATAAATGTTTAAATCTTCTATGATAGAGAAAGAAAAGGATCTAAAATGTGCTAATAAACACAAATTACCTATTCTTATGGTTGTTCTTGATCCAAAATTAGAATTAAATTAACGACTTTTATGTTAAGATTGTATCAAGAACTTTACTACTCAATTTTCAACAATGGGATATGAATTAGTCACAAAATAAATTAAGAAAAATTAAAAGTAGAAAGTATAAACAATAGAAAAGACTATTTAATTAAATATAAAGTAAGTTGAAGAATTATTAGGAAATATTAATAAATTAAAGTCAACTATAGAGTTTTAATTAGATGAAATAATTGGATATAGTGGAGGATGGATTAAAAATTTATTATCTATAGGACATGAGTATTCTTAATACAGTTTTCATAAAGAATTAGAAAATTTAATTTCTTAATAATTAGAAAATTCAATTGATAAATCTTTATTAATTAATGAAATCAACAAAGTAAATAGTTTTTGGAATGTAAAAATAAATGAAAAATTAGAATAATTTAGTTCATTTAAAGTATATTAAAAATGTTAGGAAATACTTTAGAACTTAAATTAAACAATACAAATTAAATAAGAAGAGAATTAATAATAAAAAGTATCTTAATAAAATAATTAATAATCTTAATTAGAATAATTGAATTCTAATTAATTAGTATCAGAAAGTTAGATTAATCTATAATTAATAGATGATAATATAAAATAAAAAAGTAAATGTTATGCAATAGCTTTCAATAAAGATGGAACTTAAATGGTATCAATGTCTCATTCTGATATCAAAGTATGGAATATGATTGATGGAAAACTCAACTATTAATTAAATTTATAAGGACATACTAATTACATTTATTGTTTACTATATAGTAAAAAATAGGATAGTTTTATTTCAAGTTCAAATGATAAATCAATTATTTGTTGGAAATAAATTAAATAAAATGAATGGAAAGCATCATAACATTATAAAGAACATAAAGGATGGATTGGAACAATGATTATTAATAACTAAGAAAATCAATTATATTCAGCAGGAGAAGATTAAAAAATAATTGTTTGGAAAGTAGATTTTAATTAAAATGAATTAATATATCTGTATTAACTAGATAAACATACTAAATGTATTCGTGCTATGAGTTTGAATGAATATGAGAATATATTAGTATCAAGTGGAGATGATTAATAAATAATAGTATGGGAATATGGATAAGGAGATAAATTTTATTTTAAGTAAGTATTTAATTAAATTTTGAATTGTTCAGGTTATCACATTAAATTTATCAAAAATAATAAATTTATATGGATACCTTATAGTAAAGATTTAAATTGCATTTGTATATTTGATTTCAAAGATGGTATATTTAATGAAGATATTGATAATAGAATTTAATTACTTAATTCTAATAAGAATCTTGGATGTGCTTTATTCCCAATAGTTTATTTGAAAGACAAAAATATATTATTTATTAGATCTAAAAATATTATATATATAATTAAGGAAATCAATGGTAAGCTCATCATCTAAAATGAATTAAATTGCAATACAAAATGGATCTTTGGAACTATTACAGATGATGGAAAATATTTATTATTTTGGGATGATCATAAAGGAGGATATTCATCATATGAATTATAATATAAATGAAACATAATTAAATATAATACAAAAATCCAATTACAATTATTAAAACATTTATTTTTATTTCAGGGAGGAATATCAATTTAGATATATATTTTCTAGAATCAAAAAAATATAAATATTATTATTTCAATTTAAATCAGGATTAATTAAATTTATTTCAGATATTAGGATTAAATTTGAAGTAAAATTTTTTTATTTTTAAATTTTCATTCATCATAAGATAAACTTAATCTATGGAAATACTAAATGAAATTAAAGAGTTTTTATATTTCTGATTCTAATTAAACAATATTTTCATGTTTTACAATGAATTGTAAATAGAATTTGTAAATAGATATCTAGATTATATTTTTAAATAACAAATATAAGAAATCAAATAAAGATATTAGAATTTAATGAAAATCAATGAATATATGAAATTTCTTTATTTTTAATTTATTCAATTCATAAGATTTCACTTTTTGAAGCATTACAATAATTTAAATAGATAAATTCATTATTAATAAAAATTAACTTTTGTTATACTAATTTAATATCAATACTAATATTACTCACCACTAAATAATTAATTATATCTGTAATTACATTTTTTCAAATCCTTCATGCATCTCTCTCTATTTCATTTTCCATTTTCCAATTTTCTGATCTTTTTTATATTCTCCAATACATATAACTTAATTATCCTCTTAGAAATCGAAATTCAACTCAACCCATTTTCCATTTTTTTAACCAATGTAATCATATAATCCATATTCACTAAGAGTATTGAGTTTAATTTACATTAATTATAATTAACCATCCTCCTTTTTTCTATAAATAGTGTCCCATAATCCAATCTTATAACCTTTTATAAACTCGCCTTTGTAGAAGATTTACAAATTTCTATACTTTTACAAAATTTTATATACTCTTAGAAATTTTGACTTAATTCAATCCATTTACCTTTTTATAACCCATAATTGTCATATGATCCACCTCCTCTAAGATCGTTATATTAATGATTACATATGTTAAAATAGGTTTTCAGAATTTTTCCTGTAAAGGGTATTCCATCTACCAAATTTTAATCCAGTCTTATATTCACCTATATATACTACCTAATGATCTCTAATATGTAAGAATGAAATATTTAATACTCCTGAAAATGATCACTTAGTTCAACCCATTCTCCATCTTTCAAACTTTATTGTTAGTAGATACCTCCACCACTTAAGTTATTAAATATAAATTTCAAACATTTTATTAAATTTAATCTATCCATTTTCTCTATAATTTATATTCCATTAACCAAACTTTTAACCATTATTATAAATCCCAATAAAAGAAACTTAACAATATCTAAAAAAATTAAATATTTTGTAAAATATAATTACTCCCAAAAATTATCACTTAATTCAATCCATTTACCATTTTTCAACATCTAATCATCATATTATCCCCCTCCTCTAGAAATATTTAGATTGTATTATTACATTTTTTCAGGTGGTTCACCTATTGTTCTACTATAATTAGTATTCCATATGCCAAACTTTTTACCATTTTGATATTCACCATTATACGTAATTTATCTATCAATAATTTCTTAAATTAAATTACAAATAGAACTTATCACTTAAATCTATCCATTTATTATTCTTAAAACCATTTTCATCATACTATCCTACACCACTTAAATATATAATTAAGTGTTTACTATATTATATTTGGTTTATCAATGCTATTCCTATGATTAATTTCCCATTTACCAATCCTTTAACCATTTTAATATATACCACAATAAGTAATGTTCCTAATTTAATATTATATTTTATGTATGAATTTATACTGATAGAAATTGTCTGTCAAATCTATCCATTCCCCATTTTTTCTTCCTTATTCATCATAAAATCCACCTCCTCTAATCTTTAAAATATTATATTCTTACATTCTCTCAAAATATTCAATATTATCTCTCCTATTTTTTGTTTCCCAAAAACCATTCTTCAACCCATTTCTATAATACCCTTAATAAATTATTTAATTGTAACTAATATCATAAATATCTAATATATTTAATACAGGTAGAAACAATTACTCAAATCTGTCCAATAACCAACCTTTAGACCTTAATTACTGTAATATCCACCTCCACTAAGGTATTTTAATAATTAAATTACATAATCTCTTATTGTTTATTATGATCTCTTCTATAAGTAATAAGCCATTACCCTATTTTTTTACCATTTTAATACTATCCATTATAGGTTACATAACAAAACCTAATTTTATCATCTAAAATTTGAGTACTGATAAAAATTAAAATATGGTTCTATCCAATAACCATTTTTTTAACCCTATTCATCAAATAAACCTAAACCACTTTAATTATATATCTTTCATCTACATTTGTTAAAATATTTCAGCAAAGTTTCTACCATAAAAAATTTCCCATAGACCAACTTTTAAATCTTTTTTATACTCACCTTTATATATGACCTAACTTTAACTTATTAGAATTAAAATAATAATTAATACTCCCAAAAGTTATTGCTCAATTCTATCCATTTATTAGTCTTGAATCCCTGATTTTAATATTATCCACCACCACTTAAATTAATATATTTATATTATAATACATTATTTAAAATTGCTTATAATTTTATTCTCTATAATTTATATTCCATCTCCCTATTTTTAAACCATTTTTATATTAACCTTCATATGTTACTTAACTAAAACTAATATATTATTCAATTTTTAATACTCCCAAAATTGTTAACCTAAATCTATCCATGTCCCTTATTTGAATCCTTTTTGATCATATATTCCTCCATTGCTTATTATATTAGCAAGTAAATAGTTACATTAATTCTTTTTTATATTTATATTTCCAAACTCCTTATCTAACATCATTATTATATATTCCAATTTCATATACATTAGATATACTAATACAAAAGTATGATTAAATTCTACTCTTAATAATTCCAAATTAAATCTGACCAATCCCCTTACTTTTTTCCATCTTTAGAATAATATCCCCCTGCACCTAATAAAGCTTAACCTTATAATGTAGCTACCCAATAACCAATTTTTTTCAAATTCTTACTATACCCAATCCATTGAAGATGCTTAATTTGTATTATATTTGCCAGCAATATATGATTTTAATCATTTATTTTATCACTAATGATTATAATGAACTTTACATTCTTATTATTTAACCATCTTAAGAAATGTATATTATTTATTAATCATTTGTTATAGAGATTTTTAATTTTGATCTCATTGGAATTATCGAGCCCAATATGTTCTAAATATATTCCAAACATTAATATTCAATAGAATTTTCATATTTTTTTTATGATGCAGAGCAATTGAATAACAAAACAGAATCACTAAAACAATTTATCATTATGATTCTTAAAATTAATTTATTTTTATAATAAAAATAAATGAAAATTGATTTATTTTAGAATTATTAAAAGTACTAAAGTTGTAATATTTAAATTTCTCCAATGAATAATTTAAATAATAATAGTAATTAAAATTTCACATTAAAAACAACTAATATATAGATTGTTCAATTACATAGAATATAATCAAAATCTATATTTGAATCCAAAATTAAAGAACATTTTCAATGATTCTATGATGCTAACAGAAATTGCTAATTGATAGTTGAATATTCAAGAATTAATCCGATTTCTTTTCAAATAAATGATAATAAATTAGTAACTATATTAAAGAATTAAATAATAAGATCGAAAGAGAATATTTATTCAATATATTTTACTAACTTTAAGTACTAAACCCAAAACTTAAATCTTTATAAGATGTAATAATGAGCTTAATTCTCAAGGTAATAATTATATTATTTAATTTTACATTTATTATTAATATTAAATATTGTGCAAAACTTAGTTGACAATTTTGTTTCTATATTTCATAAATGTTTTTAATCTTTCTATCTTTATAAATTATTTATTTTTCTATATTTTTACTTGAATATTGATTATATTAATCTATTTATAGGAAATTCTAACTGACAAAATATTCTTTATAAACAAATAATTATTAAAATGAATTAAAAGTTAGGATAACAAAGTTCTATAAATAATAATGAGAATATTTTGGAGACAAATGAAAAATAATAAGATTTAGAAAATAAAAGGTTATGTACAAATTGTAATGTAAAAATAAAAAAACAGAATGTGAAACACGATTATGTTTAGATTAGTTAAATAAAATAAACAAAATAGTTCATTTAATCAGATAGATCTACTTAATTGTAAACAAAATTGCAATGTTTAAATAATTTAAATGATTCTGTTGAATAATTAAGAAACTTTTATACACAGTAAATAGAGTAAATCTCTTAATCTATTAAATCTTGGTCATAAGAACTTAAAGATGAAGAAGATGTGTTTATAAATAAGTTATAATCAGATGAATTAATAGATTTCCCTTTATTTATACAATTTATAAAGGAGTAAGAATATGCTTAAAATAAAGATTAGATTAATAGAATAAAGAAAATTAATCGATTAATTATGGATTTAAAAGAAACAGATTTAGTGAAAAAGTGTTAAGGTCTTCTTGAAAACTATATATATAATCCTATTAAATTAGAATCATATAATATAAAGGAAAATAACAATATTGATGAAGTATTTTGATAAATTAAAATTAGGAACTTAATCTGCTTTGTGAAGATCATAATAAATAAATTACTTTATTTGATTTAAGTGTTGAAAGATCTAACTAAAAGCGTATAGGATGCTTGGATTGTTTAGATGGAACAATAAATTAATATACATCATTTAAAAAAGCTTAAATTATGTGGCAATAAGTATAATAAAAAAGAATAGAGAAAATGAATAATCATGTTGAAATATTAAAAATAAAATTGAAATCAATTAAAGAATACTTTTAAGCCATTCAAAAAGGATTTAATAGTGCAATTGATAATGCAACAATCAAGTTTAATTCAAATTATGAAGATTATACCTTATAAGTTAATTAAAAAATAAGTAATTTAGTAAATATATCTTGGCAATCTATGACTAAAGAGTAAATAATTATGATTGCATAAGATTTATGTTAAATTAATCAATCGTATATTTAAGAGGATCCCTTATTAGAAGAATATAATATAAAAGAGAATTTAGTATATGAGATTGCAAAAGATACAATGAAATCATTGTAAGAATTATAAGCAACATTTTTTGATTAAATTATTTATTTGATAAGTAAGTAATAAGAAAAGAATATTAATAATTCACTTTAATTAAATTAACAGAGCACAAATATTATAGCAAGTTAAAGCACTGAAATTATTGATTAATTGAATCTAAATTCAATAGTTTTTGAACATAAATAATAGGAATAGTAATTATCAATACAAATTAAAAAAGAAAATAAAAATACATAAGATTAATAATAATAATTATCTGAAGCTATCTCAAATAAAGATAAATAATAATAATTTAAGTCATTCACTTATAAATTTCTCGAAAAAAATTCAATTAAATAAAATGAATTCTGTAGAGCAATAGCATTCAATAAAGATTGTACATTAGTTGTAGCTGGATGCAATAATCTTATCAAAGTATTTGAATTTAAATAAATAAAATTAAAATAAATTTAACTTCTAAGTGAGCATTAAAATGATGTTCATACTTTATATTTCATGAAGAAGTCTACTCAATTTATATCTGGAAGTGCAGATAAATAGATAATAATATGGTCACTTAATGTAAATAAAGAATGGGTTTGTTAATAAAAGCTTATTGGTCATACACATTATATTAGATGCATGATTTTAAATGATATCGAAAATCTTATCATTTCAGGTAGTCCTGATAAGACAATTAAGTTTTGGGTTAAGAAAAATGAATGGTAATGTTAATAAACAATTACAGATCATACTAGTTGGATATCTGGATTAAGTTTAAATGAACAATAGAATCGTGTGATATCTAGTGGAGGAGATAAATTAATATTAATTATGGAGTAGTCCTAAAAGGATTAAATGTGGATTATAATATAAAAGATTATAGTTGAATAATATGGTGATAGAATATGCTTTATTAATAATGATTTATTTACATTTTAGCCATATTCTCAAGACACTATGCATGTTTATAAAAAGAATAATAATAATCATTAGTATTCCAAATTAAAAGAGATTGATGTAAAAGGTGGCAGTTCTGGTGATAGTTATTTATTCCCTTAATAATTTATTAAAACTAAAAGCCTTCTTGTAAATAAGAATGGCTAGAATATAAATATAATAAGATAGAAAGGAGATAGTGATTTTATTAATGAACATATGATTGATTTTGAGACTTATTATTTATTTGGATAAATGAGTGATGATGGAGAGTATTTGATGACTTGGGATAACAAATCAACAGAAATTTAAATAAGAAGATATGATGAATTATGATAAATATATTGTAGTAATATTTAATCTATTATTTATTATAAATATATTATGATTATCAATTTAAAAATTCCTCATTATTCAATATAAGAATTATCTTGTTGGAAAATTAAATAATTATTAAAATATTAAATCATTAGCGTATATTTATATTATATTAAAATCTATTAATGATATAAATGGTATCAAAATAATTTATGATAATATTATTATATTGAAATTTCTGACAAATTTATATCCCTTAAAACTATTATTTACTTAATTAATAATTATTTAATCAAAAGCCATAAACTAATATATATATTTAAAAAAACAGATAAAAAAGGGTTTTCATTTAATAAGCTCCTTGATATTCAATATCTTACTTAAAATTACTTCTAATTCTTCTTGATTAACAGGTTTTGGAAGAAATGTATCTATACCCAATTTCGAACCTTTAATGTAATTTTCTTAAGTATCATATGCAGAACAAATAACAATAGTAGATTATTTTTATGTCAATTTCAAGATCTAATTAATTAGTATTTATAATTTACCTGCTTACTTGTTTAAAAACCATCCATCCCAGGCATTTCAATATCCATAAAAATTAATTGATAGATTTAACAATGTTATTACATTTTGAGTTTAACTTTTTCAATTGCTTAAAACCCATCAAACACAGAATCTGCTTCAATATTATAATGTTTAAGCATCATTTTCAAAGCTATTTAATTAAATGGTATATCATCAACTACTAAAACATGAGTACATTTATTGCAAATCAATTTTTATTATGACCATTTAGAATAATCTAAATTTTTACAAGATGATATAAATTTATTAGGAAAATATTCAGGACTGATGGGTAATAAGATCTACTTTTGTATTTCAAAATCATTCAATCTAGAAGTGGCCTTATAAGTCTCTTAATTTTGATCTTCATTTTCTTCATCATCTTAAACTTTAGAAGATGAATTAATCTATTATTTAACTCCTTTTTCATCAGGTTTTATTTTATTAAATGTATATAATCTCTCTGATTAATTAAACTTTCCAGTTTATTAAGTAAATAAATTGGAAGATTGTTGATAGATATTCTAATTAAGTTCTAGATGATCAACTTAAAATTAGACTATAGTTCCTTCATTTTTTATTGATTTTATAATTAGTTAATTATCTTAAGATTCTGTTAACCCTTATGCAAGTTTAGCTACAATACTCAATCCTAATCCCTTCTTATTAATTTCAATATGTGATTTCAAAATTGCACCAAATTCTATAGTACTGTATAAACTACTTTATATTAAATTTAATTATTCTTCAGCAATACCTATTCCATTATCCTTTACTTCAATATTAATATTATATAATTCCTTTTCAATAAAACTTAAATGAATGCAACCTCCTTCTTTAGTAAATTTAATAGAGTTATTTAATAGATTGACTAATATTTATAATATTCTCTACTTATCATTGCACATCATAAAACTTATTAAATTTTTTGAAATAAGAATTTTAAATTAAATATTCTTTAATACCATTTATTCTTTATACAATTACTCAATTTCTTAAACTATCTAATTTATTGGAAATTCTGAAATATGATAGGAAAATTAATAGGATTATATAGCAGCATAATCTATAATATCATTTATTTGATGAATCAGTAAGGCAGTTGAATTCTAAGCAATATCAAGACATTTCTTAAATTCTTCTTCGCTTTGTTATTATTTTATTATATTTAACATATGTTAACAACTGTTTAATGGAGTTCTTAATTCATGAGAAAAAGATTTGATAAGACTATGATGAATAATTTATTCTTCTCTTAATTATTAAAATTTATGTTTCTGAGTTATATTTTTTATGATTATGAGTAAAATAGGGTTTTCAATTTCATTGGTGGGCTAAAAGTTGACTTTACTACAACTTTGAATTAATAATGAAGATTGGAAGTACTCTTATTATTAATTAGTCATTGAAGTTGGTATAATTATTAATTTAAGCTTTTTTTATGAACTATTTTAATTTTATCCAGATTTGATAAACCATTCATATATAAAAACTTATGACATAAAATTTAATTAAGTATCTGAAAAGGTTCCTAAAAGTTATTAATATTTTTAAGGTTATATCATAATGTCTAAGACATCAATTGGTATATTTTTTTTCTATAATAGACATATTATTTCTTTAAGAAGATGATAATGAAATTGTTTTGATTAATATTGTGCTTAAAAACTATTCTAATCATCCCATTAATAATCTCGTATTTTTGCATTATCTACACAAGCTTTCACTTTTTCTAATACTTTTTCTGTACCTTAACAATCTAATAGTTTTTCACATTTATTATTCATATAACTTACTGATAATTAAGAATTTAAAATTAAAATTCCTTAAGGGAAAAGATTAAGCAAATTATTATAAAACTAACTCATTGAGTGATCAGATTTTTCAGAACTTTTACTTATTTTTTAAAAATTACTCAAATTTGAATTTTGCATCAACTTCATTTCACTAGGTGGATCTCTTAAAAATACACTGAAATTATTTTAAGGGGATTGAGATCCTTTACTTTATGATTTAATTTATGGAAATATCTATTAATTTAAAAGTATAGGTGTAGAGTCTCTTTCCTCTTTAATTGTTAATTAGTATTTATTAGTTTTTTCTACAAAAGTTTTATTAAATGTAATTTACAGCATAATTGTATATTTTATGAATAATAAACCTATAATAATCAAGCTTTCGAGATCATATAAACTAAAATCATTAATTAAGGTATAAATGATTCTTATTATAAGATATAATGGAATCCCTAATTTACAAATCAAACCATATTTTGACACAGCTATTTTCAAATAATCCATATAAGTGAATATAATTAATAAACAATTAGTGAGCACTTACAAATGATGATTACTCTCAATTAGTAAAAAGGATTCAAAATATGTTACATAATATAACAAGGACACCACATGAATTACTAAATTAAATCCATATTCTTTTGCAATTAGAAATTGTTAAAAACACCTTATCAAAATACAAGCCAATTGCAAAATAAATACAAAATAATTTATTGGCTATCTTAACCACAAAGTATTTGAAGCCCACCATATACCTTAGATAAAATTTGCAATGAAAATTGAGTTCAGCCATACCTTTTCTAAGAATTTTCTTATATTTTTTTAAAAGTTCATAAAACAGTGATAATAAACTAATATTATAATCAATATAATTCAAGTACATTCCTCTTTTAATTCAAACTAAATTAAAATTTATTTCTATTTTTAGAAATAAATTTTACTCATTTCTTTATTTATTACTACCAATAGCACCTCTAATTACTAAAGATAATAAAATAATATATCCAAAAAATCATTAATAAGATAAATAACAAGAAATTTTCTAAATTTAAACAAAAAAACAGAAACAAATAATCCATCATTTTGTTTATGTATTTATTTTGAATCACTTAGTATGTTTAATTGCAAAACAGGATTATATTACTTAAGAAAATTATTTCAATACATTTAAATAAAAATATAATCTAAAGGAATATATACTTAAAACCTTACATCGATTTCATAAAGTTTTATAATTTGATAAGCAAACAAAAATTAAGTTATTAAATATGAAGAAATTAGAATTTCTATTTTTAGGCGTTTTCATTAAAAATTATATATTTCAGTCTTTTCTTTAAACAAAAAATATAAATTCAATTCATAGTTATTGCCTAGAAAAAACTCTCATAATTAATTACCATATTTTCTTAAATTAAGAGGGAATTTCATCTTTAATGTAAGCTACTTTATTTTAATTAATCTAAGGATATAAACAGAAAATATATTATAATATAATTTTTACGGAATATTCTTTAAGCGAAGAAGGTATTTAACTAATTCTTCGCTTTTAATTATTATATTGTTTATGGGTTTAATTAAATCAATATAAAATTATCATTATAGCTTAAAAATTATCGAATGATTTTTCCTTCAAAGCCTTAATCTATAATAAAATATCATTTTTATTCTAAATTTTAAATTTTATTGTATATCTGCAACCAACTATTTATTCAAAAACTTGGTTTCTAAAAGATATCTATATTTGCCTTAACAATTCATAATTTCCATATGTTACATCATTTACTAGTTTTGATAAATAAATCAATAATTTCATGTTATCTCTCTTACTTTCGTTTACATTAAAGTTCATTAAATATATCTATATCTGATATGATGTGTTGTAAGTAAGCCACTATCGGCAGCTACATAAACTCTATTATTTACTTACTTAAATTTTATGGAAACCACAGTATTAGAAGTAAAATTGATTTGATTCGGATTTGTAATTTTATTTTCATAATATAAATAATATTAAATTTAATATTATGTGTTCCATATATTCATGTCAATTATGATTTATCTATCAAAAATATTTCTATTGATCTGATTATTTTGTTCCTTAAGTTCCACAATAATTATCTTTATTCTGATAAGATATAATTATTTTGTTAATCATTTCAAGATGATTACTGTTAAGCAAATGTTCAAAGGTATTTATATTTAGCTATTAAAGATCCATCATAATAATTCATTTTTTTAAGATGAATTATTATGAAAGAGTAAAATTTTCTCCACTTCTTTTGAAAGCAATTGAAAGTTCTCAAACTTCTTTTAAATAAGTGACTTAAATTTTTACTAGAAAATCCCTAAAATAAATATCAACAATATCTAATAATATTTTATTACAATTATGATTATTAATTTATGGAAAAATTAAGAAACTACTTTAAGCACATAATTTTTAAATATTGATTTTGATTGAACATAATATCAAAACATTAATATTAAATCATTATTCATAAATCATTCATTCACTACTTCAACTAAATAATGTCCACTATTTGTTGTAGATCTAAGGCGTTTCTTTAAAGTGACAGCTCTAAAAATACATTAACTAGTATTTACTTATATTTTTATAATGAAATTTTAGATTTAGGAATCAAAAATTCTTTAAGCTTTTAAAAGTTTTTTTTCAATCTCTCTTTTCTTTCCTTTTCTCTTAGTATATAATTGTAAAGAACTTAATCACATTACATATTTTTTTTTAAATATTTTAAACATGAATGAATAGTTATTACAAAAAATAGGCTATATTTTTTGGAATAAATAGTAAACATATTTAATATAAATGGGTAGCATAATCGAACTAATAAAATAATTATAATTATTTATAAGAATAGAGAAAAATATTAATTATTGATATTCTAGCTTTCATATTATATTGCAGCTAGGAATATTGTAATTGAACATATTTATCCTGATTATAAATCTAGATTATTAAATTTAGAAATAATGTAAGGTTTATTTTTAACAGCGATAGCTTAATAAAAAAGTAATGACAATCCTAATAATGATGTTTTTAATAGAATATTTGTTTCAAAATAAGTTGTTATTAAAATTATAATTGCTTTTTACAATAATTTTATCTATTCCCAATAATAATTACTATCATTATATTCATTAAATAAGTAGCAAATATGTCTTCTAAGTTTAATTTTATGAAGAATATCTCTTTTAATATAAGTTAACAAAAATAGCGAAAAAGGAATTATACATCCAAAAACTAGAAGTAATGGTAAAATCACAAAAAAGATCCATAATTAATGATTACTAGTATCGTATAATAAGGATACATCTCCTTAAATGTAGTTAATATTAGATATTTATCTGACTGACAACGAAGAGCAAAGCCTAATTGAAAATATATATATAGTACATTTTAATTAATCCTCCATAGTTAAAAACATACAAATAAATCAATGTATTTGAAAGAAGACTGTTATCCATATTTTTATTTGTTATATTATGATATAAAAATGATAGAGCTAATATCAAGTTGAATTACAATAGCATTAATGTTAAAATAACAAAGATTTTAATATAAATTAATTCTATTTAAAAATCTGACAAGTAACAATCTAAATTATTGACCATAAAATAAAAGCTATTACTAGATTATTCAATAAATATAAATGAGAATGAAAAATTAATATTGAAAGTAAAAATAACTGAAAATATCCATAAATAATTTAATAGCAATTTTAATAATATTCCTTCATGATCTAAAAATATAAACAATAATTATTACCTTAACTTAATTTAAATATTAATTTACTAAACTTATAAAATATCTTTAGTGAAGCAAATAATTAATTGGATTTATTAATACTCTTTAATGATAATGTTATTGATAATAAAGCCCTATCATTTAAAATTATATTTACTAAAACAATGCAAAAAAGAGTGGAAGTATAATGTTATCATTTTTCGAACATGATTGACATTAAAAGTTTTACTAATCCTTAAAAAATTTTCCATCTCCTCTCTCATTATATGTATCACACATTTCACATAAAGCACCTTTGTGTCCCTATATACATGTACTATCTCCAACTTCCCACCCTCCTAAACAAAATGAAGGATTTTTATAACATGATTCTGTATAATCTGATAAGGGGTTAGGTCTCCAATATCCCTCATACAAATTAATCATATTAGAGGTTATACTCTAGAATTTTTACTTATCATAAATGGAACATTTAATTGCATTGTATGTGACACTATAAAAACCTTAATTCCAAATACAAATTTGACATCCATTTTCAATATAAAATTCTCCTAATTAACATTTAAAAGTTTATGCGTTAATAATATATTTGAATTCTTGTTAAGAATATTAAGTCTTGCAGAGAGCTTGAATTTTTAAGTGACTATAATTTGATTCATATGGATTAAGGCTAAAGGCTAGTTTACCTAATTCAAAGTTATTAGTCGCAGATGCATATTATAAAGTATGATTATATGTTGATCCTTTTACTTCTTCACCATCGTTAGTAACAATAAAACTGGATACATGACATGTTGAACTATTTAAATTGAAGAGTATTTCTCCCTTACTATTTTTAAAAAATAGACTCATATTTTTAATATAGCTTAGATATAAGGATGCTTATAAAATAAATAATTAATAGACATTGATTTCTTAATTACTTGGAATCATTAATTTTTTTGTCTTTAAATATATTCCTTATTCAATTATTGTATATGGTTTAATTTATAAAATACATGTGGATGTATTATTCTAAACTTATTTTTCTGAAGCCATTTCTTTTGAATTGATATAGAGTGTTAAATGTGTAGGATTTTCAACAAGATTATTTCCATAAATCTTAGCAGAATTAAATAATAAAAAAGAATTATTAAAGTTCTTATTATTTAAATTGTTATCTTTTTCAAAATATATACCACCTCCTTCTTATGCATGATTATTAATTATCAATGTTTTTAATATTCTAAAGATTTTTGAATTTATTTTTAGATACAAAGCCCCACCTTGAGTGCTTGCCACATTAGAAGCAATTTTACAATTTTTTATATCAAAAGATATATCAGTAATTTTAATAGCAACTCCTTTTTTACCTTTATTATCAATGAAATTTGAATCTTTGATATAAATTTTTGAAGTTACTGAATTATTGCCTACAAAATGAAGGCATCCAAATTCATTTATAATATTTTTAATACAAATCACATTTGAGATAATTATTTTCTAAAAATATGCAACATCAAAATAAATAATTCCATTTAAGGTTGTTTCAAAAGTATTCTAGTCAATTGTTATCATTTCTAATAGGATAGTACTTAAATTTTATTAACTCATAATAGATATGACTGAATTTCTTTAGTAGTTTGATTTTTATAATTAATTAATATTGGTATGTAGAAAATCAGCTGGAGATTCAGCAAAAAAGGAATTATTCATAAATGAACATCCATCTATAAAATAATCAGCTTAAAATTAAGCAGGTTGAACAATAGGAATAGTATCTAATTTAAATAGTTTTACACTTTTAATATTTAGTTATTTTATATAAACTAAAGATTTAATAAAAACTATTTAACTAATTTAAATGAGATCTAATGAAATCATACTGACTATATCATTTATATTACAATTAAAGATTATCAAATTTTGTACATTAATCAATTTAATAATTGGAGCTATTAGCATTCCTTCCACAACCAAATCTCTTATTTCAAAATCACAATTTTCTAAATAAATTAAAGCATTTTCATCCCCTGTTAATTCTAATATTTCAGACAATTTTATTAATCCGATAATTTAAAAATATGATGTCCATGCTTATTAATCTTATTTTATCTTTATATTTATGAATAAGATAGAATTCAAAGCAACAATTTAATTAATGAACTTTATATGAACTATCTAATCCTTTAATGAAATACAGTTGAGAATAGATACATCTTAAATAATAATCTTATTTTGAAGTAATGATGGTATTATTGAGAAAATAGATGTTGACATTCTATTAATAACATTTGAAAATTTTGCTTATGAAATAGTTAAACTTAATAAACTATTCTGAGAATTTACACTTAAGCAACCAGAACTTTCAGTTTATTCAACTAAACTATTTGTTGTTGTATCAACCTAGAAATTCTATATCACTAAAATTCCTTCATTCTAAGTGACAATGTCAAAAACTGAACTTTTTGCTGCCAATATCTCTTGAAAAGTGCAATTCAAACATTCCAATTTACTTACTTCAAATTATGCTGCTCCTCCAATAGTTTTAATATGATAGATCTGCATTATAAAGAGATTAATTTCTTTTTAATCTTCCACATTCATTATGTTAATAGGATAATAATCTTTCCAAACATTAAATGGTAAAATGTTATGATTCTTAATTAAAATATTGCTTAACTTTAAATCTTTAGATGTAATTCTTATAAAAGAATTAGATGAGTTAGTCATTGAATTTTGGATGCCATTAAGATTATTAATATAAATAGTACTTGGAGCTGAATTAATGTATAATAAACTAGCTGATTACTGTAAGGTACTTTCAGTATATACATGCATAAAATTATTTTGATATTTTAAATCTTCCATTACAAAATCAATTTAATTTTCTGAAAGAATGGCCAACATTGAAAAGGATTAGACTTAATTAAGTTATTGTATGAGATTTCCATAAAATTCAATGTTTTTAATAATTATTTATCCAAGTGATTATTTAAATTTACTTGAAACTATTTCTATGAGTGATTCATCAACACTGGATTATTTTATAATCTTACATTTTTCTATTTTTATCTTATCAAAACCCATTACCAAAATTAATTGATTTTATAGATTTATTCTTTAAAAGCAATTCTTTTAAACAGAAACTTTTTATTCCATTTCTTAATTTTCGAATATTAAATTTGAGAGAATTATATCTTCATTATCATAAAGATTAAATATACGAATTTCTTGGTTATTACTAATGATACAATTGTTAATATCTAATGTTTTGCTATTGATATTAAATATTGAACTTGTTTAATCTGTTGTAATTGATTTTGTATTTAATTAGATTTGAACTTATGAAATAGATATTTACAATTTATTTGAATAAGAATTTGAAAATATGTGAAATAGATTAACATTTTGAAGTACATTTTTCTCTACTATTAATTCAGTAATAAAATATAATGTATTTTGATCATTTGTTACTTCAATTGTTTATAAAAACTAGGATTCAATAAATTAATTTTCTTTAATTTGAATATATTTTGCAAATAAACCATAACTAAATCCAAATATGATTGAATTCTCAATTTAATTAAAATTGAAGATTACATAGCTTATATCAATAGTAATAATTTATGAACAAAAAAGAAAATAAGAATGATCAAATTAATTTCTTTAAATTAATAAGTCTTTAAAAAATAATGTTGTCTCTTCTATGTAATTAATATATAAAGTAAAAATAGAAGCATTTTTAAATATATTTGAATCTGAAGTCATATTTTAAATGTTAATATCATACAAGTTTTATGAAAATTAAAATAATTAAGAATCTATAATAGTACAATTGTAAATATATAAAGAAACAATAGTCATTTATCCTTCAAATTTGAATAATTAGAAATTAAAAAATGAGGAATTTTTTATGGTTGTGTTTATAATTGAAAAATTTTATATATTAATTTAACCAAATTAGTCTGCTTAAAATATAGATCTGATATTAGTGATACTGCTATTCTATATTGTACAGTTGATGATGTTTAAATCAATTTGATTATGGCTATTAAACAATTGAAAATTCTCTTACGTTTCAATTGGATATACAAAACCAAAATCAATAAAATTCACAGTATCATAATCATAAAGCAATATAGAATTTCCAAAATGAAAGAAAACAGAATTCAATGATATTAGATTAATTATAGCATTATTAAGTGCAAAGACTTCCTCTTTTATTGTTGCTCTACTTTGGAAACTTGGAACCATTATGCATAAATTTTAATAAATTTCGAAGTATACATTGAAAGTAAAGGTTTACATACCAATATGGTTATAATATTCAGAATTAATGTTGAAATAGTGAAGAGTTGTAGGAAACCTATTAAAAAAGCAACTATACTCATAGGTTTCTAATTAAAATTCATTGTCACAATTATCATCAATGCAATATTTTGTTATTTTTTGATAAGGATCATAAAAAACAAATGGATCCATAATAGGTAAAAGACATTATTATGTGTAAATAAAATTTTTTTAATTTTCTTATGTAAATAAAAACAAAGGATTCATAGCCTAATTATTTATTATAAATTACTTATAATTAAACTGATGAACGAGATTTACATACCTAACAAAGTCGAGGGCAAAGTGGACAATAAAATTAATATTAAATTTTGATTGTTTCTTCAAAATATTCTAGTTTGCATTCATCACAAACATATTACTCATCATACTTATTGCATTTTAAGCAATTCTTACCACAATAATTAGACAAAGGTGTTTAATTATAATTTTAGGCTTTATAAGAATCAAAATTATAGACTAATAAAAAGGCTTTCACTTGCAAATCCCTAATATCTTAAGGATAGCTTGATCCTTATTCTTCACTTAGATAACATTATCTGTTTTATAACAAAAATCCAATTTTGCATTCAATACAAAAAACAATTTTATCATAATCTTATGCACATATATTACAATTAATTATATAATTATCACAATCATTAATTATAAGGGATACTTAAAATTTATTTAATTAAGATATAATACAGATTTCTTCTAATTATAATACATAAGATGTTAAACAATTTTCTATTCTTGATGCTTATTTTAAACATAATCCTAAATTAAAATTAAAAATATATCCATCCTCGCATAAGACACAACCGATTTTAATCAAATCAATATCAATAACTTAAAAATCCTTTTCTCCTTTTTCAAGAGTATTCATATATCTATACTCATCAAAATACTCAAAACAATATTAACATTTATTTATTGGGCAAATCTTGCATTCTTTAAGATATGATGTATAATATGGAGGTTAACAAGATTAATAAATATAATTATTAATTTAATTTTTACATTCTCCATTCACTAAAACTAAGTTCTCTCTACAAAGCAAACAAACCATTCCCTCAAGTTAAATAGCACATTTCAGGCAATAAGCGACATTACATAGTGTACATCTTTTATCTTCATTATATTCACTTAACTATGAACAAAAGAATTTGAAATTCGAAGATTTATGTAAATATAATTCATAAACACTATCTTCGTTTTACAACTCTTGATTATTATTATAAATGAAACAATAATCACATATTATCAAATCAAATCCATCGTAAAGAAATTACAAAGGAAAATTTAATATAAGAGTTGTTGCAATTTCCAAAGATAAAGGAATATAAAGATCATTTTAACAAATAGATTGTAAACTCCAATTCTCAACATTTGAATAACAGTCGAAACAAGTAACCAAATCATTTTTTACTCTAGAAGGACTAAAAATTAACTAATAAAATACCATTTTACACAATCTCCTTCAAATTCAAAATAACCTGCTTTGCACTTTAAATTAGTATTTTATGATCTTCTTTTTAAAGATAGATTTGAATCTTAATAGCTTACACATTTATTCTTATATTCAAATGTAGAATATGAACATATGCATTATTTAAATTGTGCATGATACACTCTCTAATCTTCAGCTGAACAAGACAAACAATGCATGTTACCAGGACCATCACATTCTAAACAATTAGGATGACATCTTGATATCCTTTAATCATATTAGCAGTTAATAAATTATAAATTTCTTACTGAAATATTTACATAATTTTACAAATCCTACTAGATATTTCCATATCTTATTTTATATTAACAATTATGAAATTACCATACTTAAACTTAAGCCTCATAAAATTAGTTATTTTTTAAATACTAATCATAAAAAGTTATTTTAATATTGAGTTCATTATCTTTTAATTCTAAAAGCAAATAATGCCATGATGTAATAATATTCCTTTAAATTTAAAATTCTGTTTCAATTTTTTATGAACCATCCAAAATCTCTTTAGTGAAAATAGGAAAATCATAACTATAGGCTGTTACAATTATCTTTGTTTCAATAGGAGAGATCTAATATATTAATTCAAATGTTCCCAAATTTTCATTTAAAAGTGTTTACTCCCCTATATATGCTGTCATTTTAATAAATGAATAAAAAAATTCTTCAGATTTCTATACAATATCTGATACTCTTAACCATCCACCTAAAGAATAGAAATCACAACTAATATGTTCTGAAATATAATTTTTTTCCTCAAGAAGATTAAAATCATAATCTTCTAAATTAACTTCTTCATTGTTTTCGCAATTACATTATTCTAAACCATAATATCCTTCAATTATTTCTTGCTCAAAGTCAAATTATAAAGGGATTATATCTATCAATGGATCATAAACTACAATAGATCCTGGAAACAAAGAAAAAAGCTTTCCTTTTTCAATTTACCTAATCTTAGACTCTTGTACTTCCAAACTCTCTCCGAAAATAAACAATAAAGTTTCTTCTTTGAAAGGTTTCATATTCATTAAAACCTCTTTGAATATTGTTATTTCTGATTATATAATGATAAACTCTACTCTCTTTAATATTGGCCAAGAAATTAATTAAAATTGATACCATATGTTCTCATATTAATAATTATCTACATTTTTCTCAAATTTAATTTATTCATCTTGATCGTTAACAAATTATATGGTCTTTACTATGCTTTTCTAAGAATAATCTAAACAAACATAATAAATAAAATTTAAATTCTGGGTTGTATATTCCATTACATTTATTAACTAAAAGCAGTTACTTTCAAACATTCCGGTTTGATCTTTAAAAGCTTTGATATTTAATGGATTGTATTTAGTCCATATTCCAAATGTCAAACAACTCTCTTCAGATAATTAGGCTTCGTTAATTGTTATGATTTTTCTTAAACTTAAATTATTCAAATATAGAGTAGTTGATGGGAATTAATATTAAGCTGTTAATAGAAAGCATAAACAAATTGCAAATATCATTAAAAAATGAATGTTAATTACTTTAATTAGAGTAAGAATTTATATATAGTACTTAGTGATAATTAATATATTACTTAGTGATTTAAAAAATGGTACTTAGTGATATTTAAAATAGTACTATTTGATATTTATATTTAATTTATTTATTATTATGTTCAAAATATAGATTAAAGCCTGCCAACATTGTTGTTTTATAAAAATAAAATATCATTAAATACAATTTAAAAAGCATAAAATTTTTGTAATTTTACAAATTATTGAAATTTATCACAATGATAAAAAGAATTAATTAAATATTTCTATTTTTAACCCACTTATGATTTTGATAATTTCTTTGTAGAAGTATAAAGTCTTCCTTTATAGTACTCACCTATGCCTTTCTGTAAAGTTAAAAAAATTTTAAAATTCATTCAAGAATTGGAATTTTAAAGATCTAGGTGTTCAATTATAGTCATCTTTAATATTGAAACTATTAAAGAATTTCATTCAAATTATTTAATATGAATTTAATTATTATTAAATATAATAATTAAATTCAATCATTTCTAAGATTTTATTGAAAATATTCACAGTTTATCTGACAGTTTAAATTATTATTTTGTTAATCATTACATTAAAGAATCAACAGCTAATAAAGATGTGTTAATTTAACATAAACTCCATCATAATTGATAAATAATCCTTCCTTTTAACAGAATGAGATGTTAATCAATACTCTATACCTAATTAAATGTTGAAATATGCTTTCATCACTTAATTTGGTATTTAGGTTTGTTTTCTAAAGTTTAGTCTTTGTAATTATAATTTTCAACATAATGAATATATTTTATATAATATTTAAGAATAAATAGAATAGAATAGTACTCACTTTATAATATACAAAAAATCTAAAAAAATAATTAAGATGTAGTTTAAAAAAAAACTAATAAAAGTGCTTTCATTTTGCAAATTAAAATATTCAAATTATCTAAAAGTCTCCTTCTATTTTCTTAAGAGATAATTTTTAATAAGGTTTTAGTTATTCCTAAAGGTTTATTCAATTCTATAACTTAGTGATATAGTTTTAATATTAATCTTTTACTCATTTCTTTTAGATCTAAACATATTATTATCTAATGTACTTTCATTTTATTTGTTTTCCAAAATCATTCTAAAGATAATTAGTTCATTTGAATTTCCTTAAATTATTCAAAATGATTTAAAAAGACATATTAGATTTTTATAATGAGAAGAGCAATATCGCTATAATAGATAATTATTTTTTTTGTTTGCTATTAACTTAAATAGAGTGATGATATAAGGTCTCATTCAAAAATATTCAAATAAATTTATTATAATAAACTAGTACGATTACTGAAAAACTAAAGATTTCATTCAAAAGAATAAGGATGGAACCAAAGGAAAATACTCTTTCTATTGCAACTGGAAGATATGAAAGTAATTTATTTTCAATAAAGTGAATCCACATTATAATCTAATTAACTTGTTATAAAAAACTTCGATATCTTCTCCAATAATTAAATCATAATTTTCTTCAAAAAGGAATTAAACTCAGATTTATGAAAACAAAGTAAAAGTCCTCTATTCATAAATATAGATTATAATCTTTCAATAAGAAATACAAAAAGTCCCAAGGAATAAAAATATTTTCATCTTACGCATTATTAATTTTTATTTCCTCTTTTCAATCATTACTATTATTGCTTATAATTGAAAAACATCTCTAGATTTTATTCCCCTATAAATTTATATATTGTTTTTTTATAGAATTAATTGCCAAATTTTAGTATCCTAAATTCTAAATAACCTAAGCCGCTATTAACAAGTATTCCAAATTCTCCTATTTGAACAGCATTTAATACTTAATCGAAAATTATCTCCTATAAATTCCGAATCCACCACTAGGATTATTGGTATCATTTCATTTTCTAATTGTATAATTGTAAGTTAAATTTAGTATGCTCAATGAAATTAATAATTCAAAATTAACATTTTAGCAAGAAAAGCAATAAATTCTCAATACTAATAATTTGTAATTTAATAAATAAGCTAACTGTTTTTAAGTAATCTTTGTGAAATATTAATTAATTTTGTTAAAGTTTCTAAAGGATATTCTTCAAATAAAACAGTATATTTATCTGAGTTATTTGACAAATAATTTATAGTTCTTTTTATTTTTGAATTTATAAATTTAATTTCTCTAAGATTAATTAAATTAACAAAAAATTATTAATAAATCTATTCTCTCAGTTTTAAACTTATAATCAAATAATTCTCTTTTTTTTTAAATTTATTTCAAGTTTAAAATCTTAATAAGAATTGAAGTAATTAAGGTGCTTTAGTTTTTATTCCCTTTGGGAATTAGTATTAAAGTAAGAAAATTTTTAACAAAAATAATTAAAAACTAAAACTTGTTGCCTTTTTTCTATAATTCTTTATTAGTTGAAAGTAATATAATAGATATTGTAAAGAAAAAAGAAAGAATCAGATAAATTTGAAAAAAAAATAATAGCTTACTTATTAAATAAGTTAACCTCATAAATCTTTCAATATGACCAAACTAGATTCTAAAAGCAATAGAATTAATGATAGATCAATAAATGGCTTAATATTTAATTTAAAATATGCATCCGATGAATGATATTGCAAATATTATTTCCTTTGGGCATCAATCTAAATTATTTTTGAATGTAATATAATACATTTTTCTTCCATCATACAAATCTTATTTAAATCCATTCGAGAAAGTTAGGAAGAGCATAGAAAACGATCTGCTATATCATAATCAAATTTGCTTAAATAATCTACAAATTTGTTAACTTATTAGATCAAGAAACCATTCAATAATATTATCTTTAAATCTTTCCTTATTTGAAAAAATCATTTTTAAAACACATAATTGAATGATATTATAATTCATTATGTTAGGAACTTTATAGTAAATTTCGTATAATTAAAATCAGCAAATGATATACGTTTTTATATCCAAAAGTAATATCATTTTCAGAATTCATAATAAATCATAGTGGAATATGTATGTATGTTAAGAAAAATTAAGTGGTTAGCTTTGGCTACATCGTGGCAACTATGATTTTTTAAGTAATGAAAGTTTTACTCACTCTTATAAAAAAAAGGCTTATGAAATTTTAATTAAATAATAAAAAAACGCTATAAAAGATCTTTTCCGGAAATTAGAAACAAGGAATATTCAACAAAAATATAAGAATTTGTGGAATGTTAGCGTGTTGCTACAATTTATGATATTTTTTATTTATATATCTATCGATTCAATTATTTTTAGAATCAACAAAAAATGAAGATAGTTAATTTTTTGTATTTAAAATGAAACTCTAGCTCATTTTTCACAATATTAAATCAAAAATTTAAAAAGTAATAATTAAATAATAATGTTAATATCAGTAATATTGAAATTTAATTCATTTTTGAATTAATGAAGTATCAGTATTTAAACATTTAGCATTCTTAAATTGAAATATCAGATCATTCTTTAAAGAATTTTATTAACTTTATGATTAAAAAGAGTTTATTGTACACTAAAGCTGATTGAGTGTACAATGAACTTATTGTAATTACTAAAAATTTTACAGTAAAAAAGCATTACCATTTTATTGTCTTTGCTTTATTAAAGGAACAAATCATATTGTATTCATAAGTTACTTTTTATAAAGCTTTGAAAACTCATTTTTTATCGCAATACATATAAGAATTATCAAAGCTCTATCTCATCGAATATATCTCTAATAAAATAATTGATAAATATTTTGCAGCTATTCAATAATTGTTCTTTTGTTAATCTCTTGCTTTCCTTTAAGATTATTACAGTGAAATTGCATTCAAACTTTTTAAAAAAATATTGTTAATAAACAAATAACTTTTGAAATTAAAAAAAAATCAATATTGTCTGCAAATTTGTTTTTTATATTTAAAACTCATATATTTAAATTATTGATGTAAAATAACTGAAAAATTAATTTCTTAATTTAATAAAAAATTTAAGTTTATATATTTCATATTTCATTATTTTTGCTCAAGAAAAAAAATGAGGAATCAATCCAAATTCAAGAATAGCAAAAGAGCATGTTTATTCAAGGAAAAAAAAAAATTCATAATTCTGAACTGATTAATGAGAAATACTTTATAAATAAATTCTTATGGTTATGATTTTTTGCATAAAATATTATTCAAAATATCATTCAACCTATGATTTAAATGTTAGTAGTTTCTCACATTCAGCTATTTATATCAATAAGAATATACATTTTTTATTTTTAACCCATAAATAATTTGGATTGATTTGAATAACCTTATTGTAATAAATAATAGCTTCTGAATACTTTGATAATGATTGTAAACAAGCTCCTATTTAAAATTAAAATTTAATTAACCTTTGTTGGCTAAAGAAAACTCATGATTTGGATTAGAATTCAATGCTTTATCTAAGATCTCAATAGCTTCGTTATATTTACCCAAAATTCTTAATGATTCACCTAAATAAAAAAAAGTTAAATTACCTTTTGTTTATAATGAATCAACATGATTTGAATTAATAGACAAAGCTTTATCAGCCCATATAATTGCATCATTGTGATTATCAATCATTCTTAAACAATCAGCTATTTTAATAATGTAAAATTTATGTACCTTTGGTATATAATGAATTGAGATGTTTAGGATTAATGAGCAATGCAAAGTCTAATATTTTTATAGCTTCTTCATAATTATGATCGTAGTAATATAATTTAAATCCTAAATTAATTATCTAGTTACCTTTTTAATATAACTATTCTACTTTTACCTATTCTTATTAATTTAACTCTGATTACTTAAGTTCATCTACTTTTAATTCTATAATATTTCTTTATAATTTAGTAGTCATACTATCTGAAAATGTTTTTACTTCCTCCAATAAATCAGTTTTAATTTCCTCATATTTGATTACTTAACTTAAAACTTATTCTAATTGTTTTGTATTTAATTAT